ATATAATAGGCATAGGTAGTAAGAACAATAATAATAATAATAATAATAATATATTAATAAAATAAAGTAAGGTAATCTTAACTTTAACATTAGTCTTTATAGTCGATATTATTATTAGGCTATAGGTATACGTAAGGTTAGTACTTCTATTATATCTGTAGACTATAGCTTATAGCGACTAACTAAGCAATTAGAAAATAAACTCGTTAAGGACTAAGGCCTAGAAAGAAAAGTACAGTACAAAATAAGGTATTAGTACTAATTATCCTTCTCTAACTACGATATCCCTTACCTTAGACATTATTATGTCACGGCCTAGTAACCCTACACATTTAGAGTATAATAGAATTATAAAACTAATGTATAAAATACTTCTTTAAGGGATCCTTATAGTTAAGAGCACTAAAGAATATAACTAGACCTTATAATAGTTTCCTTTTTTAAAGGAATAGGCGCGCTTATAGTTACCTCTTTACTATTTAAAGAGTTATAGTCTGTCTAACTACATACGCTAGTATATTATTATTCTAGGACTACTTTAGACTTAGCTACACTTATTAATAATCTAGCTACATTTCTTTAATACTATAAAGAAGTATATAGATAATCCTGTTACCTTTATTATTTAGGCTTTTACCTCGGTTACTAAGAGTATAAGCCTCCTTGTCTTAGCTTATATAGAATTAGAAGAAGACTAACAGAACCTAGACAGTATTATAAAGCATGCTTATAGACAATTTTAGTAGCTATGTATTAATACTACTAGAGGTGTTATAACAAATCCTTGTCGTAGATCTGTTGTTAGGGCTAGAAGCCGCTCTACTAGTACTATACTAGCGCCCTTTAATACTTCTCGTAAAGGTACACTAGTAGTAGTAGGTATAATAGCACCTCCTCCTCTTTATAAAAACATACTAATAGCTATAGATATAGGCTATATAGTAGCTTAAGACAAGAAGGGTACTATCTAGTATTATAATAACATAAAGAGACTAAATGTCTATACTAGTATTTACTTTTTAAGAATAATAGAGGAGTATAGCCTTCTAGCTAACGTAGGCACCTTAATTAGAGAAGACAAGCATTAGTATATACTCCTTCTTACCTTACCTCTCTAAATCTCTAATCCTGTCTATATTATGTTAATATTTTTGTTCTAGGCATTTTAAGTTAGAAGTCTATTATACGAACTACATTTATGTTAAGAGAGCACTTCTTAAGAAAGAGAACTAGAAATTAACTCTAAGGCTTCTTATCTAGAACGTATTTAAGTACTTAGACCCTAAACTAACATAACTAGTCTAAGAGATCTATAACGACAGCCTGCTACTTTTCTAAGGAATGCTCTTACGGTTAAAGGTCGAGAATCTTACTATAGCTATAAAAGAAAATAAAGGTTTACTAGAAGTCTTACTTAAGGCTAACGACAATTATCTTTGCCTTTCTACGATTAGTTACCTTTAGCTACAACACGTATATAGGGTCTTAGGCTAGCTAGTTTAAGAAAAGTACATAGACGCTACTTTTAAAGGCCTATTTACTAATGCTTACGCCTGTAATTACGCCTAGCCTAACGTTATCTATTTTAGTAAGGTGTTACTTTAATAGGCAAAAAAGGTTTCTTTTATAGACAGGTATATATATATTAACTATATCTCCTTTGTTTTTAACTAGTAGTCTATAGCCCTTCCTATCTTTTATTCTGCTTTTCTCTTGTATTTTTACCTCCTTAATTACCTAAGATCTCTATACTTTTAATCTCTCTTTATTAGTATTTAGTCGGTTTTTCTATATGCCTATTAGCCTTTTTATAAAAGAGAGGTAACGTAACTAAGGGCCTAGCTTCTGTTACTATGTTACGCCTTATCCTGTTCTTTTAATTAAGTAAATAATGTCGTACTTAAGATTAGCTAATATAACTGTTAGAACTACTAAGCGCTAGGTAGTCTTTACTCTAAATGACTTTATCGAGTACTATAATAAAGCCTTACGATCTAATTAATTTATAAAGATCAAAGGGATCTTTGTCTACAAGCTAGTCCGAGTTTACTAAGCCTTCTTAAGAATTCGCTACGTTACGCTATTACCTAATCGTAAGATAGTTCTTAATCTCTCTAAGCTAACTATACAGGATTCCTAGGAATTAATTAGCCTTCCGCGTGTCTAGGCACGAAAAATCTATGTAATTCCTGTTGACGCGTCTTTAGTATAGGTTAATTAGACAACAGTAGTGTTCTTATAAAGCACACCTTAGTATGTGCCTCCTTTACTTCTTAAAAGAGTACTACTAATATAGAATTACCTGTAGTCATAGGTTTTCGTAATCCGTAAGGTAGCTATTATAGTATTAGGTTGCTTCTATAGTATATAAGTTAACTACCTCTTGTTATAGACTAGGAGCTAATATTTAATAGACAACAGATTACCCCTACTATACTATACTACTCCTGGTCCCTTACTGCCCTAGGCACTATAGCTTATAAGTTAACTCCTGTCGTTACCCTTAATTTAAGCCTCTACTAATAATTCGAACAGGACTAGTAAAGTCTTAATTGTTTTTTCTACCTTAAACTTAATAACTAAAGGGAATCATAGCTAGTATACAAGAGTTAGATTTTGTATATAGTTACCTTAGTTCTTGTCGTTACCTTTGTTAACGTAGCGAGTTAGTTAGTAGCTACAATTAATGTTGTGTGACGTATAATAGTAATACGATAGGTGTAATTACATGATTACTATAACTACCTTATAGATAAAATACATAAAGTTGTAGTACTCGCTTACTTACTCGGCTACTTTTCGCTATACTGTACTATTTTTCTTATACCGTAAAAATACCGTTTACTCTCGCTTACTGTATAGTGACGGGCTAAAGATTTAAATAGTGTTAAGACTAGCTACTATAGTACTACAGTAACGCTACAGTAATATTACGGTAGAAAATAACCGCCCTCGTTCGCTAAGGTATGATATATGTCTACCGGATTGAGTTGTCAGGGAACTTGAAGTATGCAGTATAAATCATTCGATCCGTTCTAGTATCTGAGGTACTCTAGGGTTCTGTATACTAACTGCCTCGACCGACCATCATCAAGATTTCAGGTACATGCTTACAGCAAAAAGCAGGGCGGTTCCAAGGCAATGCCCCTTCATTCAATTTGCACACAGGGTTTTCTAACGAGGAAAAGGCTAACACATCTAATGGGGAGAAACGGACTATTGGACTTTTGTGATCTAGGAGTACCTACAAGTTGAAAGAATAGCTCGTAAGAGAGCACGCCCTTTCAACACCCAAAGTACTAAATCAAAGAAAGAACCGGAAACTCAAGTTACAATTTTGAACGGGGTCCCATCTCCATCTTTCCTTATGGTTGACCTTGTAGGATTCATAGAGGATAGGAAAGTGGAGCCTTGTAGAACAGCTACCAATCTAGGGTATATACTGTACCTAGATCCAGCCATATATATATATGCCTGTCTTATTGTTGTGAGGGCGGCCTTAGGGGCCTGAGGCAGCGCTACTACTTATGATCCTTCCACACAACACTCCATAGCTACTCTCTTTAGACAAATCACCATCACAGAAACAACCAACGAGTTACACTGTGGGCGTGAACCGTCTCATCTACTGAATCCATATACTATACTTATATAGGTATATTCAGTCCACACTTACATACAATGCTTCTTCTACGTCTTTCCAGAAGAGCTCACCTACCTGTTCCAGCCCCCAGTTCATCACGAGGTAACAGTTCTACCTAGTCTATACCACAAACCCAGGTACCTAGATAACGATATAACTAACGAGCACCAAAACCCCTTCAACCATTGTTTTCCAATCTTTAGTCGTTACACCCCGTGGCTTGTTTCATAATGGTCTTGGGCCCTGGCCTTGGTTATGGATAACTCTCTTTTGTTGTGTTCCACTTCCCGTATCCTTCGGCCAATTTTTTCCTTTTCTTTCAATATTATTCTTCCGTGGTTCAGCAATTGTCCATGTGGGACCCTCCTTTAGTACTACCTACCTACCTAGGTAGGTAACCCAAGGTGCTCGCTCAATACACCAACCCTTCAGACTCAAGAACTGCTACGCGAGGAGAAGACATGTAGAATATAAATTAGATACCTTCCTTACCTTAGTACCCCCAAGCTTACTAGCCATGCATACACAAAGAGAAAAGCAATGCCCGGCCCACACCGAACCAGAAGCTTCCTTATCTCCGCACCAAAAAAACCCTAAGTGAGAAAACGAAACGCCGTACGCCTCAATAGGAAGAAAAGCGTAACTGGATATCTCCCTGATTCTATGCACCGCTTCACCTTCTTTTCTTCCCAAACCCCCCGCAGACTATTTCCCCATTGTCTATTTTAGGCCTGTCATTGACAGACAGTCTTGTACCGCTGCTTGAATAGCCTGGCTTGCAGATCTCCCTGAACCCTGAACGTGGCTGCCGGGAACTACTTTAGCGGGGTCTGGGGGGTGCGTTGTCCACAAGTCTCATGCTGCTCTATAACGACCGAATAAGAATAATACGATGATCTGCGCCTGGGTCTATCTGCTCCTATCGCAAGGGAGACCAAAAGTGTGTCACCACGAATCTCGCATGTAGATGTGCTTGCGAATTCCTAGCTAATCTCTACTGAAATATGCAAATCCCATTCTAAGACACATGCTGTCTCTCTGGGTATAATGGACAGACAATACCTGGTACGCCTCCATGAGTATAACCAATCAAACGAATGTATCCTTTATATGCCCTATGCCCCATGCCCCATGCCCCGTGTCCTATGCCAACGCCCAATGCCGTGTTGGGCATTGCCCCCCCACCCAGAATTGCAGCCTGTGCCAATACGCCCCTGATGCCTCGCTATGAGCGTACTCCTTCCAAACGAAAACCCGGTTATACTGTACGCCATGTATATACAATCTCGCAAGAGAATCTTTCCAAGTAGCCTCCAATGACTTAAAAAGCTGTTGAAAAAACGCCAGCCCCTGAACTCGGATTCGTATGGAATACAAAATCAGTCAAATACCACGAACTGATTCTTATTGAAATGAGCCTCCCAATCCCTCTGTTGCACCTGTTGCACCTGTTGTGTACATCGCACCGCTCGTGGTCCGCGGGACCATGTTATCTCCCATATTGTCGTCTGATATATTCTGACCATGGTGCGGATACATTTGGTACCCATCGCTTCTGTTACCACTCGGAGTTGCATAGATCCCAGGAGCGGTCATGCTTAGACCACCATATCCTGGAGAGATCTGCTCGGATCTTTGAACCACATCAAGACCCCCGAACCCACCAGTGTCCTTTTGTGGTGCGGTCGATGTCATCATTTCCGGCCCTCCAAATTGTGCTTGAAGATGTTGAGGTTGTTGGTACTGAGGTTGTGATTGGAAGAACGCTGGTCCTGATGAGCTTAGCATAGAATCATTGTAATTGGAATTGACTCCGTGTTGTGTACTAAATCGTTGAGTAAAGGACTGACCCTGCGACGAGGTGGCTACCGGCGACGGGGCGTAGGGATATCCAAAAGGCGGCTGCTGGGGAGACGGCTGCCCGCCGTATAGATAATTGTGCTGGGCGTCCGAATACATCCTCGGCTGGTATGGAGAATGAGGGCTATTGAGAGGTTGTTGTTGCTGCCCAAAATTTGGAGGTTGGCTATGCTCGGAGTTGGTCCTTGGACGCTTCATCGATAACTCTTGAGGGAAGGAATTGAAGGGCCCCGCAGGTGTGTAAGCGTAACCAGGATAAGAATCAAAGGAATGGGGTTGCATAGACCCTGATGCTTCTTCTTGGCTTCCCTGACTGTGTGTTGAAAGCCCTGGTGATTGTGATTCGTGGTATTCGAAAGTTCTTTCGCCCTTGCTTTGCTTCCGCCCATGAGTCTTATAATGTCGTGGAATGTAATCTTCAGATGCTGGTCCACGCTTCCGGAGCAAAGATCGAGGCTCCTTGCGTACTCTCAATCGGATCCCTTGATCGTTGAAAGACCGGGTAAGGAATGTTGATTCAGACATACCAAGCCAGGTCTTTTGGGGAAGGACAGGAAACGGATCTGATACAACTGATCTTATGTAAAAGCATTCCATGTTGCGCATCTCATAGAGATTGAACTGCAGTCTGAAGACACCTTCAATCTTGATTGACATATCCCCCCAGACAAAGAATGCTCCATCATGGTTGTCGGTATCCTTCAATCGATGGAGAGAAGAGACAAGAGTACCTGCGAGAGATGCGCCAACGGATGACGGAGCACTTCCTCCTTCCGTAGGGACGAGACTGCATGTCATGAAGAAATAAGGACCTGCAAGAAGAAGATGTTAGCCAGGTTCCCATCGACCGGACAATTCGATGTTCATACTCTGCATGTAGTTCTGGTATGGGTCTGAAGTTTGGCTGATCTTGAGTTGGACTACCGGCGGAGGGTCAACCGGTTTGCGATCTGGGAATGGTTAGCTACTTGAGCCAACTTCCAAGGGAGGGGCTTTGCTAAGTTCACTTACCCTTCTCTTTGCCGATGGCGACCTTCGCGTTCCTAGGCTGTTGTCGAATGACGAGTTCGCAATCATTGCTGTTGCATGACATAGTCAGTTAGAAGCTCTACCAGGAAGAATGCCCTGCTCACCTCCGCAATCCTGGGATCTGGGCGGCAGTCGCCTCCGCGAACTGATGGATTGATTGCACAGTGTTCATGGAGACGGCTGGGTTCAGTGTCGGTTGGTGCGCTCGTCTGGATGTATCTGCCCCTCCTCCGTGGTTAAGGAATCTGTTTTGAACGTAGGACTATGAGACCGGGTGCAGGATGTATAGAAATACGGTTGATGAGAATATAGAATGACCAGAGGAGGGCTGGCCACGGTTTTGATAGAAGCTTGCATGAGGTGTGCCGTCGACCTAGTTATGGAGCTTCTTGAGATAGCATGACCTCGGGAAAGATATCATACCTAGGAAGGTGTGTATGGCGTGCCCTAGTTCCTGCCCCAGATCGATTTCTGCTCGAGTCGAGCCAGGTGGAGTCACGCCTTGACGGGTCTGAGGGACTGATGGCGTAGCTCGACCCAAACTTTCAAGGCTTGATTTGGACGGGATTTTGGACTTAGTACCGGCAAAGGGAAGGCGCGGGGAGTTTGGATGACTCTAAAGAGCTCTCCGGGTATGATATGGCACGCACTAGTGGGAGGCTCTTTCTCGGCCTCTTCCGAAGTGTCCAAGTGTCTGCAATAGACCTGGATAGCCCAGTGTCGGCCAATGACAGTACCAAGGCGAGACGAATGCCGGGATGATGCAACGTGACGAGGCTGATGAGGCGCTATGGCACTTTCCACACACAAAGTAGAGCGCAAGCACCTTGCTCCTCGGAATAGAGAAGAGTCGTTGGACTATGGGGTTTGAAGTGTTCGGCCAGGCCTGGAGTGGAGAAGGGTTTGAGGAGGATGGCAAAGTGCGGTAGAAAATCGGGGAAGGCGATTGGCGAACATAGGTAGATCAGTCCCCCTCCAGATTCAATGGCTGCTTGCCTAGACGAATAGTTTCGAGGGCTTGCCTCGCACCCGCGCTTGGATTATGGGTGAAGTGAACAGTTGGTGGAGGATCACAGTAAGGTGGATTTGAAGGGTCAGGTAGATAGATTATTGGACTGGTATGGGCCTGGACAGCTGGGTATATTGGCAGGCAGTAAGTATGATTAGCAAGCCCTCTTTTCCCGTTTGCCCGCCAACCCACTCGATTGGACCTTCCAGATTCGTGGGGCGTGAATCCAGAATGGCTTTAGAAGGAGGTCCCGAGTAGCTGTAGTCTGTAGAATGATATATGGTGAGTTTGAGATGTCTAATATCAAGGACGGCACAATATCCGTAGCCAGCGTTTGCTGCAGGTTGAGATATGAGAAAAGATAGATGGAATGGATCCTTGATCTTGCTGGGCGGAAAGAGACCGTGAGGGCCGCGAGGGCAGCGGAAGCACGACCTCGGCGATGGAGTTGCGAAGTTCTGCACAACGTCTTCGGCATAGATGCCTTCCAACGCCTTTTGATACTGTGCTCGGGCCAGACAATCCAAACAACCAGACGGTAGTCACCAGAGTGCCTGCAGAAAGATATTTGGGAGATGACAGCCAGAGCCAGGGATTGATAGGAAGGAAGCGTGGAAGATAGGAGTCGACAGCAAGTCGCGTCTGTGGGTCCTGAATGGTGGGGGGGTTAGGGAGGGGTCCTTCAAAGCTCTACTTTGTAATAATTGCGGCGCCACCAATTGCTGATCGGAGGAGTGATGGACGGCAATGGAGAGGGGCAGGCATTATTCGTCGACATGGTCGGGCCGGAAAGAGATTCCCGCGGGAACAAAGGGCAGGACTGAACTGGACCAACCGGGCCGGACTGAACAGAACATGAGCAGAAAATGGAATGAGATGGGATCTGGCGCTGACAGAGGGCGGACTGTGTTTCAACCATAGGCGGGGAAGCCTCGTAACTGATGTCTGGAGACGAGGACGCTGGGGCCGGCGGTGCTACTACAGTTCCGGAGACTGTATACCCTCCTCCTCCTCTCTTCAGTCCTCACTTCGTCCATTGGAGTAAATCCCCAAACTCTCGGATCATAGGGCCTCTCGCGTCTCGATCTGCGACTTTCTGCTGGGCAAGCTGGGCGGGACCGCCCTGGCGCTACAAGCCCTGGCCCCCCTTCCTCCCACCCATGTCTCATGCCCTATGCTCTCAGCATCCCTGAGGCCCGGCATGGCTGTTTCGAGGGGAAGCCCCAGAACCCCAGCAGTGCAAAGCCCATTGGAGACAGAGGCGGCCTGAAGGAGAAGTGCATGTGCATGGTCTCGCCGCTTTGGGCGCACGTTGTCGTGAATAGGCGTGGGGCTGAGGTTTGTCCTGCGAGTCTTCTCAAGGTCAGTTACATCACCCATATGATATGTCTTTGTCAATTCCTCGTTCTCCTCTCTCTCTCCTTCGCCGGAGATAAAGCCGGAAAGGGTTTCTCGTGGACCAGTTCCACGCGTTTGTGGAGTCTCCTCTGTAGTGCCTCTGCCTCTCCCACGCGCAGGATTGTTGCTTCTACAGATGTCAAGAGTGTGGGATGTGCTGCCACAAGTTCCTTTCAGCTCCTTGACAAGATCACACAGGATATCCCACTTGCTCTGCCGCGCACGTATGTATGTCTTGTCTGTGTGCAAGTGCATATATGTACGTATGTACGTAAGGTTGGTATGTCAGACTGTCAGTACTACCAGCCCACGCGACGACAAAAAAGTACCAGAGAAGTTCCCCACCAAGGCTTGGTCTATGACCGCCAAAAGCATCTCCATGGGCTGCATCAAGTCACAAGGGGCAGCGGCTGTCGCGGCAGGGCCAGGCCAGACCAGGCGGCGTAGCAATGAGCAAAGGGGCCCTGGGGCCCGATGCATGGGAGGTGCACTGTACCTGTGGCTGGGGTGTACACCGGAGAGAGACTGATCGACTGCAATCTGGAACTGGTAAGTAAGATACGGAGTAGACAGGATTGAGCGTTTGAAGAGCGCGGTACCACCGTTCCGTGATGTACATACCTTAAGGTATGTTGTACGGGCAACAGGCGCCGGCGACAGTGGAGTCTGAGATCACAATTCCTGCAACTCAAACCAATGACTTGCACTTCTTTTCTTCTGTGTGGGGTTTGACTAACTGGCAGAGGGAGGGACCTGCATCGCGCTTCTCCTTGCTTTGCTGCCCCGCGTTCAAGGGGACTATCGCGATTCTGGTGTACTTCATAGGCAGGTAATACTGATATTATATAAGATAAGATATACCAGTAAATACCTCCAGATGCCTCCAATACACAGGACCTTACTCGACAGGTACCATATCTATTTCTCTATTATACATTATATTTACCTTACAATTAAATCAACTAAGGGAGGTACATATGAAAAATAGTAAATATATATTGCTCCCGGCTTTGTTTCACCAACACCTCTTCTATCTCAAACAATCCTGCCGCTCCCACGCTCCACAGGACAAAGCCAACGCCGAGCTCCTCCTTCCAGAACAGAGGCTGTACGCCGTACCCTGTACAAGAGCGAGTCAGAAATCAACTCCGTACGAGGGCAGTTTGACGGGACGACACGGACGTCCTCGTCTGAACCTTTGGTGTGTTCGCTTCGCCCGCTCCCGCCCACGTTCCCGTCCGGAATTCAAGCTCGAAAGGTACGACGACATTATTACAGACAATTTAATATCTACGGAGTACGTTCATTTGCCCATCACGGGAATATTCCGGAGGGGGCGCTGCAGCCATCTGAGCTTCGAGCCTTCGAGGCCGCTTCTTGCGGAAGCCGTATCCGACCTTCTGTCGCAGGGTCACCTCTTGCAGTATCTTGCCAGGCCATACCTGGACAGAAGACGGATGGTTACATGCACCATGGCTTGGCCGTTGCGAGGCAATCGCATAGCCTGCCTCTGCGAAGACGCGGCAAAAGCAACAAGTCAAACCGGCTCTTTTGCCTACGGAGAACGTCTTTCGCGGAGGGGCCGAGACACCAAGGGATCAACGGATCGAAGATCTCGACACGCTGGTGATCACTATAGTACACCTATGCAGCGCTTTACCTACGTGAATACTTGATCGACAAGTGCAAATCTAATGGCGCGCCACGAGCGATCCCATTACAACAATAGTCTGGAGCATGGGTATAGCCTCGCATCAAGAGGCGGTGCTCAATTCCAGTTCTTCCTGGCCAGGATGCGTATACAGCCTCAGAACGCCTATAGTATCACATTTACATCACGTATATGTACCGGGGAACAACTCCGGCCTAGGATAGATGCATAACGGTCTCAGATGCACTTACTAACCACCGTTAGAACGCACTATGCGCCGGCCGCAGCTTGCTAAAGTACGTTATATCCACGACGTCCCATACATTGTAAGAATCTGCGTTTACCTCTCTTTACTCTGTATATCATATTTTGGCGCTCACAAAACACTTGCCGTTGTGTTGTCCAAGCCCGCTCCAACGAACTCATGTTCCACGGCATAAAGTCCAACATCCATGCTTTCAAAGCACCAACACGCGGGGTCCACGCGAAGAGAGGAATCCAATGGTAGCTTGCAGTTGCATGCCATTTCATTTGATATCCCGAGACTCTCGTGGAGATGGATACCCTCATGCTTTGCCCTCTCTTTCTCAGCGCTTCTTGGACAAGCTCCTGGACCCCAAAGCGTAATCAAAGTTGAACCGAAGAAGCCTTAAAAGATTGTTCATAGGGTATTCTGGATACTGATAGAGTCTATCAAGCCGAATGCATTGTCATAGTTATGCTATCCAGCACTAGTCAAAGTGCCGGATAACCTCATGCACATGCTTTTTCTGTGTTCAAAATACAACGTCGAGAGCCAACCAAAGTCAACGACTGAAGCCTCCTTGCGCCACTCTTGTGTCCTAAAGAGTCCCGTGCTTCCTGATAGTTGAGTTGGAAACCAGGATCCAGGATCGATCCATACCCCGCTCTATGTTGTCGTGTCTCACTTGCAATTCTTGAGCTTCGACCCTGAATACTTTATCATTACCTGATGAACATGGGGGGTGGGGGGAATTCGCTGAAGCCCTAGCTAGCCCTTCAACCTGAGAAAGTCTCTCCCCATCCTATATGGGTCATCTTATTCATTTGGACCCATGGTCTGACACGGCAAGGGCCGCACCGTTCGAACAATCAAGCATCTACCTGGCTGACCCCAGTCGGAAATCAAGGTCGTCGCGGCTGAGCCGCGATACACTCATACCCACATGCAACCCATCCGAAAATCAAATCATTACCTGCCAGATCCCATCATCCCACATGCAAGTAGAACCCTAAATCGCCACGATCGTCTGTCAATCTAGTATTGAGCAGGCCAGGGCCCCTGTCACTGTCAGAGCTCCATGCCCCTCCAAGTATTCTAGATCATTTGACAGTCTACAGAAGTAATAGTATGACGATCACGGCTTCAAAAACAGCAAAGAATTCTGAATTCTACTTCCGCGTCTGATCTCGATCGACAATCACAGGTTACGTGGCGATCATTAACAACCGCATGCCGCTCCAACAAGAGAATATGATCTTTGGGTGCCTATCAGTTTAGCAACACTTCAAGTGATCTGAATGGTTTTACTCTAATTTCCGCTGGCCGAGGTGGTTGTGACACGTTTGCCCGCCTCGCTACCAACGACATTTTAACTGAAACATGTCAAGAATAGCAACCATCCTGGTGATTTCCCTCTGGACCCTTACAGTCGATCTTACATTTCATCTCATGGGCCTGCTACCCGCTATAAGATCTACACTAATTAATGCGTGCGCGTTATACCCCGTATAAAAGAACGTTAATCTGAAAGTCTGGCCATCAGAAGTGAGGACCGCCGATAATAATTCGTTCATGATTCAAAAAAGAAAAAAAGAAAAAAACATGTTGCCTATTTCTCAAATCCAGGGAAGACAAAGTTTGTAGTAAATTATTTTATATTAGATGCTCTACATGACACAAGGATGTCACTGGATGTCACCCTCCTTACTTCACCACGCTCTACTCTAATCTAATCATGATGGCTGTTGGTTCAACAAAAGTGGCCATACCTACAAACGGAATTACAAACCCCTATATATCCAACAGATGATGTACATGTAGTAAGCACGACCATCCCCAGCACCCAGGTACCTCATGAAGATCCGAGACTTAGAAAAATCCCTCTCTTTCATACTCCCCCCCTCCCTTCTTTCCCATTATCTCTCTCAATAGGTAGGCAAAAAACCTAACAAACCTAACAAACCTCAAACAACTCCTCCATAAATCTTCAAGCTACTTCTTTCTATTCCTAATGCTTCCCTTTGAACCTAGATCCATCCATCTGTATATAGGTAGGTACTAATCAACATCAGCCCAAAAGATCCGTATCTCATCTTCTTGAAAACAGGATTCTGGGGACTGGAATTTATATATACATGGTGTTTTTTTTTTTTTAGCTTTTTTTATGATGTTTGGCTATACATACATACATAGGTAAGGTAAGGTCAGGTAAGGGTAGCTCTTCTTAGAGTAAGTAAGTACTTGAATAAACGGATGAAATTTGGGTATGCGTTCGATAGACTAACTACCTACCTACCTTACCTTAGCTAGCATAATGCTTGTTTCATTGACAATTTCATCTATATCAGTTAAGAGTATCTATCTATTTATCACCCAAGAGTGAAGAAAAGAAGGGGATAGATACTACATATATACTATGTTGGCTTCTAGAAGGGGTATATAGAAAATATTCGAGTTTTGGGACTTCTGTTTCTTGGAGATGTTTGATGATTAGGTAGGTAGGTAGGTACATGTTATGGAGGAAACGCCAGACACCTACCCTATGGTATCCCATCCTTATCGCTAGCTATGCAACGAATAGTATACATCCCATCTATCCGCTTCCCACAGCAAAGCAAAGCAAAGCAAATCATATTCATCTCACTTCCCCCTCCCCTTCCCCTTTCCCCTCTTCCTCTCCCTCTCCCTCTCCTTCTCAACCGGTACGCTCACCGTGCCCCCCTCAAGCTCCCCCACCTCCAGACCCTCCTCCCCCTTCATATCCTCCAATTTCTGCCTCGCCGAGATCGAAAACAGCAAGTCCCGATTCTGCTCCCGCAGCTCAGCGTTCTCCTCCTTGACCTCGCCCAACTCCTTGCTCAGCTTCATCATGCTCGCGTTCACATGGCTGACCCTCTGCAGCAGGCCCTCCGAGACTTTCTTCTCTTCTGTGAGGCTCTTGCCGAAGCCCCGCGCTACTTCTGAGGACCGCTCCGCGCGCTTCTTCTCCCGCGCGAGGTCTTTCTCGAGGTTGGGCACGACTTCGTCGCGGAGGTGCGCGTGCGCGAGGCTGAGCTCGCTGAGTTTGGCGAGGGCTTCGTCGGCGCGCGCGCTGGCGGCGGCGGCGGCTGACGTGGCTGCGCTGGCTTTGGCCGCGGCTTTGCTGACTAGCTCTTCGAAGTAGACGCGCTGGCTCTCGAGCTGCGAGGTGAGGAGGTGCGTGTATTCCATGCCGATGCGGTCGAGCTTCTCGCGCGGGACCATCTCCATGTCGCCCGTGCCGCCGCCGCCGCCGCCGCGTTGGCCGGAGCCGAGCCCCGAGCGGCTGCTGGAGGAGGGCAGCTCGATGAGCTTGCTGTCGCCCTTGTCGCGGATCAGTCGGTGCACCCACATGTCGCCGGCGTAGTCCCAGACGTGCTGCGTCTCGATCTCGAGGGCGAAGTTGTGGGCGGATTCTTTCCAGTGCTCTTTGGCGTGCCCGCCTTTGTAGCGGCCGCAGCCTACGTTGCCGCAGATGAGACAGATCCAGAGATCATCCGTGCAGTCGCAGACGCTGCACAGCGAGGCTTCGCCGCTGCCGAAGGGCGGGTTGGAAGAGTCGTACTGATAGGGATTGCTGGGTGGTTGCGAGGCCGCGAGAGAGGGGTTCGTGTGTCTGCACACGGGACATCCAGTCCCACGCCATTTTTGCAGGCAGGCGCAGTGGAATACGTGCTGGCAGAGGATGGTGAGGAGGCCGGTCGTGTCATCCATACGCTCGAGACAGACGGGGCAGGTAGGCAGCTCGACGAGGTTCGGGGTTGGTGGTGGGAATGGTTTCAGGAAGGTGGACGTCGGAGCTGACGGCGTAAAGGGATCGTGAGAGAGCTCGGGGAAGCTGCTGTTTGGGTTTGATGAGGTGGACGTCTGGAACGTTATGGACTTGATGAAGGTTACGTGACAGGTTTCCGGCTGGGAGAACTGTAAGCTTGATGTGAAATGTCTGGAGGGATAGCATAGCTTACCTCCATATCGTTGAAGACCTTCCCATCCCACTCCGCTCTCCACTTCCTCGCAACCGCATTGTCCCTGAACTTCATGAGCACCAGATACCTATTCATCCGGCCCGTCATCACCATCCTAAAGTGACTGACTTCCTCCCTCGTCTTCTCTCCCACAAAGCCGAGAAAATCACTTGGAGTAAGATAGCTCGGGACAGCAGGGATACACAACGTCGTGCAATCCTCCCTCTCCCCCTTATCCCCCGCTACCTCAGCATTCCCTCCCCCTTCGAGCGCTTGATAGACATCCACGCCAGACCCCAGCCCCGGCGTCTCCTCCCCATCACGATATAAGTGCACGATCCCCCACCCCACCTCCGTATTCTTCCCCTCCAGCGCCCGGAACTCCGCCTTCGTGACCCGGCCCCCGCTCGCCCCCGTCGCCAGCCCCGCGTTTATCCCATCCTGCCTGCCCTCTGCCTCCGCCGCACGCGCGGGCCTGCTGCTGGGTGACTCCGCCGTCGGTAGCATATCCACGCCCTCCACCCGCACGCGTCCAAACCTCCAGTCTTTGATCGCGGTTCGCTGGTCGCGCGGCGCGAGCGCTGAGAAGTTAGGCTTCTGCTTTGTAGGTACGCGGACGAGTGGTGCAGTGTCGTGATCGCTGGTCGTCGCGCGTGAAGGTCCACAGTCGATCACGGCTCCAGTAGAGAGTCGATCGGCCTCTCCTTGAGTGCTGCTCTTTCGCAGGTCTTCGTTCGCCCTTCTTGGTAGATGTCTGCTATCCTCTGCTTCCTCCTTAGTGACAGGTTTGTGTCGAGGCCAAGAGGAGCTATCAAAAATATCTGTGCCGGGTGGCGGAACCCAGATCTCTCTTTCCTCTCTCTCCGCTGAGCCTGTTGTCGTCGAGTTTGTGTCAGGAGTTGGGGAAGGATATAATTCGAATTTCAAGTGATAGAAGTAAGATGGCATCCTTCGGGTTTTGGCTTATGCGGTGTTACTCATCGTCGACTCTCTCCGCGAGTGACTGGAGTCGAGGCGCACGCGGTTGATGATGTCGAGCTCTGAGCAGATGGGATGTTTCTAGCAGATTCGAGGTGGAGCCAATGACTTAATCGAGAGATGTAGGCAAATATCCCGAGGCGGTTAGATGTGTCAATTGTTTGGAGGTTGTAGCAGTGAGAGAGGGAGGGGGAGTTGTTCTTAATCAGAAATTTGACGTTCGCAGCCTCGCATGTGGCGTTATCTACGACGGTTACGATTACAAGGCTATGTTCAAGGTCACAAAATAATCACAAATCACACGTATAATTACTGCACGAATTTAATAAAGCCCCAAATGTATTATTCATTGGACTATAGAAAGAAACGCATATGATGCCTGTGCACCATGCTCATGTTATGAGCCAAGCCGCCCCAAACCCACATGTCGTTGTACCGAAAACGCCGTCGCAAGTGCCCAAACCCGATCCCATACTGTATCGCATCTATTGGCCGCCACGAAGACGCAAGACCAAGTGCAGAGTGCTCTCCTTTTGGATGTTGTAATCGCTCAAGGTGCGACCATCCTCCAACTGCTTACCAGCAAAGATCAATCGCTGCTGGTCCGGTGGGATGCCTTCCTTATCCTGGATCTTGGACTTCACATTGTCAATTGTGTCTGATGACTCAACTTCTAATGTGATTGTCTTTCCAGTCAAAGTCTTGACGAAGATCTGCATACCACCACGAAGACGGAGAACTAAGTGCAGAGTAGATTCCTTTTGGATGTTGTAGTCGGACAAGGTTCGACCATCCTCGAGCTGCTTGCCAGCAAAAATGAGACGTTGTTGATCCGGGGGAATGCCTTCCTTATCTTGAATCTTTGATTTGACGTTGTCGATCGTATCCGAGGACTCCACTTCCAATGTGATTGTCTTGCCGGTGAGAGTCTTGACGAAGATTTGCATACCACCACGGAGACGGAGAACCAAGTGAAGGGTCGACTCCTTCTGGATGTTGTAGTCGGACAGGGTACGGCCATCCTCGAGTTGCTTGCCAGCGAAGATCAGACGTTGTTGATCAGGGGGAATACCCTCCTTGTCTTGGATCTTCGACTTGACATTGTCGATGGTGTCAGAGGATTCGACCTCGAGGGTGATGGTCTTGCCGGTGAGGGTCTTGACAACTGCGCAACGTGTTAGATATCAGATAACCAGGCAGGGTGGCAAAGGGATAACCTACAGATTTGCATACCGCCACGAAGACGGAGGACAAGGTGGAGAGTAGACTCCTTCTGGATGTTGTAGTCGGAGAGAGTGCGACCGTCCTCAAGTTGCTTGCCCGCGAAGATCAGACGTTGCTGGTCCGGGGGAATGCCCTCCTTGTCTTGGATCTTGGACTTGACATTGTCGATGGTGTCAGAGGATTCAACCTCAAGAGTGATGGTCTTGCCGGTGACTATAGAGATGTTAGCATGGTCTCCAACGAGGTGGCGATGCCGCCGAAGATAGCGGCGAGATAAGGTGATAACGTACGAGTCTTAACGAAGATCTGCATCTTGAGAGGATTCAGATATTACTGTAGATGAGTTTTTGATGTAGATGATTATGGGGGGAAGTTGAGGTTGAGGTGACGGGAGGAGAAGTGACGGTGATGGAGTTGTTGATGGAAAGAGGTTGATGAGCGGTGGGAAGGACGCCTTTTGTATGCGACGGAGGGGGAGACTGCGCTTACTCACCCGGCTGCGCCTCGCTTAGGCATCCAGGCAGCAATCTGGCAGGAGCGACAAGGCTCTGGAACCTTCTTATAGCCTTTTGATTTTTAATTAATTGGATTTTTATTCTTTTTCTCTTTTGAGTCACATTAAATGGATAAAAAAGAATGGAGAATGGAAAAGCCAAATAATAGGGTTCTTTCTATCTCTCTGCTGTATTTCCTTCGACCATCGTCACCCGAGGGACAGATAACGAACGGGCTACCCCGGGATTCCCAACTCACTGCTCTCAACCCCGCCCTCCCAACCTCCGTGCCAACCAACAAGGTATGATATGAGCTGTTTACTACAGAATCAATATAGAGAGATACCACGCGATATGAGCATCTAGACCATCTCGATCCTGACCTTTATTCACACTCTCGCTCTTGAGAACAAGAGAGAGATGCCACCCTCGGTCTTCTGCGACGTTTCGTGCAGCGGAATGGCCGTAGGACTCATCGATACGTCATTGCTCTGCTGATTGCGATAAGTGTTCCGGTACTTTATGCACTAATCGTATCTACTAACCTCAACTCAACTCTGTGTCCCTTGCTTCCTCGCCTCGCCTTCTCCGAACCTCGGCTTTTTAAATGCCTCAGAATTCATTGATGCCTGAGGTATGAACTGCTATACTGGACACCCTGGTTATTACTCACATCAACTCGAGTACCGATGGTTGATAGATAAGAAGGCTTCGACTTTGGAAGACACAATACAAGAGTTGTGTAAGGGAACAGACATTGGGGAGTTGGATTGTGGGAGCGCATCGACTCGCTGGCTTCCTTCCACGTTGCGGTGGCTTACGCATAAAGGGACATAGAATCTCACACGTAGAGTTCAGACTTCATATTTGACCTTCTGACGTTATGTCTTGTATTAGTATACAACGTATACATCCAATACCAAACTCTCTTTCCTGTCAAGTATGTCTTGATCCGGCGGTGGGTTTCCCAGTCCCGACAACGCCCAAGATGCCTGGTTTCATCCAAATCCCTAAAGCTAAAGCATGCTAAAACATGAGCCGTAAAACGTAAAAAGCCTTGATCATGTCATCGATCATTCATACAGGTCCTGACAAATCGTAATCGTAAAAGTCGTTAAATGATTGTCCACATCGCTATGCCCGTCGTGAATGGGAAACGGAATGCCCTTGCTCGCTTGTTGAACTTCCAAAAAATGGCTGTTGACAAAGGAGAATTCTGACGACAAAAGAAAAGAGAATAAACGGATCTGGCAATGGCCGGCCCGGCCTCCATGAGCCATATCGCTGCTTCTGTACAGTCGAACATGCGAAGTGGGTATATAGAAGATTATTTGCAGAAACGAAAAGTTCAGTTGGCGCGGATGACGAGTTTCGATAGGAACTTGTTTGATAGGGAGTCGAAGTCATTACGGTCGAACTGCGCATCGGGACGGGTCTTGAGATACGATTCTGGCAGATGGTTAGTTGGGTTCGACGGCTACAGCACGATGCGACTTACCATGCTTTGTGACATGTTCCCTCATTTCGGTCATAGCCTCACAGACGGCAACATTGTTGTTGAGGAGCTGACCGTGTCTTCTCGTCTCCCATTCCGTGAAGGCAGGGAGCTTTTGGGAGATGGCGTGGAAGAGACCAACAATGACACCGACGGGGGTTGTCTCCATGTCATTGCAGAACTTGTTGACAGCAGCAGCGTCGGGGACTCTGTAGTGGCAATCGAATTGCATCTCTTCCCAGACGGCGAGAAGGATGGAGGCGATCATGAATATGGTGGGCCAGTTCTTGAGCCTATCGCCGCTATACACGCTCGAGTACAGCGACGACAATTCTTCAAGGATCTCCTTCTGAAGCTCCCGCCACATATCGGCCAAGGCACATTTGATCTGGAAGTTGATCATCACTGGTGCAAGGGTCTTGCCGCATAATTTCGACTCTTCATCGTCGATTGTACCTTCCATTGGCTGCTCATCACCAGGCTGTTCGACCATTGTGACATGCATGGTCAGGTTGTATGCAAGAACAAGCTTCAATGCCTTGCGAATGACAGGGACTTTTTCCTTGACATGATAACGATGGGCGGTCTTGAGGATCTCAGTGATAAAAGGTGTACCCTCGAAGTGGTTGTCGATGAACTCCTCGAACGGGCCGTCGAGATGCTTATCGAGATATTCCGATAGAGCTTCGGTGGAGACTCCTTCGGAACCAGCTGACATCCTCTCCGTGCGATAACAGAATTCAAGAGGTTCTTCATGGCCACCTTCAACCCAATCGACAGAGAAGCAACTCTCGTCGGTAACGTATACCTCACGGGCCATAATAGGGATGGCGAAGCCATAGCCGTGTGTGATCCAAAGCAACTCTTCCTTTTGAGCAAAGCCCTTGATGTTGTAAACGGAGATTCCACGGCCAGTATGACGATCATAGTCCGCTTTCCAGTCTTTCAAGAAGTAGCCAATGTCTCTGATGTCAATGCGAGTACATGGAACTTGCCAAAGCCTGGCATGGGATGGTTGGCAACCGGCACATGGCTCGCCTTTGTCACAAGTCTTCTTGAGGAACTTGCATCTTAAGCATGCTCGGAGCTTTCTGATTTCACTCGCTTGCTTCCGTTGCTCTGGTAATAATGGTCCACGTCGTCGACCAACACGCTTCTCTGTATCCTTCTTGCCATTTGAGGTGCGGCGAATCACCGGTTTCGTTGCCTTCGCAGTCGGGCTTTTTCGGGGTGCGGAATTCCTTCTGGCAGGAGGGGGCGAGGTTGTGGAGGGGGCGGTGCGACTTGAAGGGGACATCTTGATTGGGACAGGAGCAACGGCGGCAGCCGGACTAACGATCTCCTGAGAATGGGAGTGGGAATGGTGATGGGATTCGCCGTGGTAGCAATTTCGATGTTGTCCGGAGAGGTCCAAGAAGGTATCTGAGCCAGGGGAATAGGGGGAATACGAGTTGGGAGAGATATCTTCGAAGCTGCCGAAAGAGTCTATGATATGTCCAGCCCCATCTGATTGAGAGGAGTCCGAATGAGTTCGTAGGTGTAGGGTCTGTCCGGGATTGAAGATCGCGGCATTTTGTTGTGCCTGTTGATAGGACTCAAAGTTGGGATATGAATCGACGGTGGCCCATCCGTTGTCACTACTTGAACTGGGAAGAGATAAAACCTCTAGATATGTTCCCGTAGGGGAGTTGCTTCCAAGACTTTGACGAGATATACTCGGTAAGCCATCATGGGGCCCTGTAAAGTTCATCGCATTCTCAATTTCCTGCCAGTTGGCCCACATTGCAGCCTGTGCATCTACGCTCTGTGCAAGTCCACCGAAAGGTGCCTCCATCTGAAGCCCAGCTTCGAACGCTGCCTGAGTCGAGGGGAGGTGATAGTCTAGGGGTGAAGTCTGGAAGGCGCCCCCAAAAGCATTGTACTGCGTCCCCATTAACGAATTGTCCTGGAGATAGTGCGGAAGTTGTTGAGGCTGCTGTGGCATCGACCAGTCTGTCAGGAGCGTGGGTGAGCTGTTATGGGCTGGCTGAGCGAACTGTCGATGGGCACTGTGGCCTGGCGAAGTCTCGCGGGTCTCATCAGTGGCTCCTGGAGCGAGATCCAGCGGCAGAGGCCAGCTCGAACGCTGTGCCATGTTCGCGTACGGGTACCGGGGATTCTGCGGGTCGAAGGAGAGGTCCAGAAAACCTTCTGATGAGAAGTCGAGATTCGAGGTCATTGTCGCGGCTCGGATTTGACAGGATATGTCAATAGTATTGTAAGAAAGAGGGCTGGTGACACCGCTCTTTGAGGATGAAGGAGATCTCACGATGGAAGTCGGTGAGAGATCTGCTTTCACGGTTAGCAGACTGTTAGCTGGAGGTAGGACGTTGGCAAGTGCGGGCTTGGGAGCCCACATAAGAAGCGGTGAGCGAAGAGCAGGGAGCCAGGGTCTATATCAGGGTCTGCTCAGACCATCCAGCCCCCCGTGATACGGGCACCGAATCAAGAGCGGCGACGCGACACGCCCGGCCAGCCATTGGAGCGGGCGGCCAAGGGGATGCTGCGGGAGAGCAGTCAGGTGTCCAATGGAGTGCGACGAGCGTTGCCGCATGGGGGACGGCAGTGAGGTTATCGAGGATATCGTGTGTATCGGTTCAGCAGTGGAGCGAGTGGTGGGCGAGGTGGGCGACGGGGAGAGACTGTGAGTGGTCGCTGGGGGGATGGGTGCTTGGCGGAGGCAGAGGAGCAGCGGAGCAGCGGAGCCTGGAGCAGTGGAGAGGGCATTGGTGGGAGGGAGCGAGAGGGGCGGGTCGACGGCCCTGAAATGGGAGTGCGTCCGGCGATTCTCTGGACGGTCGAGAGTCGAGACTGCATTTCTGTTGTGAGAACCTGGGGGACTGTGAGTCCAGAGTAGTAAGGTAAGTTGCAAGATGCTCCTCCAGCGTGTATACAGTTCGATGTTGCGGGTAGCCTGGCATCGCCTGGATTGCAGCGTATATATTCCCTGAAAAGGCCACGCCCCTCGAGGTCGTCCCATCTCACCACCCAAACAGCCGCCGCGAGAACCATATTCAACCATATTCAACCATATCCCACTCTTCCGGCTCTCTCTTCCGGAAACGGCGAAGCTGACTCTCGATAAAGCCATCCGCACGCTTACAATCCCGTTCCCCACTCCCTATGGAGTCATGGATTCTGGAGGCCGTGCAGCGCCGAGTACCGCGTGCCGCGCAGCATGACAATAAATAGTACTTCTGCTGCTGCTGCTGCTGCTGCTGCTCCTGCTCCTGCTCCTCCTTCCTGCCACTCAAATGATCCAGATGTCTGCCGGGATAAACGTGCTCCCGTTTCTTCTTTCACCGTCTGTACTGTACTGTATGTAAACCTATGATAATCTCTACCTTCTCCGTTTGCTGCGTCTGCGTGTCTCTCCTTCTGGCTCTCTAACCAGATCTCCCCCGGGAAGCGAGCGGTTCTTGAGATCTCTCCCATCTGGGATCCGGGGGCTGAGCCTTCACCCCCGTCCCTCCATACACGTCCAGCAGTCCTTCAAGGGCTTCCCCCAAAGTACATTACCTGCCCCTTACTTACAGATATCCAAGCCCGTGGAGTGTGCCCCGCGTGCTCAAAAGGTTCAAAGTTCAACCCCTCAGAAGTCAGTACCTCGCATGTACCTGGTGTGTGCTCAGTAGTGAAACCGCTCCGTCGAACTGGTCAAGGAACGCGCCGCTGCTCACATAATTGGTGAGGACAGATGATGGAGGACGACGAGGGGTGTCTCAACAATCCTCCGTATTTTTAGTATCCTCCCGAATTCCGATTACCCACAAGTGAGCTAGTTATCCGGACTTCATGCCTTCATCCATCGCTTCCTTTCGACTACCCGGGGAGTCGGATTTCTCTAGCCGTGGAGAAGTGGACGGTTTTCTTCGTATCCAACATCTTGTAATGGTGGTTGGTACAGTAGCACATACTCGTCCTCTCTGGCTGATCTTCAGCAGTGTCGGAAGTAATCATCCACCTGCACGTCGAGGTCAAAGCTGTACATGATAATACATCATGATTCTGCAAGCTCTCTCCCCCCCACAGCCGATTGCGCGATATGTGAGTCGGGGGATCACTTCCATTGGACGGTTGAACGAGCATCCACACATCAACGAATACTGGCATATTGCGTGCATAAGGCCACTGTTCAGCTTGTACCCATTTGTAGTGTCGTACTGCAATCCACACGCTCAGTTAGTCAGTCTCATGGCAAGGAAGCACTGCAGATGTAACCCGATGTCTAAGATTGAGCAACGTTGGCGGTCTGTGATCTGGAGAAATGTTGTACATGGCATGCTTCGAGCCTCGTTAACCCTCCCTCTCCCCTTATCCAGCCACCCTGCCACCGTTCGATAAGACATCGCTTGAGCGCTGAGGGGTGCGGGGCAAATTCTCCGTTTGCTGCCTGGCGTTATCTACGGAATGTTGCAGTTAGCAGGCCTCATATGGTTGCTGTGGCATAAGCAGGCGTCACACAAAGAGACACGTCTGCCGTTCCAGAGGATACGCACGGAAAACGTGTTCTGCTTGAGGCCCTCTGTAAATGAAAAGCCCGGGGCGAAGGTCCCAGGGAATGATTGAATTTCGCTAGCCGAGAAAAACACGAAGCTGGACCGTGAACCGTGAACCGTGAACCGTGACCCCCTTCGAGAGCTGACAACAATACTAAGCAGGCAACGAATCAATGTGTTTCGTTCAAGGAGGAGCCTCGCATGACATTCCTCGTCAAAGGGAAGAAGCACCACCATAGTGTGCTCTTCAAAAGACGAGCCCCAGCCAGCTCAGGTCTTGTGTCATCATCATCATCTATTTCTTCAGGGGGGCAGTTCGATCGAGCGCTTCACGACGATCACGAGAACAAGAAGCCCGAATTTACTAGCGAAGAGCCTGTGGAGAACGAGGAAGAGGCTGTCGAGAAACGTTTCTACGTGTACAGACCGGCAAACACACCTATCACAATGTCAGCCAAGACGGCTCGCCCAATGATTCCTGATCTTTTCACAAGCTTCCCACCTCTCCGCGATCCCCTAGACACACAGACATCTCAGGTTCAAGACGAGACAATTCGCGAGTGTCTCCGTTTCCTCTCGGGGACCCAGAGAGTAACATGTAACGATCACGGGGTTCCGCATCTGGATCGCAAGCGCCATATTCAATTCCTGCATAAGAGCCTGAAGGGCCTGCCAGCGGGATATGCTGCCGCTGATGCGAGCAGACCATGGATGTTTTACTGGGCTTTGGCCGGTCTTTCAGTCATGGGTGAGGATATCTCTGAATATAGAGAGCGACTTATTTCTACTGTTCGACCGATACAGAATGCAACTGGGGGGTTTGGGGGAGGAAATGGCCAAATGTCACATCTAGCCCCTACATATGCTATTATTTTATCCCTGGCCATGGTGGGTGGAAGGGAGGCTCTTGATCTGATTGATCGAAGAGCCATGTGGAAATGGCTTGGGGCATTGAAACAACCAGATGGAGGGTTCCAGATGTCTGTTGGAGGGGAGGAGGATGTCCGGTAAGTATCTTCGCCGAAGATTGAGTGAACTATATGCTGATCCATCAAAGTGGTGCTTATTGTGCCGTTGTTGCAATTACTCTCCTGAATCTACCCTTGGACCTACCACGAGAATCTCCCGCATGGTCACGTGAAGGTGATACATTGCTCACAGGACTTCCTGAATGGCTTGCGAGATGTAAGTTACCTCCTGGTGTCTTTTTTGGATGATTTTAATCTCCATAGGTCAAACCTTCGAGGGTGGGATCTCTCACAAGCCCGATGCGGAAGCCCATGGAGCTTATGCCTTCCTTGCTCTGGCATGTTTATGCATTCTGGGCGCTCCGCACGTCACAATACCCAAGTAAGAATCTTCGAGGACCTTCTGTCAACATCTGAAATTCTAATCTAGATTCTCCTTTACAGGTACCTTGATGTCCCTCTACTCACCTCTTGGTTATCAGCCCGCCAATACGCCCCGGAAGGTGGCTTCGCAGGTCGGACAAACAAACTCGTCGACGGCTGCTACAGCCATTGGGTTGGAGCGTGCTGGCCACTTGTTCAGGCATGCCTTGATGGCCCTTCTCTGAAACCAAGCGTGGGTGCGAAATATCCCGTAGCACCTGCGCCTTCAGTTGGAAGTCTGTACAGTCGTGAGGGCTTAATCAGATACATTTTGTGCTGTTGTCAGGATCAGACAAAGCGCGGAGGCTTAAGAGACAAGCCTAGCCAGTGCGTAACCCCTTTCCATATGCTCTCGCTTGTCCATGAGGCTGACTGTCACGCAGTAACTCTGATTCATACCATACCTGCTATGTGCTCGCCGGTCTCAGCTCCGCGCAACACAAGTGGCATTTCACCACCGCTACCACGGAGGTGGACTCCAGTGGGACTTTGCTCTCAGCGTACCAGTGGCAATCCGAACCGATCATTGAGGAAACGCAGGTATATGACGAGGAGGACCGGGTAGGGACTCTGCATCCAGTCTTTGTGATCCCTGAAGGAATAGCAGAGAAAACTCGAGAGTATTTCGAATCAAAGGGCGGATTTTAGAACGGTGCGGCATACACGTGCTTTCTTTTCAGGGCCTGGATGAGGAGTACAGGATATAGGCTAGGCGTACTACGAGTTTGGCATAACAGCAGTCTCGACTCGACTGTAGGATGATGGAAGAGTAATTGTCTCGATGACCCTTTGAACGGACGAGAAAGGGCCGTTTCAAAATGCTTTAGCCAGAGATAATTATAGGATTCCGAATTCAGGCTTCAAACATGAAACTGGCAGAATGATTGAGTAATATCTGATTCTATTGTTAATGGCGGGAGTTGATTTGGCGTTCGGCTCTTCTCGGTCTGGATCCCGCAGATGGGACCGTTTACGTACTGTACCTATTCACCGAGTACGCAATCAGGCTCCTCTATTGGCTGGTATCGCCAACTCGACGACACTAGCCAAGACGCCTCAAAGGCACTCGTCGCAGAGTCGCAGGAGGCGGCTGGCTAGAGTGATGCCATGCAGGGATCTTCGGCACGTCGACACATAACTTGCGTGTGATTGATGGCTAGACGCAGCGCCTCGGAAAATCATACTTCGACGAAGAAAGACGCCATATGCCAGGAGTTGGTTGTATGTATGATATGCAGCTCGGGATATTGACAGGTCAAGGGCCTTGCATCTCCTGGCCCTGGGAGTTCTGTTTTTGGAGATTTGGCGCTGGGGCGAATTGGTTCGGGATTGTTTCCTTGTGCGCTGCGAGTGCTACCTGCGATATGCTCCTCCTCCAATTTGTGTTCCAACGCCAGTTCTGCCTCTCAGATGGATTGAGGCACACGCAGTAATACAGTCAGTATACATGCACTTCATCGACGGCATCCAGGAGCCCACGATGCGATTTGCGATTCTCGAGGAAGAAATCGGCAGGTCCTCGGCCAGGGCGAAGGTCGCTTCGACGCTCGCACCGCCCGTGGACAAGACTTGTCTTTAGGTGCGTCTGCAAAGCATTGCCTCCGCAGCCTCCACGAATAATCGAATTGCGGGCTCTTAGCACTGGCCAGGGCCCCATTATTCTCGTCAGTTCTCCTCTCGAGACAATTATTCCTGTTCTGGCAATCGGGCGATGCGCGCGTTGCTGCTGAGCGACGGCGAGAGACGGCGAGACGAGACGGGCCCTGGGTGAAGCACGGGGTTTCCCGACGTCGGCTTCCTCGGCGGTTGTTCGGGTTCGGGTCGGGAAAACAGGATTGCTTTTTTTCCGGATAAGTTGTTGATGGGCCAGGTGTCGGGTGCGTCGTCGAGCAGAACATATTCGTGCCACAGAAGTAGATAGTCTCGCGTTTCTGTTTCTTTTCATATACGCCCGCCGTAGACCTTTTTCAATCGGCACGGCATACGGCGTTGCTGTTTAAGAGGGCAAGCGCACTGCCAGCTCACCCTGCATCTGCATTTGCATTTGCATTTGCATTTGCATTTGCACACACACGAACCTGGTCTGTCTACTACCTTACCTTACCTTACCTTACTATACCATACGGCTACGGCTAGTCGTCGGCCTTGCTCTCGCCTCGCGCGCGCTTTCTTTGCCAGGAAGCTGATGGCCGAGGGCAGAGCGCGCGCGAGCGAGCAGGATTCGGGATTTCAGGATCGACTTGTCGCCGCTCAGTCCAGCCACCGTTCATGCAACCGAACGCTTCACAGGCTTCGTGTCAACTCGTACTCCACTCAAACTCGGCGTCAAAACCGGGTGCGCGTCTCGAGGGCTATAGCCAGTGCGTGGTAACTACTGACTGGTAAGGTAAGGTAAGGTAGACTGTAGACGGTACAGACGACACCACCGTTGCAGTGCGGGGCAGAGCGCTCCACGTTCGCCCGTGCCATCCTTTCTTTGCCTGTACAGCACGGTTACTCTCCAGTAAGCACTGTTGTTGGTACAGTGAGGTAAGGTAAAGATAGCTAAGTAAGATGTATACAGTACTGTAGCAATATCGGAGACCCTCCCAAATATCATCTTCCCATCTTCCCCTCTTTAAACCCCCCTCGTCTATAACCAGCAGGGAGAAACACGTCCCTGGCGAGCTCTCTCTCTCTCCTTGCATCTCTCTAGCCATGCCATCGGTTTCGTTGCATTAGCCGCCGGTCCAGTGGACGTCGAACGGGACCACTTGATGGCGAAAGGCCCTTGGCTTGAACGTTGATAACCAAGCAAACCTTTTGGCCACTCTCTCTTGACGTCTGCAACGTCTCCAGTCCAACCTTCTTGGCCCCGCTCTCCTGTGGGACGGGTGTTGAGCCTTTTGCCACGGCTCCTGCATAGGTACATAGCCAATCTTTATAGCCGCAGAGCGCGGCGAATAATTGATACATCTGGGCTATCAGAGATCATCGCCTAGGTAGCTAAGGTAGTATGCGTTCCCATGTTGTGATGGCGTTGCCTAATCTCTCCAAATTTATTCTCTGGCAACGACACACGCCAGCACATCGCTATGGGTCACACCTAAAGAGCCGCATCGTTACTTGCATCTTTTTCTCGACCCTCCCGTCCTATCTCAACAACCATTGAGTATTTATTTTCTCCAACGGGCGCACCAGTCTGGTAATCCTTGTCCTGCGCTAACCGTAGACCTCTGCAATAAATTACCACATGTCTCGCCGTTGATGGATGGAAAGTCCTGCACAAAATCAATCCCCCTCCCCTCCCCTCTCCCCCTTGACCACCCCCCCCCCCTCGAGCAGCAAGCAAGCAAGCCCTACTCTTCAACACCACGACTTCTTCCTCCACACACTCGTCGTCGTCTTCCCCAATCCATTGAAAAACTGAGCCTGTGTGCATCTTTCCCTGTATATTATACGAACGTTGGGGCCCAATTGCATCCTGCCCTCTTCCGAAATTCTCTTGGGGCGTTGTTCCGTCTTTCTTGATTCCGGGCATCAGAGAGGGGACCGTCTCTCACCACGCGCCGCCACGCCAGCTCGAGGCTCGTTCCTGGAGGGAACCTGATCATCCCCGTCAACTGTTCCATTGGCAAAGGAAAATGGGTGGCTTCTACATGGCATATTTGGAGAGTACGTTTGGTTAGCTACTTGTGGAGAAATTTTCACCCATGCCCTCTGGAGATTTTCGTCCCATCTGTTAACACCTTGGACCCAGCGTCTCTCCCAGCTGCTGCAGGAAATAAGCTATAATCACATTCTTCTACCATGCCCTTTTTTTTCTCTTGCTTTTCTGTTCAATTGGCGTTCCTGGTATCATTGCTAGAATATGGCATCATGATCCTGTTGTTCCTACTCTTCTTACACATTTTCCGCTTTTCTATATTTGGAGCTGTGACCCGTCTCAACGCATGCTCTCGCAACCACCACTGACATACTAGGCAGGTCTGTGCCGACGTCGAGGATGGAGAGACCCCTTGTACGAGACGTATCGGAACTCTTCTGGCTTCACCTGTCTTGTGCTCGTCAATGGCCGGGAATACCAAACCGATCTCGCCTATGCGTCTGATGGGTTGGCTCAGGAGAACGCGGCGATGCGGGCGTTCATGGTGTGCCGGAACTTTTCAGTCAACGGAGGTATGCTGGCACGGAACGGCGTTGTCCAGGGGCTACCTGCGAATGAGAGTAGTGGCAGACACAGGAGAAAGCACCATGGCGGTCGCAGCCATTCTGTCAATCTCAGCAGCAGTTCTTCCACAGCGTCATCGGAGTAAAGGAGCCCCGACTGATACGTTTTGCAGCAGCTGAGAACTCGCTGCTGTCCCAATAGAACTGGGCACCACTCGGCCACGATGTCTTGACTCTCCCGCGGAATACTTCCCCTCGGGCGAGCAGAGGCAAAGGAACGATTTGACGAACAACCATGAAAAAAAGGCCCCAGAGAAAGAGGCACATCAAAATTTTAGCTCGACGACGTGACGATTTCCAAACCCCTCTGTGACGAATTAACGACCTACGAATTTCCTTCCTTCTACTTGCGATCAAGATCAGGATGAAGTGTTCCGGCATTGGGAAAAGACAGCACCAGCCGCTTGCTATCAGAGGCAACTCATTGCACAGTCCCCACGGCGGCCGTTTTCGATTTTCGCGATACCAATCAAGCGGGTTTTGATGGGATGGCGGTTTTTGAAGAGTCTCCTTTTTCTGTTTTTGCGAAATCGTGGCATTTAGCAAGCGTGGGCGGGACGCTCCATTCGTTCGTAATGAAATCAACGAATCTGTGTTTGCTCTCTCTCTCTCGCTTTTTTTTTTTCTAATATAAACTTTCTCAGTCTGGCCCGGGTAAAGGGAGGGGGGTTTCGTCTCCCCCAATTTGCAAAGATGGGTGGATGGATGGGATTGTTTGACGAGATTGTTATGATGAACGAACCTGATGAAATAAAATGATTTGGGCAACCCATGCAAGGTACACCGGACATCCTTGATGATATTGGCGATACTATAAATGCAAGCCGTGGCGTTTTGCCATGTACTTATGCAAAAGAGCGGTATTCGTGATACAGGACTGATTTGTACTGTGTACTGTGTACTGTGTTCTCTGTTCTCGGTCCAGGAACACCGTGATATGGGGGCGCACTTGCACAGCCACTTTTGCTTCGAATCCCGTGATACTGCTGTGCTCCGTCCTCCGTCCCACGTCCTCCGTCTTCAATTTCCCATACGAGGTGACAATGAGAAGAAATTCAAGCCTCAAGCTGGTAGGAATACTATCATCGTACCTAGCGTGGGGGCATTCCGCTCGACGAGAAATGCCTGATCCAATCGAACCATACCTGTAAATAGCTAATAGCCGGCCGCTCTTAGGGCCATCCCCAGGAATAGATACTGCGTCCATCCTGAAGCAAGGAAAAAGCAAGGAACGCACACACCGCGGGATCTCTTGATCGCAGAGATAGCCAAGATTCCATTATAATTATTCGAAGATCAAAAGTTGCAAATTCAAACTCGCTCTCCGTTCAGAGATAGGGGGCAGAAAAAAGCCAAACCCATCTCCGGGGCCTCGAGTGGCGCCCCCCCCCTATTCAGCCACGCCCTACGGTCTCCGCTCTCCCCTAGACGAGAAATCTGGGACCGACAGTAGAACCAAGTGTCGAACGTGTCCCTTCCGAGCTACTCCCTCCCGCAAACCCAGATCAACACAACACAGCCCATACCGGCGACGAACTCTTTCTACCACCATTTTCTCTATCTTACGCTCGTTGATCTCTCCATCATCTTCATCTCCTTTGGGTAACGGGCAGTTCCTGAATCCCCCCCCCCGTTCATCTCTTTCTGCCGTTCAGCCTCGAGGCCCTCTCTCCTGACTAGCCTGTGGGGTCAAGACGCCCTCGATACTTTCAGCAACCTTTCTGCACATCGTCGATCGTTACATTCTCCAAGATGAAGGGTGCGTGTCGCGGTCGCTGCCAGATACAATGGACGAGAGTAGACGTGCTGACTTGATGGATAGCTCTTATTCTCGTCGGTGGCTTCGGCACCCGTCTACGGCCTCTCGTACGTTCTCCCTTACCATGAGCCTCGATGGCTTGGTCGGCCGCCGGCCCGCAGACGCTCAGCACGTCCAGATCGCACCCCCAGGACTGATGTAGCAATAGACTCTCACCCTCCCCAAGCCATTGGTCGAATTCGGCAACAAACGAATGATCCTCCACCAGGTCGAGGCTCTGGCCGCGGCCGGAGTGACAGATATTGTGCTAGCTGTCAACTACCGTCCAGAGATTATGGAGAAGTATCTGGCTGAAGTATGCCACACACAAAACTGCCTGCTTTGGTTTGCGGCTACTGATTGAGCGCAATGAATAGTATGAAGAAAGATATAACGTCAAGATTACCTTCTCCATCGAGTCGGAACCCCTGGGTACTGCCGGCCCCCTCAAGCTCGCAGAGGCTATCCTCGGAAAGGATGACAGCCCATTCTTCGTCCTGAACTCAGATGTCATCTGCGAATACCCCTTTGCGGATCTTGCCGCCTTCCACAAGAAGCACGGCGACGAAGGCACCATCGTAGTGACCAAGGTCGAAGAACCTTCGAAATACGGTGTCGTTGTCCACAAGCCCAACCACCCATCGCGCATCGACCGCTTCGTCGAAAAGCCCGTTGAGTTCGTGGGAAACCGCATCAACGCCGGTATATATATTCTGAACCCCTCAGTGCTCAAGCGCATTGAGTTGCGCCCTACCTCTATCGAGCAAGAGACCTTCCCTGCGATTTGCGCAGATGGGCAATTGCACTCATATGATTTGGAAGGCTTCTGGATGGACGTAGGACAGCCCAAGGATTTCCTCACCGGGACGTGTCTCTACCTCTCCTCTCTCACAAAGAAGGGCTCCAAGCAACTGACCCCCCCAACTACGCCTTACGTCCACGGCGGCAACGTCTTGATTGACCCGTCCGCCAAGATCGGCAAGAACTGCCGTATCGGCCCCAACGTCACCATTGGCCCCGATGTCGTTGTCGGTGACGGCGTGCGCCTCCAACGCTGCGTGCTCCTCGCGGGCTCCAAGGTCAAGGACCACGCCTGGGTCAAGAGCACGATCGTCGGCTGGAACTCTACAGTGGGGAAATGGGCGCGGTTAGAGAACGTCAGCGTCCTGGGTGACGATGTTACGATCGGGGATGAGATTTACGTCAACGGGGGGAGCATCCTCCCTCACAAGAGCATCAAGGCCAATGTCGACGTGCCGGCCATCATCATGTAAAGTGAAGCCGGCAGATTCTGGGTTGCATGGTGTGCGGGCATCTGAGTATCTAAGGGGGGACGCAACGCGCGCGTCTACAGCATTCGTGCTTATGCACTCTCTCCTCTCTCTTCTCTCTCCAAGCCAGGGAAGCGTTTTTATCATGGGTGCACACGGCGTCTTTTTGGCAGGCTCATCATCAACTTGAACTTTAGCATGCATGCAGAAAAAATCGAAGTTCCTATTTTCAGGAAGGGGGGGCGGGGGGTTGCGGGACGAGTAGCGAGTGCGCAGGGCAAGGAAAGAGAAAGAGTTCCGGCTTGCACGTATGTTTGTTTATAATCTTAGATAATAAATATAGCTTTCAAAGATGGTTTTGATCTATGTGCGGGTCTCGAAATGTTTCGTTCTGCTATCCTGACCGAGGAAGGCAGGTGTCATTCATTATTCTCCTCTTTGTAGTGGATCGTAGGAATGATGCAGGAGTAGTAGTAGTAGTAGAGTAGTATTCCATTGGTTCAATTCAAAGTCCTCAATGCCAGCCATTCATTCATGCTTTATTCATGCGCGGCGGGCGGGACTGCAGCCCTTCCAACTACCTATCGCCCTACATACCTATCTATCTATCTACCTTATCCTATCCTATCCTATCCTCCCTACCCTACTTACCCTACCCTACACACACACACACACATACATACCTTACATACATATAATATGCAAGCCTGCAAGGTGAGCGAGTCTCATACATATACATACATACATACATAACATAGTACTCCGGCGCATGTCTTGCATAAGGGAAGTAAGGTAACAGGAAACGGAACGGGAGTGGCGCCGCGGCGTGGCGTGGCGTGGGTAGGTAAGTGGGACGGATACACGGATGTGCCGAAAGGTTATTTATTTATTCTCGACATCCCATCCGCATGCTGATTTGATTGTGTGTTTATTATTGGGTTATAAGGTACCCGGCCGGTAAGGTATGCACTTGCATGCAGGTTTGGTTTGGTTTGGTTTGGTTTGTTAGATTGGATTGGATTGGATTGGATTGGATTGGATATAGCTAATAAGAATGTTAGGGAGGTAGGTAAGGTAAGGTAAGGTAGGTAGGGATTTAGTTCTATAGGTAGCGACGAACGAATTGTCTACAGCACTTAGGTAGGTAGGTAGGTAAGGTAGGTACTGTATGTTAGGTAAGATATTTAGGTATCTTTTAACCTCTTCTTCTTGGTCGTGTTATCATCATCATCATCATTATAGCGAGCGGCTATTATTATTGTTGTTTTTATTATTGTTTTTTGAAGGGATCATGTAGTCACTCCAGTATGTATGTATGTATTTGTACATACATACTTTTCAATTTCATTAATTAATAAATTAAGACTAAGGTACCTACTCATACCTTAAGTTAAGTTAATATGCCCAAACCCCCCCCTCCCCTTAGGAACAGCAAACCGTTCTTTCAACAAGTTCAACAACAACAACTGCTACTACTTACTACTGCTGCTACCCAACCTAAACCCCCTTCCCTCCATGTGTGGCATACAAGACCAGGCCAGAGCCAGAACAGGGGGTCATTATATATCAAACCACCTTTCCAAGATTTTCCACTGTACAGTACAGTAGTTCGAACATAAGGTACCTACCTACACAAGGTACATACATGATAAACGAAACGAAACTAATGCAAACAAGTGCTGAGAGATCTGAGACCTCAATCTGAGACCCAATAGAAACACAGATCTTCGACATACCTTCGGGAGGAGCAGAGTAGATCGGAATGTAAAAAAGAAAAAAAAATCTGAGTCAAGTCATGCGATCGGGATCTCGGGTGTCTTAGGGATCTTTACTTTACTTAGCTATTCGTTACATGTTCTTTTTTGGCTTGTGACAGTCACCTCTTGAGTGGTTTTCTGCTTTTTCTTGAAGCAGGGAGGGGTTTTCTCATGGGGGGTTTTCACGAACGAATTGCACTGTATGGTTTTATTTGAGTTCATTCTAATTTCTCTCTACTTTTCTAGTTTCCTTTTGCCTACCTACCTATTTAGACCCCTATTTTTCGTCTATCCCAGTACCGTAATCCCAGGTGCCTTATGCAATCGTGAACCCTATCTATCTACTTCCTTCTATCCAGTGATAGCAAAATAAGAAATCATCTATATGCTAGCTCAAAAAAACAAATAAAAGAGACCAAAAGACTGAAACGCGCAACGCTCAACGCTACTTACCCAAGTGAACAAACAGAATAGAAAACCGGACCCAGCCAGATATCGTAATGCGTGACTATTAAGCCTTAGCAGCTACCACGTCCTGAACCACCGTCACCGCCTCGACGTTCTCCTCCCTTGCTTTCTTCTCCCGCGTAGCGATTCGGGTCCGTCTGTCTTGCGCCCATCTACCCCCGTTCCTCCACTCCAGCAACAGTAGCGGCGTCGCGGCCAACGTGATGCCCGAGAACAAGGCGAAGGTCGGCCCCGCGCCCACGCCATCGATAATCATCTGCACAACGGCGACGCCCAAGGCGCCCAGCAGGCAGCGGACCAGGTTATTGACGGCCGTGGCGCTGGCTGATTTCCCTGGGTACAGGTCGACAACGAGGGTGGAGTTGAGGGCGAAGATTGAGTTCGCAGTGTAGGAGATGATGAACTGCAGGATGAGCGGGAGGGCGATGATGTCGAGGAGCAGCGAGAAGCCGTACAGCGCGGTGCTGATCAGGAAGAGGAGCACCATCCACCACATGTTGCGCATGCGGGTTTTCTCGAAGGGGAAATCGACCAGCTCTTTCTTTTTCAGGGCGACGTCGTCGGGGATCTTCTTCTCGGCACGGTAGCGGCGCTCCATGACCACCCAGTCGTGCTTGGAGAGCTTGCCCGTCAGATAGGCACCGAGCATGGAGGCGGTGCCGTTGGGGAGGAAGACGAGGCCGAGCTCTAGCTCGTTCAGGTGGAAGCGGGTTTGGAAGAGCGCGCTGGTGCTCGAGGTAACCATGCTCCAAACTGCATAGACTACCGAGCCGAAGAATATAATACTGAAGACATCTTTTTCAAGCAGGAGCCTGAACGGCGTAAATACCATTGAAAAAGAAAGTTTTTGTTTTGGTGGAAGGTCGTGCTCGACGAGCTCTTCGGGCGGAGGGGTGAATTTGTAGTACAGGGGCCGGTTGATGCCCTTGAGGCGGATGCTGCCATTGCCTGCAATTGACCGAAGCGTCTCGGGGAGAATGATAACCAGAGCAAGGAGGGCGAAGGCTCCTGCTCCGAAGAGAACCCAGAAGATAGCGTGATAGCCCAGATATTGGGTGATAAGCCCACCGAAGACGGGGCCAATCGCCTGACCAAATACCCGGACTAAACATTTAGCAAAGTTACGCACGAGGAAGAGAGTGCTACCTACTTCCTTGATTAGTGCCTGTAAAAGACCCTCGCTCCTTGGGTGTTGCGATATCTGAAATTAGGCCTTGACCTGAGAAGGGGTGTTAGTGTCTCAAAAATAAAAGACGGGCAAGGAGCGACTACCAATTGAGATTGTGGCAGCACTACCAGCTGCTTGTAGACCACGTAGAGCCATCAGTGACCCGAGACTGTTACTGAAAGCAAGACCAATGTTTGCAGCAAGATATACAACGAATGTTCCTGGCTCCGCCGTTAGATGGAACTCTCACTGAGGTATCGTACCGTATTGCTCACCAATGAATGTAACCCGTCTCCCCCGCGCGTCTGATAATGGTCCCCAAAACGATGGCGCAAGACCCTGGACAATCATATATACAGTAACAGTAAGACTGAGAAGCGACATGGATACGTGTATTTCCTGGATAAATGTCAGCGCTTGAGCTACAATCTGGGGTTTCTACTTACCTTAGAAATCTGTGCCAAGGCCGGGAAGTATATATTTGCTGAAAGAGATGAGAACATGCCAGCAATGGCAGCGACATACATCAGAAACTTCTTTTTCTTGTGCGAGAAGACATGGAAAGGTGGCTCCGCACGTCTCCCCTCAATGGCATCACCGCCAAGACTCTTCTTAGGGGATATACTGTCAGCACCCGGAGTTGAAGTCCCTGACGTAGTACCGATAATGCTTTGGCTCTTCGCAGGATAACGAGACAGTAGGTACGTTCGGCTCCCGCCAGGACTTTCCGGGTTATTGGGATCGGTAAGGACCCGTTGGCTCTGGCTGTCCCACGCGCTGTTGGGTGTCGTACATCCCTTGGAGATCTCGTGGCTTTTCGGGGAGTTCGGGGAAGAAGGCTGTGTCGATTCAGGAACATTTCGATCTGAGAGGGCTGTGGGCGTTGATGGGCGGTCTGTGGGAGATGCTTGATTTGTGGACCCCATAGCTGTAACTGAGCATAACCGCCACAGGAATACCCACTGTAAAGCACTGAGATCTGGACGAAGCAGGAATTGCTGGACGAAGTTTCGGAAAAATTCTTAATCCTTCAAAGGCACTCTTGGAGTTGCAGAAGGTTCAGTTCAGTTCACTTGTCATGGAAATGACATCACACTAGAGCTTGATGAGCGCGGACATCGTAATAAGACTTCGGGTCCCAAGCAAATAAATAATGCTTTTTCCACCAGGAGATAAGAAATTGATCGACCGAAAAACAAAGAGCAGCACGACCGAAACGGATGCTTCGAAAGAGCACGTTTTGCAACGCGTCGGGCATTATCTTGTTCCATTGCAGGGAAGTCGTCATCCACTTGGATGCTACTGGCTGTTGCTGCCCACGAGTGTGGCATATAAGAAGACCCAAGAAGGTGCTGCTGCGAGTGTGCAAACCCAAGTGTGTCCCAGGACAATGCCGGCGTCCCCAAGACTCGCGATGCCCAATGGGGCGCGACTGGTGACCGTCCAAGGGAGCTCCCGAGTCTTGGCAGGAGGAAGTCCCGAGCAGATCTCTGGCAGATCCCAACCGCACCCGGCAGGCAGAAAAACAATGTGGAACAGAGAGTCTGCGGGAGAAGGTCTGGCGGCTGGGCCTCGCGAGTCGTGGGCGGAGGACATTTGGAGGCTCTTGGCAGGTCCACCAGTCCACCAGCAGTGGGCCGGCCGAACGACCATCGATATACTCTTGGAACCTGGATAGACGGACGGGTACGGGTTCATTCACCGTCATTGGCCCTGCGAACAGGAACATGGGCTCCTAGAGGTGCCAAGATCGCCATGTTCGCGGCGAGCAGCGTCCCGGGCAGGGGGCGCTCACTCGCTGCTGCAAATAATGCTGCAAAGCTGCAAAAGGGGCACCCACGTCGACACACCTGCAGACATCTCTACTCAATGCAAAAAGAAGACCGGCGACGCGGCCCTCAATATGCCTCGTTGGCCAGACATACGGGCCATGTGCTTATCATCATGGTCTTGGCAAAGAGTGAGCACGGCTTGGCAATGGCACGTTGTGGTCTTGGAGTATCGTATCCGTTGCGGTGGCCTGGTGTGAGTCTCCTTGGGCAGTATTACTGTAGGTATGATCCGAATCTAAGAGCCAAGGCGCCAAAAGATGGATCTTGATGTCCTCCTTCCGTTTCCGTCTCCGTCTTCGTCTCCGTCTCTGCGTCTTCGTTCCAGTTTTCCATATTCTGCATCTCTCTATCTTGTGCCTCTACTCCACCTTCAGTCTCTATCATCATTATCATGTCTCCGTCCCCAGTCTCACTAGTCTCACTAGTCTCTTCATCATCCACCTTGTCATCGTCTTCGAAATCGTCGCTTCTCTCATCTTCGGGTTCGTCGGCTTCCTCGTCCAGTCGCTGCCACGGCGTTAGAAATCATTCATCATTCATGAACAGTGCACCGAGTGCTTTACCTCGACATCCAGATCCTTAATACCGAACTTGCTTCTCTTCTTAGACCAATACATCTCAGCACGGTCACTCAGGCGCTATACTCATGTTAGCAATCAAGTCACTAGAGGAACTTGGTTCAAATCGTTTCAGCTCACCTTCTCCATTGACTTTTTCAAAATTACCCTCATGCGGTATGTTGCACTCCCCACCTCATCAAATTTCTTAATAAGAAACTGTGCATAGAGACCTTCCATCTCCAATCTCCCGAGAACCCTCCCCTTCATGTGGACAGCCTTCTGATCGACGGCCTGGCAGAACGAGAGGAAATTCATGTTGTCTAAAACCTCATTGAAGGTGCCTCTGAATCGCGGTACAAGCTCGGTCCTGTATGGTGTGGACATTAACCTATTCCAGTGACTCCAATAGACCACCGGCCTGCCGTATCTCGCCGTGAAAGCTTCTGAGAAATCAAAACTCTTCCATTTGGATTCGTCTGCCAGAGCCTGACCTGCAAGAATATAAAAGGCTTGCTGCCTCTTACCAGGGGCACGAACGGGGGGGAAGTTGGTTACAGACATAGTGCTTGCGATCTCTTGAGGTTTGGTCTGGAGTTGTGGAAGACCGAAGTAATCTGTAAACAGGGCGAAAAGTCGCGTCTTGAAATAGCTGGAGCAACTTCGCGTAGATTAATCAGTGAATTGAATATTGACTTGGAGTTCACTGTTTTTTCTCGAAGCAAAATTGATCCACCTAAAGAACACGCTCTCCAACCTGGCATAATCAACGGAAGGTCAACGATATTTTTGTTGTACAATGACCAGTAGAGAGATGACAGGGCTCTTGAGTCTGAGATCTCGATAACTATCAAAGTATGAGCATGTTAGAAGTCTCGCTGTTCTTTGATTGTTAGGATAATCTCAATGATCTTGAAAGTGTCTGTGCCAGTTGGTGGAAGAAGTTCTGATCGTCAAGTAATCTAGAGGGGTGGTCCTTGGAGGATGGATATACACGGCCATGTTTATGCTCGATTTTCCTAATTCGGCCTATTCTAATTTCTGAGGCTACCTCTGAATCGCCATTGCTGCTGTTAAACAGGCCCCCACTCAGACTCTCAAATATCACAACAAAGATTATATAGCCAGCAACGACAAGCATCAATGGGTGAAGAAAGTGGTAATATAAAGTATGTGTAGCAGAGATGTACCTAGAGACCATGATTCGGTACAGAAACGGATGATTACTACTATGTGGCGGGTGACGATTTGCATGGAAACATTCCCCCAAACAAGGATTCTAGCATTTAATTATATGGCTATGTTGAGTGCTTAGAATCTTAGAATATATAAAACAAACGGTGGTGACTCGCGAGTTCTTAAGCGTCACATCGAGGGGAGCAACGTAACTGCGGTACCAGATCAACATAGCAACAAGAAATGTTAAAAGAGGCTCACTTGAGCAATAGGATTCTTACTTTTGGCTATTCAAACTCGACTCTAGTTGTCTGACTGCAGACTCCGAAGCCTGGTGCTTGATGTTATGACCTAACAGGTGGGTTATCTATAAGAATAAGCAAATTGGTACAAACAAACAGTTCCTCAAACAAAGGTAATCCAAGCTAGGGCTGAGAAGGACTTTGGTTGAGTGGTTGTTAGCCAGCACTATTGCTTGAAATAGTTCTCGTTAGCAACCGCAATACATCACTGGCCTGATCTTAGAAAAGCCGGCGTTCTTGGGCGTCGCACGTTCTTCCGGGGGGTCTACAAAGAGAGAACTGTTGGTGTCTTCAGAATTTGACGGGCGGGCATTGGGGGTTATACGGGTGTCCTGGTTCAGAAAAGGCACCTCTGAGCCAGTATAGACACGGGTCTTGACTTGCACACCCACCACTTTTTTTCAGTATTTTTCAGTATTTTTCAGTCCCTAGTCTGGCAGTGAGACTGATTTTGGAATATATTTGTTGGAGGCACGCGTTTTCGGTGTTGTGGCCTACTGTAAGCGAATATCGCAAGTGATTTGGAGGGTTGATGTTTTGAAGTTCGTGATACCCGCGCTTATCGCGTCTAATATTTAGGCGAGGATTCTCCGGCATGAATAATCCCTGTCGCAAAGAATTGAGCAATATGCTCAACAACTTCATTCGATCGAAGTTACCACCGATCCTGCTCAACAACCCCAGATCATCTCATTATGCTCTGATTCGGTCGAATATGAACTCAATGACGAAGCCGAGAACTCGAAAATCATTTAACAAGAATTGCTGAACGGCTAGCTGCACGACGTTTGAACACGCCACCTTCGAATCAAAATTAGTTGAGCTGCAGCTGGGCACAAGCCTAGGACTTCGTTCAGTATCATTACGACCTCTCTTGTATTAGGGAATCAGTCGGCCGGCTCTGAAGCGCTACATAAAGCATTACTCTCCCCCGGTGCCGCCTGTCGCATCTCACCGTCAAGATGGCAAAAGAGCCGGAGATCCACGAGCATATACCCCACAACCTCAAGAAAAAAGAACAAAGCCCGATGACGAACTGGATATACGATGTCTTTCTCTGGATATTCTCTATATTGGTTGACCTGTTCTTCCGAGAGGTTCATCCTCGAGGGTCATGGAAAGTACCAAGGCGGGGCCCTGTGATCTTCGTGGCTGCCCCGCATGCGAACCAGGTATATGATGAGACCCTCCAGAGGTTTACATTATATCTACTAACAACATATTATCTAGTTCGTGGACCCTCTCATTCTTATGCGCACCCTTCGAACTGAATGTCACCGCCGAGCTGCCTTCCTCATTGCCGCGAAATCGATGGACCGGTTCCTGATAGGCTGGTTCGCGCGCAAAGTAGGTGCAGTCCCTGTTGGACGTGCTCTTGACATGGTGAAGCCAGGTTCTGGAACCATCTACCTCCCTGATCCAATCAATGATCCTCTACTTGTCCGTGGAGTTGGCACAAAGTTTGAGAGTTCGGAAATACAAACGGGGGGACTAATAGTTCTTCCAAGCGTCAATGGATCAGCTGCGAATGCTGAGGTGGCGGAGGTGCTTGGTCCGGAGGAGTTGAGGCTGAAAAAACCGTTCAAAGGACAAGCTGCTATGAGACAATTGACCGGGAGGGATGATATAGATGATACTGGTAAATTCTTGGATCAGAACGTCAAGGGAACTAAAGAGGGCTTTGAAGGATCTAGATTCAAGACTGCTCCGAAGGTTGACCAAACCCAAGTCTACGATGCCGTCTTTGACCGTTTAAGTGCTGGCGGAGCTGTGGGAATCTTCCCTGAGGGTGGCAGTCATGATCGAACCGAGTTACTTCCGCTCAAGGCTGGCGTTGCAATAATGGCACTTGGTGCCTTGGCAGCAGATCCCGATAGTGGTTTAAAGATTGTCCCCTGTGGCATGAATTACTTCCATGCTCACAAGTTCCGATCTCGGGCTGTGGTTGAGTTTGGGAATCCAATTGATATTCCAAAGGAACTTGTCGAACTTTACAAAAGTGGCGAGCGAAGAGAGGCCGTCAGTCAACTACTAGATACGGTATATCAAGCACTTGTTGCAGTCACCGTCACAAGTCCGGATTACGATACCCTCATGCTTATACAGGCGGCTCGAAGATTGTACAACCCAACTCATAAAAAGCTTCCGCTTCCTATGGTGGTAGAGTTGAATCGACGGTTGGTCAAAGGCTATACCCATTATAAGGACGACCCCAGAATCATATCTCTCAAGAAGTCTGTCACCGATTATAACAAGCAGCTGCGATACCTGAATCTACGGGATCATCAAGTCGAATACGCCAAATTTTCTGTCCCAAAGGTTGTCTTCTTACTCTTCTACAGATTAGGGAAGATATCAGTCCTCTCGATAGGGGTATTGCCTGGCCTTGTACTTTTCGCACCGGTTTTTGCGGCCTGCAAGATTATTAGTATAAAGAAGTCTAGAGAAGCACTAGCTGCCTCTACGGTAAAGCTGCAAGGTCGAGACGTAATGGCGACATGGAAACTGTTGGTGGCACTCGCCTTTGCACCAGTCCTCTACGTTTTCTACACCACCATACTCACATACTGGGCGTACCGTAACCGAGTTCAAGGATACCTGCCTGATTGGGTTCCTCTTTGGGCCGTTGTCCTCTTTGGATACGTATTCTTCCCGGCAATTACCTTCGCTGCTCTTCGTTTTGGTGAAGTTGGTATGGACATTGTCAAATCGCTACGCCCTCTTGTTCTGTCTCTGAACCCAGTGTCAAATAACACCATACATAAACTCCGAGAACGTCGGGCGCAGCTGAGTTCCGAGGTCACGGACCTGATCAACACCCTCGGACCTGAAATGTTCCCCGACTTCGACGCCGCTAGAATTGTGGCTGATCCCTTCCGCGCTGACGAGTTCGGTAGACCTGCATCACCAACGCATGGCGGCTTCCGTCGCAGAGGCAGCAACCAATCCGGGATTTCTGATGCAGACATACATGCAGAGACACCACCACACCGCCATAGAGCCAACATTCATTTTGGAGGTGTTTCTAATTCGAAATCTCACCTTCCTCGAAACGAGTCTTTTGGTAACATCGGAAACATTGGAGTCTTTTCAACACGGCCATCCTCTAGAAGTAGAAGTCGGAGCAGCAGTGTCGGTGGTGCGGCGGGATCTGCGGGTTTCCCATTGAAGGGATTTAGCACACTGGATTCGAAAGGAGGGTTTGACGAGGCAAGCATGAAGATCAGAGAAGCTATGAGGGAGAGGGGCCAGATGAGACGGAGAAGGAGCGAAGATGCGAGGGAGGAGGATGATGATGACGAGGAGAGTGATGATGAGGAGAGAAAGAATATCTAAAATGATATGGGTTCTTTATCGGGCTCCCTTGCCCAAGCGAGGAATACGTACAGCACATGTATTCTTGAATTTGATGATAACACAGATACAGTAGCGTTGGCGTTTGGGATTTGATAATGCAACGTACACGGTTTCCTAACTACCTTACCTGCCCAGACAACGACATGCAATTCCATGACACCGAGCTTGATTCAAAATGCATCGCGTGACTCAAACTTTTGGCAGTACAATACCTAATTGAGTTTCAGCTTTCAGGTGACATGTAGTGGCATCTCCTCCAGAGCGTACCTGCAGTACTTTACGTACAGAGGGGGTCCAAGGTAGGTACCTTATACAGGGGTCGTTGATTTTAGCTACGCGGCAACGATTTACCTAGTGATTTGCAGTAACCTATTTGGGAAACATCTAAAGAAAGGAAGCTCCTCCGCTCAAGAATAACATCAAAAACATCCGAAGACCAAGACCCGCGCAACAGTTGATAGAGCTCTACTTAAAGAGACTCGGAAACATGGGGCTATCACCATGGGAAACTAGCGACAGCCAGCTGTTCGCACTCATCACAGGCGCAAATAGGTACAACTGCTCCTAATCTACCCCCCTGAGAAACACAGCAGATGCAGTCCTGGTTTCGTTGCAGCGTTACCTGTTATCCAGTCTCTTTCTCCAGATGGCACAGAGCTGTTAGGAAATTTTCTGACGTTCTGTCAGCGGTCTAGGTTACTCAATCGCCACTCGTCTCATGGATGAATTCATGACCTCGCCATCAACACCCTCCAGCAAGCATCTCATTCTAATCCTCTGCACACGAAGCCCTCTGAAAACGCGCTTTACCATTTCTCGTTTACGGGCCCACCTCCGACAACTAGTCGACTACTCCCCTTTCGCCGCAGACCTCCGCAAGAAAGCGACAGCACAGGGGAATGAATACAGATGGGAGGACATGGTGCAGAGAGTACATTTCTTGGGCGTGGAGGCTGATCTCTGTAATCTGAAGAGCGTATATGCTGTGGCTAACCAGCTGGTTAATGGAACGGTGGGCAGCCCGGATGCAACGACTTACGATGGGGGCAAGCTCCCTCACGGCTCTCCAGGAACCCAGAGTTTTTCACCGGAAATTCAGCAAGATACCTGGGCTTTAAGCCAGAAGCCAGGATCAACTGGTGCACACAGATCATGGGGTTGGGGATTGAGCGGTATACGGGTGCCGAGATTGGATGTAGTGGTTCTCAATGCAGGAATGGGAGGCTGGATTGGTTTGGATTGGTTCTGTGCTATTAAGGATATCATGTGGGATGTCGTTGATGCGACAACGTGGCCACGATACAAGTTACCAAATGTTGGAGCAGTTGTGAAGTCGCAGCTATCTTCGAATACAACCAAGTCTGGGGACGAACCTACACAGCCTTTGCTCTCAGGGCAGAAGAAGCCAGATGAACCTCCTCTTGGAGAAGTATTCTGCTCGAATGTCTTCGGGCATTACATCCTTACACATGAGCTAATGCCCCTTCTCTCGCAACCCGCCTCGCCGTCTTCAAAGACGGGGGGTAAAATCATCTGGATGTCAAGTGTCGAGGCTATACCTCAATCTTTCTCCATCGAAGACATTCAAGGTCTTAGATCCCAGGTACCCTACGAAAGCAGCAAACGCCTCGCTGATCTCCTTGCTCTGACGTCCGATCTACCTTCCGTCCAACGGATCTCTGCTCCCTTTTATGACAGCGCTCATACCACGACCGCCAAAAACGCGGACCAGAAATCGAACGACAAACTAGTAAAACCTAGGATGTACGTAACGCATCCCGGGATCTTCACCTCAGACATTCTCCCCCTCAATTTTTTCCTCATGTTTTGCTGGAAGATCATAGCTCTCGTCGCGCGCTGGATGGGAAGCCCCTGGCATACAGGAGATCCATACAAAGCCTCAGTAGCACCTGTTTGGTTGGCTCTTGCGGATCCAAAAGTACTTGAGGATCTAGGAGGAGACAAGGCGAAATGGGGTTCATCAACTGATTTTTGGGGTGAAGAGAGAGTTAGGAGGACGGAAGTTGGCGGGTGGGGATGGGATGGAACTGTGGGGAGTGCGGTAGATGGGGAGAAGAGGAAGGGGAGACGGAAGGATGCTGTTGATGTTACCAAGGAGTCAAGGGAGGATTTCGAGATCTTGGGAGGGAAGTGTTGGGCGCAGATGGAGGAATTGAGGAGGGAGTGGGAGGGAGTTTTGGGGGTTACAGGTAAGAATTAGATGCTTTCTGGCTTCATTAGATACAAGTGAAGTTCTGTTACGGTCAAGCTGACCAGGCTGATCAACTGTTTACGTCTAAAACCCCTTGAATTCTGAAGAGTATCCGAGTCCCTTGACTCGTTTTTAATCCAGTCATACGACTCCTTTCCAACCTTTTCACTCTCGATTACTTCAGCTGTTGTATCTACTCGCTTCTCTACACTTTTGTGATATTCACTGTCCATCGGCTGCGTTGGATCCTATCTTTCGCGTACACTGTATGGGGACGCTTCGCTTCCAGTTTGGAGTTCTTCCTCTCTTCACCAACTTCTGCGTGTCAACGGCCTTCTACAACAAACTTTGTAAGTGCAATTGCAATTAATTTTGCGCGCTCTAGCATCCTCTCACATATTCCATCAAAGCTTCGTATTTTCCTGCTGACTGGTGTCCCTTGTTAGTCTGAAAGATCTACGACGCGTTACCAACCACTTCACGTTCAGTTCCGCGACAGTGAGGAAATCATGGCGTCCCCAGTAAGTTTACCATACCTTGCAGCGCTTCGACTTGATTCTGATGTTTGTAAAGGACCCAAAGATCCCAAAGATCGTCACTATCGATCCTGAGGGAGATCTCACCATCAATTTTTACGAACCCATCAAGGATGGACCAGAATACGTTGGAGGTTCCGGCAAGAGGATCTTTGGTCGTGTCCTTGCCATCTTCAAAGTCTCTCGACAGGTCGTATCCAGAAATTCGCGCCAATTTGGGATGATGCTCATGGGTGTCTTCCAAGAAGCAGGACAACACGTTATTGACATCGAAGAGGGAACCGTCAACAGTCTCGAGCTCTGGTTCCGCGTTCTTCACGATGCAATGACCGATGAGATGTACTGCATTCCAATCGAGGATGTCTGGGAGGCCATCGAAGTCTGTGGTTATCGAAATTTTGACATAAAGAGACTCAACACTTGGTTCGAGAAGTGGTTCAGCTCCACGGATCTCGAGGAGCTCGAGATCGAAGACATGTGCACGCTACTTTACCCCTGCCACGAGTTCAACCATGCTAAGGGCTTTGCGTTCCTTACGAAGTCATTAGCATACCAAATGGCTGGACACATCACTGAGATAAACCCAACCTCCCATCGTCACCTTCACCTTGAAGGGAACGCCATAGGTGAGTAAAAGATCTCCTCATCCAGGACGACTCTAGAAAACTGACTGGGTGTGGCGGACAGGCTCAATCAATGGCGCTCGCGGAAGTTTGAGATCCAAGATGCTACGCGGACTTTTTGAGCCGGTCGATGAATATCTCAAGCAACGCTGCTCATGCAAAGCCGAGGCACTCTTCAGCTATTGCACGGGACTTAGTAAGACCGGCATCTGGCCTCTCGAAAGCCACCACAAAAAGTCGGTCCAGACTATCTTAGACGGTCCGAATTTTATCAAATTCGTGTGCAAACCCCCGCCAAACGCATGCGTCAATTGTCTCGAACGGCTCGCTTCATCCACCCTTACAAAGACGCGCCTTAACGTACTCAGGGACTTTGACGGTCTATGCTTGGACTGCATGGACAGGACCAAGCCCAAACTTGGGGGCGTGGATGAAGATTACTGGGAGCACGATCGTCGGAGGGCATGGTCCTCAGATTGCCGAATTACTCATGATCAGCCGACATGGTATTTCAGCTTTATGGGTAGGAAGACAGAAATGAGAGCTCATCAGCGGAAGAAGAGGTAGCAGCATAGGACGAGGTAGGAGATGTGGCCAAAGACTTTCCCTTCCTTTTAGTACCTATGGTCCCGACGAAAAGATCCGGTACTGGGAAGTAGCATTGCATCTGAGAATAAGCAAGCTTTGGGGAATATGGAGTAACTGATGGAACAAGTTGGAGGAAGAAATTCAAGCTGTGGGTTTTCCATAACTGTTTCATCTGGCTAGCGGCAAGTGCTTGCCTCTCCCCTTGCTAGATAGTGCAAATTCAAACCTGTTGTTTCCTTGGATTTAAATGGGACCTTCCCTTAAAAGTGATTCAGAAGGAAAGGAAACCTCGGCATGGGGACTTTAAAGACTTCCTTGTATTTACTTCCAGTCACTCGAGTCTCCCAAGCAGTCGGGATTCCTCACTGTGAATAAAAAATACGTTCGTGAAACATCCCTCCACTCCCTAGCCCTTTCCTAACGCTAAATGCAAACAGCACCACTTGGGTATCTAAATAACCATACAAGTAAATAAACCTTATCATGAAATGACTCGCGGTCATGACTACTTCATAGCTTGAGGAGGAATCACAAAAACAGGAGCATGTTGCTCTGCTGTATCTTTGTGGTCGGCGGACTTCTCCTGTGGAATTGTGTCCATCTGGCCTACGATCTCCTCTCTCAACTCAACCGCGTTCCAATCTCTATTGTTCTTAGCATTCTCTTCAGCCAACTTAAGCCACTCTTCCCATTGCGGCGTCCTCGGAGCGACGCCCCCTCTCTTCACCCAGCCGATCTTCTTGGTCTCGCGGATCGCATACCACATGGTGCGTGTGAAGCTGGGCTGGCCTGCGAGCGTGTTGTCCTGCTCAACATGTGCATTCTTCGCATCCTCAGGAGTAACATCTTCCACTTCATAGATCGAGAGGTCCCAGAAGGCCCCCTTGTCGACGAGGGATGCGGCCCAGTAAGCACCATTAAGGACGATGTAAGAAACGCCGATCGCAGCCTGCATAGGAAAATCGCAGTTCCCGAGCAAGACGACAGAAACCATGAGCAATAAGGTACCGAGCGCGACGAGGAATTGATACGGGCGTTTGGAAACATAGTACGTGCATTCCTCGGTTCCGACATAGAGCTCACGTGCAACTGCTTCGTCACACTTCACAAGGAGGAATGCTCCTTCGCGGGTGCGGATCACGACGTCGCCGGGAGGAACTTTGGAGTGCGAAGTCCTCTCCATCAGCATGGGGGACCACCATGATGCATAGCCCACGACAGACGAGGCGAGAGAGATGGTGCCGAGCGCTACGCACGCCGTCCCGTCGTGAATCAGAGCCGCCCATATGAAGAGTCCGATGGTCAAAAGACATGACCCAACAGAGAGAACATTCATAGGCGAGTATATTTGAGACGGAACGCGGGGCCTGGGCTTATTTGGATCCGAGCTGAGAGCGCGCGCAAGCTTGCGGAGAGGCGTTTCCTGGCGAGGTAATCGAGCAGGACGAGGACCGCTCTCGATCTCACGAAGGTCGACGCTGGTGGAAGCGGACATCTGTTTGGGTTTCTCGTTGCGAGCGATGTCCTCATCTTGCGGTCGCTCTCGATGCTTGATTTGGAGGACTTTAAAGGATAACTTCGGCAGATCTTCAATGGGGTGTAAGATGTTTGGGAAGTAATTGAGTGTCTGAATGAGGGTTCCATTGTGGACTCCGACAACAGCAGCATTTACTTGTGGCAATCGTGTTGGGCGGGAAGGCTTTAACATGGCCTGAGGAGCGGGTATGATTCGAGGAAGAATGCAAGTCCATGACGAGGTCAAGGCCTGTAAGTGTTCTTCGACTGAAGACTCGCCAACAACTGCGAGAAGGGACACGATGTCTAACCTCCACCCCTTCTCCTCATTCCTTCCCACAGGAAACCAACCCGTCATTTTGTACGCCAAAGTTTTCAGGCTTAGGTGTCAGGGTCAGAAGAGCGGCTTTAGCCCTTGCACAGAGCTCGATAGACGCGTCAAGTTTAGGTACTCGTAAAGCTGCGAAAAGGAAGGGTTGTATTGGAGGTATGGTAAGCCTTCGATTTCTGCAACATTGCGCGGGTTAACAAGGCTACGTTCAGACAGCAATGGATTATTGAAACCTCAAAGACCCAACCGTAAGAAAACAGAGTGGTCGCAGCACCACGAACCTGTATTCCTTGTGTAGGTGTTTCTTGAAGCGCTCGTGATTTGCGCAAAGGACAAGGCTAAGGCTAAGGCTAAGCTCGAAAACCTGGGGTTTTTCTTTGGTATTTGTAGGTTGGGCCTTGACCTTACCCAGGCGCGCGCGGCTGAGTTCTGCAATGTATGCCAAGAAACGCAGCAGGGATCACAACCCATGCTCGGAGAACGGGGTGAGGCGTGAAAGGCGACAACTCAAAAGACTGTCTGTCAAATGTACATCGTGATTGGTGATGAAGACCGGGCGTCCTGCGGGGAGCCAGAAACATCTAAAAAGTGTAATTCCATTATCATGACCTTTGCGCCGACCAGGAACAAGCGCATAATGTTGTATTATCGCGCGGGCGAGGTAGGTTGAGGCGCAGTTTGGCTGTCTCCCAGGCAGAATAAGGCGGCGGCTATTCAGTTGATGTTGGAACCCCTATCTATTTCAACGAATAAGATCTCGAAAGGCTCCTGGAGACGCCTGGGTATATCCTCGAAAAATTACTGAATTGGGTTCGATAAACCTGAACTTTCGTGGTCTCAGGTGATGGCCTTCTACTCCAAACGCCGGAAAAGCTCTGCCTGCCCACCGCTTGCCCTAAGTCCTTGTACTCCCCATAGCCTGTGTAGGCCCCTTTCTACTAATCAGTCCTCTAACATCCATAATAATAATTATAGCAAGTAAGCAGCTGGTAGCCACAGCGGACGACGCCTGGAGGGTTTTGCTGAGCCATGCAGAGCCGAAATGGCTATGGGGGCCAGTGTTGAACGGAAACCGCAGAGATACCACTCAGTGGCGGCCCGGCGCTGGTTCCCAATTCTCTAGCTTTGGACCGTACTCGTCGACTATCCAATGACAGAAGTCGTGCCACTGAGTTTCCCACTCCGCTGTGACGCCTTCCATCTCCTTGGGAGACATACAGCTATGTTCCAAACTCCATTTTGCAAGCTGTTTCCAGCCAAGCAAGTTCATCGATTCTGAGCCTATCATTACTTGATAGAAGTCGTGTGATAATGATGATCTGATTCCATCAGCAATGCATTTTCTACAGGGTTTACAATGTGCTCACCTATAGAATGTCGCATTGTCACTGTTGACAGTGCAAGGTACGTCATTCGCCAGTAGAATAGGCAGATTATGTCCAGCCATAACTGGAGTCAAGCCCAGGACCTCGTTTGAGATGGGACATGACTCAATAGCGATTTTCTTCTCCTTGAATATTTCCATAAGTAGAGGATGCCTTGCGAGAGCGTAACCGTGGCCGATACGCTTGGATTTCAGGAGGATAGCATCGAATAGGTTACCGTCCGCTTTCCCTCCAACATCGAGTGTCTCACCGCAGTGAAATAAGAAAGGGATATCCAGATCCTGAGCTTTGCATTTCTGGCGAAATGCGAGAAACTCAGGAATGAAGTGGCGAAGCTCGTTTCCCATTTCCTCGTGTCCGACGAGATCAAATCCTATAAAGTTCGTTAGGTCGTCAAATCAAGGGTTTCGGATCTCGGCCGTCTTACCACAAAGCAGGTCCGGATATTTTAATTTCAAGTCTATACACTCATCTAGAGCGGTTTCAACCTGCTCTTTTTTGAATGACCGGGGCGTGCAGTAAATAACCTTCATGCCTCCAAAATATTTACCTTCCCGCTTGAGTTTATCCATGGTGTTCTTGAGCTCCTCATCAATGATCTTCAGAATCCCTTCATTGCCGATAGAGCTTTTCCCATCATCCGTTTTTAGAGAATTAGTGCTCATAAAATTCGGCCTTATTTCAGCATATTGAATGTTGTCCTTGACGAAGTCTTCCACGCAGGCGCGAGTGTAATTTCGAAACGCGGATTCATACGCAAATAGACCTTTCATCATTTGAGTGCGGTGATTAAACTTTTCCCAGATGCTGCCGATCGTCAGCGGCGAGACGAGCTCCATAGCAGCACATATGACTTACCCTCGACCGGTTTGATACGTCGCATGTGCTTCTTCTTCTGATATCTGCATCTTCCTCTCAAGCCAAAGCTCCGCCCCAGGGGTATCTTTCAACACGTGGTTGTGCTCGTCAACAAATTCAAATTGCTCCTGGAATTGCTTGTATGACATCCAGGTATTGGGAATGTAGTCCTCATCGAAGACGTTGCCGAGAGGCACGTGCCTCTCGGTACCATCTGCAGATCTAACATGAGTGGCCTCGTGAGGAGTCATGACCATGAAAGAAATCCGAGAATGAGCCATATTCGACGTGTTCGTCAAGGGAAGGGTACTTCGAATGTACATTGCTTCGATATCACGTGCTTGTTGAATTAAGAACTTCGCTGGAAGGCAGGAGTTGAAATGAATGTGAAGATGAGCGCCCTTTGGCATCCGCTTTGCGACATTCATTAACCAGGTTCCATTAATAAGGTCGACATTGCCCAGAAAGTGTTGCCCCACGCTTCTCTTCCCCGTAGCACGCCCCTGCTCGTCAAAAGCGCGCCCATAAGTATGATCCCGGTCGTATTCTCTGATTTTCTGGACAAGCGCAGAAGCCTGCTTTTCAATATCTGATGAAGTTGCGAGAGTTTCAGCACCAAACGCGATGGCTCTCTCCGCCGCTTGGAGGTCCTCACGGGCCTTGTTGTACTCTGCTGCAGATTCAAATTCCCGGTCGTTGATGGCCGTTCTCCAGTTTGGTTGAGACAGCGTTCCAGGTCCTTGGGGCATTTTAGGAGACCGTTGTAGGACTTGGAATCGAGACGGGACCTGAGCCTTGCTCTCGGGAGGGTCGTCTCCGTCTTTATCAGCGGTTGAGCAGAGTACACCCATCCCAATCAGCCGCAGATCGTATGGCAACTATGCCTACACTTATGGTGGGGAACTTTGGAGATGGCGTAGTTACCAACAAGGCCGGGCAGAGATCACATCACTGAGGTGAGCTGCCCTCGTGCTCACAGCTCCAGCTCACAGCTCACAGCTCACTGAAAGGTTAGGCTACTTACCTAGGCTTCTTCCTGTGCTCAGCCACTGAAGCTGATTGGTTGGCTCTCAGCGTCAGCCACTTTGTAACTGCGAAGTAATGACTTATTGCTGGGTAGTATGAGTTCAACTAACTCTGCGCGGGCATATCTATGAAGGAATACAACAATTATTGTTGGTCTGAGCCTGGATTGCATGAAACATACCTACCTACCTACCTGAGAACCTTCAAGTTTGTCATTTGGCGCTGTTTGTCGTCTTGGCGATGGTAGGTCACGTGCTCGATCTGGATTCCCATCAAGCGCAAGCGCCAGAACCCCGCAAAGTGGAACAAGAAGATGTCATAGTCTTCAGTAGTGGACCTGAAAGAGAGCGCTTGTCATCGGCAAAAAGAAAAAGCCGTATCCTTGTGTCGTTGCGCCAGGCGGATACCTTTTAGGCAGATTGGGACTGAGCCTCGATTCGTACCTTAGGTAGAGCAAAGCACACGATTCTATATGACATGCACCCGCTTCTTTTGACTCTGGTCACCTTAGGCCTATGATTCCTTCACGTATTGCCTCGTCGGATGTTACAGTTTAGCCAACAATCTTGAGTCTCAAAGTTGCGTCCCCTTAGGACGTCGCGGTGTGCAAGACTCACAATACACATTTATCCTCTCCGAGTAGCGAAGCACAGGCCGTGAATACAATTCATGTTTCTGAACTAAGGTGGTCTATCATAATTTTCACACCATTGAGTACGCCTAAAGTCTCAGTACTGCTGTCCTCTCTACGCCAGCCTTTGCGCCATAATCTCGCTAGGTCTAATCCTCAAACTTGATACCCTTCTTACCCTCAATATCAATATGGCCTCCCCTGTAACTGCCGCGCTTCTTCTTGTTCTTCTCCTTCGTGAAACCCTTTCCTCTTGTGACGATCAGGTCTTGATGAGCCTTCTCTGCGTAATCGTAAGGGACGTAAGCATTGCTGGCCAATCGCTCATCGATTTTGATATCTTTTGGGATTCTCGAGAACGGCTGGTTCGTCTTTCGTGGGAGCTTTTTGACAGGGTCGGGAGGGAGCGGGGGGGAGAGCTTGCGCGATGTGGCTTCCGTGACTTGTGTTGTGGTCTTTGGCACGGCTCCCGAATCGCTAGAAGAAGATGAACCGGAGGAAGAGGAGGATGTCTTTTTGGGATTATCCGAGAGAGTTGCACTTGTCTCTGAGCCTTGCTTATTGGTGGTAGTCTCCTTGCCGGAATCACTGTCTGAATCCGAGGAGCTTTCGGAATCTGATTCTGGTAATGGTACCTTCTGGGCAATGGAGTTTGTCGACGAATCAGAATCAGAGTCGGAGTCAGAGGAAGAATCACTGTCAGAAGAACTAGATGCAGATTCGGTTGACTTCGCCTTTGGTGCTGCATCCTTCGAGCTGGAATCCGAGTCGGAGTCGGAGTCGGAGTCGGATTCAGAGGAGGAGGAGGAGGATGATGATGATGACCCACTGTCTGACGAGCTGGAAGCCGACTTGGTAGTGGTCTTTGCCTTAGTTTCTTTCTCTTCAGAGCTGGATTCAGAGTCGGAGCTCGATTCAGAGTCGGAGGACGAGGAAGAGTCGTCGGAAGAGGAAGCTGCGGTTTTGGCTTTTTTCGCCTTGGGGGCCTCGTCTTCTGAACTAGAGTCAGAGCTCGAGGATGAGCCAGAAGACGAGGAATCACTCTGAGGTTGCTTCCGCTTCAGGACATTGACTTTGGCTTTTGGCGATGCTACTTTGACGACTGGGGTTTCATTCTCATCGTCGGCATCGCTGTCGGAGCTGCTTGACGAAGATGATGGCGACTTTCTGGAGATAGACTTCTTCGCTGGTGGGGCATCTACCATCTCGACATCGCTGCTGTCACTTTCCTCAGAACTACTTCCACTGCTGCTTGTCCTCTTCTGCTTGCTCTTCGATGTCTCCTGCTTAGCCCCATTGTTTGAGCCAGATGCCTTCTCATCCTTCCATTGGGACCACTCATTGTAGATTGTCGTGAGCGAAGGCACGCCCTTAAGGCTCCCCGCCTTTCCTCCAGCATTCTTCCTCTCGGCAGCAAATGCTTGGCTTGCGCTGGGGAACTCGTTTTCGGCAAGGAAAGCTCCCACTAGATCAATTAGTTGGGAAGGAGGAGCTGATTTGGGAGGTTCGCCAGCAGCTCGGCGCTTCAGAAGATCCTTTGCAAGCTTCTTCTCTTGCTTATTGTTCGATCGATCTTGGGTCTGAGATTTTGGAGTCGATGTAGGTTTCCCAGTGGCAGGGAAGAGCCAATCGGGCTGCTGTTTACTAGCAGCCGACTTGCGCTTCCCGATCTTCTCCATATTTGGGTTGCCAGACATCTCAAGATCGAAGGATGTTGGTGGAAGTTGAGAATCAACAGACCGCAGCAAAAGAACTGAGTTCGCGAACTTTTTTTTCTGCTCAGGTACCGATAAGGTAGGCGAGGCAGAGGCTAACCCTAATAAGAGTAGCGCAGAGCGGAGGCCGCGGGCTCGACTCGACGATTCACGACGCGCGGATGGATGGTTAATAAGGTAAGGGACCTCAAGGCTCAAAGGATCGTCAAGGGAGAATAGACGAGTTAGCTTGGCCGGTCCGGATTATTACCACCAGACAAACCTCTAGGCCTGGATATTTATATAATAAGCACATCAATTGCCTACTGATGCAGGGGCGCAAGACCGTGTCAATTCTTGGTTCTCCTTAACCCACGTGATGCGCATTAGGTCTCTGCAGACGTCCGTTTCTCGCCTTTGATGTCAACTATACCTTAGATCACCAGATGCTAAGTTCACCTTGGTAACGACGACGACATATACCACCACCGGCCATTGCCAAAGACTCGCCCCTGGACAATCCCATGCAGTTATTCCCATATCTATGAGCAGCGCGAGATCGGACGAGCAAAGTTATTCCCATCGAGGCATTGCACATACATAGATGACTGAACAGCATACCCTCCTTTACCGAGACGACGTAGGTCCCGTCAAATGGAGGGTCCATCTCACAGTGGACCTGGCGGGGTCAGCAGCAGCAATGGGATGAGCAGGGCTGAGCGATTTGAAGATGAGAAGCGGAGGATCATTGACAGTTGCTTTGGCAAGAAGGACGAAGATGGATCATGTAAGATTATGTCTAAGCGGAGGGTGATTCGATGCGCGACGACTTCTGGAAACCTGCTGACCTCTTCTCCTTATATGCAGTACTGGAATCATACATAACACATATCAGAGTCATTGAAGATGCTATGTTTCCAGCCTCTCCGCCCCCTCCGAATGCCAACCCGGCCTCTAAGAAACCGCGCCTCATAATTGTAGCAGTGCGCAAGTCAGGACGGGTGCGTATGCACAAGGCCAGAGAGAATCCGAATGGGACATTTTCGATAGGAAAGACATGGATGCTTGACGAGCTCAACTCTGTCCGGTCTTTCAGCGGCGCAATTCCTCGGAGCGCTGAGGAGGAACAACAGAAGCAATGGGCTGGAGGAGCTGGTTTTATCGTGACTATGGGCAAGCCGTATTACTGGCAGGCAAACACCCAAAAGGAAAAGCAGTTCTTCATTGCAAGTCTGGTCAAAATATATACGAAATACACTGGCGGCAAGACCCCTCAGCTGGATGGATTTGACCAAAGGGAAATGGATCAGTTGCTGGGTGCTCCTGGACGCTCACTACCTCCTTCTCAGACACAGTCGCCATCCGGGACGTTACCATCTGGACCAATACCACCCTTTGCTCAAGCTCCAAATCGTCCGCCGCCACCTCTCCAGACACACTCACCATCTGGACCGTCACCATCTGGACCATTACCACCTTTTGCTCAAATTCCAAGCCGTCCGCCACCGCCTCTCCAGACACAGTCGCCATCTGGGCCATCACCGTCTGGACCATTACCACCTTTTGCTCAAGTTCCAAACCGTCCTCCGCCATCTGGGCCATTACCGTCTTTTGCTACAAATCGTCCGCCCCCGAGACGTGATCCGTCACGCGAACCTGGGCTGCGCAACCAGCCGAGTAGGGATGCACTACAGCGATCCACTGCTCAAATGTCTCCAGCAGTTGGAGCCCCATCTTTTAACTCTCCAACAGCAAGGCCCCAAATGCGCGTTCGGCGGGAAGAATCTCCGAGTGAAACCTTTGACCCAACTGGAACCGGGACGCAGCAAAGCCAAGCATCAAACCTGAGAAGATTAGCAGGCACTAATCAAAGCCAGGAGTCGTTTGCAAAGAGTGAGGATACTGTTAGTCTGCCACCACGTTCACGGGGAGGACTTAATGGTACGCCAAATGCCCCTGGTAGATTTCGGGACCGTAGTGTAACACCAACCTTACAACGTGCGATAACACCGGACGATGCCTTTTCGGGCTCTAGGGATGCATTGGATGATATGCCTCCCGTGCCAGCACCATTAACAATTCCTCCAGAGAGACGCCGCCCGCCAATACCTAACATTGGCGACTCTCGCCCACATGAGCAGAGTCTGGATGAAAGTATTATTCCTGCACCATTGTCCAGTCCGGGAATGCGTAGAGAAGCTAGAGAGGATTTACGACCCCCGACTCGTAGTAGCGAACGAAACCAACCACGCCAGCGAGACTCAGATACAACGGGCAGTCTGATCAGTCCCAATGAAGTACAGCCTCCCCAGAGTATCTCCGACAGTCTAAAAAGAGGTGAGGTTTCTGCAAGCCCGCTGAGTGCTCAAGTTACAGCAACGTCTCAACCCACTATTTCTTCGCCTCTTGCCCAGACAACCACCGAAACTGAACCAGAAGAAGAAACACGCCCAGGTCTTGGTCCCATGATCAAGAAGAAGAAATCAATTCTCGTCGAATTACCCCAAGAGCCGCCAGCGGAGGTAGAAGAGGAAACTCGCCCAGGGCTTGGACCCATGATCAAGAATAAATCACCTGTGGAAATGCCTGAAGAACCGCCGGCAGAGCCAGAAGAAGATGAGCGCCCGGGTCTTGGACCGATGATTAAGAAGAAGAAATCCCGACCCGAAATCGCCAACACATTCCTCAGAGCAGCGAAAACCGCCAATGCTTTCAGTACTTTCAAGCCACGCGCTGGAGGAGCTGCGGAGAGATTGAGAGAGGCGGCTGCGAAAGCACAAGAGAAAGAAGGGCCGGATGGCATCACCAGCGTAGTTCCCGCGCCATCGTTGGTTGCGGTTCGAGCAGCTATTAACACCAATTCGAACGCATCCACACCAACAGAAACCCCCATTGAGACGACCTCCACCCCGAAAGAGAGCATAGCCTCTACCCAAAAAGAGAGTGAGAAGCTTCCGGAAGTTAACGGCATCGTCCCGCCACGATCAGAGCAGCCTACTAGCGTCGAAGAGAAGGCGCCACAAGACACCACTTCAGCAGAGAAGTCAAAGACTCGAGAGATAAAGCGGCCGAAACCATCTTCTGAGACGATGCAGAAAGAACTAGCTTCATTGGGCATAGATCCCAGCATTTTAGGCGGTAAAGGTAACGATTTAGTTGCTGCTTGGGATGAATTCGGCTGGGTGGGTGATGGTGTGCATACGAAAAATATCGACCAGATGAAAGAGGAAATCGAGCGAGAGCTCAATAGAGTTCAAGCTGGCGGTTGGCTGAGTAGGCTGGAGGAAGAGGATGAGAGGGTTGAAGCTATCAAGGCCGGTCTTGATAAGTGTATAGACGAGTGTGACGAGCTTGATGGATTGCTGACGTTATATCTTGTGGAAATCAGTGTAAGTCTCCTTAACAGTCTATGTCTGTACCACGCTGACATTTTAGACCCTCAATGAGGACATTGCTTTCATTGAGGCCCAGTCGCAAGGTCTCCAAGTGCAAGCAGCGAATCAAAAACTTCTTCAAGCAGAGCTTAAATCTCTCCTCGACACAATATCGATTTCCTCTTCTCAACTTGAGAGCCTGTCTCAAGCATCCTTAGAGTCTCCTCGTGGGCTTGAGCAGATCGAAACGTCTCTGGTCGTGCTATATAAAGCAATGCTAACAATCGATCCTTCACTTAGCCTTTCTGGTCCACGAGGGAGCGAGGATGGTAGCCTGATTGGTCGGCCTGGAGGTATTGGCAACAGTGAGATTGGAAGCATGCGCGTTCTGCAGGAAAAGAAAGATGTCTACAGACATGAGACTGCCACATTCCTTCGTCGGCTCAGGCCCTTTCTGCAAGTCAAATTTGCCGCTGCTATTGACGAAACTAGGAAGGCACTGGAGCGTGAGAGAGGCAGTAATCTTGCTCGCGCCGGCAAAGTTAAACTTGATCCGCGCAACCACGACCTAGCTCGGGAGTTGCTCTGGAGATACAGTCCTCTGATGCTGTTCTCACGAGAAGTTGATCGTCCAGAGTGGGAAGAACTGATGAAGATATACGAAACCGTTTCCAGGCCACTGTATCAAGACGAGTTCCGAGACGCCGTATTTGCATGGAAACGCATTGCAAAGAAAGCAGCTGGAGATGAGGGTGATCTTCTGTTCACGTCCCAGATTGAGAAGCAGGCGGAAGGCATTGCTACCACCGCCCGAAAGTTAACAGTGAAGAGAAGTCAGACCTTGGCAAAGAGTTTGCGATCTCCCATTGGGGACAACAGCAGCAAAACCAGCGTTGACAGGATCGCTTCCGATGGCAGACTACAACCATACGAGGTGTTTGCTGGGGTCCTTGAAGAGATGATTCCGATAATCAGCATGGAGCAAAACTTCATTGTTGAGTTCTTTCATGTCACTTCTCTTGAGCAGTATGACTTCCCCGAAGTTGTTGCTGCCGCATCGCCAGACGACAGACGAGGCGTCGATCTAAGGCGGCCAAGAGTGATGGAGCCGAACCGAGAGCTAGCTAGACACGTTGTCCAGTCTATGGAGGAGGTCTATTCGTTCTTCCCGGGTGATTTGCAGGCGCTTGTTGACTGGAGTCTTCAGGCAGATCCATTGTAAGTCGGCTTGAACCTACATACTTTGATTCAAGTAGTACTAACTGGCTTCAGGCAAGGTGTTGGTGTTATCGCTGCAATTGAGCGCAAACTCGTCGAATTCGAGGAGTCTAGCCAAGAATTCCTCGCCCGCACCCTTCAAAAACAACACATTCGTCTTGTTGGTCTCTTTACCAAATTCCTCGATGAACAGATTCGGGCAATTGAGGAAACCAAGGTCAAGATCAAGAAGCGGAAAGGTGTTATTAGTTTCGTCCGCATCTTCCCGTCTTTCTCTCTCGCATTGGAGACCATGCTTATCTCGGCCGATGATCTTGAGATTCGGGAGACTGTCAACAATGCATACACCCGAATTAACAAGGCCATGTTCGAATCTCTGAAAGTAATTGCAAGAGAAATACCCAGTGCTCAGACAACTGGGGCAGATCCGGAGGACAAGGAGGCTCTGAACTACCAGATCTTGCTCATTGAAAACATGAATCATTATTTAGAGGAGGTTGATGCTCGCTCTAATCCAATTCTAGAGGACTGGAAGCATAACGCTGCCCAGGAAATGGAGGAGCACATGTCGCTCTACCTGGGTGCCGTCATTCGGAGGCCCCTGGGCAAATTACTCGACTTTATTGAGAGCACCGAAAGTCTCATGCTCTCACGCCAACCGGGAGAGCTAGCCTCTAAAATATCAGGCATGCCAAGCCATTCCAAAATTACGTTCCAGAAAGTTCTCGCGGGTTATGATTCGAAGGAGATCAAGCGAGGGATTGAGACGCTCAAGAAGCGAGTTGAAAAGCATTTCGGGGACGCCGATGACCCAGGACTCAGTCGCAGTCTCGTATCCAAGGTGCTACAGAATTGCGAGAGATATTATGAACAGGTTGAGGATAGGATCTTAACGATAAGCAGAGATGTGTACGATGGAGACGTAATTGCAGAATGGACAAGAGCAGATGTCTCGGCAGCTTTCAGGAGTCAAAGATGATGAGGGCAGCTATAATCATAGACTGCTGGTCTGGACAGTATCTCCATTCACCTGTATTCGAGTGGCACGCGAGGACTTGGCGTTTACACAGGTGCACATTGGGTTGTATCAGAATTGCATTCAATGTACGGATAGGAATACCATAAGAATCACTCAATGAAACTATTTTCATCGCGGGTCGGATCCTTGCTTGATATCCAATGGTCATGACCCGAGGGAAATCCGGGGAGAAACGGATGCCGATTTTTCGCATCACGCGATCTACAAACATCCTTGCAGGTAACTAATCAATCAGTTCTTTGCAGTATAAACGACCTACTGAATACAAGAGATGCACTATACATCATCCAGCAATGATGGCACCTCCAACGACTGGACTTCAACTTGCTGAAATTCGTGCAAATAATGATGATGCCGAGTTAGAAGCACCTAACGATGCCAGCACTGATACGGTCCCTGAGCTGCGTCCAACAACACGACAGCGTCAAATCCTGGTCCTCATATCTAGCTTCCTAACCATATGCATCACAATCGGTTTCAATCAATCCTACGGAGTCTTTCAGAACTATTACATCTCACCTACTCAAACAATGCTCCCCAAATCAGCCAGGAATGATAGCGCGCTGGTGGCTTTTGTAGGGACGTTAGGCTCGGGCCTCACGTGGGGTGGGAGTATTGCTGTGAACCCGATTATGGCAAGACTTGGTGTGAAGGGCACCAAGGGGTTGGGAGTTCTCGGAGTGTTCTTTATGAGCTTGGGATTTGGACTTGCGAGTTTGAGCACACAGGTACGTGATTGCATCCTTCCATCTCAAATGAATAGCGTGTGACCATGTTAGGTTTGGCACCTCCTCCTAACGCAAGGTCTCCTATACGGAATTGGGTCTTCTCTTCTGTATTTCCCTATTCTCAGCGCGGCTCCGGAATACTTCGGTGCGCACCGCGGCTCCGCTATGGGATTCATCCTTTCGGGCGCAGGAATCGGCGGTCTCGTTTTCTCGCCCCTAATCCGTGCCCTTCTGACATCCATTGGTCCTCGCTGGACGCTGCGCACTCTCTCTTTACTGAACGTTGTCATATCCCTACCCATCGCCATCAGCGCCTCTCCATCGCGCTTCATCGGGCGAAGACCGACACATGTAGATCTCAAGCTCGCCATGAAACCCGCATTCCTATTCAGCGTCGGCGCAGCATTCTTGCAATCTGGTGGTAATGGCTTGCCTCTCACTTTCCTGGCCGAATACTCAGTAGCGCTGGGATATTCGGCGGGGTTTGGTGCGACCCTGCTTGCGATTTCGAATGGTGTCAATTCGATCAGTCGTGTAGTGACGGGGTATGCGGGGGATAGGTTCGGGCGGCAGAATACGCTGATCTTAACTGTTATCTTGTGCGTTATCTCTGTGCTGGGCTTTTGGCTTGAGAGCACGAGGGCAGGTGGGAATAGAGTCCTGTGGGTAATGTTTGTGGTTTTGTATGGTGTGGCAGGGGGTGGTTATAATGCTTTGTTCCCGACTGTGAGTTGTTCTGTCATTCCAGCTCGTGATGCGTGTTCTAATCATATCTAGACGGTGGCAGAAGTGTTTGGCTTGCAGGCTTATGCAAGTGTCAATGGGTTCATGTACTTCGTGAGAGGCCTGGGAACCATGGCTGGAAGTCCAGTCGGAGGTAAGATTCTAGGTGAGAGTAAGTTGGGTAATTATAAGAACGTGGTCTGGTTTGATGCTGCGCTCCTTGCTGGGGCTGCATTCTGTGTAATTGGCGTTCGCTGGTGGGATGCGGTAGAAAAGAGGACTTGGAAATGGAGAGCTTAGGACGGTCGAATCTGGGGTACTCAAATGAATGTGCACCTCAGATAACGAAGAAGCCATTCAAGTCAATCCCTGGCTCTCTCTCGAGATAATATATATATTCGAGTGTGCGAGTATTGACTAACTTAGATCCCATTGCACACTTCTAATCTTGTACCGGAATCTCTCCAGGATCATGAGTAAGTGCTCGAACTAGAGAGTTCACTGGAAAGAAAGATTAGAGTATAAAATCATAATATTACCGTGTTGCATACCTGCCTGACCTTGCAGATGCTGGCGCTCCCTGAAAAGCTTCGCCGTGCCTCTCCTATATAAACTCGTGGTCATGCATCATGCATGGGCTGTGTACTGGGCTGAGGTGCGAGGCTTCACTCTTCCTTTACATACTGCGCTTCACACAATCAACGATTTCACTCACCATCAAGATTGTTCTAGATTCTTAGCAACGATGAGCTTTGGATACGGAGTCGGTGATGTGTTCGCCACGATACACGCCATCAAGCGCATCGTCGAGGAGATTCAGAATTATCGAGATGCTCCTCGACATTTCCAACAGCTTAGTGCGGAGCTCAGGCTCCTACAGGCTACACTTCAGTCCGTACTAGATATTCAAACCGTAGATCATGTCGAGCTTGAAAATCTAGATCGGATTAGGCTGATCGCAATCCACTGTCAGCAGCCTCTTCAAGCGTTCATCCAGAAGATGAAATTGAGGGAGCCCAGTCTTGGCCATTTCAGGACCTCTGGAACTATCCGCACTGTTGGCCGTCGGCTTCACTGGAGCCTGATTGATAAAAAGGATGTTGAGGGCTTGCGGAAAGTGGTTGTGTCGGAAATGGTGGCTATTAATATCCTTCTAGGCGTGCAACAGCTGTGGGTCAAATGATAGGTCTAGTGATGTACAGAATTGCTGACGATTTCTATAGAAGGTACTTGAGAGTACTGGCAAAGGATACCTCCACCTTCAAAGAGGATGCCGGAGCGTGTTTTGTCAATACCGAAGATATCCTCGCCAAGTCTATCAAGATTCTCAACAATGTCGAGACCCTCCCGCGCGAGATCCGCGATCTCCAGAAGCTTTCTATCAGCAATGCCTCAAGGCAGGAGGAAATGTACAGCTACCTTGCTAAATTTATTGGCATTATGACTGGAAAAGCAGATATGATCTTATCGCATGGCAAGAAAGCCCTTGAGAGCGCTCAGAAAGTCCGAGAACAGGCTGCAAAGACAATACTTGCTGTAGCGTCCCTCACTGCCAACATCAAAAGCCTTATAATATTGTGAGTTGACATGACAACACATGTTGTTCCAAGTTTCTGAGCCGGATCTAATGTGTCAATAGACTTGCCGCATTCTCTACAACAGTTCTAAGCAAGATTGCTGCAAACACGTGAGTGAAACACTCGGAACACATCTTATCACCAACTGTCTCATTAAAATTTCTAATCATCTTACAGCCGGATGCTACTGGATATTCATGCAAATGTAAAAAAGATACTTCGTGCAATTGAAGCAATCCCTTTGCATCTCACACTGGATATTGTAAGATTCGACGACGCCCTCGGGGATAGTTGGGCGCTACCATATCAAGCTTGTACAGAATGGCAGGTGAGTTATTAAAACAAAAATTCCATCATTCTTGTGATATCTAAGTTGTTGGGGAAGTCATCACAGCCACTGACGGGAATTAGACATTCAAAGAGATGCTACAGAAGGTTGTCTTCGCCAATAACCGGCCAGGATACAATCAAGTTGTACGAGATCGGTTTTTCATTATGTCCGCCAAAGACAATACGATCATCCAAACAGACGCGTGGAATTCTTTTATCAAGGCAGGAGCGCATATTTTGCAGTCGATGATAGTTTCAAAGACGCAATCTCCAGGAGGCTTCTGTCCGTTCCCATCATGCAATGAACCTCTAGTAGGCTCAGAAGGATCAGGAGATGAATACATATGGTAGGTCTACTCCCCTAATTGCTTACACGGGAAACGGACTCTGAGACTCTCAGCCCAAAATGCAGTCGCTGGTCTATCATAAAGAAGCAATCCCCAAATTTGCTGGAAGTGATGGTTTCCGGAAGACAAGGACACTTTACCAATAGAACAGACGGTATTCCAGGGAAGCCCGTGGTTGCAGGTCCCTCTTTATCAGAGTTGCCCCTTTTCGAAGATGATATCGACTGCTTCAAGAGAATTCATCTCTTCAATAATAAAAAGACAACTACGGAGGTACACATCGTACAGTCCATAGGTACTAGAATTCCGCTAGGAGGAGGAGATTCAATGGCAGGGGTTACGATAGAATGTAGGAAGATAGTTAGTAATAATGTTACTTATGCTGTAGGGCTAACCCAGGGGCTGTCTAGGTCACCCCTCTAGATGACCAAGTAGCTACCTGTATCTGTATTACTGGGAGGCTTTTACCTCATTACCTTCCCCTATGATTTTAATCACAGCAACAAGTAATATTCTCACATCTTATCATGGAGAAAAAATGAGTCTTGTTTGAACTTAAAAGAGAATAAGGGGTAGAAGAGCACACATCCTATAACTGGAAACTCTATCTTCTAAGGTTTTTTTTTAAGGAGGGAGGGAAGGGGTTAGATGATTTATACCCCATTTCTTTCTTTTGTTCTTTCTTGTCCTGGTCTTACGGACAAGAGTACTTACTGTTCGATTTATTAGATATTTATAAGTCATGATACCTGGAATATTCAAGATTCAAAAGTATAGCATTAGTCGTTTGTGATGCTTTCTATTGATGTTATATACTTAGGTAAGGTATGTATGGAGAGTTTAATGAAGAACCCTGTAACAAGCCCGGGAAGTTCCAACTATCCAACTCCACTGTATTTATCGTCTTGGTATTCGATGGAAATCAGGGGTCGACGTACGTACCTAGCTGATAAGCATATATTCAACTGTCCAGTCAACATCTATTTCCCTTACGCAGAGTCAAAAATCGCAAAGAGGGACATACAAGTAAAGACTACCAAAAAGGCGATTTTCATTTTCCATATTTGCATTTTGTAAGAAGGTAGGTATCTCTTCCTTCCTTCCTACTAGTAGTAGACTAGACTAGACTAAAGCCAACCCCAAACTATTTGTTACCCGCCCATCCAGGTATTTATCCAGACCCATACCAATACGCCATTATGCGCCCCCTCTCCGCCCTCCCCTGGAGAGAAACAAAAACGCCAAATCCTTTATGCTATTGCGAGAAAGAGAAGACATGGTATATGTCTCGTTCTCGATGATGATCCATGAATCCATTTCCCGTCCCTCAAAGGAAAGCCTATCTATGGAAACAACACGCCAGATTGAGAGGTTCGTGAGACCATGAACTATTCATTCCGATATTCCGCCATTGGATAATGCCAAGAAACAAGGGAAAATAAAAACGAGAGTTTGTGTGATTGGGGCAGAGAGAGTGCAGCTCAGTGCGCGTAAGGCTTGGCCTGAGATGCGCTATTAAGGAATCGAGAGAAGATGTTGCCGCTCATGAGCTTGGGCTTCTTGGCAGGCTTGTCGTCTTCACGCTCAGGCTCGTAGGGGAGCATCTCTAGCTTGCCGCTGCTGGGATGAGCAACATGCACGATGTCGCGCACGATGTGCGTAGGGCTCGCGCTGCTGTAGCTGCGGGGGAAGCCGTGCTCGAGCTCGCCCGAGTAGCTGCCGATGGAGGAGACCGGGGTGCCGCTGAGAGAGCGTTGAGACATGTAGGAGGAGGCCGAGGAGGAGACGGAGATGGAGTCGGTGGTAGCGCTGCGGGACATGGTGAGCTCGGGCACGTCGGCGGTGGAGGGGGGTGAGTCGTAGTTGGGACGGTTGACCATGGGGCGGTTGACGGAGCGGAGAATGGCGCCGGTGGGGTCGACAATGTGGCCGTCGTAGACTTCTTCGTGCTTGACTGGGTAGCCGTAGTATTGGCTGGCTTGCTCCAGGTGGCGGCGGGTGGCCTCTTGCTCTCTCCATTGCTGCTCTCTGAGGGCTTGCTTGCGGCTCTCGCGCATGCGGGCGTGCTCTTCATGGCGGAGGATCTCGGAGCGGATGGGGGCAAGGAAGGGGTCAAGGTGGTGGTAGAGATCATCTTCGCTGATGCCCAGGTCCCAGTCAAGGAGGTAGAGCAGCTGCTTCTCCATGAGATTCACTTCGGTGCGGGAGAATCCAAAAGGTTCAAAGCCGCGGACGTTGGAGTACTCAGCCCAGTGCTTGTTCTTGGGAGAGGAGTCGTTGAGGTACTTGGCGGAGAGGATGAGAGCGGCGAGGAAGATGCGGTGGACGGTGCATCTCAAACCCTTGGCCACGGGCGGGAGGCGCTGCTTGAGTCGCTCGAGGTAGACCAGGGTTGTCATTAGGGTCGGGACTTGGACATTGGACTTTCGGACCAAGGACACGATGAAGCGTTCCAAAGAGGGCAAGTCAGATTGTGATTGACTCGGATCATGTGAAGGGGAGCGTGGTGGAGAGGGGAGATTAGAGTGAGCAGCCGTGGGCTCGCACTGGATGACTTCCTGGGCCTTGACGGCGAGGTAGGAGATCATCTGAGAGTTGACGGGCATGTAGACGAAGCGCTCGAGGGCGACCTCGTTCAAGGTTCTGCTCGCAGAGGACGACATGGTGATGGTGTATGTAAGTCGTATGTACCTCAACGAATGTTGGTTGTCTGGATGTTTGATGAAGATTGAGGATGGAGGTGGAAGAGAAGACGAGCAAGAGTAGAGGTTAAAGTATAAGAACAAGCAATGGATCGTTAAGGAATCGTTACTATTGTCGTTACCGCCGTTATTGTCGTTATTGTGGGATTGTTCTAGGACAATGGGCCTTCACCTATTGTCCTCTAAGCGAAGTCGTGAAGGAATTAATCGTTGCGCGTGAGTCGTCAAAGTGAATACAGGACACCTGACCAATCCGTGAGGAGTCTCAGGAAGGGGAATCTTTCTGAAGAGAGTGGAAAGTTCCGACCAGCGGAAGAGCGCGATCCCAATGGAAAACGAACAATTGATTCCTTGCGAAGGAGGAAGAATTGCTGGTGTTGATGCGTTGCGGTTGAGTGGTGATGGATAGGGGATAGTGGGGAGGGATGAGGCGGGGCGGGGCGGGGCGGAAGCGAGAGGAGCGAGGGAGGAGCTGGGAGTTGGTGGGAGGCCTCGCTTGGGAGCCGGGAGGATGACGGGCCCTGGCTGCTGGGGCAAGAATCAACGAATTGATGTCTTGCAGTGATTCACGGGTTCGAAATCCACGGAACGGATGGGTTCCTTCGGGATCGGTGACTCTGCACTCCTTTATTTCACGATGGAGAGGCCGACGGTCAACGTCGTCGGAGGGCCCGAGGTGAAGAGGGAGGAGAGGGAGGAGTGGGAGGAGTCGAAGGGGAGTTTAGGGAGGAAGAGCCGACGTCGAGATGATGATCCTTTGAAAGACACGAGAGCAGAGAGAGGGTGGAACAGTCGAAAATATATGTACACAGCACCGGAGGTTTGTTTCTCGTGTCGCGGTTCTCGTTTTCCGGGCGCCAGTCGCTTTACGCTGGGTCCAAGCCTCCCTGACTGACGACCAGAGTGTCCAGGCTTTCCAGACTTCGTAAGGAGAAGTCGACGACGAGTGCGGATGGTTGGCCCAGGCTGGATGGTCGCGGGCCCCCTTATTATTTAACTGTGGAAGAATACAGCCTACCTGCTTTGGCTCCGCAAGTTTTAAGCCCGTCCAGGAGTATCCAGGAGGCCAGTACGACGTAGCGCGGGGGGGCGAGAATGCTGAATCGCTCGAACCGCTGCGTTTGAGTCGCTGGACCGGCCTGAGAGACCCCTCGCTCCCAAAACGGCGTTTCAGCCCTCGAGAGATTCCTCGTTGGGCCTTGGTGCTGGGGCGGCCTCGGATGCCGCAAGGGATGATCGACAAGCCAAGCAAAGGGGGGGCGCTCGCTACTTGATTCGCCCGCGGCGGCTGGGCTGGGGCGACGGGGGGGACCAGGGGTTTTGGAGCCAGAGTTTTCAACAATAGGGGGGTCGGAGGGTCGGAGGGTCCTCAGGGGGCTGAGGGACAATACGATATCGTCGTGCCTTTAAGGTTAATTCTCTGTCGATGAGATGGGATGGGTTTGGCAGAGGGCGAGAGAGAGGCACGGACGAGCATGAAGGGGCTTCTTTTCTACATGTTACAGACAGCTTGACAGCTAGATGGACAGATGGACGATCTCTAGATACGCAGACCTGCAGATAGAGAGACAGTCGATGACCATGACCACGAGCCAACGGCATTATTCTTGAATCTTGAATCTGAACCTCGCCTGCCCCCCTCCTCGCCCGCCATGCCAAACCACGCAGCTAAGGCTCGACCTCCTCTCCCAAGTTCCAAAGAGGTCAGCAACTGGAATGGCCCACACATGATTCATGCCTCCATGCCCGCCTCCTCTGCTGACCACTGCCATGATCAGGCGGCATTCATTCGCCACGGAGGGTGGGCTGGATGCGCAGCATTCTTGGGCATAACCTGGCCACCTGATGGTTACGACTGAGCGAGGCGTTGCAACCACCACACGTCGTCGGAGGGGCCAGAGGGCATCGCCATGGCCAGGCAGCTGAATGCTGCTTGCTGTACCCCACTGCTACAGCCTAGATACCACCACCACCATTACTACAGTAACTATGTACCGTGTCTGTCTGGGTTCCAATGTCGGCGACTCGTGGTGGTTCGCAGTGATTCGTGATTCGCGGCCCGCGACCAAACAGCAAGTTTCAACTCTAAAATCGTGGCTGGAGGCGTCGATCCGGATCGTCCGAACGACAAGTTGATTGGCCTTGGGCATTCGCTGTGGATTCCTCAGGCATGCACGATTCCACTGGCGGCCAACCAGAGCCCACCAATCACAGACCGCAAACGACTTGGGCACAGACCCCTTTGGCTGCTTGGCGACTCTGGTTAGTCAGCACTTAGTCATCCCGCTTGTACCTGGTACACTGGATCCCCCCCTGGCTCCTCCACTCCTCACACTACCACTGCCCACTACCACCGCCACTACCACTCATATCTCCAGATCTTCAGATCTTCAAACCCCCGCTGCACTGGAACTTTTTGACTCTTCCCAGGTAGACGGTGAGCCTCGATGCGTGGAGATGAGAGTTGGAAAACTTGGAAAAGCCGAGCAGCGACGCCCCCACCATTGGTCAGTCGTTCCCGGGAGGCTCAGACAACTCGTGTACCTCTCGTGTTGGTCCTGGCGTTCTGAGTCCTCACAGTGTACCCGCTTCTCCCAGACTCCCACTGACTCCTGTTCTTGCAGTCCTCGCAGTCCTACACGCAACACTACTGCCCTCCTCCGTATGTTTCCGATGTGAGCAGACCTGGTCCACCGGCATTGTCAAGCAGCCGCGCGGTTCCACCGGTACGGGAACATCGAGGCGACAAAAGTGTGGCGGTGCTGTCCACATACTTTGGTGTACATTGTCAGGAAACCCGCGCGCCTCTTGATTCTTGACTCCTTCGCCTTCAATTTTCCGTCCCGCAATGCACCCCATTCTGCAGGCTTACTTATGCCATACGTACTGTACAACCCTTCTCGCATGTTATGCACCTTACGAGTACCTGTGAGCCACGCTCCGCGTGGCGCCGTCCCCTGCAACCGCCAGATCGGCATTGAACTCAGCCACACCCATGGGCCATCGTTCTATACGGTATTCTACTCCGCAGCCACACGCGCAACATGGTACGTACTGTACATAACCGCTCACAGAGACGCCGCATTATGCCTGCTTCGTTCGATGAAGCGCCAGGAGCATGTTTACGGTAGTATGTAACCCACGGTAGCCTGTCCTCCATGCACCGTCATCCATTCTTCTTCAAACCCTTCAACCCCTTCATTTCAAGGAGCGCCCATATCAAGCCATCCTCGTTACTGCTATTATTACTCTATTACTTGCATGCATGATATTGCCTGGAATTTTGTTGCGTCGCGTCTGAACTTCAGCCCTGCGCGGTTCGCTGGCCCATGCATCGAATGATCCTTGCACTCCTGAAGGCAGGCAGTTGGGCATATCCTAGCTCCTCCAGGATCATTTAAGATCCGGCCTCATCCCAATTCACTTCTTCTCTGCGACTCTACACGATGCAACCTTCCTAAATACATGGTGTCTGCCTGTATGCTTTCCTTTCACTCGATATGCGCTCCTTGGCGTGCTTTCCTATCCAGAGAAATTTTCAGCCTCCCCCACAGTTCGCAACTCCTTTCCTTAGCTCGGGTATCTCCCATAATCCTCCTCCATCTGTGGACTAGGAACTGCTGGCGGATTCTGTTACCTCATAGTCATCACTGTGCGAATTTTCAGGATCATCCAGATTCATCCTCCAGGCAGGTTTCTGTTCTTAAGTACTATCTGGTCCCATGACTCATAATAACTTGCTGAGACAACGTGGGGTTCAAGGTGCTGACTCTAGCCTTATGACAGGATCGTTTACAGTATAAATTGTCCGTGGTGAGCCTGCAGCTAGACGCACCTCTCCTCCTACAGAATTCTTTTGAAGCTCCAAAGTTTCGGACCATCCATGCAATTACGTATTAATACTTTCTCTCAAATCATGCAAAGGAATTGGATATGAACAATCCTTCTGCTGTCCCCAGAATAGATATCTCAACTATTTTCGTCACAGTCACAGCGTTATTTGCATATGTTCTTTCCCAGATCCCTGCTTCAGCCTGCACGACGTCATTTTCTGGCAGTAGTTGCCGAACGGATAGTCTCAAATTGACGTGATTTGTATGTTGACAGCCATCGTTTTGTCTTCTATCTCGCTAGATTGTGCTGTATTGTCTTTGTAGCCCGTACAACCAATTCTCCCTCTGTCTTGTTTTTATTTTGGGAGATTTCATTTTCTTTCATTTTATTCGGAACTTTTACTGTACAGTATCAAATCACTTCTCCCTCCTGAACAAAGCAGCCAAGGGGCTATGGAAAGGAGAAGGGGGGAAGTTCCTCGTTTTACATGAATTTTCATGAACATTGAAATATGTGGCGTAAAGATGGAGCCCAACCATGCAGTCTCTTTTAAGGGGTGACTATGGACCAGACTATCGCAAGGCTATGCAAGGGGTCCTCACTACCACTTTCTCCACAAACCTGAGGCTAGTGATCAGATCGAGGAGATATGATGGTGATTACCCAAGCAAGGTTTTGGGTTGAGCTGTTGATGTTTGCTGTTCTGCTCTATTTATTGCCATGTCCCTTCGCTCCTGCAATCCAGACCGAGACTTAGTTTCTTGGAAATAGTGCGTTTGTTTGATTTGATAATCTCGTACACAAAAGGGTATCCATGGCGCAGCCGCCGTTCCTCATCAAAAAAAGAACCCTCCCGTAACCAGTAGATATATACATAGAAAAGCCCCTCTATCCCCTCCGCCCTATCTTTTTTATTCATCATCGACCCATCCTCCTTGTTCAACCAAGAAGGTAACAATCCTCTCCTCAACGCCCGTCAACTCCGTCCCTAAGGCGCTACTCCACTGTTCATCCACGCACCGGACTTTCTCCTTCAGATCATCAGTCAACCTCACCTCCTCATCCTTCTCAACCTCCTTCAATTCCCGGTCGACCTCGTCTGCCGCTTCTCCCTGAGCCACCCGCTGCGTGCGCATCAACCTGCAGTTCGCGACTGTGACCCCGCTTTTCACCTCGTGCAGCAGGCACAGCAAGTTCGTCTGACTCTCGATGAATTGGTACGTGCTTTTCTTGCAGTGCGCTAGCAAGCTGTGCAGGTACTGCATCGGGAACTCGTAGTACGAGGGGTTCTCCTCGTATTCGGCGCTGGGGATCTGAATCTGGAAACCATGAAGACTAGTGGGGATCTTGTCGATGATACGCGAGAGCGCGGGTGCGATATCCCAGAAGGCCGAGAGCTGAACCTCGACGCCCCGCACCACGTTCTCTTCGATGATGTCCATGAACTCTTCGGTACGCTTGAGGACCTCCTGATCGTTGGTCAACCGGCGCCGCAGTGCATCCTCGGCGAAGAACTTCTCCGCCCCGGCGACCTTCTCATTGTTGCCCGCGAGGCGATAGGGTGCGATCATCAGGTCCTTGTATCGATCGTTGCGGTCACTGAGCAAGTCAAATAATTCCTTCTGCAGCAGCTCCCGAGCCTCGAAGATCCACTTTAGCAGTGTCAACTTCTCCAATAGCTCCGGCTGCTCATCGCCCTCCTCTTGGGTTGACGTCGGGTTTGATTGCTGGGCGTCCACGAAGAGTTTCGAGCGAAGTTGCTCGAAGAGTTCCGTGGCGCGCTTCACCCTGTCCTGCAGAAGGTCGTTCAGAGGCGATACGACCTGGGTCTGGAAATTTTCAAAGTCGGCTTTAATTGCCGCTTTGGTCTTCTCATGCTCGGCAACCTCAGCCTCGGCTTCTGCCTTTGCGGCGTCGGCAAAGCTCATGTTACCTGATTCAATCTCACGTTGGATGCTCACCCGCCGCGAGCTTTTCCGCTTCGAGGCTGCGCTTTCCAGTTCTTCGTGGAGACGGGCACTGTTCTGAATGAAACGTTCCTTGGTAGCTTCGACTTCGGTGAAGTCACTCAGACTGCGAACAGCTGTACGGATAGAGGTAAGATCTGGATGGTTGTTGTTGACGGCTGGGTGGTGTCGTGGATATGGCGGAGGGAGGGTCACGAGACGTGATACATCTAAGTGATCTGGGTTTGGCGTAAGGGGTTGAGGCGTGAAGGGAGCAGGGGATATGGCTCCTACTCGTGAATGAGGTGACGTAGGACCCTGTTCGTGCCAGCCTACTTTCTCTGGCGGGTACTCACCTGGTCCCAGAGCGGCTGAGTTGCTAGGACCGGCTGCATTGTCTCCGTCGAGGCCAGGGTTCGAAGCACATCTATCTTCATACTGTAGCCTCTCGCGGAGCTCTTTCGGCATGCCCATGTATTTCGATTCACGTTTCGATCGTTCGAGCTTCATCGACGGATGGCCGATCGAACCGGCATCACTAACTTCCCACCACCGACTGGAGGGTCGACCCCTCGAAGATCCCTCTAACGCCTCACTGACACTCATACTCGGGATAGGTGATAATGACGGCATGTAACTGTTCCAGTAACCAGGGTCATTTCTAGCTAGCGCCGGAGATGGAGGTCCAGAACTAGATGCTGCCTCTGGCTGGGACTGGGATGGAGATCCATCACGTTTACCAATGGCCGTTATAGAATTCCTATGCGATCGTACGCCCGTCGAGGATTCGGGGGTCCAGCCACTGGAGCGCGACACTGACGATCCCCTCCGACGGCTATACGGGCGGAAGAGATCTCGGGTGAGCTCAAGAATCTCTGAGCCCATTGCGTCAATGGCAGAAGCGTATCTATCTCGCCGGAGTCGAGACTCAGCAACAATAAAGTCCGCAAAAATACGGACGCGCTCACTATCGCTAGATGCAGCTGCTTCTTTCAGTGCAAAGGCTTGGTGCCGCTCGATAGCTGCGCGGGCAAACTGATCAGATGGAGTGACCAGAGATAGTTGTTCTGCGTTGGACTGACGGGACGTGGGCCTCGACAATCTTGTTACTTCAGAGTTGGGAATTTTACCAGGAGATTCAAGTGTCCTTGATTGTGGCCTTGATTGTGGCGGAGGCGTCGGCAATGCCTTCGGAGGAATCGTAGAAGAGCCTTCCATTAGGCCTTGGGCCTGACTCGGGGAGAAAGGGGGGGTGGCTGCTTCTGGATGGCTCGAAGAGGCGAGTGGTCGAGGCGTAGATCCCCTCGATGCCATTCCCTGCACTGGAGTACTATGCTGCGACAGCTCACCAGTTTTTGGAGTTTCCGCATTGTTGGACCTGGCGCTCCTGGGAGTCGTCTTGGACGCCACTGGTGGACGTCTACCAAGGATTGTCAGCGGAGGTATATGATCCGCTGGGCTGATAGCAGCTGCCCAAGGGTTATTTGAAGGTTCCTCAACCGCACGTGTTCTGCTCTCACTCCTCCTCTCCCGAATACTCTTTGGCTCACCCCTCACCGCCCGAGTTCTGGTTAAGCCTGTGGAGTTTCCTCCCGAGTTCCCCCCCGAGTTGGAGCCTGAATTGGAGGATTCGGGAGCACCAATACCCGACCCACTACTCGAGGTATCCATGTGAAGTCCTCTATCTGGGGACTTTCCTCTTGATGAACTATCCTCGTCGACCCAGCCAGCAGGGGTTGGCGGGACCGGGCCCAGATTGGACATCGAGCCTAGAATGGAAGAATGACCTGGTCGTCTCGTAGGAGGAGACACTACAGGATCCGGTCCAGGATGTTCTAGTGAGCGATTCATGCTCTGAGACCTGGATTGTGGAGGCGGATTCGGGGGAGGAGGGGGTAGCGGCATCCCAGGCTCCCACCTCGACGTTGATGAGCCTCGCGATCGTGAGGATGACGGCGTGTCTATAGCCCCGGTTGAAACTGCTCTGCGCGATGCAGGGGGCCGCGACCCCGCGTCCATTGAACGGGTGTCCTCATACTGTTGCGCTTCGAGAGAGACTGCCTGAGGTCGCATCGAGTTGGGTACATACTCCCGGTTGAGCTCTGACACAAGGAGAGGCGAGTCCGGCGCAGGTCTTCCATTGAATGAAGAAGCACTGTAGAAATGGATAGACTGGGGTCTGTTTTGCCTCAGGCGGGTTGGGGGAGGAGGCGGGGGATGAAAGACAGCATTTGAAGGTGGCTCTGGAGACGAACGGTACATGTTTGTGGGAGCAAAGACTGCATTAGAGGATGCTTCTGGGGATGAGCGATATACATTTGCAGGGCTCGCTCTGGCAGCGGGAGAGGGAATGACGCCGGAGGGTTCATCGGTAGGTGCTGGACGCTGGCTCCGCGGTGGGGAATAAGGGGGTGGTGCAGGCGACACTGCTGGAAATATGTTAGTCGCAGGCCATGGATGATCGTAGTAACAATTGACCTGACCTTCTGGGTCATGAAGCTGTGGTCTGGGGTATTGACCGCCATGATCCGGGTGGACACCTTGAGGTGAGGCCCATTGCTGAGGGTTGTACTGCCTGACAGCGCTCACGGGTGTATACGCCTGCGGATTGTAGCCAAATGGTGTACTCAGGGAATTGTGAGAGACGGCTGAGATTGGAGTCGTCAGAGGCAGAGACTGATGATTGTTATTGATGGAGGTCGAGAGAGGATCTAAATCTAATCGACGACGAGCTGCTTGATCCCTGAATGCACTCATTGTCGCGTCTTGGCAATCGCAGCAAATCCTACCGTGTCGCGATAGGGTCCTCCGTGCTGAGCGCTCCCGACTTCCTTCTTGAGGCGACAGCTTCGCCCCGAAGTCATCTGGAGGGGGGAAGGATGGAGAAAAGCTTGAGGCTCATCGTGGAGACGGAGGGAGAGAGGCCGGACCTCTCCCTTATGGCCTCTTGTCGAGTTGTCCGTGAGGCCCATGTCGGCTTGCAGCAGCAGGCGGCGTGGTGGTGGTGCTCGGCGAGTGAAGCTGGGGCACGGTCGATGGATCCAAAAATGGCACACCCCACGATTGGCCCGCTCTCCCATGTGCAGCTTAACCTTGTTTTCTGAACCCGGCTCACAGCGCAATGCAGCCAATGAGCGGACCCGCAGCTTTGCAGGTCTGCAGCTGGGCGCTTACAATCCTCATACCACTCGATATGCGCACCGGGACTTTTGTTATAGACGGCAATAAATAGACCGTATCAACGGGAATTGCGCTTGTGGACGGAGTAAAGGAAGAATGTCCTGGCAGAGGCCTTGCTCTTGGAGACGAGATGGGGCGAGTTATATGTAGGGAGATATAGGTAGGGTTCCCATATATGCCGTCGAGGACTGCCTCGAGTCGTAAACAAATTCAAGATCTCGACATGTAGGCACCGAGAACCACCTGTTGCACAGAGAAAACTAAAATAGCAGCATAATACGTAGCACGGTTCCAGCAACATGCACCCGGATTACGGTGTAGGGCCCAGGCACAGCGCCACAGGTGTGCTATGCCGTTTATATTTGAATCTCGCATATGGAAAGGTTGCTGAGTCGAGATTCTCAAGATGCATTGTTTGACTGGGCGTTCTACCATCATAGTTCTCCTAGCTGCCTCACTGACTTGCAACACTTGCTCAATCCTCAACCAGTATTCGGCGACGTTATTCCAACTACCAAGGAAGGCTCGGCCTTATAATTGAAAGATGATCTTCAAGCTTCAATATCCACGTTTTCCGTGGATAGAAATCGGGGGTTTGATTTCAATTCTTGTAGTATGCTGGCTCCCGTTAGACATTCCCAATCTTGTCTCAAGTCCAGGTCTTCGTACATAGTATACAACATCGTGCCGTCGTCGTCTGTCTGCCTTCTACCTAGACGATCCGACCCAGCGATCCCCTCGTGTCTTCTGGCATCTCTCCCCCAGCTCCCACAACCTCCGTCTAGGAGCCCAAAACCATCACAGCTCCCAAACGCCATTCCCAGGTACACTCTGCATTCCCGTGCCAAGTTATCATTTTTGGTTCCCGTTGTTGCCATCTCCCTCCCCTGAGCCAGCGTATGAGAACTCCTTTGGTAGATCCATGCCGACTCTCCTGGCGGTCAGACGCACCCTCTCCTCCTCATCCATATTCATGCCCGGATTATATCTCTCTAACAACGTGGCATACATCCTCTGTGCCTTCACATACTGGAGGAACTGATCCGCGTGCTCGATCGGGGTGCTCGCATCCGAGGCGATGGTCTCGCGGATGCGGGTTTGGAGCGGAGTTCGCGAGGTTGGGGAAAGTGGTCGAGAGGGGAGTTCCCGCAGGAAAGAGCGGTAGATAGACCGGAGCTTCGCAGGCGTTGTCATTGTGAATTGTGAGGGTGATTGGAGTGGTGGTTGGATGTTGGATGAGCTTTGCTGTCGGGGAGCTGTGGATGATCGGCGCTAAATATAAATTATTTTGGAAATTTCCGTTATCAGCCAGGCGATGTTCTCTTGAGTCTCTCCGGTATCACAACGGTTCGTGAGAGAGCGACGCATTATTAACTCAATGTTGGCGTCTGGGAAGCTGCAGCCATGCCTTCGTACACGATGTATTCCATATTATTCTGGAAGGAATCTATATAGGAGCCTTTCGACGGCTGCCAACGCTCAACCACCATCCTCTCCCAAGCCTCGCGCCCATCTCAAGATTCCTGCCTCCTCTCTCTCTTACCACTGGGATACACTCCCTCCCACGCCCGAACAACTCAAACATGCAGCGAAGTTCTTTCAAAAAGAACCTCCCATATTTCTGTGGTCGGCGCCAAAATTCAAGACGATGGACTGGGGGGACAGTCCCGAAGTCTGCTTCCTGGGCCGCTCCAACGTCGGGAAATCGTCTCTGCTGAACGCACTCCTCTGCAAGAAGATCGCACACACGAGTTCGAAGCCCGGGCGGACGAGGGCCATGAACGCTTTCGCGGTCGGCGGCTCCGAGGACAACGGCAAGAATCGGCTCGTGGTCCTAGACATGCCGGGCTACGGGAAGGGCGGCAGAGCCGAATGGGGAACGCAGATCTTGAAATATCTAGGGCAGAGGAAGGAGTTGAAGAGGGCTTTCCTCCTCGTGGATGCGGAGCATGGGATTAAGGAGACGGATCGTCAGCTCATTGATTTGTTCAAGGAGAAGGAGGTGCCGTATCAGATTGTCCTGTCCAAGGTGGATAGGGTGCTCTTTGATGGAAGTAGGACCCCGAGTCAAGGAGCGCTGGAATCTAGATTCTCGCAGTTGCGGAGGACGATGGAGAGTGTGAAAGAGCTGGTGCAGCCGGATTCAGAGGAGGATGGAGGGGCGGTGGGGGAGGTTATCGCATGCAGCTCGGAGAAGTGGATTGAGGGGAAGAGGATGGGCATTGATGCTGTGAGGTTTGCCATGCTCCAAGCTGCGGGGCTGGAGTTGCGGCCGAAGGTCAAGTTGGCCGCACCTGTGGAGATTGTTCCTTACGAAGAGATTTTCGGGATGGGGAAGTCAGGCGGCTGAGGGGGTGGACATGACTGAAGATACATGAAGATATAAAACCAGGGGAATCATCCATATGAAGCTTCGAGGCAGGGTCAGCCCCGAAGCGTTGAAGAGGCTTAGATCTTCTGGATAAAGAGGATGAGAGTTAGTCACGCTTCAGGGACAAGGTCAAGCATGGCCGATCTAAGGAAGAACCGTGGAAGATTCTGTTGCAGGACGGACGCGGATGGATGGATAAAGTTGAGAACAGGTTGAGTTGTTACTAGATGAACTGTCAACAACAGCTGTCAATTGGAATCTCTCCATGGCTTATTCCTCATTGTCCGTGAGTGCCGCTGAGAGATAGTTATTCAACGCCAATGCCATATATCAATTATATCATAATCATATCAAATCTCCCGTCCCCCTGTCGTGGTTCTGAGGCCGCCTGGTCACGGCTAATTTAAATCCACAGGCGAAGAACCAGGGCTTGGCGCGAAGTTTGCGGGTTGAAGCGTCATCATCGCCTCTCTCTAACCCTCTAACCTCCAAGCGGCATCCGGGCCACGTCTTGTCTCGTCGCATAATCAGCAGTTAACCATGAGATCTTATGCCTAATTCCAACATCCATTAAGACACTCTTTTCACTTTCACCCCCAGATTGATTCACCTCGTCGCTGCTTTCCTCGGTCAAGCAACCGCGGGAAAACGCCTAAGCATCTCGGCGCAATCTCTCTCTCTCTCTCGGGCGACGACACGACGCAGTTTGCCCCAGCCTTTCCCTTCCACTCGCTGCGTATCATATCACACGACTGGAGAGAGCTCCTGCGCCTGAAAGGAGCTGCACAGCTACCGAGGCATACGCTGCACCCTCTATCTCTCCATCTCCTAGCACCATCCCGACCGGGTCCTCACTGCAACCATGTCGAAGGTCATAAGAAGTGTCAAGAATGTCACGAAGGGTTATTCAAGCGTCCAGGTCAAGGTCCGGAATGGTACGGATGCCGTGGATCCGCCCCTTGATCATGAGCTGATTCTCCATAGCGACCAGTAATGACCCATGGGGTCCAACCGGGACAGAGATGAGCGAGATCGCACAGATGACCTTCAACTCGTACGCAAGAGCGCTTCTCCCGCAAGTGGGCCAAATCTAATAATGACTGGGTTGCAGATCGAACGAGTTCTATGAGATTATGGACATGCTGGACAAGCGCCTGAACGACAAGGGCAAGAACTGGCGACATGTCTTGAAGGCTCTCAAGGTCCTGGATTACTGTCTTCACGAGGGCTCGGAATTAGTAGTCACTTGGGCAATGAAGAACATCTACATCATCAAGACATTGAGGGAATTCCAATACATCGATGAGGATGGCCGGGATGTTGGACAGAATGGTCAGAAATTTCTACCTCGGATCGAGGCGGGCATCGCTGACTCAATTTTTAGTTCGGGTCTCTGCAAAGGAATTGACCGCCTTAATCTTGGATGAGGATAGGCTACGGAGCGAGCGCAGCGACCGAAGGAACTGGAAGTCCAGAGTCACTGGCATTGAAGAGTATGCCCGGCATCACGATGAACCCCGCCGACCGCGACCGCATCGGGCGCAGCGCACCGACGAGGAAGACGCTGAATACAGATTGGCTATCGAGGCTAGCAAATACCAAGAAGAGGAAGACAGGAAGAAGCGCCAGGGCAGAGGGGGCGAGCCAGTTGATGAGGATCTTGCTAAGGCCCTGAAGCTCAGCAGGGAGGAGGAAGAATTGCGGAGAAGAGAGTTGGAGGAGCAGAACGCCACGTCGTTGTTCGATGACGATCCAATTCAAGTCGCGCAACCCACCGGCTTCAATCAGGGGTACCAACAACAGCCAGCCGTGGACTGGTCGGGCAACCCCGTGGACCAAAGTCTGCAGCAGCAACTGACAGGCTACATGAACTCCTACAATACCGGCTTCCAGCCTCAGCAGACTGGCTTCCAACCACAGCAAACCGGCTATCCCAATGGCTACCCCAACGGCTATTCCAATGGCTTCGACTCCCAGCCCACTGCTGGCTTTGACCCCTACGGAGCGCAACAACAGCAGCAATTCCAGCAGCAACAGACTCTACAGCCACAGCAGACTTACCAGCCGCAACAGAGTTTCCAACAGCAACAGACCGGCTACAATCCCTATGGTGCGCAAAGTCCAGGTGCATATCAGCAACCTGAGCCGGTGATCCCGGCTGGTACAAACAACCCTTGGGCCACCAACAATCAACAAGCGCAGGCACTTAAGCCTACTCCAACAGGATCTAACAACCCATTCGCGACCTCTTTCCAGCGCCCCGCCTCGACTCCAGCTAAGCCAACACTTGCAACTCTTCAAGAGCAGAAGACGATGACCAACTTCAATAACAACTCTTCCTTCAACCCTATAACATCATTCACACCACCAAAAGACCCGAACTCCCATGAAGCAAAATTGAACGCTCTGCTGGCCAGTGGAGGAGATGGGTTGGATACCTTCGGTAACACTGGTAATCTCCGTATTCCGGCACAGCACACTGCTCCTGGCACCTTCGTCAACAGTGCTGGATTAGGTTTAGGAAGAATCCACGAGCAACACACTGGCAACAACCCCTTCCTAAATGGCCAGTTTACTGGCATGCCTCAAACTACTTACGGTGGAACTTCCGGACACCAAATCCCAGCTGCAACAGGTCCAGCAGGCATGTCCAATGGCTTTGGTGGCGGATATGGCGCCCAGCAGTCTAATAATCCGTTCGGCGCAAAGCCGCAGCAAAGCCAGGGCCAAGACTTGATACAATTCTAGGGGACTCAGGTGGTTAAGGGTGGTATCAGGGATACACTCCATTCGTTGCATTTCCTTGTGGGCACTTGAACCAAGCACACTCGTTTTTCCTTGCAGGCGTGTAAATGATGTATTTTGTTGTGGTTTTGAAGGCATGATAAGTCATGCTGGATCTGGCTTGGGGCTTCTATTCTCGTTGTTTTAGATTGAGTGGTGAACCAATTCACGAGCGCCTGGCACACACCGCCTTTATATATGTCGAGTATGGACTACTACGTGATATAAATGACAGATACCCGTACACAGAACCTCCGTCCCACTTGCTACGCCTGGACTCCTTCGCTTTCCTTTGATGAGAATAACCAATCACGTGAACTAGCGCCAGATCCGACTCCTTCCCCTTTTTCCTACTCCTGATTTGATGCTGGTTTCGCGCAACCCACCCACATGCCAAACCATACTGACCGTTAAAGGGAGGTCCAGTCCAACTCATCCCATGCAAATCCCAACAAACTCATCCCTACCCACTCCCCCTTTGCCCTCTAGATCGAACTCCTCAATCATAGCCACTAGCTCGTCTTCCTCTAGGCCCTCCCCAAGTTCTCTCGCCACCCTCCTCAAATCCTCCAAGCTGATCATGCCCTTGTTATCCGTATCAAAGAGGGCGAATGCCCTCAAAATCTCATCTCTAGGATCCCGTTGACTGATTAACGTCGCAGCTATTGTCTGGAAAGCCGGCAGCGTGAGTAATAAGCGGCCTGGAGAGACGGGAGCTGAGAGCGCGTGCCGCGAAGATTGTACTTGTGGACCCTGTTGCTGCTGGGAATCGGGAGGTATGCCGTGTGTCGTAAGGAGGTTCAGAAGTTCGCCCTTTGGGAGGTCGAAACCGAGGGCCTTGAGCGCGACTTTGAATTCGTGGTAGTCTATCCTCTGATCTTTGTCCAGATCGAAAAGCGCAAACTATACCACCCCCCTCTGGTCAGCCTCTCCTTGTTCTTTCCTTGCGCTTGCGCTTTTCACAGAAGGGGGGAACATACCGCTTCGTTGACTTCGTCTCGTTGCTCGTCGGTTAATGAGTTCAAGGGATTCGAAGAGCCGGCTGCGACTTGGGATTGCGCTTCTCGCTCTCGCTGCGCGCGCTCGCGCTCTTGCCTCTCGCGCTCCAGGCGCGCTGCTTCTCGAGTCGAAGACGCGCCAAAGGTGCTGGCGGTGTTGCGCTCGGGCAGTTTGCCATGCAGTGTGCTGGCGTAGGGTCTCGTGGGGAAAGAGGGGTGGGATTGTGCGGATGCCATTGAGCGCGACTATTTCCCCGGTTTGGGGGGGGTTGAGATTAAAAGCTGGTAATGACTGCAGAAGATGGAACAGAATGGCAGCAAAGGCTGATTTGCGCGTCGGGGGCCAATTAATGTTGGAATGAGGGAGCTGGATGCTGGGGCGTGTTTTCTGGAGAACTTCGCTTAGTCATCGGGGGCGAACTGAGATCTCTACGGAGACAGAAGAAGGATGCCCAAGGCCCGGAGAGCAGCCAGCCGAGTCATAACTGAGATTCCTTGTCCAGCGCACAGCCAACGAATTCTCTCCGGCGGCAAGCATTTCTGAACAAAGGCTGAATGCTGCACAATGGGGAACCGTGATTGATTGATGTATCCTTGTTTATGCCGTGGTATCCGCAAGGCATCAGCCATGCGCAGTGGCTCCCGGCGTATTTTGAGTCACTCAGTAAAGGCGCAACACTTGATTGGTCCGCGCAGCAGACTAAGCGAGCTCTTTCTTTGAACAGCCCAAGGCGAACTTCTCAAGGGCGCGTTGTTCAAGCATACAACAAGCTTCTTGTCAACCACCTCCTCGATCTACCTCAACCATAAATTCATCCTCGCCCTCGAGGCTGAGACTTTTCGTCACTCTCCTGCCCTCTCCAATGTATGTGCGATCCCGCTGCTGCTGAGCGCGAGCCTTTACTTTTTCGTCGCGCGTTTCCCGCGTCACCTTTGTACAAGCTCGACGACATCTCAGATCCTGCACGCCTTCGCAACCTTCCGAAACCGCCTCCTCCCTTGCCAGCAGCGTAATCACGATGTCCGGCTTTGGAGGCTTTGGCGGCTTCGGCCAGAATAACAATCAACAGCAGAGCACTCCTTTCGGTGGATTTGGGTCAACAACAAACACGAATACTGGTAGGTCAATCTCCTATTCAAGCCCCCTCCCTCCCTCCCATCTTGTCTCGCGCACGGCGCCTGCCTCCTCAGGACCGGAAGACTATGGGACACAGCATGAATCCATAGCTTACGAGTATCTTCTTCGCTCGGTACAGGATTTGGCTCTACAGGCAATACTGGCTTCGGAAGCACAAACACTACCGGTGGTGGGCTCTTTGGCGGTGGTTCTACCGGCTTCGGCAGCTCTGGAGGTATGTCGACCACGCTTTGTTGTCGTAATGGATCCTTCTGTGTACCATGTTCCATGGTTTTGTCCTATATAGCGCCAGTCTTCTCAGCGCGGTGGCGGCTTGTCTTCTTCCCAGGTCTCTCCTGCAGCAACCATGGATAAATCGATTCATGCACCAGGTGGCGTGTCCGATCTGGATATGGGAGCACTTGATATGGGATCACGATCACTAACATTATCTCGACTAGGTTTCGGTAATACGCAAAATAATGCCTTCGGTGCAAAGCCAGGTGGATTTGGTAGCACAACTGCAACCACCGGCGGCGGATTATTTGGCAGTGGTACGGCCACATCAGGGTCCACTGGTTTCGGTGGATTTGGTTCGAGCACCCCTGCTGCTTCGTCGACAGGCTTTGGCGCAGGAAATAGTGGTGGTTTGTTTGGAGGTAATAAGACTGGTTTTGGTACGGGCACGACGAACACGTCAAACCCATTCGGCGGCGGTACGTCGACTCCGTTCGGAGCCTCGACCACAGGCGCGTTCGGAGCTCCAGCTTCCACAGCTTTAGGAGCAAATACTGGAGAATGCCAGGGCACTGGAGCCGTTCCATTCCAGCCTTTCGTCGAGAAGGAGCCCAACAGCACCAGCAATCAACAGAACGCTTTCCAGAGCATATGCTTCCAACAACCATACCAGAAGTTCTCCCCTGAAGAGCTCCGATTAGCGGACTACGCGCAAGGTCGCAGATATGGTAACCAAAGTAACCAACCAGGTGCTTTTGGCAGCACCAACTTTGGATCTTTCGGTTCTACGAATCAAACCAGTACTGGATTCGGCGCAACCAACACTGGGACAGGTTCGAATCTATTCGGTGGTGGATCAACGGGCACTGGATTTGGTACCTCCCAGCCACAGACATCTGCATTTGGAGCAAATACCGCTACAAGTGGAGGACTCTTTGGACAGAAGCCTGCAACTGGTGGCTTGTTCGGCGGTCAGGCACAAAATCAAACTTCTGGTGGTCTTTTTGGAAGCGGGTCAACAGGATTTGGTTCTACAAATACTGGAGGATTCGGCTCAAACACTGGGACCACAGGCTCGTCGCTCTTCGGTGCCAACAATGCGGCCAAGCCTGCTTTCAGCTTCGGAACTTCAACGCCGGCCTCTACCGGTACGGCTTTCGGATCAACACCTGCGACTGGGGGCTTTGGCAGTGGGGGCTTGTTTGGAGGAGGACAGCAACAGAACACATCAACCCCTTTTGGTACACAGCAGCAACAACAGCAACCAGCTACGAACAATCTATTTGGTAGTGGCTTTGGCAGCACCTCTCAACCTGCTTCTGGATCATCTCTCTTTGGTAATAACAACAACCAACAGAAACCTGCTGGTGGGCTTTTCGGAACACCTGCTGCGACAGGAACTGGCTTATTTGGTAGTTCACAACCAGCAGCCAATACGACTAACCCCTTTGGGGCTTCCACCAACACGCAGAACACCGGTGGTCTATTCGGTAATGCCGCCAAGCCAGCTACCACTGGGACAAATCTATTTGGAACTCCTAGCAATACTCAAACAAATACTGGTGGAAGTCTCTTTAGCGGATTTGGTAGTTCAAACCAGAATCAGCAACAACAGCAGCAGAATACCGGTAGTCTTTTCAGTGGTCTCGGTAGCAGCAACCAACAGAAGACGTCGTTATTCTCTCAGCCCCAGCAGCAAACCGGTGGTACCAGTCTCTTTGGTCAAAATACTGGAACTCAACAACAAGGAGGGAGCTTATTTGGTGGCCTTGGCAGCTCCCAACAGCAACAGCCGCAGCAGCAGCAGCAGCCCCAAAACTCCCTCTTCGGTGGTGGTGGTAGCTCCTCTCTCTTTGGAGGGTCGCAGCAAAACCAGCAGCAACCCCAGTCTCTCACAGCCAGCATCAACGACAATGCAGCGTTTGGCAATGCGTCTCTGTTCTCTAGTCTCGGATCGGCGCAAGTCAATAACCCTGGTCCGCTTGCGACACCGCTGTCTAGTAGTGCCAAGCAGAAAAAGGCTGCGGCGCTTCCTATGTACAAGTTGAACTCTGCTTCTACAACTCGTTTCGTTACTCCATCCAAGCGAGGTTTCGGGTTTTCTTACAGCAATTACGGTACTCCTGGTAGTGCTTCAAGTACATCCAGCACTCCGGGATTCAACGGTAGCTTGCTGGGTAGTAGCATGAACAGATCACTAAGCAAGAGTGTATCCGCCAATAGCCTTCGCCGAAGCTTCAATTCTGAGGATAGCATTCTTGCTCCAGGCGCATTCTCTGCGAGCCCCAGCGCTAGGCATTACGGCAGTACTGGAAGCATGAAGAAATTGGTCATCAATAGGAACCTTCGCTCAGATCTCTTCTTACCACCGAAAGAACAGAACCAGCAGCTCCCTGCCAGTCCCAATGGCAATGGTATTCTCAAGAAGCGGGTTTCCTTTGACTCTAATACTTTAGGTCCCGCTAATGGCACCAGCCCCCTAAAGCAGGTACAAAACGGTGCAACCCCCAGTTCGGAAGAGTTAGGCTACATGCGACCTCGACCTACAACTAATGGCACAAACGGCACTACTTCGCCACCTGAGATGGAACAAGTCAGGAACAATGAGCTCGCCATCGTTCATGAGGAAGAAGCAACAAATTCAACCACCCAGAAGCCTTCTGCGCCCATTAGTCTCGAGGATCAGGAACCTGGACAGTACTGGATGAAGCCTACCAAGGCAGAAATTGAGAACATGACCCGAGATGAACGCCGCGCCGTTTCCAACTTTACCGTCGGCCGTGAGGGAGTTGGCCATGTTACTTTCTCTACCGTCGACCTTAGAGACATCAATCTCGATGAGCTCTTCGACAACATTGTTGTTCTGACTGTTCGATCAGCCACCGTCTATCCGAATGCTGCCAAGAAGCCACCGAGGGGCAAAGGTCTCAATGTTCCATCAACCATCTCGTTACAGAACTCCTGGCCTCGAGGCAAGGATAAGCGAACACCCCTTGGTGAAAAGGCGGGCCCAAGACTCATGAAGCACATTGATCGTCTACAGAAGGTTCCCGATACCAAATTTGTTAGCTACGACAAGGATACCGGAGTTTGGACTTTCAAAGTTGAACATTTCACGACGTATAGTTTGGATCTCGATGAAGATGAGACTGATGGTGAAGAAGTGAGCGAACTTGGCCAAAGCACCCTTAGCGCTCCACCAGATACTCCCACACCTAAGTCTCGCACACCCCAGCCGCGAAGCTTCGATGAGACTTTTTCGTCTGTGTCTCAAGTCACCCAAACGGAATCTGACCCGGATGATACATTTCAATTCCGAAAGAAGAAGATTCTCCCTGGCGCATTTGATGGCCAGGAGGTCTTTGATGAGGAAGTGGAAATGGAAGAGGATGAGGACCAGGACCAGCAGTCTTTTTTAGATGAGCGCTCCGTGGGTTCGCAATCTGAAAATGGCGTCGAAGAGCCAATGGACCAAGACGACGTCTTTGTAGATAACGAATCTGTCAGTATTGTGGATCAAGAGATGGCGGGCTCTTTTCCACAGGCTGACTACACCACGGAGCACGATGACAACTCGCAGGATGATGAGAGCATGGACGCTGTGGAGGATACACCTGGAGGAATTTTGAGGGCCAGAATGAGAGCACTGAAAAATTTTGAATCGCCGGCGAAGCGGAAATTTGCGACTGGTAATGACTGGACGAGTACCCTTAAGACTACGATTAGTCCCCAAAAGCAGGACCGCGCTTTACTCAAGAGTTTGATTGATCTTCACGACAACGATTCTCGACGCGACGACGAACCGACACCTGTTGCAAGAAGCAGAGTCGTCTCTGATGGACGTGGCTTTGCTACCAGCATTGATTTGATGAATTCGTTATTCGGCCAGACAAAGAGCCCAGTTAAGCCTGCAAAACTTACTGCAAAGCCCAAGGGTTTCGAGGTTGGTGTTCCCTCCTGAATTTGATGCATCTATTTGGGGTTGAAGAGGGGCCGTTCGTTGCGCCCACGCATGTACGTAGAAAACAATGTAATCATTTGCTAAAATTTTCGTGTTATAGTGGCCCTATGTGAAAAGATCCAAGACTGGCGATGATGATATGTCTAACATGACCGAGTCAGACCGCGCCTTCCACGAGTCCATGAGACCAACTTGGGGTCCGGACGGAACACTGGTCTACGCCGTCACCTCAAATCCGCAGCCATTCGGCAAATCATCTCGTAGAGCGCGTGAGAGGGATGGTTTACTCACAATTCAGAAGGGAGGCGTGGTCTCCGAGAGCAGAGACGTAAGATTTGCTAAGTTCTCGAACGAGGTATGATTTCTATCTGAACACTGCGTGCATATCAAGTCTAATTCCAAGCAGGCTGCCGCACAGGCACTGAAGAAGCACATCAGCTTGACAGTTATTGATATTATCGATGGTGTTCCCCTTGCGACACTTGGTCGATCTTTCTCTTTCTCAGATTTCGTTGATAACCAAGCCAGTCAGAACCCAGCTGCTACACACGAGAAGCTTGTTTGGCAGCTTGCCAGTGTCCTCTTCGATCAAATTAAGGTCCCTAAAGAACTTGAGCAGTTTCCTAATGCGGCCAACCGCTTGCGCAAAGATAAATTGTCAGCTTTTTGGCAAAAGCTGGTTGACCAAGCTACCACCCAACAGATCTCCATGGCTAGATCAGCCGAGGAGAAAGCAATCGCGGCTTTGTCAGGCCATAGGATCCCGGATGCCTGTGCGCATCTTATCAATGGCAAGGATTTTCACCTTGCAACACTCGTTGCTCAAATTGGGGCAAGCGAAAGCATGAAGAAGGATATTCGAGAGCAACTCAGCGACTGGCAAAAATCTCGGGTCCTGTCAGAATTTAGCCAACCGATCAGAGCCCTCTATGAGGTTCTTGCTGGTAATGTCTGTGTCTGCGAAGGATCCAAGGGAGCGCCGATCGAAGATCGCATTGAGTCGTTCGTCATTTCAAAACGATTCGGGCTCGATTGGCGACAGGCTTTCGGTATGAGATTATGGTATGGCATCTTGGCTGGGGAGAACATCGAAGTTGCCGTTCAGAAATTCGCGGATGACCTTGCACAAGATCTGGAGACCTCTCGACCCCACGCTTGGTATGTTGAGCAGAAGATACCACCGTTGTGGGAGGATGAAAAGCTCGGAGAACGTGAAGATTTGCTCTGGGGTCTTCTGAGACTCTATACCTTCCCGGACTCGGATCTTGAAGCTATCATTCGTCCGGAGAATTCCCAATTATCTCCCCTTGACGCCCGCCTCTCCTGGCAACTTAGCCGCACTCTCACCACATACGGCGGGATTGGCTACTCGGAAGATGCCGCCGATAAATCAGATGAAGTTACTTTATCCTTTGCCTCACAACTCACTAGTGAGGGCAGTTGGCTAGAGGCTATCTTCGTCCTCCTTCATCTTTCATCTGCTGATGCTAGAGCAAAGTCCATTCAGAATCATCTCGCCTGCCATGCTGGCCGTATAGGGTCAGAGGACAGTGAGAGTTTCACAGTGTTGACACAGGATTTCAAGATCCCTGCGCCATGGATCTGGGAGGCCAAGGCGCTCTACATGCGAAGCGTGAAAAAGGATCCCAGAGGAGAGGTTGAGTGCCTTATCAGAGCCGGCTCCTTCGAGGAGGCCCACCGCACTTTCGCCAAGGATGTCGCACCCAAGGCCGTTGTGGAACGCGATTATGATACTCTGCATGCACTGCTGAGTGGCTTCCGAGGCAAGGAAAATATTATCTCAGAGTGGCGCCTGGGCGGAGAGATATATCTCGATTTCCTCTATTTGCTAGATTGTCAGCAGAAAGGAAGAGCCGTCGACTATTCGGTTCTTGACCGATTGCTAGCCGGACTCCCTGCTGTGGTTGAGGAGTCGCGGCATCCGGATTTCATGGAGACTGTTGCGATCGAGACGATCAGCGAAGATGTCGCTAAGATGGTGGTTAATTTGGGAAAGAAGGGCGAGGTAAGTCTGTCCTGTACGTCTCAATTGGATGTCGCTAACATAACGTAGAAGGCCGATCTCCCCAAAGTCTTGAGACTGCCACTGACGGAGGACAAATACTTGAAACACACTGTCGAATTGAGTCTGAGATACTACCGGGATGTTATGGTAGGTGGACGATAAAACAGTTTGCCTTTGGAATCGCCATGTGGTGCGGCAAATGGAAGTAATAAATACCCAGGTATCTCGAGGAGGAAAATGGATGGGCGAGCAAGGAGGAAAAAAAGCCTTGGAACAAAAAAGAACTCTGCTTTGAATGGAAAAACTTGTAGAATAGCACTTGCATAGCATGGCGTAGCATAGCATCGTGGCATGAAATGGTTTACGATGATACTTCTTCAACCTTGAACTCCTGGTGAGGTTAGCATCACGTGATATGATACCCCTGATTCGGGGAGTTTTGTTGCATATCGCACCCTTGACAAGTCCACTGGTGTTGACCGGGGGTTTGAATCGCTGTGGGATTAGCATCACGTGATATGGTGTTCATGAGTACCTTACCTAGAAGGAATTTTTGTTGCAACATCGCACCGACGACAATCCTGGGAATGTTAAAAGGGTGTTTGGATGATAGTGAGATTAGCAGAGGAGTTAATTATTTTGCTGCATATCGCTTCCATGATGATTTGGGGGAGGGTTAACGTGTTGAGATGATCTCGATTCTCGGCTAAAGAACCTCCTACTTTGTTTCTCTCTGTTCCGCGTTTATTGAGATTAAGCATCTTCTAAAGTATCTAGACTACCTAGGTAGGTAGGTAGGTTCTCTAGAAATAGTACGATGACATTCGCTATCGGCTTTTCTGAAGGGATTGATTGATTGATTGATTGCTCCCCTTTTTAAATATTTAAATCTTTATACTGACTGAGTGTGTATCTGCAATCAAAAGAGTAATGGTTGGTCCTTCTAATCTTTCTGAGGTTGATGACCGTGGCTCCTATTCTATTGCTCAATGGTCGTGATATAGGTAGAATAGAGAGAATTCTTTCGTCTAAAGAGAGAGAGAGAGGGAGAGATGACATATTTCTAAAATTAAGGATGATTCTTATTCCCCTGAAATATCAGTCCGTTTTGATGCGTTGAAATGGTGCTGATCCATATACTCCATAATCGAATCCTGTTTTTTGTTTTTGCTCTCGTTAGCCCATGATCTCCCCTCCTCCTTTTCTTCCAACTCGTCAAGTTTTCGAAATACCTAGATTCAAACAAACAAAAAAAGAGACATATATGATAGCACATACCCAACTCTTACACAAATGCGGCACCCCCCAGCCATCAACTGAGTACCTCCTCCCATCCGTCTCGGTCCTCGGCCACTCCAGCGCCAAATCGCCCGCACACTGCAACGCCTGTCTCAAATAATCAAAACAGTGATTCACATGGTGATTCCTGCGATGCGCGACGGCGAACTCTTCAAGGTCGGGACTCTGGAAGGTGGCTTTGTCCAGGAGCGTCCAGTAGACGTTTCGGAGCATGCCGAGACAGTGCAGTTGGTGGAAAACGGCGACGCTATGGATTTCCCCGACAGAGGTGCTCTCGCCGGCTTGGAGGAGCGGGTGCGTTGAGGCGGATGGGGGCGTGAAGATGTAGCCGCGGCCGGGCTGGAGGGGGAAGGCGTTAGTTGAGATGGAAGTGAATGAGGGGAATTTGGGATGAGAGGGGAGGGGAAGGGAACGTAACTGGTAGGATAGCGTCCCAGGCGGCATTGGACTCGTTGGAGGAGGCGGCGGCGGCATAAATGGCGTGTTCTTCGAAGGTTATGGTTTCGATGGGCACTATATGTAATATATCAGATACCATCAAGCAGTCAATCACTCACTCACTCACTCATCCTCCCCAATTTGCCCACCCCCCTCAAAGAGAAATACACAAACAAACAGACAGACAGACAGATAGACACAAGTTACAACCCAACAAATCTCAAATTCCAAGAAAAAGAAATCACATACTCGCAGGCACCACCTCAGGATACAGCCCATCCTGCAACCTTCTTCCTCCCTCCCCACCACTCAATCTCAAAAACAAATACGTATTTCCCAGAAACGCGACACCCGCGAGCACCGCAAAGATAAATGCTAATAGCTTCGTCTTCCGGATGCTGAGGAGCTGGGTCTGTAGATGGAGATCCTCGGGCTCGTCGTGGCTGCTGCTGCTTCGCCAGAGGGGGGTGTATGTCTGTTTCATTGTTTGAGTGAGGGTTGGGGAATGAGAAGAGGAGGAGGAGGATGGAATGAAATGAGATGAGATGAATCTCCAGTCTCTCTCAACGACACGCTACGGGGAGCCTCTTTCTCGAGCGGTCAAGAATCACGAATCCAAGTCTCACATCTCTCTCGGAAGCGCTTTTCCTTACTCCCTGTCTCTATTCCGTCTCTCCCTCGTGCATCATAAGCCGTACATAAATCCAGATGCGCCGCTCGTAACATTGTTTCCGCCCCTGCCCTGTCAAACGCACATCGCAAGGATCTAGGATGTTTATAAAACCCCTGCTTATCGGTTGATTTCTAGCCGTGCAGTTTAGCGCATACAAGGATACTTCGTTCTTATTCCCGGTACGATCCGGGATCCGCTTTTTAAGCATGGGTGCAGGGGGTGTGCAGGGGTAAGAGGTGGGGCGGTACGAGGTGCGGATTTGGGAGGGCTTGATAGATGAATAGGCACGATATTGTGTGGGTTTTATGGGAGGAGGGAGTTTGGAAGGTTGGAATTTTTATTTTTAGTAGGCGAAAAGGAAAAGAAGAGAGACGTTGGTTTTCTTGGGGTCAGACATCTATTCTGATCTCTACTTGTTGAAATGGTTAGCGGGAGCTTCTAGCTACTCTCCCACCAATTCAACATTATCCACGCAGATAACTGCAAGATAAGATCATGAAAACATAAAAATTAAGACTATGTAGCTACGCACGGAGGATGAATCTCAACTGCGTCAAATAATCCCCAGCTTGCTGCGCAGCGGATCTACAAAGTTCGCCATGCCCCATTCCTCATAGGGCATGCATTTTGGCCATTTGACATGCACCAGCGTGTGCAGCTCCTCGAAATCCCACCGCCGGTCCCGCACCACCTCCATACAATGACGCGTGTGGTCGAAGGCCAGGATGTTATCTGGCAGCGCCCGCCGCTCCAGCACCGCCGTCTGCATCATACGCCATGTGTACATGCAATGCGTGAAGTGCCAGTCCCAGGGCACATTGTAGCGGCGGGAGCCGCTAGAGACGACATCCCAGGAAGAGACGGCGGTACCGTTCGGGTCCTCGTAGAATTTCCATTCGCGCGCCGCCAGAAAGGACTCGACGATGTCTGGGTGGTAGCAGCCTGGCGTCTCCCAGGAAATGGTCAGGTAGTCGAATTTGCAGTCTAGGCTGCGGGCGGCGTCGGCGGAGTCGCCGCATTGTCTCACGGTGGTGGATGCGAATGGCGAGGGGGATGACCGCGGAGGTGGGGTCGAGAATTGCTTCTCCGAGTGTGCATGGAGAGGATAGAGGATGACGAAGAAGAGCTCTGAAACGAAGACAACGACCATAAGGAGGAGGATGAGGATCTTGAGAGTCTTGGACTGGGCTGGTGGATCTGAGAACTTGCTGGTCTCTTGTTTCGGTTCTTGCAAACCAGGGAAGGAGCCTTCTTCGTCTGAGATGACAGCGTACAGTTGCGGTTTCGAAAAGAAGCGGCTGGGGAGGCGAGAGAAGACTTTCTCGCTGAACCAAGAAGACATATCGATGAGCTGTTGAGGAAGAGCAAGAGAAGGGGCCATCTTGAAGGAATGGGGGTCTGCCCAACCAGAGGAGTCGTAAAGAATGATCAGAGGACTGACAAGAGCTGGGAAATGGAGGAAAGCATGACTTGGAAGTTGGAACTCCGCTAGGAATATGGACAGGAGAGATAAAATCAAGTGAAAGAAAGTGGCATGAAGTGAAGTGGGTGAGTTCTGGCCTCGACTGCAGCCGAGGTGTATACAGGACCCTGTACCGCAGGGGATACAGGGTTGTGGGGAAGAGTCCCTGTAGACTGTCGATAACACGATAATCAGCAGCTCGTTACGCTCACACCCCTCGTACGCCGAGCAGTGGCCTAGCCTTGACGACGGGACCTTCCACGACTGTCTCACTTACCTTAAGCTTAAAACCACTACTCCGGAAATAGCGGGCATGCAGGCGTGACAGCTGGCCTCGTGGAATTTGACTGCAGCCTTAGCGCTGTGGCCCTCGTCTTACGTGAAGGTGCTGTATAATGCGCTAGATGCACTCAGATGCACCCCGTTTTATCGGCCGTATCGTAATAATCACCTGCAGACGGCACGTCATGAACCGTGAATCGTGATAGACCGCCATCATTCAGCCCGTCTGACGTCTGCTTCATCTCCATCCTATCCCTGCTCTCCTCACCCGCTGCGCCTATACTCGAAGTAGAAGGTCTGTGTCTAGGTGAGCCGTCTGGAGACGGTCGAGATTCGAGGCAGAGCTGCATGCTGCCGATGCCGTTTTCCCCCGCAGCTACATCCACAATACGAGACGAAAAGGGTAGGTTATAATGGGTTCTGAATGATACAATCGAATGCTTTTTAGCTGTTTGCAGGGGCTTTGCTGTCTGGCGCACACGAGCGCGAGCCGTCCCACTAGGTAGCATCAATGCGTTAGGTGTAGGGTCTTCAGCCCCGCCACAGTCCACGTTCCGTGCCGCCCCTGGTAGATCATGGATGTGAATGCCTTCAAAATTGCAGAGGGGCTGGCATCTGGGTTTCGAGAAATACAGCGTACTGAGTATGCTGATCGTACACGCTTATAAGTGCACTGTGCGTAGGGCTTGCTGGGGCACCCTGCAAAGTTCCTGTATCTCTGTATCTCTGTATCTCTGCATCTCTGCTTGAATCCAGTACGCGGCGGGGCGGAAGAAGCGTACGGCGTATAGCGCCATGTAATACCAGTAAAATCAAATAGCATTATAGCCGTTCACTTATCGTAAATCATCTAATATATGTATAACAGAATAGACCGGATTCGATCGTCATGACATCCGATGCAGTCCGGTCTTCCGCGAGGCCCAGCATTTGGATCGTGTCTTGGAGGCTTGCCGAAAACGCCTCGGGCTTGCTCCCATTCTCTATAGTCAGAGGTCCAAAGTACTCTCGAAACCTCTCGTCGGGGCGCTTTCGTTGCCAATTCCACCAGAGTCGGTCAATCTGAGCATGATGTACATAGAATATCGGGTCTATAGATGCAGTTGAATTATGTTAGCCCATCCTTGAGATTGTAGATAGCTGGCAGATACCGTTTGGTGAAGCGTCAGTAGGCATCTCTCCGCCAATGCCATTGTGCACTGATTTATGCGGACCACTTTCCAGGCGCGACCTAAATTCCTCATATGTATTTGCGTTCTGTATGAGTTCGGAAATGATATCTGCCGTATAGTTAAATCCGTTCATGCCAGCGGTGAAGTTGCGTCTGAGGCAGTGCTGCGAAGGGTACTGCGGCGAGATATCCAGGAAATATCCGTCCTGAACGCAGTGAGAACTCGCGTCTCCGTTGCCGCCAAATCCTATCTGAGGTGACCATATGGGCGAATGCTCCGGCTGTGCGCTATCAAGTGTCCAGTCCCAGTACCTGCAAGTAGGTGGATTAGAATTGTCCGGATGGACACTCAATCGCCCTTGACTCACGGTAGATAATTATTATATCCGCACTCGCTCCGCAGTGTCTTCTCAAAAACATAAATAAAATATCGGTGCCAGGGTAGAGAAGGGGCAACGTTATGTGCTATGAATATCTGTGTTAACGAGCTTTCGATGTCTGGTGCTATATCTTCACCTACCTCCGTCGTACAACTTGATGTGGACGTATACGAAATCATCATACCGAGTGGTCGGCAGGCCTAGTCGAGAGGGGTTTTGTGTCAAGCATTTAACAGCCGTGAGGTATTGTTCCTGTTCCTCTGGATTAAGAGATCTCCATTCTCGGCGTAGAGCAGGGTTTTGACCTGTGATGACCCATCAGCTTTCAGCCAAGTTCTTCGAATAGACTTGTAGAGAGATCTCACAGCTATCTTGGGAAAATGCCAGGTTGGAGTAGGTTTGAGAATAAAGAACACGGAAAATCGCGACTGTTATAAGAAGAAGAGTCGTTATGAGAGAGAGTATGATGATTGTGTCTAGTCTGCTAGAATACTGGAGGGAGCTCTGGAGAGCCTCTTCGTCGGAAATTCCAGACTCCTTTGACAACAATACATCGCGATCATCGTCCAGAGCCTCCTCAAGGCTGTTGGGCCCCGAATAATGCATGATGTATATGGAGAAGAGATCGAGCGATGGGAGAGGAGACAGATACGACGCAGGGAGGTATGCTTATTAATAAGCACTACGGGCAGACTGTTTTATTGGACAATTCAAAATGCTTATAATATGGGTCCTGCACGGGATTTTTGAGACTGGGTCTTATATTTAGTCACGCGGGGAAGGCGGGATCTAGTGTGTTTTAAGTATCGCTTCGCACGAGCCAAATATTCGGTGCTCATCTTTCAGACTTCATTCTAAACTTATCGCTAGTATAGTAGAAACTTCATAAGCTACAACCATCGTATTCTTCCTCATCGGTCTCAAAATGCCACAGGAATCACAGCAAGTACTACCAAAATGCACGCCTTTATCCATCGTCGACTCATTCCTCGCCCCTCCGTCTTTCTCGCCCGAATTCCCAATGCTCGCATCTGAAGTCGATCCAGTTTGCAGAGTGCACAACGGGTTGCCTTAAATACGGGAGGGGCCGTGGTCCCCCGTTTAAGCGTAGGACTGGTGTCCACAGGCCACACTATCAGTATCCCGATCGCATGATTGGCGGGCGTAAGACTGGTGGGCAGTGTCGGGCTCAACCTCAACATCACGGGCATAGGACTGGTGTCCACAGGCCACACTATCAGTATCACGGTTGCATGATTGGCGAGCGTAAGACTGGTGAGCGGTGTCAGGCTCAACGTCGACATCGCGAGCATAGGATTGGTGAGCGGTATCAGGTTCAATCTCGATATCGCGGGCATAAGACTGGTGACCGCAAGCTACACTGTCAACATCCCGGTCGCATGATTGGCGGGCGTAAGACTGATGGGCAGTGTCGGGCTCAATCTCGATATCGCGGGCATAAGATTGGTGGGCAGTGTCGGGCTCGACCTCAAGGCCACGAGCGTAGGATTGGTGACCGCAGGCTACACTGTCAACGTCTCGGTCGCATGACTGGGGAGTAGGAGCAGCGCCAGTGACGGCAATCAGTGCTGGAAGCACAAGAAGAAGGGATTGGAAATGCATAATGGATGAGCGAGGAGCAAGTACTCTTGGAGAAAGCTAAACAGGGTGGGTAGATGCAATGCTCTGGGACTTCCAGGAGCACAGGATCGGCTTCTTTATATATCACACACTCTCTGCAACTATCTACTCAGCGGTGTGCTCTTTATTCCCGGGAGAAGTTACGCTCGCGGCTCCCCATTCTCTCTGTCGGTCTGGACCAAACAAGTGTGAAGGTACCCTTATTTCGTATATTACCTGTCGTCTCATTTTCCTCATCTTTTCCAGGGATTCTCATCACTAGCTCGAGCTTGCTAGAGACCACTTCGTACTTGACCCTCAGATCCCCTCCTACCTTCCATCTTTGGCCATATTCTGCCGGACAACTAGCTGTTGATACAGAATAAAACCAATCGGCGGCATGGGACTCTGCCGTCAGCTTCTATACGAAGTGCCTGAGCTGAAGTTATGCGGCCTATGCATCTGTATGCCACTGACGACGGGCTCGCCCTCGTGCTGCTACCAGCGCTAAATGATATCCAGCAGAAGCTTGTCCCCTGTACTATCCCTCCGGCTCAGACACCCCATACCGGTCCACTCCTCAATATCTCCTCGGAGCATCTGAGTAGTTTGAAGCCAGTTGAGTCGAGTGGCACCAGTAAATCTCCCTTGTTCAAGTAGCCTTGAAAAGTAGAGAGGTATAAGGTGTCCAAGGGAAGGATAGGAGAGACAATAAGCGATTCATTGGCAGGCTCTTGCAGTGCACTGGTATATCTGGACCCAAGCGAATCAAGTGTCAAACTGTCAATCGCACGTGGGCACTGGCATTCTGCATCGATCCTGGCACCTGCATGTTGCCCTTGCCCTTGCCCTTGCCCCCCGGCCATTATCTTAGATCCTTACCCTTGTACTTTTGAGCTGCACCCCTGATCCTTGCATCCCGCAGGACCCCGCCTCTAGTTTTATCTTATCGGCCTGCAGGTACTCTTACATCAGCTTGTGTGTCTGGATGCATCGATTCCACCATTCCAGCCCTAAAGAAGGAGGAGCAAATGGGATCCGGGGGACGAGAGTCACGAGATCTCTGAAAACGAGGAGATGGACCATTCCGGAGTAGTTGTCTTATACCTTACGGTCGTAAGACTCTATACGAAGTGATTGATGGTCGAGCCGGTCAATTGGTAGCCTCGTGGTCGAATCTGGCGGAAGAGGATAGGAGCATGACTTTTCAGGGCCATCCCCCAGGATGCTGCAAGAGGATACAGACCCTCTCGGCTGCGGCTGTAGGTGATAAGGTTCGTCGGCCCTTTTTTTTATTCCCGGCTGGGACCTCATCGACCCCGCCATTTCCGACCAGAATCAGGGGGTCAGAAGCTGTCCCTCCATTTTTCCTTGCCACTATCCATCTTTTTAGCAAATGTCTTTTGAGGTTGAAATCTTATGTCAACTTCAAACCTCAGTATGGAGAATAGAGACATATCCCGAGACGAGGCGACGACCGGATTCCTGAGCACGGAGACGAAAGCCTCCCAGATCGATGCGAAAGCCCCTCTACATCAACGATGGCCCTCTCCGCGAGTCTTCTATTCTACCCTCGCTATCCTGAGCATCGGAATCCTATTGCTGAGCGCCAAAATTCTCTCCATGAGATACCACAATCTGGAGAATGCAAATCTCTCGTCTCCGGCCCTCTTGGACATGAGCCCTTCCGAAGCCAGCCCCTGCGGTAATGACGCGAACACCGCTCGCAGCCTGGGCTGCAACTTCGACCCGCTCACCTTCGCCTGGCTGCCGCCGCAGTGCTACAATTATAACCTCACGGCCGAGTTCCTCCAGCTCCAAGACTGGCAGTGGTGGCGGCAGCGCGAGGATGGGTCGCGGCGCCAGCTATCGCTGATCAACGTCATGCAGGGCTCTGACGAGACCTTGTACGTGACTTGGGATTATCACCGCCAGCATTGCGCCTACCTGTGGCTGAAGATGCATCAGGCGATAATGGAGGGAGCGCCTATTGACGGCGTTGCCATGTTGGATATCATCACAGGTGTCTGCGATAGGGTACTGCGGTCGAAGAGGGACCTAAATGACACGAGCGTTCCGGGGTATATTCGGTATCCCTCGTGTAAGGTGTATTAGGAGTCTGCTGTTGGTTTGATGGGTTGGCTTTTATAGAGAATCTCAAAAGGCTTGTACATATCTTCCAAGGCCGAGCATGAGGGAACAAGAATTCTAATAAACTCTCCTTACCAGATGTCCCTGTATGGATTTCCTGTGACGAGAAATTCGAACTCATTCAGACGTCACGTACTATCGTGCACTGCAGAATTCAGAGCTTGGTTTCTCTCAATCCACAGTAGATTAAACCTAACAATAACACCTCCCAACCATCAAAAGAACCCCGCATTCCTCCCCAGACTACCAAAACCCTACACTCCCCTCCTAACCTCCTCGACCCTCTTCATCTGCTCACGCATAAACCCATCCAACGCCGATTTCTTCTTACACTCATGCGGGATCTGCATACCATCTACCTGAAACCTGCTCCCATCGCTCTCAGTCCTCTCCCACTCAATCGTCATATCCGCATGGCACTCCAGCGTCAAGCGGATATAATCCATACAATGGCGATTATGCGAATTCGCCATCTGCTCGCGGACTTCTTTCCGCAGATCCTCATCAATACGTCCATCCTGCTCATCCCGCTTCAAGATCCCTTCGAGAAGATTGAAATAGTCGCGCCGGATTATGGAGAGGCAGTGCAGCTGGTGGTAGAGTGCCACGGAATATACGTCCCCGTTTCCTTGGGGCGTGGATTCTCCCGGTGAGAGCGAGTAGCGCGTGGGTGATGGGATGAAAACGTAACCGCGCCCAAACTGAAATGCAGATTAGTTTATGTAGGAGCCGGGACTGGGGAGGAAACCCAAAAGAGACAAACCGGCATGATGGATTCCCAAGCATGTTCGCTCTCGGGCGTACGCAGGCCTGTAAATGTATAATTCCATTCAAAAGTTCGCATCTCAGTAGGGACTAAACTCCCCCAAAAAGAATAGAGTGTAAAGGTTAGCTAGTTTGACTTATCTATATATACAAGTAGTACCTTAGGTAGACGGTTTTGGGAACAGGATTGAAAAGCAGGACATACACTCCGGAATTGGCGTTTTATATAATCGCTCCACGCTCCCCGTTTCCCTGGCAAGACGGGCCATGACGAGGTATACCACGATAGCAGGGAGGATTCCCAAGAGACTTGAAAATAGAGGGAGCAGCAATAGTCGTCGTCGCGGCCGCAAGACCTTCTCGAATTCCTCGTCGGAAGGAGATCTGAGTAGGGAGTCTGTGGCTTTGATGTCTAGATCCATTGTCTCTCTCTCTCTGTCTCTCCTCTTTTGTTATTTTTTTTGAGGGGAGGGGAAAGCAAGCAACAGGCGTAAGAATGAATGAATGAATGAATGAATGAATGAAAGGGGGAAATGGCATATCGAGGACCTGCACGCAGCTTAGGCTACTAGGGGGAGCTATCACAGCGTGAGATCAGTGACTTACCTCCCCCCCCGGGTTCGAATCAACAAGGATCTTTTAATCTTTAACACACCGCCCCTCTGTCTGTCCCTGGCCCCTGTCATGGGCGTATGTCCCGACTCCTCTGTGCCGTAAATAGGTAGGTCTTCTTGTTTTCAGACAAGCTGTCTTCTTTTATGTATGCTTTTATCTAAGGTACATTCGGTTAGTGATCACCTACCTAGCTACCTTACCTTACCTTACGCTGCTTCCGCCCATTAATGCGCTAATGTACCCCTCTTGAAAGGGTGGTGAAGATATCATTGCGGAAGGGGGCCGGAAACCGATAACAGATAATAATTATAATAAGCCTACCTAGCTGAAAGAGCTAAATGGTAGTAGGGTTTTCCTCAGCTGAAGTAAGACTGTAAGATTCATGGTAATACGCTACCCTAATCAAGAAGCTCTGGATTTCATATGAGCTAGGATTACGTGGCGTATGGATATGCAGTATGGGGACAAGGTTGGCTCCGAGTTGGAGCGTTTGTAGAATGACTGAGAGCAAGTGTAAATGTAGATACTAGAAATTATGTGCTTTCACTTCCTCATTCCCTGTAGCTGGAGGATCGTGATTCATGTACGGTAAGCTATGGCAATAAACGGGATTTCTATCTATGAATCTATTTGCAGAATTATACCCTTCCCTCTCTCAAAAATTACTTATATTGAAGGTATATCATTTCCACTCACAGCATATGAGAAGGGCGAAGCTGCTTCACGTCAGTGCATGACCGGGACGTAATCTTGAGAAAGCCTTACCAAGCTCGGGGTGGAAGTTGGGATGCTTAATTAAATTATCATCGAAGCCGTCGAAGGAGTGTTCCGTTGCCCAGTTATGAATGCTGTCCCAATTCGCGCATTCATGCTCGATTTCGAAGTTGGGCCACGGTCGGTGGAACTGCGGCATCCAGTCGTAGGTCATGAGTACAACGTCGGCTTTGCACATGACGAATTGCCGGATGTTGTCAAGGCAGTGGTCTTCTCGAAGTTAATAACCGTGTCTTAGAGGTAAGGAGGCCCCGAAGGGGGGGGGTGTCCGTACCGACGTGTTGGCCCAGATTCTTCTCTTTTCCATTGTGCATGTCATAGTAGTCAGGATGAAGCATCTGTCGAACCCATCGCTATGGCACAGTGTCAGTTTATGATGGAGAGAATGGCTTGAAGAGATTCATACCAAGCAATGCAACTGGTGATAAACATCTATTTACAATCTGGTCAGATCCAGTCCAGCAAGGAATGTAACGCCAACCTACCTAGAGTTGCCATATAACCCGAGCCATCTAACAGTGGAACCGATGTTTTGTTAATCTTATCCAAATCCTCTTTTGAGACTCTTATGGCCGATGGCTCCAAAAGTTTATTCCAAGCTCTATCGAGCTCTCCTCGAGGTTCGCCTTTGTATGGGTTCGTGGTCTCGAGTGAGCCTTCGAATTTTCTTGTCTCCCATGTGATTGCTGACTGCGCAGGGCCTATCTGGTGAGCAGAGTAGAAGGAAAGATTGGATGCATAATATGTGAGCGCCACTTACTGTACAGCGCTTCGGTGCGTGGACGACAGGTTTGAAGAACGTTTTTGGGCCAGAAAGAAAAGATGATGGCTGTGTGGACTGTCAAGAGGGCCAGGTGTATGAGAGCAGCCTTGAAAAGGGAGCGAAATGCAGATCGCTTCTTGGGGCAAAAGACGGCATCAACACCATCATTTGAAATGCCCCCAACGGACTCTGGATCGCGGCCTTCAGAAGGAAGGAGTTTCTCGGTAGAAGACGTTGGATTCATGATGTACAGAGACAAAAGACGCAAAGAGTCAAAGAGGCAAAAGGCAAAGAATCAAAGACGGATAATCACTGATTCATTTCTCTATTGCTCTTGCAGATTACAACATCCAAGGGAGAAGAGAGGTGCAGCTCGACCGATGATAGACTGAGACTCTGAGAGAGAGAGAAAAAGCGGCCCGTTGAACCCGTCCATGACTCCTTGCAAGCCGTAGTTCAATACGAGCTTACATGCTCCGTAAGGGTTAGGTAGGTATGGTGAGGGGGTAAATCATGTGAGGGACTAGTCCAAAGAGGAATTAGAAGGGAAGCTTGACAAGCCGGAAAGATCATCGCCGCACGATCCACTTGGGGCGGGCGGGGGAGATCGCCTTGGGATCCACAGCAGGGGACCCTCGGTAATCACTAAAAGTAACCCTGGTCCCCTGCCGTACAGACTACTCCCTACAGGGCTCGTACTGGACGGAGATACGGCGTATGTCGTGAGCCTAACAGCACCTAGATTCTAATCCCGGTCCCCTTTGCGTCGGGCTCGATTCTAGACAACTCGAACCCTGGGAACCAGTGCTGTACTAAGACAGGACTGTAAGCACAGTAGCAGTCAGTACTCCAGGCCTGTAGGGTGCGGGCTTATCCTTATCTTTGCGGAGAAACACCCCAGGCACGACTCAGAAATACTGACGCCAACTGAGCTGCCTCCAATACGTCCTGCACAGGGCGGAATATCCGAGTACGAAGTTGCAAGAATGGAGGAGCTTCCCAGTTGAGTGATGGTTGATTCTCGATTTCTGACTGATCGATCCCTTCGAAAAAGCGGCCGGAGGGACGAATCAGCATTTTCGTCCCCCTCTCCTTCCTGTGCTCTCCGTCGTAGCCTGTCTTGGGATTGCAGACTTCTGACGCTCAATATTTCGAGGCTTGCTATGAAGGCATCCAGTAAGGGGACCAGCAATTACAAGCAGCTGGAGGATGAAGAGGCGCACGATGGCCTTCTCAAAGAGGGCCCTCTCAAAACCAGAGGTAGGAGGAACATGACATATCCAGAGGAGTCCTCGTCCCAGGCTAACTGCTGTATTCCAAGATTCCTCTTCGCCGTGGCTCCCCTCTCGTACCATCATCGTCGTGAATATCATCACTTTTGTTCTGTCGATGACATGTCTGCTGTTGTCAATCAGATTATACACCCAGTATGGTGATCGGAATGCTATTCTGAGATCCACCCTGTATTATTGTGAGGATACCTGTTACCAAACGTGGACCTGCACTCACAGATCAATCAGCACCGATCATCAAGAGCCATATACCCTTCGAAACCACCCGATTCACCAGCGCCCCCCTATCCGCAAAAAACGAGTCCATCTACCGTCAGCCACCCAGCCCCGAAGTAGACGCCGCATGGGATCGCCTCGCAGACATTGGCACGCACATCCTGAGCTCGGACGACATACGCAGCCTGGGAAAGGACCCCTCGAAGGTCGTTCTCCTGCCTGAAAGCTGGGGCCATGGGCCAGACGCACACCTTGCAACAATCGATGGAATCCACCTCGTGCATTGCCTCAACTCCATGCGCAAGAGTCTGTACTTCAATTTCGACTACTACCATCCCGGCCCTCTGGGACCCGAATACCAGCCCCACCTCTCGCACTGCGTCGAAGCGGTCTTGGAACACCTGATGTGTAAGCCAAGCATGGAGTTTTTGACCCAGATCTGGATTGAGAGGCAGAATGCGCCGTTTCCGGACTTTGCTGTGAACAAGAAATGTTGGGATTATGAGGCTATTCTGAGGTGGAAGGATAAGCATCGGGCGCGGGATGTGGAGGCGAGGTTTAACGAGTTGAAGCCGCCGGCGTGGGTCGTGCCTGAGCCGCTGCCGCCCTTGGTAGCGGAGACGTGGGAGATAGTGGATAGCCGGCGTAATAATACGACTTCGTAGATGCCAGCTTTGGAAGACTCAAGATATCAAGATGCCAGTGTACGATGTGGAATAATGTGACACCTCTGGCGAAATGTCTGTCTTTTCTCCCCCCTCCAGCACTTTACCTATAAATACTGCATGGCATAAAAAGACTGTATAATGTTCTATGATGTTGTATAACCCTCCCGGTCCTTACCGCAATAGGAAGGCCAGAGCTATTTATACGGAATCAAGCCGCAGACCCCTACAGTAGTATTATCAGTTTAGAGCTGACGATCGTCGATCGAGCTTTGCGACAAAGCCATCTTCAACATTCATTTCCTCACGCGACATTCATTCCTCCTTCATGTTCAATTTGCTTTCCATTCCAACCCTTATATAGAGGAACGGGGTCGTCATGGCGGAGCCTCTCTTCACAAAGGCCAGCCAGCAGGTCCCTTTCCAGAAGACCCTCACGACCGCATCCTCGCCCAGTCTACCTCTACCCACGTCGGACAACATTGTTGCGTGGGATATTCGCAGTTCTTTTGCTTTGTTTTTTGACCCCAGTGCTCTTGCCGCTCTACCTTCAGTCGTCTTGATCTTCCTGGCTCTCCCGCGAATATACTCCTTGCACAAGCAAGATATCAAAACAACGCCGCACCCATCCCGGATTCTGAAGCTTGTAAACTAGCCCTTGTCTACCCAGTTCCATACCTAGCTAATCTCCTTGTAGTCTCTCTCCATCGCGCTGGCTTCGGTCGAAGTCACGTCGCTGATTATATGGATTCTCTGTTCTCCGTCACAGACAGCAGCCTCTATATCAATTGGTGTTTTCCGTGTCCTCGCCGCGGTCCTGATTGTTGTTCTTTCCCAATATGAACACAACCGTTCGGTGCGGCCTTCGTCGATACTCATCGTATATCTTTTGTCTTTTCCTCTCGATATCCTTGCGGCGAGGAATCTATATCTCCAAGGAGGTCGACTACCCATTGCCTCGGTGCTCTCAGCTACAGCCGGTGTCAAATTTGCCCTTTGGCTGGTAGAAACAGGCGAGAAGCAGACGTACTTAGAAGCTAAATATCAAAATCTCCCACCGGAATCAGTCAGCGGTATCATCAGCCGGAGCTTCTTATGGTGGCTCAATCTGCTCTTTGCCGAAGGGTCGCGGAAAGTCTTACAGGTCCAGAATTTGTTCGCTCTCGATGATGACCTTGCTGCCGAGAATCTGGGGGCGAATCTCCAAAACGCATGGGACATTCGTGGTATGTACTCTCTGTAGTCTGAGATGAGGATGCTGATTATGAAAAGCAAAACCGGAGGGCCGATTTGCATTTATAAGAGCTTTGTGTCGAAGTCTAGGTCCAGCTTATGCAGAAGTTATTTTCCCACGCTTGTGTCTCATTGTGTTCACATTCGCACAGCCATTTCTCATCACCCAGGTCTTGGAGTTCCTGAAAATCGAGGATGACGAAGGCAGTAGGCAAAAAGGGTATTATCTGGTTGCAGCAACAGGACTAATATACCTTGGAATTGCGGTAAGTGTGATTCATTGGCAGTGCTTATCTGCAATTACTAAATGAAACAGGTCTCATCATTACATAGCAACCATAACTTGTTTCGATTTATCACCATGTTTCGAGGAGCTGCTGTATCCCTTGTCTATAATCGAACACTCTCCATCCAGGAAGGCGAATGTGACGAATCAGAAGCAGTGACTCTGATGAGCACAGACGTAGACAGGATCTCATTTTGTCTTGAGGAGCTGAACGAGTGCTGGTCACGGCTAATTGAAATTGGGATCGGGATTGCTTTACTAACTCGGCAACTCGGCTGGGTCTCAGTAATTCCTTTAGTTGTATGTGTTTGTAAGTTAAGAAACACTCTGGTTGACTTTAACTTTTGTGCTCATCAGCTTTAGTATCAACTGCTGGGTCTTCCGTAATCACAAGCATAATTGGAGATCGCCAGCGTGTTTGGGTAGACGCTACGCAGCGACGTGTTGCGATTACGGGTTCAACGCTCAACCAAATGAAAAGCGTGAAAATGATGGGTCTCGAGGGCGTTATGACTGATATCCTGAAAGACCAAAGAGTAAAAGAAACGAAACTATCGGAGAAGTTTGCATGGGTGATGGTATGGATGAATGTCATAGGTATGTCCATGAATCAGCTCCGGAAATTTTGATTTAAGCGCTGACAAGGAAGCCAATATTCCAATGGTCTTATGTCCAGCAGCCACCTTTGCCGTGTATGCAATCCAAGCAACGTTAAGAGGATCTGAATCTCTGGATACCACCAAAGCATTTACCAGTCTTGCACTCATCATGCTGGTTTCTCACCCTTGCTCTAGACTGCTTTGCGCAGTGCCAAATACGGCCGCTAGTATTGGATGCTTTGATCGGATCCAAAAGTTCCTACTGGCCAAGTCGAATAATGATCAGAGGATCCTCGTTCAAAATACTGAAAACAGAACCAAAGCAAATGGCTACGGGCAAGTGGATGTTCCTCAGGGTTCAGATTCCGAGGACGCCATAGATAATAAAACCTGCAATCTTGGTCAAGATACCATGATACTTCTAGAGGACGTAACCGTAAGGTTCCGCGACGCAAGACCCGTTCTAAACGGTGTAAATTTAAGGATTCAAAAAGGGACTCTTACAATTATCACCGGGGTAATTGGTACTGGAAAAACCACTCTCTTGAAAGCAATTTTGGGTGCGATAGAGTGCGAACAAGGAAGGGTTCTAGTTGGAACGAAACGCATGGCATACTGTTCCCAAACACCCTGGCTTCCAAACGGGACCATTCGACAAGCGATCTGCGGATACCATGAACATCAATCTATTGACGAGACCTGGTATAAGACAGTAATCGAAGCCTGTGCTCTTGATTATGATATTTCGACCCTCCCGAATGGAGATCAGACTGTCCATGGAAGTAGGGGAGTGACACTGAGCGGTGGCCAGAAACAACGTGTTGCACTTGCACGGGCTCTTTATTTTCGACCTGAAGTCTTTATCTTAGATGATATATTCAGTGGGTTAGATAAACGGACTGCGAAAGCCGTTGTTGACCATCTCTGCAAGAGCGGAGGGCTATTCGAGAAGCTGGGGTCTACTGTTGTTTTGGCAACGCACGCTAGTAGGTTGCCTGAGCCTGAAGTATTGGAGATGCTAACGGTCTGACAGTAGGGTATCTTTCGCGAGCTGATCAAGTAGTTGTTACTGACAATAGTGGTAAACTTCATCATGGCACATACGAAGAAATGAAGCAGGCAGGTCTTATAAGTATGGACATAATTGACGAAACTGTTTCAAGTGGAATACCATCTGAAAAGAAAGTAGAGGATCTCGAATCAAGACTCTCAGAAATTACGGCAAATGACGAAGAACAGGATTTGACCCGACAGACTGGAGATCTAACTGTGTACAGTTATTATTTCAAATCTGTTGGCTTCTGGAAAATGCTTACCTTTGTATTTTTCTGCTTCCTGAATGTTTTTTCTAGTAGTTTCAGCCGTAAGATCTTCCATGATTTTCATGTGTCTTTGCTAATGAGATATAGATATATGGTTAAAATGGTGGACTGAAATCGGTGGACGCCAAATTGGTTTATATATCAGCGTTTACTTCGTACTTGCAGCTGGATATATCTTGGGCTTCGGTGGTTATGCATGGTACAAACGGATTCGTTACCTGCGATGAACAAATGCTAAACGTGTACAGGACAATATCAGTTGTGATCGGTCCATCTACCGGCCGTAGTCTTCACCAGGTCCTTCTAAACACTGTCATGCGGTACGTCTTATCAAACCTAACTCTGACACAGTCTGACCAAGTTTTAGAGCTCCACAATCATTCTTTACAGAGACCGAAGTTGGCACGATCCTCAATAGGTTCAGCCAAGACATGAGCTTGATCGAAGGACAGCTTTCCTTCGGCGTTCTCGCAACAGTTTCCAGTAAGTATTACGTTGCCTATAGACTCTTCAAACTTAAGATGGCTAATTTTTATTGCAGATCTGTTTTCCTCGCTCGCCGAAGCTGCATTAGTAGCGACTGGATCTTACTATATGATCATAAGCATCCCATTCATCATGCTCGCAGTTTTTTTCATACAACGCGTCTACCTACGCACCTCACGACAGCTCCGATTTCTCGATCTCGAAACCAGAAGCCCCGTATATTCACACTTTCTTGAAACACTAGAAGGTATTGTGACCATCAGGGCTTTTGATTGGCAACAAGAAGCGGCCAAGGAAAATATCCGTCGTTTGGATGACTCCCAGAAACCATATTACCTACTATATTGCATTCAGAGATGGCTGGCACTTGCCCTTGATCTCATGAGTGCTGGGATGGCTGTTATTGTTGTAGCATTGGCAACAAGCTTGAGGCACACTACAAGTCCAGGATTCCTTGGTGTCTCGATGAATAACGTTCTTTGTGAGTAAGCAGAACGGGCCCTTTGATCAAGAGCTGACATGGTGGAACAGCTTTCAATTTGAGTGTCAGCGCATTTGTTAGTGGGTGGACAGTACTTGAGACTTCTCTTGGGGCTATTGCCAGACTGCGAAACTTCGAGGCCAACACTAAAGTGGAAGCACAAGAAGGCGAAGATACTGAACCACCTATTGATTGGCCCTCCAAAGGACTTGTTGAAATCAAAAACGTCACTGCAGCTTACAAGTATTGAGTTTCCCCAAGGAATCCGTTAGCACTGCTAATGTACTCCAGCTCCTCCAGTGCTGCTCTCCAAGATATTTCCTTGACTATCCTCCCCGGGCAAAATGTAGGCATCTGTGGTCGAACAGGAAGGTACTTTCTCCCCGCTTTTGTTCAACTCAACCATCTAAGCAAGAGTCTAACAAAACCTCGCAGCGGGAAGAGCACTCTATTTTCTGTCCTCCTCCGACTCCTGGATCTGTCTTCCGGAACCATCAGAATCGACTCCCTCGATCTTTCCACCCTCCACCGCACTTCAATCCGTCGACACCTTACCGCTATTCCTCAAGATCCCCTCCACCTGATCGGCACAGTTCGCTTGAACATCGATCCCTTCTCCATCGCCACCGACAGCGAAATCATCGCCGCCCTTGAAAGGGTCGGTCTCTGGAGCATCCTCTCCTCGCGTGGCGGTCTTACCGCCGAAATAGTCCCTGACTCACTATCTAGAGGCCAGCAGCAGCTCTTAGCGCTGGCAAGAGCATTGTTACATAAAAGTAAGATTGTACTGTTGGATGAGGCGACTAGCAGTGTAGATAAGGAGACGGAGGAGACCCTGAGGAAGGTTATGAAGGAGGACTTTAGCGATTGTACTATTATTAGTATTGCGCATCGGTTGGAGACAATCATGGACTACGATGTCGTGGCGGTCATGAATAAGGGGAGGATGGTAGAGTTTGGACGCCCTGCGGAGTTGATGGCAGCTGAGAAATCAGCATTCAGCTTGCTGTGGAAGGGAGCTGGTGATGTGTCTTTGGAGTAAGTCAATAGGTCTAAGGTTATCGAGATATTTAGAAATCCAAGATGATAGACTCGGGAAGAGCGGTGAGGTTTAGGTTCTCAGAATGCATGAGTCTACCTAGGTACAACTTGACCAGGGCATATATCATCACGTGCCAGCCCAGATGACATCTCCACACCTTGCCTATATTGTGGCGGAGAAACAGGCCTGTTTTGAAAGTCAACGTGAGCACGGGTAGAAGATCAAGAGATATTGACTAGAGCTAGGGCGAATCAAGAGCTGTGAGTGAGGAAGTTAAAGAAATAGAAGAGTTGAAGAGGTTGAGCAGACGTGCAGTGACCCGGGACGTGGACCGGGCGCGGTGATTAATAAGCTGGGGGGTGCGGGATTATTTAACAATGGGCAAGCAGGGGCCAAGGATGCTCTTTTTTTAGCAGCATCCTAGCCGTCTCATCGATAAATAGAGTATCGAGTCTTCTATACAGACCCGTATGGGGATTTGATGCCGAAGTTCCATGACGATCACGCTCCTGTGAAACGTTTCGTATCGAATCTCAACTGCGATTTTACCTCTAAGTAGGCATGCAAGGGCGTACGGTCTTCTGGCAAATAAGAGCCGGATGCCGGTCTCATGGCCATGAGAAACGATGATCTTGATTGGTGCACCCCCTTCAGGCCGCAGGCAACGGACCTGAGTTCGCGGCGGTGACAACGGTGATTGATTGGTTTCTACCGTGCATCCTCCCCTTCCCCCGTTCCCCCCCAACCTCCTCGCTGTCTAATCGGGGACAACGCACCAGAACTCCCCAATCAATAGGATAACTGCACATCTACGCTGTAGAGATAAAGTTAATCGACAGGCCCCCCGAAAGGGAAATCGAATGGCTGGATAGTCTCTCGCAGCCGTTGCGCCAATCAGAGGTAACGCTCTCTTCTCATGTTCTACCCCACCGCGCAAGGGACATCTCTGCACCCTCTCTCGTCATTCTTCCTCAGTCAAGTCTTCCGTTCGTTCTCTTGTCGCAGGAACTCTGTGGACAGAAATCAGATCAGATTGCGCGAAACAGCCATAATCGCGCGTTCGGGCATGTGCCCGCAAGTGTTCCATTCTGCTATTCATTCAACAGGCGGGAGGCCATGTCAATATTTACAATAGAAAACCACGTCCACCTCTCACTCATCTCACTCACAATCGCACCAAGTACTTTTCTCGCTTTCTCGGGTCTTGCATTTGTCTATCTCTACATTCTTCACGTCCGCAACAACCCCCTTTCGCGCCGCGAGGCCAAGCCCAAGCCCAACAACCATGGCGACGACGATCGAGGAGCTCGAAGGGCTCTTCGAAGACCACCCCTCCTTAAACGCCTCTCTGCAGGACTTCGAACCCGGAAGCAGCGAGCTCGAGCAGCCGCCCCGCTTCGGATATCCCTCACATCATTCTGGCTTCCGCTCCGAGACCGACTCGGAGATCGTAGGCTCGGATTCGGCAGGTCGTTACAGCCCGCCGGCGTGGCGAAGAGACGGGGCCGGCAATCGCAGCAGCGGCTTTTGGAATAGGAAGGATAATATACTGGGGAAGCGGAGTTGGGGATCGCGGGAGAGCAGCCCGGAGTATGAGAGCGCGGATGATGGTGAAGATGCGACGCTCGCGGCGGCGACCAGAACACGGCTGCCGACTGGCTCGTTGTCACCTGAGAAACGAAGAAGTCCAAGTCCTGATATCTTCCCCTCTGGAGGGAAAGATTTTGGAAATACATTTGGTGGGGTAAAGCAGGAGGAGGGCCAGGAAGTGATTGTACCATCAGCTGAGAACCCTAATAATTGTATGCAACCCCTTCTACTTGACCCAATATGTGCTGACTATCCCAAGACATTCGATTCGCGGTCCGAGCAGAAGTTCAACATCGCACTGATCCTTTCGAAGCTGTCTACTTATTGGTGAAGAGCAAGCTCCATGATGTCACGAGATCATGGTCGTCGCTACTCCTCTCTATCTTTGTTGCCCTAATGTCCATATTGTCATTACGAACTATCTTCCAGCCCGGTACACCTCCGCCGGTGCCTGATCTTGTAAAGGTGGCCGGGCTGGCGAAAGCTTTCGAGCCATTGATCTTCTATTCTGAGAATAGCGTCCAGCAGATTGGCGATTTGCAAGCCACGGGAGTTGCGGTATGGGATCTTGGCGAGAGTGTGCGGTCGACGAATATGACATCTGCTCCTATCATCGTCAAAGAGCTCGATGATCTCAGCGAGAGCCTCAAGACGTTAGCGATAGAGTTGACACGATTCTTCGCGAATGTTGATGGAGATGTCGATGGGTATGATATCTGGTTTCATTCTCTCAAACCAATTTCTAACTGTGACGTAGAATATTGATTGTTATGGATTGGGCCAAACGCGAGCTATCCCAGCTTCAGCTCCTACCGCCATCCCCGCTCACATCTGCCTTCGACAACCTCCACTCCATCCTCAGCCGCTGCGGGATTCTCGAGACGCCGTCAGGCGTACCAACCCGCCTTGGCAGCGCAGTAACGTCCATCTTCGGACTCACATCGCCTCAACGAACCCGGCAAACGCTGCAACGGACCTTCACCGAGTTCCTCTCCGTGCTCGAAGAAGCCATCAACTCGGAGCTTCAACACTCGCTGGCGCTCTTCTCGCTCTTCGAATCCATCGACCGGCAATTCCTGAACCTAGCACGGACGGTGATCCGCGAGTCCTCGGCGCAGGACTCGGCGCACGATGACATGCTCTCTTCCCTGTGGACGAAGCTCCTAGGTCCGAGTGCGAGCTCGCTGCACAAGTTCGAGAAGAACAAGAAGCTGCTGAGCAACATCCGCGCCAAGACCGTGCAGAATAAGAGCATCCTCCTCGAGCATAACGGGAAACTGCTCACGCTGAAAGCGAACCTGGAGAGTCTGCGCCGGAAACTCGTGAGCCCGCTCGTCAGGGCAAATGGGAGCACGCTCAGTGTCGAGGAACAGATTAGGGGCTTGGAGGACGTGGGTGGTTATCTGGGAGGCGTCAGGGAGAGGCAGAGGAGTAAGCTGATGGAGATGCTGTATGGTGCGGGGAGTAACAGCGGGAGACGGATTGCGGGGGCGGATGCGGGGGAGATTGAGGGACGGTGGGACCGATGACCTTGTTGATGATGCATTGGATAATATGAGACAGGGTCATTCTCATGCTTGGATTTCTGGATTGTGGAGTCTCGGATTGGGTAGATGCGCATTGGAGTTTCGAAGTTTGGGCGTTCATTGCTTACTTTACTTTACGTTTCCTGTACGGATAGTCTCTCCGCCCCCTATTCTCTGGGGCGTCCTGTACACAAAATAAATATACAAAACTTCCGAATCCCAAGATCCATACGTGCAGGCCTTCCAAGGAGTACGCTCTTAGACATCATGTGGCAAAGCGACCTCGGATTGATCCACAAGCAATGGATCATCTATTTCTCTCCCTATTACATACATGTAATGCGAATATACATCACATGACTTGAAGAAGAGGGGGAAGGCAGGTAAAGATAGGAGAAAGGGGTATATATGCTTTGAGACTTGGATCTTTCCGTCTTTTAGATATCTTACTGATTCTATTGTCAGACCCGTGGCAGTAGATTTGATGAAATCAATCCATCTTAACACGTCTGCCAATGACTGCCAGCCTCGAGGACCCAATCTGCGAACGTCTGATATGTCCCAGGTGATTAGGTATCGAAGACAGAGCCTTCAGGGAAATATTCTGCCCCGAGGCATCGTCGTCAACTCCCCTTCCGCTAAGACGGGTTCCCGACACTTCGCATACAATACCGCTGGATATCCTTGCGGAATCAACGAGTAAAGGCACGTTCTTCAGGGAAGATGCCCAGCCGTAGCCACGTCCAAAATCTCCTTCTCCATGCCCTGCACTAGAACCACCTTTATACCAGCATCTTCCAGCATTTTCCTCCCGGTATTCTCACCCACAAACTTTTCCGGCTCCTTGACACCAACATAAACCGTCTTGATAGCCTTCCCAAGCCTCAGGATTCTCTCGACACACGGTAGGTTCCCGCTCAGCCTTTTGAAGCACGGCTCTACCGTGGTGTACAAGACGGTCTCCTCGGGCAAGACGTCGGCCAAACGCTCTTCCGCCACCTGGTGCTGCTCTGCCAGCTTGATGAAGCAGCATTGCTCCGCATGCGTATTGCCCTCGCATTCGAGCGTGTAGCCCGTGGCGAGGACGGCATTCGCCTTCGCATCCAGCAGGACGGCGCCGACTCGATAGTTGGTGGGCTTGGGCGGGGATTTGCGGGCGAGGTTGAGCGCATACTGCATGTACCCGGCATGGTCGTCGGCGCTGGCAGGAGTCGCATGTGCAGCAGCAGTGTCCATGATGTGATGTTATGTGGTGGAGATCCTCTGGGAATACCCGCGATATGCGACTTGGGATGCGGAGGGATGGGCGGTGGGATTATTATCGTAGCGTCAGCGTCATGAATCTGGAGGTTTAGGAGTGGATGCGCTCTGGCGGGCGCTGGTGGGATTTGGAGTTGGGCACTGGCAGGAATTGGAGGGACGCATGGTCGCGAGATGTACCTATGTTTATTCATTTATTAATAAGTTAATTTATATATTTATATATTACATACAGAGATGAGGAATAGAGCAGGACGGAGTAGGTAAGCAATAATCTAATAATCTAGGTAATAATCTAATCAAGATGACAATATCTCCCCGGGACCCGCGATGAGGGGAGGATCAACAAGGACGGGCCGTTTCGTACGTCAGTCGCAAAGTGAAGCGAGTAGTCTCCAGCGACATGAACAAGATCAAGGAACCGCCAAGAATCCAGAGTCTAGAGTCCAGAATCCCGAATCCAGAATCCAATCCAGAGTCTTTAGGGCTGACGAAGATCGACGCAACTCAATGAGCCATACCTTACGGGTTCAAGGAAAACGGCGCAGGATGCGCGTCGTCCCAAAATATATTCCTAGCTGCCGGCTCCCCTCGTCGCAATCCTCTTGATCTTCCCTTGCTGGCCTCAACCCGCTTGACATGCTCATACATCTACATCTTTCCCCCCCCCGTCCCCTCCCAGACACTTTTCCCTATCCGCCCTCTGCTTGAAGCCCATCCTACGCACAACATCTGCCGTCCTCGTCATCGCTATCGTCGTCGGCTTTTACGGAGCTCTGAGGCCCCGGTAAGCAGAACCCGCGCGCGCGCGCAAACTTCACTTCTGCTTCGCAAGCCCCCCCCCCGTCGCCCAACAATCAATCAATCAATCAATCAATCGCCCGCAGATGAACATATGGAATCTCCACGGCCATGTCTGACGTCGCACTGCCGAAGATCAAGGTGACGGATGCGCATAACTCGGACGACCGCACCACATCGGTTGCTGAGTCTCCAAGTACCACGACAGACGGGAGTCAATCTGTACGGCCGCGCTCGGCGGCCTCTTCAGAAGGTGTGTCTGATTGTAAGCTTTGATATTGCTCTTGCAGAGCGATTGCGATGACCCAATGCAGTGCCTTTTCTTGCTCGCCGGTACGCTCATGCTGACAGGAGCCTTCACAGCAGTAAATTCAGCACAGGCAAACGGGAAGAAATCCCCAATCAAGTTGATCCGCAACAGCTCGAGCAAAGACATCGATAGCCAGACTTCGACAACCCCACCGCGACCCTCAACGGCTATAGATCCTCTCTCGCATGTACGTCTACCATATCTGCAGCTTTGCGCTTGCTTGCGCTTGCGCTTGCGCATGTGGACCCTATATGGCTATCCTCATTTGCAAAACGCGCCCGCAGAGCGTATAATATGTGCACGTATATACTGTGGTACTTGCTGATACTGTGGGCATAGCACATCCTAAAGCGGACGAATACTGAGGGCATAATACCTCCAAAACTTTCTCGAAATGCTGGCGTGCCGGATAGTCCGAAGCCCAATGCGGGAGGTCAAGGAAACGCTGAGACCGGCTCGCAAGGAAGACAATTTCCACCTGAAGTCGTTCGCAGTGATAGCAACCTGATCAAAGAGAAGAAGTAAGTGTTGAAACATCTCATAGCCCCTCTTCAGATCCCATACCCAGGGCGTGCCTCAAGTGATTACTTGCGGGTCCCTTGAGAAGGTGGCTCGCTTACATCCAATCACACGAGTCATTTATATATACATGTCTTGGAGAATATATTAGCTAATACCGGACCTTCAGGAAGGGCGTCTCGTTCTTAAGTCGCTTCAGTATTGGTGGAAAGAAGAAGGATTTCGATGTTGATGACGATGAATCTGAGCTGGGCGATGCGCGTACGGAAGGGATGAATGCCCATGTCTTCTCCTCCTCGATCGGTGCGAACGGGTACATTCCACAACACAAGGAGCCACCGAGGTACATCAAGGTCCGGGCACATAACAAGAAGAGGAGGGAGTTCAATCGCATGTTCCTGGCACAGGAACTGAGCGGTTCGAAACATGCAGAAAATGACGAGAAAACGCCTGGCTTGACGTCGGCAGAGTTTTCTGATCGCCAATCACAGAGGGCGTCAAAGCCTCTGAAACCGAGTGGAGCGGTATGGTCAATGGAGTTTAGCAAGGATGGGAAATACCTTGCAGCAGGCGGTCGAGACCAAGTCGTTCGAGTATGGGCGGTCATCTCAACACCGGAAGAGAGGGAAGCACATGAACATGAGGAAGATGTATCGTCAGCCACGGGAGGGGAAAGGCTAAGAGCACCAGTCTTCCGATCCGAACCCGTTCGACGATTCGAAGGTCATACTGGTGATATTCTGGATTTGAGCTGGAGCAAGAATAATTTTCTACTCTCTTCATCTATGGATAAGACGGTACGTCTCTGGCATATCAGCAGGCAGGAATGTCTATGCACCTTCAAGCATAAAGATTTTGTCACCTCAATCGCCTTTCATCCAAGGGATGACCGATTCTTCTTGGCCGGATCTCTTGACTCGGTCTTGCGATTATGGAGTATCCCAGACAAGACTGTGGCGTATTGGAATCAGCTACCTGATCTGATCACGGCTGTGGCATTTTCCCCGGATGGGAAGACCGCTATAGCCGGTGTCCTTAGCGGGCTCTGTCTATTCTACGACACCGAAGGCTTGAAGTATCATACGCAAATACATGTTCGTTCGTCACGTGGCAAGAACGCCAAAGGAAGCAAGATCACTGGTATTCGGACGATGACATTCCCGCCAGATGATCCAGATGGCGATGTAAAGGTCCTCGTCACCAGCAATGACTCCCGGGTTCGCATGTATAATCTTCGTGACAAAAGCCTGGAGTTGAAGTTTAGGGGTCATGAGAATACCTGCAGTCAGATTAACGCTAGCTTTAGCGACGATGCAAAGTATGTCATCTGTGGGAGTGAGGATCGAAAAGCCTACATCTGGTCTATCGGTTCAGCGGAGGCCGAAAATAAAGACAGACGCGCCTTGGAGTTCTTTGAAGCGCACTCGGATATAGTGACAGCGACTGTAATGGCGCCAATGAAATCTCGGCAACTGCTCAGTGTGTCTGGGGATCCTCTATATGATCTCTGCAATCCCCCACCAGTGACCCTGCTCAGCAGGGAGGAGTCGAATGCATCTTCGATGCCTGTGCCAGCCAGCGAATCCGACAAGCGGCGGTCAGATGCTATCAGTGAGTCTCAATTCAGGAGACCCGAAGAATCTCCCGCTTACCTGGCTCGGTGTGCACACATGGATGGCAATATAATCATTACGGCTGATTATCAGGGTTGCATAAAGGTGTTTCGACAAGATTGCGCTTACCAGAAACGCCGCAACATATTGGAGACGGGATCGATGTTCTCTAAGAAAATGCTTGGACGAAGCAGCAGTATCATGACACGCAACAGCACTGGCGGTTCACGTTCCCGGGGAAATTCTGTCTCTCGTCGGAATTCTGTCTCTCGGACTTCGAACCATTCCAACCAAGGCAGGCCAACAGACCACATCCTCTCATGGCGGGACTCTGTGAACAATACCGCTCATCATGATGATGGGTTTCGAAATAGAGCAAAAACATCTCGAAGCGATCGCAGCATATCTCCTGGCAGATTCTCAAGGATATCCAGGCCCAACACCAGCTCTAATTCTTCGAGCACAACTCGGAATCAACAAAAACCTGCTCCGTCTCCGCTTACCTTTGCAACACCAACTGCTTCTACAACCAGTCCAAGCACTAATATTAGCCAGCCCCCCACTCCAGGCTTCAGCATTCACAGCATAAATGATGACAATGCCTTGAGGATAGATCCTACGGGTAAGGGCTATCAGTTTTGGAATATGTCGTCCATGAAAGCCCAGGTACAAAGTGCACTTGACCCCAGCAAGTCGGGCACCGAAAGGTTGAGACCGCCACTATCAAAGGGAAATAGCTATGTCAGTAGACTAAGCAGTGATGACGGGACGTCAGGGGAGTTGGGAGACGGGGACGAAAGTGATGGTTCATCTCTTACGTGCACGAAGTGCGGAGGAAAGGACTTTAGAGCCCGAAGAGTAGCTGGAAAGGGGCAGAGGTTGGCTTGTACAAGGTGTGGGACGACGACGGATTGATTGATTGATATGGGTTGAGCGGTGTTTGGGTTATCACGGGGCGCTCAGGCTATTAGCGATGTGATTTTGATCATTATAGCGCGCATGTATCCTATGATGAGAGACGTGATGAGAGACGTTAGATTACGAAGTAGAGGAACGCATCTGGTTTTTATCTTCATTTTCTGTTATTATATTTGATCACCTGATAATTTCTGTCCGAGTACTCCAGTCACACATAAGAATTACTAACAGGGGCTTCTTTTGCAACCTGAGAAACCAGGCATTGAAATTCAGGAACATCCTGACATCACAAGCTTCACTTTCAACCTCGTCTATCCAAGTCTTCGCAAACAGCTCTCCCAGGCCCAAAAATGAAGCCTCCACGATCCCTAGCACGACTATCCAGTCGTCCCAGCCGCTACATCTGCAACAACTGTCTCTCGGTCCGGCCACCACCCCCCAGCCAACGTTTCTACTCCAGCTCCAGCTCCCGCAACCCGCCTATCCCGCCCAGCACAGGGTACTCGAAGCTGCGCTCACGTCGACTGATCTCGCTCTCAGGACCGGACGCCACGCACTATCTGCAAGGGGTGATCACGGGCAACATCTCTTCTCCGACAGCGCGCAGCTCGGGAGGGATCTACGCGGCGTTCCTGAACGCGCAGGGACGGGTCTTGAATGATGTGTTTATCTACGCGGAAAGCGGCGCGGACGCGGACGGCTGGCTGATCGAAGTCGATGCGCAAGAGGCGGAGCGGTTGGCGAAACATATCAAGCGGTATAAACTGCGGGCGAAATTCGACGTGCGGTTACTAGAGGAGGGGGAGAGGAATGTGTGGAGCGTGTGGAGGGATGAGGGGATGGCGGGGAGTAATGCGGCTTCGGTAGAGGGAGAAGGGAGGGTGGGGTGCGAGGATGCGAGGGCGCCGGGAATGGGCAGAAGGTTGGTTTTGGAGGCAGGGAGGAAACCGGAGGAAGATGGGGTCGAGTGTGATGAGGGGGTGTATCGCGTGAGGAGGTATTTGAAGGGCGTCCCTGAGGGACAGAGCGAGTTGATCAGGGAGGCCGCGTTGCCCCAGGAGAGCAATGTGGATTTCATGGGCGGGATTGATTATAGGAAGGGGTGTTACGTCGGGCAGGAGTTGACGATTAGAACGCACCATACGGGGGTGGTGAGGAAGCGGATCCTGCCCGTTATGTTGTATGGCAAGGACGAACCGATCCCAAGCGTATTGGAGTATCTCCCGGAGAAGGCTTTTGGGGTTGAGGATATCCCTAAGGAGACGAGCATTGGAAGATTTGAAAAGAGGGGGAGAAGTGCCGGAAAGTGGCTTGCTGGCGTGGGAAATATCGGCTTGGCACTTTGCAGGTTGGAGATCATGACGGATATCCAAGTGCAGGGAGAAGCCGGGGGCTACAAGGAGGGTGATGAATTTAAGTTGGAATGGCAGGTTGACGGCGGCGATCCGGAGATGGCCAAAGTTAAGGCATTTGTGCCTCCATGGCACCTCGCGAAACAATGAAGCAGATAGACTGTAAGATTATACGTAGCATGATATGTATAGTACGCTCACTGAAGAACGTGTTCATCGCACATGTCGTGCCTCTTGATTCAGAGTTCTAGTTGGGTATAGCAAAACGAATCCCGATCCTCCAACGCCGATGCTAGAATCAGTATGATATCGCCGAGAAACAAAGAACGCACTCCTAAGCCATCTCCGACTCCCGCTGTCTTATTTCATCCTCCATTCTCTGTTTCTCAGCAGCTTTTAACCTGGCCATCGTAGCCGCAAAATCTTTGGATTTCGGCGTGTTTGGTGAGAAGGAGAATCTCGGCGATGCTGAAGATTTCTCGTCAGCTTTCAATCCTTTGAAGATATCAGGACGTTTGGTAGGTGTGGCTGTATCTCGATCTGCCAGTTTCTCCCCCGCTTCTGCACTTCCTCCAACAGATGGCGAGTCGACAGGCACGAAGATACCACTCTTCCGAGCCTTCTTCTCTGCTTTCCGCTTTGCTTTGGCTTGCTCAGCTTCACGTATCAACCGCTCTAATCTCTCTACTTCGTCCTCTTCAGGCTGTTCTCCGGCGTTTGGATCTTGGGCTGGAGCCGGAGCTGCAGCTGGTTTCTTCTCGGGGGATGGTGGGGCTGGCGATGATGTTGCCGCGCTCGCGCTCTCGCCCATCATGGATGCCCTCGCCGCCCTCCTCTTCCTTCCCTCCTCGGCCAATTTCCTAAGCTCCTGTTGCACTTGACTCTGCGCATCATCTTCTCTCGGTCTCTTCAGCCCCGCGGTAGCTATACCACCTCGTTCCCGGGCCTCCAGATCCTCCTTCATCTGCCGCCTCCGCCCCTCGAAGAGCTCATTTGCTCTCTGCTTTTGCAACTTAGCATTGCGGTGGTTATCGTACTTCGCCTTCAATTCGGGATCGCTGAGCACATCATTCGCAGCCTGGAACAGTTCGTATTTGGCAGGGTCGAAATCCTTCCCGACCTTGTCTGGGTGGTACTTGAGCGCGGTCCTCCTGTATGCACGTCGTAGCTCCGACTCGCTGCAGTTCTCGAAGGTCACGCCCAAGAGTTCGTAGAAATCAACATCGCTGGTGACCCACTTCAATAGGTCATTGTTAGACATGGTGATAGGGGCAAGCCTGGAACGGGCGGACGACGTCAAGGTAACTGAGCAGAGAGCAGAGCCTTCTGTCGCGGGCGAGCGTTTCGCATATGGAATCAATCCTGCTTTGGTCTAGCGCGGATGACTCAGCACCCAAAGTTAGCGAAATCCAATTTAGACGTCACTTCCATCCTTCGCCTCTCATTGACCAATAAGCGCCGTTTAGACGCGGATTCCTACCTATCTCTTCCTCGCTCCCCCATTCTTGTCCCGCCTGAGGGCGAAGTGAAACAAGAGCATGAGCTTCTGCCGACGGCGACGCCGATGGCACACGAACAGGCTGGCCGAACCAATGGATAGGGGGTGTTGAAGTCGACGCTGTCATGTCCTCATTTTCTGTTCTCTCCCTTCTCTCCCTTCTCTCCCTTCTCTCTTGAAATCGCAATCTATGCTCAGCCTCTGAAATAGGGGTAAATTGTTATTATATTTTATATTGGCCCTGCTTATTTTATCTGTAAAACTTGACAATAGACAAAAGCGACCGTCCATTGTAGAGTCGCTCCATTACCCTTCTATGCCTTGCTTCATGCTGTTGTTGTAGATCACTCCTTCCCTAAACAACAGACGAATGTTTACTTCTGACCGCACCTTCCTCTGAACATCATGGCGGCTATTTTCTATTTTTCTACTTTCTCATTTTCCAGTTCTCCTCTTTCTCTCATACCTGTTGCTCTTCTCTCTTCTCCATTATAATATAACGTGGGTATCCTGCTGCTACCGTATCAGCCATCGCAATGGCAGGTCACGGCTCTTTATCAACTCCCCTCGCCAGACCTCCCTCTGCGGCTCCAGCCGATCCACTGTGCAGAATAGCTGCGACTACCCCAAACCTACAGACGCCGCCTGCGCCTACCAAGTTGACCTCCTACTTCACCCAAAGCCAGTTGGCACTTGCTCTTGCTATCCAGAAGTCAAAACCTCAAGATGTCTCCACCAAAGGTACTGGGAGTCTTTCCCTGGCGAGGCCAACTTTTACTGACACTTCAAGACTACTGCCTCCAACTTCGAAAGAACATACAAAGTCATCGAGAGTCTGCGGTCGAGAAACATCGTTATATCGACACATGCGAATTCTGGAAGGACCAGTACATGAGGATTTACCAGGAGAAGAACGAACTCGAGGACAAGGTTCACCATTTGGAGCAAGTTCAACAAACTCGAGACGAGCTTGGAGTCGCAAATCTGGATAACGAGATAATATCAAATCATCCTGGAAAGCGCCGGAGGTCACCCCAAGACGTTCAAGGATCGCTCGATGTCCAGCGATCGAATCCATCACCCGATGATGACAGTGACCTCATGTTGAGCAGATATGGTACGTACCTGGTTCACAATGCCTATTCTAATGAGCGGTCAATGATCTCACAAGCCCTGCACAATCCCTTTAATATTTTGCCAAAGTCTGCATGCCCGGTTGTTGTTCCAGGGAGTTAATGGGCAAGGTCATACCCTCTCTGTGACTGCCACGAAATTAATGATCATATTACAGTTCTTCGAATTGGACGGCAACGCAGCCATCTGGAAAAATGTATGAAAGAATCAAATATTCCCGACTATCTTGATAACCTCGCCAAGTTATCTCATCAAACCCTCCTACTTCTTGAGACAGTTCTGTCTGATTGTATTATTCCATTATGGTCTTTGAGGTGCAGTGATAATACCCAAAGGGTTTGTCTCCTCCGGCAAGTGATGCATCAAATTGTACTGAGCTTTCGTGCCTCTTTCCACGCTTTGAATGAGCTATGCCGTACCATTCTAGGAAGAGCAAAGAGGTTCGACACTATCTACCGCCTCGTCATGTTCTTCAAGATAGCTCTGGACCATTTGCACACAGTTTGTACCCTACAGGCCGAAAATGAAATTGCGGAGAGACGAAGAACTCGGAGCAAGCGTGTCAAGATAGAAGATGAATACGCTGTTAACAAATACCTGTGCGAGGCACTCATCTCGATTGCCCAGATTGAGTGGAAAATTGAACTACCTGGGCATAGCGATGTCTGGGAGGGGATCTTGTTCTCTGTCTTAGACTTCACTGGGCGGCTGGTTTCGAATGCGGTTTTTAACGAGCATGTTGCAATGTCAGACCATGTGGGCAATATCACAAAAGAGGGCCCAACTCTGTTACCAGAAGCTGCAAAACTTGAGTCTCGATATATCGTCTTGGTCTTACGTGCTGCACTGGGGGGAACTAACGCCAGAAAAGAGTTGAATGCCCGTATACTCTCTGGCCACCCTGCCAAGCCCGATGTGCCAAGTCGCCATGGTAGCTTGCAAGCCTCGGCGGATCATACACACAATTTATTGATTAAAGCAAGGAAAACAATGCAGCAAACCCTGGTTAAGAGCGCTGTTGGTGGAGAGGGGCTTGAAGGCTTGCGATTGCCTCAACCGCCAGAGGATGATTCCACCTATTCTTCTGAAGCTGATTGTTGTGTTGAGAAATTTGGGCAAGAGTGGTTGCTAGAGTCAGTGTGGGCCTTGATAGGTTGGGAGTTGGTCGTTTAAATCCCAGTGGGTGGTTCGTTCACCTGTTGCAAGGTCGAAACATGTATGTGAGTGGGGGTGCTTTCAAGTCAAAACTTTTTGTATTATTTGCAAACATATCATTGACAGTAATTCGCTAATTGGCAGAAATGATGGCTATTAAATGGCCTATAAAAGCTCAAAAGGTTACAGCCAGCCTCTGAACCAAGTAGTCCCCAGAATTGATATCAGGGTACTTCTTCTCTCCTTTGTCGCCTCCATACGTTCCCTCTATTGCCGTGATGTTGCTGCTGAAGTTTGGATTGCAGAAGTATGCCACGCTATACCGGGCCGGGTGGAAATCTCCCCCAGCAGGTGGTTCCACAACCCTGTGCTTTGTACTCTTAATCGTATCGTTACTCCACCTCGCCAGCAAATCGCCAGCATTAACGACCACAGTTCCAGGAATTGGCGTCGCATCCACGAATGTTCCTTTGGGACTCTTGACCTGCAAACCGCCCCTGTCATCTTGAAACAGCAGCGTAATACTCCCATAATCGGTATGCTCACCCGCCCTAACCTGCAACTTATTCTTCTCAAAAACTTCCTTCGACACACCAGGATAATGCAGCAACCTCAGGGTGTTGTCGCCCACATCGGTATAGCCGTCGAAGTAGCTCTCTGGCAAGCCCATGCCTACCGCGATTGCTCGCATGACCTCAATATGCAACTGCTTACACTGGTCATGGAAGCTCGTCATAGTCTCCTTGAACCGCACGGCCTCCTCATCGCCAACGGGCCAGTTGTTGGGGAAACCCTCCTCGCCCTCTCTGCCAATCTCAAAGGTCTCTTTCAGATCGGGAGCCTGGGCCTTCAGCTTGGCGACATCTTCCTTGGAGACGAGCTGGGTGACCTTCTCGCGGCCGTGGGGGACGTAGCCACGGTTTGCGCGCGGGGTAGTCCAACACAGCTTCTCCTTCTCCTCCTGTGGGCGCTCGAAGAACTTGGCGGATGTGGCGAAGACGTTGTCGACGACGGGCAGCGGGATGCCGTGCGAGGAGAGGTAGATGAAACCCGCGGTTTGGAAGCCGTGGAGGATGGCCTCGGCGGCGGATTGACGCTCGGCGGGCGTCCCGTGGAGAAAGAGGGAGAAGTCTACAAGCTGGAGAGATGTTAGGATAGGTTGGGTTTGGAAAATGCTTAAGTGGGGTGAAATGTCAGGAAACTTACGGGAATAGAGAGGTCATCGCTACTGACAGCGCTGACTTGAGGGGCCATTTTGTAAACAGAAGGTAGCAGTAGTAGTATAACAATGGGGGGTACGAAAGGAAAAGCAGTTTTGCACGAACCAATCTTTCAGAAGACGCAGTTATTTGTTGAAGAGAAAATGAACTGGGATTTATAGCGGCCAGGCCGTAGGCGCGCGTAGTTATTCATTTTCGCAAAGACCGGCGGCCAGATAGATAATAATATCTAGATCAGGGGCGGCGGTTCCGAGATACGAGATAAGGGATTGCGGGGCGATAGGCGATAGGGCGGCCGCGCGTGGAGAACACATGGAAAATGGAGTAAAAGTTTATATCGTTTGTAATAATGTTTACATGTAAACTCAGCAGCAGGGCTGGGCATCAAACCGCGCCTATAACAAATAGGGATATCTGGAGGAATCTAGATGCTATAATATAATGTAAGGTCTGTCCGCCATTTCTTTGGCTCTTTTTCTCAAAGCTCGGATTCCTCCTTCCTTGTCTCTCCTTTATTTTTCCTCCTCTGTTTTCTCCCCTCCGCAAACCCCCACCCACCATGGCGGCCACAAAATCCCCCATCGTCGACATCCACACTCACGTATACCCGCCCTCCTACATCAGCCTCCTCAAATCCCGCTCCAGCATCCCCTACATCCGCTCCTTTCCCCCGTCTTCCTCTCTGCGGCTCGTGATCCTGCCCGCCGAGGACACCGAGAGCACGTCGCGGGGCCGCCCCGTCGGCGCCGAGTACTACGAGATCGCCGAGAAGATCAAGTTCATGGACGTGCACGGCATCGACATCTCGGTGATCTCGCTGGCGAACCCGTGGCTGGACTGGGTCCCTGCGGACGAGGCGGCCGAAGCGGCGCGGAGCATCAACGACGAGGTGGATCGCGAGTGTGCCAAGTACCCCGGGAGGCTGTTCGCGTTCGCGACGCTGCCGCTGAGTGGTGGGCGGGACGTCATCGTTCGGGAGATCGAGAGATTGAAGACGTTGACGTATATGCGGGGGGTGATCCTAGGAACGACGGGGCTGGGGAAGGGTCTGGATGATCCGGAACTAAGGCCGATTTTCAAAGCGTTGCAGGATGCACAGCTGCCCATCTTCTTGCATCCGCATTATGGGTTGCCGGGCTCCGTGTGGGGAGAGCAAGCCGGCGATTATGGACATGTGTTGCCGCTGGCGCTGGGCTTCCCCATGGAGACGACGATCGCTGTCACGAGAATGATACTGGCGGGTGTGTTTGAGGAGGTGCCGGAGCTGCAGATGATATTGGCGCATTCGGGGGGCACGCTGCCGTTCTTGGCGGGGCGGATCGAGAGCTGTATGGAACATGATGGACACTTGAAAGCGGAGGGGAAGCTGGGGAAGGGGAGGAAGACGGTGTGGGATGTGTTGAAGAAGAATATCTATCTTGATGCGGTGATCTATGGGGATGTAGGCCTCAAAGCGGCGATCCAGGCCAGTGGGGAGGACAGGATCATGTTTGGTACGGATCATCCTTTCTTCCCGCCGCTGGGAGAGGAGGACGAGAAGTGGTTGAGTGTCGAGACGAATTATGAGGGTATCAAAAAGGCACTGGGAACTGATACCGAGGGAGCAAAAGCAGCGTTGGGTGGAAATGCTGTGAGGGTCTTGAATTTATCTATCTGACACACCGGACAGGACAGTCCCGTAATGAGAACAAAAAGTACATTATCATTCCATGATTCCTGCTGATCCGCCTATATTCCATTGACCTCTCACCCTAAGACAGTTCAAGTCACCTATTGTATAGCCACCTTCAATCAAACGGTGACCACTCCTTTTCTATTCCGTTTGTCAAAGCTTCACCTGACTCAAGGTCAAGGATCTTAAACCACACCCTCGGTTTTCCCCAATCATCAGCGACGAGACCTCTCGCAACGAACCTTCTCCAGAACCAAATATCCACGGGTCTCCACCGGGACATACTCTCGTCCCTAACGAATACAACCCCAAACTCCTCCAGACTCTTACATTTATCCATGAAGAGTTCTCGCAAGTAGGGACCACGAAAAGCGATGTCGTCTTCTTCCAACGTATTTCCCTCCGTGATAGCCAACCTCTTGCACTGCCGGAGAAGATTCTCATACTTCGCCTCCCAAAACAAATCAGATGTGAACCCGGGGTCATGACTGACATATAGAAGATCCCTTTCGAAGTCGATGACCACTGAGTACCTCCGACCGATGGGCTCACTCTTATATCTCTTCTTTGCCTCATAGCGCCAGAATTGGCAGACATGCATCAGTGCAGGAATCGTGTTTCCTGGGCTCTTCCGTTGGAGCGTCACTATGCGCGGAGGATCATCATCGAGGACCAGTTTGAAGATGTGGACTTGGAGCTCGGCGGGCAGCTTCTCGAATAGATTTTTCTTGTGTCGAAGCTTGTCGCTTGCGTGTGATGGTGTCGAGATGGTGGTTCGCATCATGCTAGGAGAGTCAGGCCTTGGAAACCAGATGATGTGAGTTGATGTTGACCTGTGGTCTGTCAGTTGGTTGATGGGGCTTTAATATGCTGATATCAACATAAAGAGGAATGAGATGCTGTAGAAATATTTCTCGAAGGTACGACGGTGGCCGAGAACTTAACACTACCATCAAGGTGAAAGAATTCCTTTTGTTTCTTTGGAATAGGATAGTGAAACAACAGTATTATTTTTAAGAACTGTCTTGCCTAGAACATCCTGGACCGAAGAGAAAGTTGACACCAGAATCTCCCCGCTCTTGCTCAGGGGTGATATGGGCCTAATTTAGAAGAGGTACATTTTTATTTGTAGGACTTTCTACAATTCCGGCAAGCTTCTGAAGTAATCACGACAACACCGCGTCCAAAAATCAGAAAATACAGGATGTCCATTCTCCTCCCTACCAAACCTAGAACACCGATTCATGCGGTGTATGGCAATATTGAAGTATTTACATAACACGAATATTCAAACAAATTTTGTGATCGAGGGATCTGTAACGGGGCTTGCTTTCCTCCATATGCAATCAATGTACGTGGGCTGCATGCATCTTCGTTAACAGCGTAAAAAGGGGTTTCGAAGGAGTGTGAGAATATATGAACAAAAGTGGGCAGTTGCCAATGTATGCCACAAAAGGGAAGGGGGTTCCGTCAAGGTGTTATGTGCCCTAGTGTTATCCACTCTAGCTCGTCCAGGTGCGGTGTGCTTCTTGAAGGACTATATCACAAGTCAGTTTCTTGATCCCTGAGAAAGGCAAAGCAGAGAGGGAAACGTACTACTCAAGACCCGTCCCTGACCTCCTCGATCCTCACAAGCAATCTGCAATTCACCGCCTTCCACAAAATCCAATACCACACTATTCGGTAGTTCTTGCATTTCGACATCTGGAATAATTGGTGCTTTGAATTTGCTAAGGTGAATTCGTCGAGTAGCGCCAACATTCCTTTTGTCTTTTGGATTTCCACTAGCAGGGAGAGCGGGAGACATGATAAGGTAGCCTTGTGAATCGAGCAGCATCGAGCGACGCTTCCAAAGCAGGGTGTCGGGAAATTGAACATTAACATCGCCAATGTCTATAGTAGTAATAGTTGGGGTGAGGGAAGATTGTGAGGGTTGCGATGAATGCTGGGATTGGGATGCCTGAGTTGAAGGGGGTTCGGATTCCTCGCGGACGGTAGGTGAGATGGCATGTGCAAGCGCTTTGCGACTAGAGGAGATTGAAGATGACATTTGTCGAAGCATACGACTTGCTCGATTCGACTTCTTGTCAACTTTCTCGTCACTAGTGGAAGAAGAAGAACTGGCAGTTGTTGGCGGATGTCCCATATCCCGACTGGATCTCCGACTTTTGATTGATGATGAACTACCAAAATTCTTATTTGCATGGGTTGAAGGTGGGCGTGAGGTTAAGTCGGATGAGGATGAGATAGATGTGTCGATAGTCATGGAACGACGGTGTTCAGAAAATGAAGTACGGCCCTCCTTAATGAAGTCTCTCACAATAGTCATCGAAGACCTTCGGTCAGTGCTGTTGCCATTTTTCGAAGATTTCGACGAGTTAGATAACCGTCTCTCTTCGACATTTTCTTTGACGTTTTCTTTTAAAGCAGTGACAACCGCTTTTTGGTGATCTATAACAAGAGGTGATTGCTCGAGTTCTAGTGGTTTGAATTCCGAAGGGTTTTTGCCAATATCAGGTTTTGTCGGAAATGGCTGGCTTGGATCTCGGACAATCCGAGCCGTGACCGATACTGATTCGGGCCGTGACTTCGTTGGTTGGGCCATGGGATTCGAGCTTGGGACAATAGCGCTCATCCGGTTTTGAGCAGAGGCTGATCTGCTGTGGAGCGTAAGAGGTTTTGGGGGGGAGGATTCTTGAGATACCGGGGGAGATGGAGTGTGTCGAGTCAGCGAACTGGCTCGATCTGCAACGGATGGCGTTTTCGAGCCACTTCCTTTTCGGACAGCAAAGAATGTAGCTGCAGCGACAGGTGCTGTCTGTGTTGGTTCGGGAGCATGATTAGACAATCTTTCGAGCGCTTTGATTCTTTGTGAAATCCCGGATCCGAGATTGACCTTCTTTGCTATGGGCCTAGTGGATTGCTGGTTGGTATGATTCGCAGGGGCGGAAGAAGCAGAGACAGAACGCCAAGTTTCAGATTTGAGTAGGGTTGGGGGAGAAAGGAACTGAGAATCCCTGTTGTCTTTCTTCACCGGGTTAGAGACTGCACGAGGAGATCGCTTGCCATCGCTGCTGTTGTCGAGACTTGGAAATACAGGACTAATTGGTGACTTCGAGACTGTGACGGGCTTTGCTTCTTGAAAGACAGCTGATTGTAGCTCATCCATCAGCTCGTCATCTGAGGAGAAGTTAGCCTCTGAGTTGGCGGCACTCATGTCAGCCACGTCGATATCGGTTCGTATTGGATCGACAAAAGCTCTACGTTTTATCCGTCTCACTCTATGGCCGCCTTCTTGCTCGTCTCCATTGGCTGACATCCGGGTTTCAACTGAAAAGGTGCTTCCGGTGGGAGACAGAGGGGTAGGGCTTAGAGTATTCCTGCTTGTAGAAGGCGGTAACTGCTCTTGTGGACTAGAGTGGGCTTCTGACGTGGCCCTGAGGTCCTGAACACTGAACTTGGACCTCGGGACCTTCCATTCTTTGACACCGACTTCCACTGCCGGTTCAGGAACAGGATCGGGTTCTGCAAGTGGCATAGAGCTTGGTTCTTCGACAGTGTTTTGTAAGAGATCCTGGGGCAGCGAACCTCGTTCATCAACGGCACTGATAGGAGGACTTGGAGGCACATCATTTTCGAACGCATCCTTGATTTCCGATCTAATCTCCTTAGTGTCGGCACTCGTTTCTGCCTGAACTTGCTCTGGGACTGGTTCAGGCTCCTTTACATTCCCTTGTGAAACGAATGAGGGACTCGAATCCGGTTGATATGCGACGGGTAGAAGGCGTGGGTATTCCTCGATCGAGGATGTTTCATTATTTGAGGCACTATTTTGGAAGATGTCTGGAGGTCCCTGTCTTGTTGATGATTCATCTGGCGCAGCCCCGGAAGTTGGTTCATCATTTGCCAATATTTCCTTGCCGCTGGATCGTCCCTGGACGGTTCCATCGGTGGACTCTGAAACGGAAGAGGCTCTTGTGGATTCGGCCCGTTCCGAAGGCCCATCGGGAGACACGGGATACGAATCTGACCTTGTAGCATCACTCTCATCGGTCTTCATTACCGACTGAGCATCAAGAGCCATGCCGGATTCCTCCTCCTTAGCCATATCATTTAGCATAGCCAATGTGTCATGAACCTCCTTCGGTGCACCATCTGATGCTCTGTGACTTTCAATTGTTCCATAATCCGGGCCATCATTCACGGTTGGCGAAAGGTGTTCTGTGGTGGGAGCTGCAGCGCTCATTTGTTTCTTTCGAAGTTCCAAAGCTTTCATTAATCGCGCTTTTTCGGGAGTTATGGTAGGTGACTTTGGATAGTTCATCGAGATTGCTATCGAAGGCCTGATTGAAGCGCCAGAGCTTGTAGATGGGCGTCCGCCACTCGTATGGGGTCGAGGTGGTATAGATTGTCCCGGCGAGTCGGGAATTGGAGGGAGAGAGGCCATCATGCTGGGCTCTGGAGTGTACTGGGATTTCGGTCTCTCTTTCTTGGTCTTTGAATCCCTAGAAAACAATTTGAGCCCTGCTGGAAGCGTAGAAACAGGACGATAGTGAGATGATGTGCCAGAAGTATGTGGTCTGCCCGCAGCGTCGAGCGAAGGGCGCGGTCCAAGTTTTACCTTTGGCTTCCCGGTCGAACCGTGTGATGTGTAGCTGTACAGTTCGGGTCGTGCGGATTGGGAAGATTGTCGAGGCTCTTCGACTGTATGTGGGGCAGATTGATCTTCAGAACCGCGTCGTTCGCGCGTTGCTTGTGATTCTTCGGCGTCGGGGAACGTGGATTGATCAGGCGGAGGAGAAGTTGGCGGGGGAGCGTCAGTATCTTCTTGGGCAGGAGGGCGTTCTTCTGGGACCGTTGACTGTCGTTTGTTTTCCTCTTCGTCGTCCTCAGCTATTTCCATCAACCGGCGCCTCCGCAAAGAGCTCGTGGAGGACGTTGTAGAACCAGACGCGGTATGAAGTGAACATGCAGCAGACAGTGCTGTGTCCCGGAGTTCTTTGGCTGTGGTTATGGGAAAGACCGTGTCGTGAGGGGAGAATCGTTCCGTGACGGCGTTGAAATGAACCGCGGTGCGTGCTAAAGCTGTGTTAGGTCTGGTGTATGTATGTCTCAATCGAGGAGCAGAGGGATTCCGTGTATCCACGTACCTTGGATCAGTCTGGAGCACTCCTCGGGCACGTATTTGATGACAACGTTTCTTCGTCGGTACCGCAGGAAGCCAAATAGCGGCGAGGGCTCGTCGTATTGTGCAATCGCGTTCCGGATCTCCACGATGCCTCCGTTCCCTCGGCCCAGCAGATCTACTTCATCTCGAGAAGCGTATTTCAGGAGGAACCTAGCACGATTATCAGTATTCCAAAGAAGTCTCCGGTGCATGACTCGGGAGGAGCTTACCATCCCCCTGGTTCCGCCGCGGCAGTCTCATATGCCTCCTTGACTTTGACATCATCCAAGCCATTCAGCGACATTGCTTGCCCTGGGATCCGGCGCGAACTGGAGGATCAAGTCGCCGTGGTTACCTCAAGTCGCTACGAAACTTTCTGGATTCAGGGGAAAGGCGGATGGTTCCACGATTGATGGCTCCACATGATACGGCGGTCGCAGCCGGCTGCCACCCGCACTGGGACCCAAAAGCGCGAACGGGATTCGGTGGAGGCAGCGAGCCCACGACGATATACGCAGCGCAGAGCGGCAGGAATCGGGGGAACACTGCGATGGATTATTATTGATGATGTACTGTGCGAAGGTTGCGGGCGGTCCACGAAAGAAAATATAATATAATAACCGCGATGCGATGTCCCTGCAGGCCCGTTGACTCGTTCTAGCTTCGAGGGTGGCCGAGGTCTAGCCCGAAGTGGAGATTGCTCGACAGCTCTCTCTTCTGTGTCAATAGTCGCTGCTGTCGCCGTTGAAACTTGACGGTTGAGCACCTCCAGACCTGAGGGGAGCCGGCGGGGTCTTATTGACCAGGTGGTATTGTGTGTATGGACTTTCGTGCTGCTGCATGGAACGTGGCCGTGCGATCATTCATGCGTTGGCTGGCTCTTGAGGAGACCATGGAACAGAGCACGTATCTACGGAGTAATGGGATAAGGTAACAAGAGATGGCTCGGACCATTCCCCATGCACAGGGCTGCTACAAGTCACAGTACAGACTGGTGAACTCGTCGACTTGTCAACTCGTGGACTTGTGAAGCTTTCCTACCTTACTGTACAGTATGTCCCTATTCAACTCGATCAACTACTACTCCGCAGAAACCAATGGCTAGATCCAATTGAAACATTCCATCGGACTCCGGATCTTATCAAGAACTCAGCTAACTACTACCAGCTTCGGTCGTTCGGATGAATTATTATTAGTTCTGTATTGCGAGAATCCTTTCAGGCGCTGATAGTTGTGTACCTGGCGGTACCTGAGGGATTGACAGCTAGCAGTCCAAAGAAAGACAGAGCTGCCGAGTCTACAGAGGCACTGTCCCTACTTAATCTTGGAGGATTGCAGGGCCCCTCGCTTCAAAAGACCTCGAAACACCCGTCTCTCTCCCCCCTCCCTACCCAGGCATCTGGTTTGCTGAAACCACGACACGCGCGGCACACTTCGATAGCAAGAGAGTGCTGGATGAATCAGGCTATATAGGGGGAGACCGGATGTAGGAAGAATTGTGATTCCTGCTATAAAAGTGTGATGAGCGAGTCAAGAATCAATCCTCCGCGAGAAACCCTTTTGATCTGTATGGGTGGTGCTCCCAGCCTAGTGCTGATTAGCAGTTACCCCTGAGTGACATCGGGTAAGCAAGTCAGGTACAGAAGACATAATAGTTCGTACCAAACATGACACTTACCTATTTCCTGCCTTGGCCAGAATGCCCTTCTCCCTAATAGCTTCCGTGGCTATACAAGTTCGAAACTCAAAAGACAAGCTGATTGACAACTTGATAAGGTACTGAGTAGCGGTACATCAGTCAGCACGATTGATCGCTAGCCTCGACAGCTCTTTCGCCGTCGAATACGGCTAGCATTAGCACTCGGCGGCAACTAACCTATTGTGCCTTCGTCAACCCCACCTCATCCCTTAGAGATACTTCGTAGCTATTGCAAGTTGCAAGTCGAAAGTCTCAAACCCGGATTCCTTTTCGTCTCCGACTCTCCGTTTTCCTATCCTTAATCGTATCGTGGAACCCAGCTGGGCCTTATCCCATCCCTATCTCTTCTGTTTGTGGTCATCATGCTCAGCTACAATTATCAGCATCCAGTGGGCTTATCATATGCTTCGCCAGTCGCGGATTCGTGGTGGCGATGGGCCGTGTGATGGACTCCATCATAGCGATATCTCTCTGCTTCGCTCCCAATCCCACCCTTTTCCTCCTGCTTCACAAACATTGATAACCAAGTTTATTCAAATTTCGGAACAGAGAGATCAAGTATAACAAATATTACCAAGGTATTTCTCTTTACTTCCATTATCAAACAAGCTCAGGCTCCTTAACCTCTGTTGGTGGCATTCGACTTATCGAGTTTATCTCCATATCATTTCTCCGTACCCCTCATTATTCAGGTAAGTGAAGGGGGTAAATAGCTCCTTTACCCTGCATCGTCCTTTACTCATGAGGGGTTTTGGCTTCTCCAGACTCCAGAGCATCATACTAAACGGGACTATAGCCAAGGTACCTCCCGAAGACGAAATCCGGACCTGGCTTAGAGACCCTCCCTTCTCTGCCTCCCTCAAATCTCTCCGCTTCTTTGTTAGAACTTCCGTTGTCCTCTGTTGCTCATAGGCCTGGATCGAGATTAAGGCCGAATAACTCTACCGTCTTCACTCGGAGCCACCCGTTGAGCATGCGCCTGGTATGGAAGCAGAACCGCGATGACTGTAAACCAGAAAAGACACCTGTATACAACCGAGCGAAGACTTATAGTAGCTATAGATAACAGAAGAACTTCTTTAGAAAAATACAAAATAAAAATGTCTAGAGGAGATGACAAGCTTGTTACCGCTCGCACGTGCGAGCCTTCGCCACAGATCCAAATCGCGTTAGCTCGTCACGGGAACAAGCGACCAAAAAAGATTCCTCGTCACTCGAGCTTCAATCTCAGGGAGCCCCAAGTACAATACCTCACCCTCATCTCAACTCAACTCCACATTGAAGGCACCTGAGCGCCTTTTCAACATCACAATCGCATCCTCTTAGAAACCTGCCAAGATGGTCGAATTAGTAGAAGTCGAGGACGAGTCCTTCGAGACAAAGCAGGCTGGCCCATCAGACGAGGAGGACGAGTACACAGACACCGGTATGTCTAAATCCAGAAGTAGAATCATCTCAATCTAACCTCAAACTTAGACTCCGAGATCTCTACCGATGATGAAGACAATGTTCCCGATGAAGAAACCCTCGCTGACCGCATCTACGCATTGCGGGACATAATACCTCCGACCACACGATCCTACATCTCAAACAAGGTTGACACAACCACCAGCTGGATCAAGTCCGGACTGTCATTCAGCGGCAAGACACTCTGGGTTATTAGCACGAGCGCGCTGATGCTAGGTGTCCCGTGGGCGTTGGCATTTGCGGAGGAGCAGCAGATGGTTGAGATGGAGAAGGAAATGCGGATGAGGGAATCAGGCCAGGAGGTATGCTCAGATCCACTCCTTTGACATCCCTCAGCGGTCTGTATTACAGAATATGCTAACTGATCCATGATAGCTCCTCAATCAAGGTACAACCGCCGGAGCGCTGAATTCACAGCTTAACGCCCAGACGGGCAAGCCTGCGCTGTAATAGTGGAAAGACGTGATACATGACCATAAAAATTAGGAACAAGTGGATAGGAAGTATGGCATTGTACATCAGAGATTGTATGGCTGGTAGGATAATTCAGAAGGTTTGGGGTCAAACCTGTGTTGTATTTATAGGTATCTCAGCTTCGGAATAATCAAGTTCTCTAGACACCTGACTCGACCACAAACTGCCAATGTGAAAGCCCTCTTGAGCCAGACGATGGAAATATCTATAGAATGATCTACGGAACAAAAAACCAAAGGATCCCGACCCTAGTTATGACTTCGCCCCCATGTATAATTGGCCAGCTAGCCAGCCTGTAGGGGTATATGTATGGCTGCGCCTGTGTTGGCACTTCAATCTCGGAAATCAAGGAATTAAGAAATCCAGAAATCAAGAAACCGACGCTCGTGAACACTTCACCTCATATATACATCTGCCACGACACAACGGGCCCAGATGCAACGACAATTGATCTGGGCACGTCGAGCAACATGTCGGGCTTATTCTCCCGCCGTACATCTTACCTACCCCTTGGAAAATCATGGGCAGACACAGGGGAACATAAACGGCACAACACATATCCCCTAGCCCACAGCTCGAGGAAGAAAGATAGACGGTCAGCCAACCCATGCTTCGCTATATCAACGACATTTGAACTAACTGCTCTTCTAGATGGCCCCTCGTGTTAAGGTTCTGGAAGGGCTCTATCCACGGCAGTACGTGGATACATCCTCATTTATATCTTCATTCTCTCCCTGCACTGAGCACGTGCTGATCTGGTCCTCGTCCAGCAATTGCCATCCCAGTCATCTTACACGCCCTCATCGCCGCTTTCGTTGTATATGTGAACCAACATATCAACTCGGACTTCAACCTTCCCAGCACGATCGTGGGTTTTCCTCTTCCCTCTCTCTGCGCGCCGCATTCCCCTGCTCACCACCTTTCCAGATCCCCTCCCTATCCATCGTGGTAGGTCTCATGCTCGTCTTCCGCAACCAGACAGCATACTCGCGCTTCTGGAACGGCCGGCTGCACGTGAACAGCGTCACGACGGCCATCCGGTGTCTCGCGCGGCAGATCTTGGTCCTGGTGCCCGCGCCCGCCGTGCCGCCGAGCATGCAGTCGATGAATTCCGAGAGCTACCTCGATGCGCCGGGCTCGCGGACGCCCATGTCTTATTACGAGGCGGTGGCGACGCCCGGCGATGATGTTCTGGGCAAGGCGGACGAGGCGCGGACGATCGAGACGGTCCGCATCTTGATCGCCATGCTGTACACGATCAAGAACCATCTGCGCGCGGAATGGGGCGTGGCGCTCTCCCCCGGCACGCGGCTCACGGAGGATGGGCAGGAAGATATTGTGGATGAGTATAAGGATCTCCTACCTCCTCAAATGAAGGGCTATGAGCATCGGGGTCTAGGGTTGACTTTACAACTATCGACTTTCATTGAGGACTTTGTGCAATATGGAGTCGAGAAGTACGTCTCATCCTCTCACCGATTAACCCTCTTCCCCCTGATCCTGAAGCCATTCACATACTCACAATGCTCACCTCATACAGGAAATGGTTCCACAACGCCGCCTCCGCAACCATGCTCTCCTCCCTGAACCAGCTCACCTCAGCCTACGGCACCATGGAAGTAATCCGGCTGGTCCCGATCCCCGTAGCGCACCTCATCCACCACAAGCAGACGCTCGCGCTCTTCTGCGGCATCCTGCCCTTCGCCATGGCCTCGGAGATGGACTGGTGGGCCGTGCCGCTCGTCGCCTTCGTCGCCTTCACGCTGTACGGCATCGAAGGCATCGCGCAGACCTACGAGGACCCGTTCGGCGTCGCCAAGATCGACATCAACCTGGACGACATCGTCGAGGACGCGCGCCGCGAGGTCGAGGTCATGCTGTACGCGTGGCAGATCCAGGGCGGCCGCGGCGGCATCTTCCGCCCCCACGCCCCCGGCGACGACGCGCCCACCAGCGACGCCAGCTCCGACTACTTCAGCCACGGCGCCGCCGCCTCCTCAACGACCACTCCTACCAATACTGCCGCCCAGCGTCAGGAATCCCTCCTCCGCGTCGTCGTCAATGATCTAAACCAGGAGATCCAGCGCGAGACCAGTAGACGGCGGCGCGAGCGCGCAAGAGCTTCGGGCGCTGAGACGCCGCAGGACTTCTCGACTAGGGATAGCGAAGCTGCTGCGGGACCGAGTAACAATGTCCCGGGTCCTGGGGCTGGAGGGAAGAAATTAAGTTGGCATGATGGCGGCGGCGGGGTGTAGGTTAGGTAAGGTATGTATCTAGATCCATTGATTGCGCGGGTTGGCGTTTCTTGCTTTTATAGAATGGATAGGACGGATGGATTGATAGATAGATAGATTTGAGATCATGGTGGTTCGTTTGACATTTTGTTGATTCGTTCATTGATTGGGGCGGGGGCGAAGCATGTTTGGAGTTTGGGAGTGCGTGCCCTTCATTCGATTACCCACCCACCCCTTTAGAATAACAATCGTATGGATAGACAGAGACAGACACAGGTATCAAAGGTTCGCAATCGGGGTATTTTACATATTCATACATAACATCAACTTCGTATCCTCATTAAGGTATAAACCACACGAACGCCCCGTTTGGCAGCACAAACCGCTCGCTCGCCATGCACCCCCAGAACTCCTAATCAAATAGACAATCCGCCACTTTCGATACTCACACACTCTTTCCCATCACTCTAGCACGGGGACGAAAATCATTGGCGATTACCACGTTTGTATCTTCCCGGCTGGAAATCCCTAGCATCCGACATCATGTCCTTGAAGATGATATAGAGCGCCTTGATTTCCTTGGCGGCCTCTAATGTGTCCACCACCTCGTTGGCGTGTGCTTGTCTCTCTTCGGCTGTCATCTCGTCCAGCGCAGCAAGTTTGACAGGTGTGAGATGGCCTCCCTTCTCGAGCTTCGCGATGACCTGTTGGTTGAGCGCGTATTTCCAATGAACAAGCATGTGAGCATAAGTTGCCTTGTCGGCACAGTCACTAGGGGCCGGGATTAGTATCGTTTTTCAATTACTTGACGATCCAGTTTAATCGAATAACTGAATTCGAACATTTAGAGAGGATTGACGAAGGGGGAACGTACCGGCCAGCGAACCACACAGTGCTTGCAGGCTTGATATCATTATCATGCTCATCAATCGCGCTCCTATCCTCATCTTCATCCTCGCTACCGAAATCATCGTGGGAATCGCTGTCGGAGTCGCTGTCTGACTCGTTGGGCACCTCCAACAAGGTCTCCTTGACGTAGGGCTTTCCGCGGAAGGAGATAGCTACTGAAGGAACGTGAGAGCGATGATTGCAAGCATCGCACTTCGGTACTCCATCTACAGTATAGCCTTCTCCATCACACAACGGCCGCTTGATCAAATCAGGGCGGGCATTGAGAGCTTTTGTGAAGTCACTAGTCCATTGCGAAGAGATGAATTTACTCTTCGCGTATCCTTGTGCCTCGAAATCCACCTTGATAAAGGCTTGTTTGTAGATTGGATCATCCCGATTAGGGAAGCCGGGATCAAGCTTATTATGAACAAGCCATTCTACACAGTCTTTGAAGTGCTCCTTCAGAGGTTTGTGCGCATGATGAGTGTATTGAAGAGGGATGCCAAGGGAGCTTAAAGGGACACCTACAGTCTACAAGTTAGCTTATGTTGACAATAATTTCCAGCCGGGATGCCACGACTGAAATGTTGAAGGTACGTACCAATCAGTTCATCATCCTCGACAACAAAATCTGAATCATCTTCGTCTCCGCCAGTGTTTGAACGGTGCTGGTTGACATTTGGACGTTGGCGAGATTCTGAAGCTCTCCGTTCAGCAGGCTCAGGACTGAATTCCTCATCGTCAAACCTCCTCAGCACCTCCTGATCCGTGTCGCTGTCATAGAGTGGAGGTTCCACTTCATCACCATCACTGGATGAATCTGTCACCTTGTCAATCTTCTCCCCAGCACGCTTGCGCTTGAGTAGCTCGGCAGCCTTCTCTCGGGCAGTGCGATGAGATTTTCGTGGCAGGGATTTCCTAGTGAAACGGCTTGGGGTTGTAAGGCTCTTGCTGGTCACCGCTCTAGCTCTCCTGGAACCGGAGGCAGCCTTTTTCAGGGCTGGGAGATCGCTATCACTACTATCATTGTCTTCATCATCCTCCTCTGGTCTGGTTGGGCGTCTACGCTTTGATGGTGAAGGGGCGATGTCAGAACTGTCAGACTCCACGGCGGACTTTCTTCTCTTCAATGGTGAAACAAGAGGCAGCTCATCGCTATCCTCGCTATCATCATCTTTTTGTATTGCTTGTCTTTGTCGGCGCTTGACAGGTAATCTCAGGTCAAGATCAGAATCATCCTCTAAGTCAATGACTGTCTTTCCCTTGGTGGCAGGTATAGGAAGTTTCTTGGGTTTAGGCTGTACTGATAACTCATCGCTGTCATCTTCAACGATGATCGGCTTTCTTGGGCGTCTCGGTGCGCTTGACGGCACAGGCGGCTGATCGTCAGAATCGGTGTCATCAGCGACAGGTTTCTTGCTTGGTCTGTAAAGGGATTGCGGTTGCGATGATCGGGGTGAGAGGACAAGATCATCATTGCTGTTATCCGAGGGAGTAATAGGTTTCTTCTGTCTCTGTGAATCTGCACGCGAGAGTCTGGGAGCACACAGTCGTCCTCTTATTGCCGTCATCTTCTTTCGAGGTACAGCTAGAATATCTTCATCTGAGGAGGACGTGCTATCGGGCATGTCGTATCCGGGACCTTCTTCGAGAGCGGTAGACCTGCTAGTTCTTCCTCCACGCATGTTTCCACGTAGCTTTCCATGGGCGCCTCTACGTGTAGGTGTAGGGTTGGGTAAATTGGCTTCGTCGTCATTATCGCTGATCTCGAAAGCATCTATATACACAAGAGGGGTTCGTTAGCCAGAGAAGATAAGAAAGATCTAACAAAGCAAGCAAGGCGCCACGAGAGTCCGCGCGCTCCAGAGCAGTATATAACCATCGAAGGAATTCGCACATCCTAGCAAGATCTGAATATGCGAAGGGGGAACAGGGAGCATACCAGCAGCAGACTTTGCCCCGCCAGGCTTCGACTGAGAGAGGTTCATAGTTGGCGACAGACGGTATCTGACATTCGCAGGCGACAGGTGATTGCGTTTCTCAGAAGGCGACGAGCTTTTCGTAGTGTTATCAGGATCGATAGGGTGGAAGGTGAGGCGTGTCTGCCTCTTGCGTCTGGCCTTGTGCTCGAGGTTCGATGGCATGCTTTTGCTCCCCTCTTTCTACGGCAACCAGCAAGACGCGCTCGCTGAGTGCTCTCCCCGCGTTGTCGTTCTTTGCGCTAATTCTGCGTAGTCAATATCGCGATGCTTGACAAGTGCTAAAGTCAATGACTAGAAGCGAGTCCCTAAAATCAGGTTGCTTGCACGATTGATGAGGCAAAAAAGGTGAGACTATTGATGAGTATGCGCAGAAAAAAGAGGGAGGTGATTGCGAACTTTGACAAGGTGATGTCGCGTAAATTCGCGTAAGTCTGTAGGGACCAGCTCACGATATCACGTGATTAGCCACTATCAACATATTACCTTGCCTTACCGCTTTTCAACTTCATCTCAACTCATCTCTTCCCTCTTTCTCCAATGTCATCCATAAGTATATAGAATGTCTTCTTTCCCTATACTCCACGTGGGGGTTGCTGCGCATGATTCTATCTTTGAATATAGTCTTCCCCCAGGTACGCGTTCACATGAAGATATTGATTAGGATTAATCGCTGAAGGTATTTTGATTGTTGTTACTACTGCAGATACAAACATAACGCTTTGCACCGAAATTGTGCGTGTGTTCACTCTCTAAGAAGCTAACCACGACCAGTTCGGGAGAACCGGCAGCCATGGCAGAGCGCGTCGAGGGGAAATAAAAATGCAATTCGCTGCCATGAGAGATCCCTTCCCATTACGACCATATATCCTCTTCCTCCCAAACTCATATGCAAGGGTATCCGCGGAAGTGGTATCATCAAAGAAACAATCCCTCATGAATATTAAGAAAAGGTGAAAGCCGCTGCTGATTCGACTTTAAGCAGTCCCAGTAAGAACAGGGTTGTTAGCTCCCAGAGTGGTATGGCCTGTGTCTAGGGCCGTGAGAGATGGCTCTTCCTTGCCAAAGGCCTTGTCAACTTCCTTTTTAAATAGGGAGGTATCACCAGGGGTCAAACCCTTCGCGAAACCCTCTGTCTCAGCTGTGGTGGCAATGGCAGCAGCCTGAGCAGTGTCAGGCTTTTCAAGCTTTTCGACTTTTTCAACCTTTTCAACCTTTTGCGGCTCTCTCAAACCGCCCCCGGTTACGGGATGTGGTTTTCGAGTGATCCGGGGAACGCTGGGAAGGTCTGAGGTTGTCGATGCCGTTCCCAATCTGAAGATCGGTGATTCCCACTTGTTGCCGCTCATACCAAGGTGTTTGTATTCGGTTGCCTTTGTTGATATTCCCCCTGGAAGCTTGATGTCGGGGAAGATGGAGTCATCCTTGGTTATGGTCACGTTGACCTTCTTCTCAGCAGAAACCTCTGCGGTCTTTTGTTTGCCCTGCATCAGCTGCTTCTGAGCTGCTTTGACGTAACGACTGTATACGTTAGGGGCTTCCTCAGGATGTTCCGCTACCTGCATTATCGTCAGACCAGAGTCATACTATAATAGTGTCAAGTGTGACTTACCATCTTTTTTGCACGGTCAGCCTCAAGCTTGATCTGGTAAGCCATGCTATCGAGTTGGTGTACTTGCTCCTTGATCTTCTGCTCCAGGACCTTCTGAATGGCAGGGCGGAGAACCTTCAGCATCATGCCCTTTGCTAGAGCGAACAAGATCTTATGCCTAGATCGTTTAATCCTGATTTTGAAGTTCCTGACATCAACATCAACCCTGTCTACCTTGAAGAAGTTCTGTTGGTCCAATCTGTCGACAGACGACATCTTCATCTTGAAGCTCAAACCGCTCCCACCAAGGAAGATGTCAGCAATACCGATGTCAGTGAGTTTTGGTGAACCTTGCTTTCTCTTAACATAGTAGGAAACATCTCTCATATCCATCTGGATGCCAGAGACTGACACGCTGACGGAATGGATATTTTTATTTGCCACCTTCTTGCGTCCATATCGGAAATAGTTGTCTTGAGAGATCATTAGGAGCGGACCTGTGTCGAGGAGTGGGGCGACACTTACCATTGGCAACTTCAATAATGTTAGGCATCAAATTATCGCTCTCAATAACCAAGTTCTCGACAATTGCATCAATGGCAGGGTCGCTGTACTCAATTCTAGGAATAGGCACGTAACGGATGTTTTCAAAGGCGGCGGGAATAATGACCTCTGTAAGGTCCTTGACGAGATAGGGCTTCAAAGCTGGCTTGCCATACTCGTCGTAACCCAGGTCCCTGAATAGTTTCTGCATAGAGAGTCCAAAGCGCTTGTTTATCGGATCCTGCTCAAATTGATCGCCAAGGAACTTGATCTCGTCGACGATGCGGTCTGTGTGGTTGCGGTAACGGTCACGAAGGAGGAAATTACCACGATCATAGATCACGTTCCACTCCTCCGTGGCGCTCTTCTCCATGATGTAGCCTTGCTGCTGGAGGCATTTTCTGATATACTGATTAAGGTGCTTAAACCATGACTTCAGTTCAGGGTCCTTGTCGGCGTCACGGTAGATATTGTTAATGGCATCAAAAAGATCATCGGTAGAGGTGCCGTTGGCAGAGCGCTCAATGAGTGTCTTGAAACCAGTCAGTACTTCCGTACTCTTGCTCGTTAAATCTGCCACATACCTTCAAATCAGCTTCAGCAAGCCTCAACGCATCATTACTACGGGCGTCCTGGACTGCGCCAGTGGACTTCTGCCCAATGGTTTGAGCATGACCGAAGTAAGTCTCGGCCAAGTAAAGGAGTGTGTCGATAGCCTGCGCATCTGGGGGTGAAATCTATCAGCATGCGATTGAGTAAGGAGACATGAGTTGGACACCTACAATCGGGATGGCTTTGGATCTCAACCACCATCTTACGGAGCCTCCAGATGGTTTGGTCGCGGCGCTCCTGGGGCACCTTACCGGCCAGATAATCTTGAGTACGCTCTCGGTTAATGCGAGCCTGTTCATAGGTGTCCTTTGAGACCATATCAGATAGACGCCGCTTGGTTGTGCCGGCTTCTGCACCCGCCTCACCCTCAGCGCCGGTGGGTTTAGTAGTCTTGAACCGGCCCTTGATCTTATCAACCGAGATGTCTGGAGCATCATGCCATACGCCCTCTTCCGCGGGCTCGTCAATATGGCGCAACTGCTCCTGAGACGGCTTCACCTTGGTGGCCGCCTTGGTGGCAGCATCCCCGGCGATGTCGCGGAGGAGAAGTGTAGCATCGTTTACTAACACGGTTGTTAGGCAAAGGAACAAAATGGAAGGGACGGTTGCACTTACAAAGCTTGCGGAACTGCCCATTGGTGATGATGAGCGTGCCAAGGGTTCGAAGGCCTTCCAAAGCCTTGTGGGCATGTCGCTGCGCCGTCTCGCGGTCAACTGGCGTTTCCGGGCGAGAGACAGCCTCAGCCTCGAGATGTTCGGATTGCCAGATCAAGTCTTGGAGTAAGTTCCCCGCGTTTTTGGTGAGGAGTAGTACCTTCGCCTGCTCGACAACCTCGCGCAAGTCCTTCACGAGAGCTCGAGCCTCTGGGGATAACTTGCTGGATGGGGCGGTCATAGGACGAGAGGCGAGGAAGCTGTTGAGTGCAATGTCGATTTGCTCGTTCTGTTGCCAATTCACATGATCTCAGCAATTGATATTATCACACCAGCAATAGTCAGGAGCACTTACGGACGGGAGCTTGCCATTTTTGAAAGCTTTCACAAGGTGTTAGCAGATAGGCAAAGCGCGCCGCGGCCAATGCCAGGTTTGGGGCCTACCGGTAACTATTCCATAGAGCTGGAGTTTGCGGTTTATGTCGGCTTCCTCCTCTTTGATGTTGGTCGGTCGATTAACCGTAGCGGAAGGCATCGTGGCAGATTGACGCTGGTGTCTCGATGACACCTAGATGAGGAAGAAGGCGGGACAAAGAATTAAGGGTTTCTGATGCTGATGATTGATTATGTATGTATGGGAGAGGAAGAACGATTCCCTTTCGGTTGAGTGAGTGGAAATGTGATTATGTATTGTATGAGTATGGATGGTGGGGGAGAAGATGTGATGGGATGTAATGGGATGGGATGGGAGAAGATGTGGAGTGAGAGAGTGTGGAGTGAGAAGTGGTGACAGGTGAGGTGAGTGGCATACAGCAGCTACCTTTGGTTTGTAGGGGCCTACGCTATGGCAAAAGCGAAGAGGAAGGAAGTGAGAAGAGGGAGAAAGACAGGCACGATGGGAGGAGGTAAAGTAAATATCTGTTTGCTCCAGGAGTCCAGGATGTTTGCGTACAATCCAAGTATCATCCCATGTACCTATTCCCACTGAGGAGAGGTGATATCAGTCTTTCCAGGACGCTCGAGTCGTAGCAAAAGAGGGAAGGAGAGCGCATCATCTACTCTTGCTTGACTTACTTGGAAGAGTCCTTGAGCCTTGACGTTCCATGTCCTTGGTTGCTTCCATGGCCTTGGACGTCGACGTCACGAACAAAGTTGTGGGAGCGGTCATTGGAGTAGATGGTTGTTGAGGAGGTTGTCTCCTGTCACTGACGTCGACATGTCTCATCCCTGCTGCCGATCCTGGGCGTGGGCACAGGTACGCTGGATTACCGTATTACCGCATTGCCGGATTACTGTATTACCGTATTTTCTATAGTTTGTACTCCGTGTGGCACTTTCATTGGGAACAGCGAGGCAAGGTCTGATAACCAATCCCTTACAGTATTTACGGAGTATTTGTCCACCCTCCCCGCAGTCAAGTCGGAAGACGTCGCGGGGGACGCTAGGCCCCATTGGGACTTGGCACGAGCAACCCACCTCGATCAAAGGATTCGGAAACTCATTACCTTACCTTAAAGTACCTTATTCCGCGCAGACCACGTGGAAGAGCCAGCTGATAAGCAGTGCGGGCCGTTGCGAGGAGCACATCGATTGTATTGCTTGTTCATTATTGTTTATCAGCACAAAACCGTACGAAACTTCTCTTTCCTATCCAGGGCTATCCCTCCGTCCATTGTCAAAGCCAGATGACTCGCGCTCTAGATACCTTATATGTAACAGACTCCTGCATTTGTGTTCTGATTTAATTATACAATCCTGCGAGACTGATAAGGTAAGGTAGATGGGTTCTCATTTTATAAAAGAAATAAAGTCTGAAGGTACCAAAATTGCAGTCGCCGGAAGTGCCCTGAAACTACCTTCCTTACTTATCCATCCAGAAGGGTTGCTCCCCCTTTATTAGAGACCCTTCCAGATCAATCTATACCTCCTGATATCTCCCCCCGTGTCTCAACATCTTTCTAATTCCAATGTTTATAGAATGTAAATGTGAATGCCTACTCGCTTATCACTGTCCTTCACCCCCCCTTCCCCCTTTTTTCAGGGGCTCGCTTGGATCACCAACTCCCCCCTTATCTCCCTACCTAAGGTAACAACCATAAAGCTCATATATCAAAATGAACCTTCCAGTACCGACTCTAAGCCTTGAGACTTATTCTTAGCAGAGGGCGTCTTTGTTGTTTCGAAAGACTGAATCCAAAACTACCGGATGCCTAATATCTTGTTATAGCTGCCGCAGTATCAAATAGCATATATAAAAACGAAAACATCCAAGAATGAAAGGCATGAATTCACTCCACAATTCCATAAATCTCATCTTTGTTACCCCAAGTTATAAAAATCGACTCAATCTCTCTTTTCCCTCCCTCCCCAAATCCTCAACCATTGCCTTCTTGCAAACAAGCAAAATCGATTCGATCATTCTCCATCAATCAATCAATCCTCCACCTGATAATAAATCAAGGTTTGCAGAAATAAGAAGAAAACATGTCAAGCACGCCCTTCAACCTCGCCCACCTGCTCAAGTCCGCAAAATACAGCGATCTGAAAGTCATCTGCCAGGATCAAGAATTCAACGTCCACCGAGCGATCGTGTGCGCGCAGTCCCCAGTTTTGGCCGCGGCTTTCGATGGCGCTTTTCAGGTCCTCCTCCTCTCCCCCTCCCCAAAGCCCCTGAATGATCGAGGCAGTTGTTGTGTAGGGGATTTGTTTTGCTGATTAATAGTGAGTGGGTTAGGAAGCAGCGACATGCACTATTGTCATTAGAGAGTTTGAGGCGCGGACGGTTAGACAGATGATAGCGTTCTTGTATACAGCGAGTTATGAAGAGGATTTGGAAGAGAGAAAAGAGGAACGAGGATCTGACCTTGAGGAGGGAGATGTTGAGATGGATGGTAAAGGTGAGAGAGAGGAGAGAGAGATCTGGTGATAGGATGCAAGCTATTAACCCATGAAAATCCAGACGATGAAGGACACGCCTCTCTCCCCACACCAACGAAACCAACAACTACCGACCTCCTACTACATCACATGCAAGTAAACCGAATCGCAGACTACTACAACATCCCCCCCTTACTCGCCCTCGCAAACACCAGAATCGAAAAAATCCTCAGAAAAAAATGGTCCGCCGATCGATTCTCAGACGTCGTTAAAGAAGCTTTCACCTCTAACAACGATATCGAATTACAGGAGCTTATATCCTCAGCCGTGAATAAGAATATTGAAGAACTGATCGAGCGCGAGGACTTCACGGCGCCTGATATCATACGTCACTTCTCACTCAGCATCATACGATACATGATCGAAGAGCGAAAATTGGCAAGGGAGTGCCATAGCGAGGCTCTAATGCACGCCCGAAGAAGGGCCTCGTGGATCGCAAAGCTTGGGTTCATTGAAAATTGCCAAAATGACCTTTGTACAGCTGAGTTTAATGGTCAGATCAAGTTATCTTATGTTGGTGGCGGTGATCCAGTGTATCAGCTTCAGTGTAGAGAATGCGGCAAGCGGCATTTTCGATTGGATGCCATATGACTCTATGAGGTAGATTTCATCAAGAGGATAGGACCGGAGCTATTAGCAATTTAATTAGCTGCTGTCAATAACAGTTTTCATACTTTTTATATCTTGTATATCCGGCCTCTCTCCTCTCCATCCTTCCCCTTTCCCCCCCCTCTCAATCCCCCTTTCCCCCTCTCTCTACTCGCCTACCTTACCTACCCAGGTACCACCTACCTAATCCATCTACTCCCTCCCATCCAAGTCCAACTCCTTCAAGCCCAAAAAAGAAAACAAAAGAAAAGAAACAACCTCACCTTTCACATCTACAACATGATGATGATGATGATGATGATATTTATTTACGTCTAAATACGGGCATAAATCAAGTAACCGTAAGGTAGTGTGAGGTTTTAATTCCCTTAATCGTTTGTGTAAGTCTCTGGATTGGACCCTTGGTTAAGCTATCAGACTGTGTTATATACAGAATAAGCGAGGATCATGTGTACCCTAACAGGTAGCTACCTAGGTACTGCCTATAACCCTGAGTCCCTGACCTCCTAAAGGGTATAAGGACGTGCTAAGCTGATAGTGTTAAGTCTTTGACTCTTCGCCCTCCTACATCTAGGTACGACATGTACCAAAAAAGACACCACCTACCTACCTATCCTCCCACCTCTCCCACCTCTTCCAACTGCTCCCCCCAAATTCCCTAATCTTACCTTACCTATCATCACCATCACCAAAAGGCAGGACACACACAAAACAAAACATATCGATGCAAAAAATATTCCCTTCCATTTATTTTCTCTAAGTCCCCTCCCCCTTCCCCCCCCCCCACCCCATACCTGCTTGCTTAATCCAAGTTTCATTTTTTTCATAGCTCATTCATTCAAAAGGTAGGTTTGGTTTACCTATGCATGCATGCATGCGACCAATCCCATCCATCCATCATCTATCCGCATATACCTTACTCTTCTCGACTCAACTCTCTCACCTCTCTCCTCTCACCTCTCTCTCCCCGCTTGACAAAATCCGCATTTGGCATGCATCTACTACAAAAAAATAAATGAAAAGAAGAAGAGAAAAAAGCATGCATCATGATGTTTTTCTTCAAACATCTGATGCCTCTCTCCACCCCCCTATCCCCCCCTTATCCCGCGTAATTCTCATTTCGAACGAACTTCTCTCTCTCTCTCCAATCCCCCCTTTCGCAAAGTAGCAGAAAAAAATAAAATATGAAGTTACAGAATGCGTATGATGTTTTCAATTCATAGACGGATCTTTCTCCCTCCCCCCTTCCCACCCCGCTTATCACCACCTTGGATTTCATTTCAGGTCGATTCATTTCAAATCCAGCCCAGCCCATCCACCTACCGTACAATCTCGCCCGAGTCCCGACGCCAGAACAAAGAAAAAAAAAAAAGGAGAACTCTGTAGAGTGGAAAAATTTTTAAGATTCGTAACACAGCATCCGTAGGTCATTCATTTGCTAGGGAGATGCAGCTTGGCGCGCACGCCCGCGGCGTCTACCTCCGGCGCATCGCTATTAACCAGGCCCGGTTCTTCCTCGATCACCTTCTCCATCTCGACGTTGAGGCGCCAACCGGGATCCTCCTCGGTGACGGGTTGAGGCTCGTGACCCCTGCCGCTGTTGCTGCCGCTGACGCCGACACCCGGGATGCCGTCTTCGTGCACCTTGCGCCGGGCGTCGCCGACGATCTTGTCGACTTCGCTCATGGCGCCGGCGAGGGAGTGGGGATCGCCTTCGACGCCGATGGCGCAAGTGGAGTCCCTGGCCGTGCTCAACAGCGCCGACTTGTTGAAGCGCACGATCATGCAGGACAGATTGTCGGTGCTGAAGCGGGCGAGCGCGTGGTCGACGAGTTGCTTGGCGGCTGCGACGGGATCGAGCTGATTGCGCACCAAGTCGACGGCTTCTTGATCAGAGCAGACGTCCCATAACTGCATTCGGCGTCATCAGCAGGGGGATCAGAAAGAGGGAGGGTACAACTTACGCCATCGCAAGCAAGGATTATGAATTCATCAATGTCGGGTTGGATGACTGTTTCTGTAGTATAAGGGTGCCCGGTTACTAGATCCTTCATATATGCGTCTCCCAAGGCCCGCGTAACTGCCAGGACCCCATTGACGCGGTTATTGAGAATCAGTCCTCCGGCATTGGCGATTCGCCTCCCCTCGTTCTCGTCACTGCCCTTGTGGTCGTAGGATAACCTCAGGGCTTTACCATTCCGACACAGTACAATCCGTGCGTCTCCAACATTGGCAGTATACAAAACCCTTTGCCTCGAGGCAGTGCTCCTGAGCCTGGCGTGCGTTGCCTCATTGGATGTTAGACTAGCCGCGGCTGCAGCGGCGTTCGCTTGCTGTGATGGGGTCTTGGTCATATCAATGCCACTATCTGCCGACTTCTCCTCGCTCCTGAGAGCCTCTTCGGAGGCTCTAATGGCAGCTGCCGTGGCCGGTGCAATCGGGGTCGACCCCGTTGCTGACTGGGCGTTTGGTATCCTGTCTTCCCAGCGGAGGACGGCGGTGACGGCGGTACACCCACTGTTCTTCAGAGGGAGTTTCTCCAGCTGGGCGTCGACGCTCGTGAAGGTCTGGTCGAGGAGTTCGGGGATGGCGGTATTTGGATTCTTTCTTATCATTTCTTCTAAGATGATGTGCAGTTTCTTCCCGCACCAATCTGCTGCAAAAGTGCCCGCGTGACCATCGAAGATCGCAAAGTAACCATTGTCCGTCTCCATCATCTCGCCCGAGGAGGCCGATGAGGCGAGACTGGCTGTAGACACATCGGTTGAGAGCTCCTCGGACGACTTCTGCGACCTCTGACTCGATGAACCGATGGAACTTAAGACGGGGGCGGGAGTATGTAGGAAGTTGTAGAGGAAGGCATGTGTGTCTTCCATCGTCCGGCGACATTTCTTATTCTTGTCTTCCCAGACGCCCACCCTGAAGGTAGACCTGGGGCCGGGAAGTGATTCGCCTGCCGAGTTATTGTGTTGGCCTTGAGGAACGCTTAACGCCGGATCTTGCTTCCCAAGTTTCTGTAACGGGGTCTGCGTACTTTGACTATCTCTATCTGAGCTGCGCATAAACCCAGCGCTGTTTGGGCTCGGGCTGAAGTGTAACGAGTTCTTCGCGCTGGCCAGCAGGGAGCTGGCCTTCCCCCCAACGCCGCTACTCCTGCGCTTCTTCTCCCCGCCGTTATCTGCGGGAGCGCGGCCTTGCGGACTGCCATTCCCACTGCGCTTCTCTCCCGCTTCAGGGGATTTCGAGGGGGCGTCGCCCGTGTTGGATGTCGTGGTATTTGGGCCAGAAACTGAGGAGCCTCCACCGGAACCCGGCCCCGTATCTTTGGGCGGAGATGCAGAACTGCCAAACATCCTGTTCAGCAGACCTCCCTGGGAAAAGCTCCTCCTCTTAGTTCCTGCCAGCTTGCTGACTTTCACCTGGTGTGCGTCTCGCGAGGAGAATCGAGGCGGATGCGATTTTGGGAGGGGGGGGAGGCGGAGGGCGGGACGTTGTTGGCGAGGATGGCTCGGCAGGTGGAGATGTTGAGAGGCGGCGGGGAGGACCGTCGTGGGGCGGATCTGAATCAAAGAAAAGGGAGATCTGGTGGCGATGTTCTCAAGATTGCGGGTGTTTCGATTGAAAGTTGCTGTGGTCGGGGGGTGGATTTCTTTGTACGGGGGCTGGCTGACCGGTCGGTGTTAGTAGCTTTCGAGGGTGCAACAGATGACGGTATGTGGGGTAGCAGCCACGGGGGGATGCTCATAGGGAGCCGCACAACTCACGACGAATGCTGGAGAGCGACGAGGAAGACGCGTGGAAGATGTTGGAAGGGCTCGATGCGACGACGACGGTCTAACGGATGCGGCGGCAGGAGGCTCAGGAAATGCACGCTGGGAGGGGAGCGCGGCAGAGACGAAGCAGAGGAGCACGGCGTTGGTAGAAAGGTAGAAGTCGAATTGGCGGAGGCCGGTCTCGAGGGCTGACGGCGTCGCAGGGTCTGGCGCACGAAGAGGACTATTGCTGGAGAAGGACGAGGCCTGGGGAGAACAAAAGGCGGGATCGTGTCTGGGCGGGCGGCAGGACTGGAGATGGAGAGAGAGGAGAGATTTGGCCCGATGAAGACTGAGATGCCACTATCGCCAGGATTCCGGTGGTGCGTGGCGGCAGGGGTTGGGGGACGGAGTACAGGACAGGAGGATCCAGGACAGACAAGCTACAGACACAGCACAGCACAGACAACAGCTTTCTTTACGGAGTAGTCGCCGTGGCTCTGGTCGCAGCGCTCGGAGTTCTGCTCAAGGATCCGCGCGAGGGGTCTGGAGAAGCGGAACAATGGCTGGAGGGGATCCAGGGATCCAGACCCACGTCTCTCTACAGAGGATGGATTGATTTGTCTGAGTTATTCTCGCACGAAGGCCTCAGCATCTTAATCCATGAGGATTGGAATTTGGGGATCACTTCAGCAAGCAGACTTATCTATCTGATAAGATCTGATAAGACACCGAAGCTGCTGTGTTATACTGTGGGAAGAAAAGCTGCGTGCCAGGTACATAGGTAGGTAGGAGGTACATACGCGTCCAGAACCAGCACGCGCCGATCACTCTCCCGCCTCGCCCTCACGAAGCGCCCAGAGACCATCTATGTTTTTATGATCTTTCACCCAAGGCCAGTCCAATTACAATTCTCAAATTTTTCTAATCCCTATTTCGCCTCGTCGTGGGTTCTTCAGACCTCTCTCAGAGTCTCGGGGTAATTCCCTGCAAAGGTCATGTGACCGGGGTGACCTTTCGCCGTCCCCTGTTTTGGGGAACGATGAGGATTACTAATCATGAGCCCTTCCCCTTAAGTAAGCCCTGAATCCTGATGAAACAGCGAATCCCGCGCCTTTCCTGATCCGGCATGCTATTTTCAGAGGCACCCCAGAAGGGGCACGTGATCTCCCACTCCTCTACCCGATCCGGCGGCCTCACGAATCGTGCAAGTTTGTCGATTATGTCATCACCGGGAATGCTTGATTGGAAATACCTGGGTATGATTACCTATATGATAACACCTTGACTCTGTTCATTATTCGTATTCTTCTTTCGGATTTTTATACTTGCTTTTATCCACATGGCTGGCACATCTATCCGGTCTGGAAGCTGCGGCATCGACGGGCCTTTTCCCCCGCACTGGCTTCGGCCTACGGAGGTAAGGAACGGCCGGAGCGTGCGTGTGGCGGAGGGAACTTGGAAGGCCGTGCTGCCCTCTCTTGCCGTCTTCTGGAACATGGCTGGCACGGCGAACGCCTGCCTGCTTACCTAAGGCACTTTATCATATCGAGAGCCTTGATACGCTTGATACTGTACTGTACTGTACAGATAACAACATAAGACATAAGATATAAAATATACAATATCGACTGTCTTTATCTCTCTCTTCTCTCCTGCACCGCAGGTAGGTAGGTATTTATATCTCATCACCCTTCCCGGATGCAGCTCCCTGGTAATGCGCGTGTACAAGAATATACTGCAAAACTCCTCGTCTCGTTATGAGACAAAAACGCCGCGAGTGAAGCTCATTGCCCAACCCCTTTCATCGCCGCAAGCTGTCGAGTCGGGCCTGGAGATCGTCGTCTCCGGGATCACCACCACTCCCTCCCACCGCCTGTGCCACTCTGCCCTCGCCCATAGCCGTGCCCTGGAGCCCGCTGGGCGTTTCGCCCATCTATCACCGCCATCAGCATCAGCGCTCGTACAGAGCCATCGAACACTTACAGCCTGTCTGAGATCAATCCCAATCTCCTCCAAGACCTGCTCCACCACCTCTTCGCCCTCAGCCTCGTCCTCTAATCCCGTAACATCGTCGATGGCGTCGTCCATCATCTCCTGCCGCTGGTCCATAATGTCATTCTCCTTCTCGAACTCCATAGCTATCCTTTGTAGAGCCGGGAGATTCATATTGCGATTCATACTGCCCAGCACACCCGTCGCGCCCTTCATAGCCTGCATCATCTGCTCATTCGTCCGCACCGTCTATAGTATCTCCCGTTAGTCGCCGTGACCATCCGTAGCAATGAGAACAGGACATACTTGTATGCGCAGGGAAATCGCCTGTAACTGCGTCTTCATCGAGTAGAACTTCTCAATGTACCGCCGCGTCCTCACCAGATCCTTGGCCTGGATCTTGCATGCCCCCATCTGCCCATTCTTGGCGCTCTTCTTGATCTCCTGTATTAACTTCTTCTCTTGGTTCTCGAGCTTGATCCGCTCGCGGTCCAGTTCCCGCTGCGTCTTCTCGAGGGACCGTTGGTGTTTGCGGAGACGCTCGGCCGGCGTCATGCGCTTCCCGAAAGCCCACTCGACGATCTTGGGAAGCGGGGGTTAGCTGGAGACAGATTGGATGGAGGTTGATCTCTTACATTCATGTCGTCTGTGTATCGGGGGGGGCTTATCGAGCTGGGGGGTTGAGATGCAATACGCAGCAGCCTCGCCGGGCTCAAGTGGAATATTTGCCTAGCCAGAAATTTATGGGAGTAGGAACCTGCCTCTCCGCTTTATATCTTGCGGGAAGAGTGAGCTCTGTATAGGTGGGAGGTGAAATGCGTTTTATTCGAATAGGAATCTCTGAATTGCACTCAACTGTTACCTTGCGCGTCATCTTTCAGGTGGGCGGGATTCCTTGGCAGAACAGAATTGATGTCTCATTATTTAGGCCACCATCGAGCGCCACAATCCGAAGTTCTGCCCGTTTATACCGCCACGGACTTGGGCAAGAAAAACATAGCAAAAATAGGAAATATCTTTTAGAAAGCCAGCATTAACTGTGGACTTACTAAGATCAATATTCTCAGTTCTTCGGGTGGATATTCCTCAATCCGAGACTCTTGCTGACTGAGATCCATGTGAAAGCAGACTTTAGCATCCACGCTAAGATTATGCAGGAAGGGAAACACGAAATATCGCCTCACCTTGAATTCTTTGCCGAAACATCAACCATCAACACCACGACATCCTCATTGCCCGATTGCCAACGGATGATCCAAACGCCACGATGAGCCAGGAATACAAAGGGAAGGGCAAGTCCTTAAGGGAGGAGGGGTCGAATGTCCGGCGCGTGTCAGGTAACCGGCCTCAGTACATGACCGTTGGGTCTGGGTCGACATCCGAAAGCGCTTCCCGGTTACAGGCCTTGCTAGACAATGATTCTGGCTATGGAGGAAGTGTTGCTGGCGACAATGCCGTGCCTGCTTGGAATCCTACCCTGACCGAAGACAGGCCAACGCCGGTACATACGCCGGTGGCCAGGGGAGAGAGCAGTGCAGCTGCAGACAACGAGAGAAGGATCCAGGCCAGCGCTATACATCAGCTATGGTACAACCAACACCGGGTGGCTCTCGCACGATCGATAAACAGGGTCGTGGATATGTTGAAGGGCTTACAAGAGGAGAACTCTATCTGGCCGGCAACGTATCCATCTGTCCAACGCGCCCAGACATCAGCACCACAAGGACCAGATCCACGACCACGTCTGATCTCTCAATCAACAACCGCAGGGCCAGAGAGCTCATATCCTCGACCAGGACTTCAGCAGCGCGCCCAGACCTGGGAAGGTAGCAACGAGGCTGAGTCGAGCAAGGTAGCTGAGGGAAGGGCGACACCGGAGCCTCGACTTATCTCGCCCCAGATCGCACAAGAGTTCTCGATTCTGAAACTGGACCTGAAGATGGGAGCCCTGCATCAGACCGAGCTGGTGCATTCGCTAGAGAAGAACTCGATCGCTTCCCTTTTAGATGGCCAAATCAGATCGAGTATCAAGCATCTCCTCTCTCTCAGAGAGCGCATAGAGGATACGTCAAGCAAAGTCCTGGTGACTGGAGATCTGAACGCTGGAAAATCGACCTTTTGCAATGCCCTCCTGCGCAGAAAGATTTTACCCGAGGACCAGCAACCGTGTACGAGTATATTCTGCGAGGTGCTTGATGCCAGGGAGAATGGCGGTATTGAGGAGGTGCACGCCGTACACAAGGATGTGGAATACAACCGACATGATGAGAGCACTTACGATGTATTTTCTTTACATGATCTTGAGAAGCTTGTTACAGACAACGACAACTACACCCAATGTAAAGTTTACATCAAGGATGTGCGGTCAATTGACGAGTCGCTTCTTAACAACGGGGTTGTGGATATCTCGATCATTGATGCTCCTGGTCTCAATCTCGACACGACGAAAACGACAGCGGTATTTGCTAGACAGGAGGAGATCGATGTTGTGGTGTTCGTTGTTTCAGCGGCAAACCATTTCACAATGACGGCTAAGGAATTTATTTGGGCCGCTGCGGCAGAAAAGGCTTACATCTTCATCGTGGTAAATGGCTACGATAATATTAGGGACAAGGAGCGTTGTCAAAAGATGATCTTGGAACAAGTTTCGAACCTCAGTCCTCGAACTTTCAAAGAGTCATCGGAACTCGTCCACTTTGTTTCAAGTAATGCCATTCCTACAGGACCTAGTCCTCCAGGAGGCAATGGCGGTAGTGGAAGTGCCAGTGGAGGTGGTGGTGGAGATGGGCCCGATTTCGATGATGATTCGGATCCGAAAGGGAAAGGCAAGGGGAAAGACAAGGAGAAGATCCGGGATTTCGAGAACCTGGAGCAGTCGCTGAGACGATTCGTGCTTGAGAAGCGAGCTCGGTCGAAGTTGGCACCCGCGAAGACCTACCTCCTCAATGTGCTCGGTGATGTACACACTCTTGCACAAGTGAACCTAGAAGTCGCTCAATCAGAGCTCGACCGGGTTACTAAAGAATTGGCAGAGTTAGAACCAATTCTTGAAGCGTCGAAGAAGGCAAATGCCGAAGTTAGCGATGATATCGACCGGACCATAGAGGACACTTGCAAAGAGATCTATAACCACACTCGATCCACTCTTGCATCATCAATAGCTGATGCCGCTGACACAGACCTTGGCGTTCCGTACCCTGGTCTACTCAGCGCCTTCCAATATGCAGACGATATCAAGGAAGCCATCCTCTCACAGATCTCAGCGTCCGTTACCGATTGCGAAGAGCATGCTCGCATGAAGACGGTCGAGGGTGTGAACTCCATCAAGCAATTAGGTTTATTGCATCTAGGGAATGAGTACACGGATCTGAGCTTCAGAAGCGATTTCATGTTCAGAAGAAAACGGGATATCCTTGCGAGACAAATCGAGATTGAGACTGAGATATGGGATTTCTTCGATGTGTCCACCATTCTCCAACAGCAAGAGAAGATGGCCGGCACGGGAATGGCAATGACTGTCGCTACAGTAGTAGGTGGACGAATGGTGGGTGGATTTGGTTGGGTTGATGGTGCTCTTGGGGTGGCAAAGATCGCTGGCAGCAGGAACCTGCGCAAGCTGATTATCCCCGGAGCCATTGCAGCAGGTAAGCCAGTCGTAATCCTCCAGTAACCATAGGCACTAACATCCTCTAGCCGCCGCAGCGATCTACTACATCCTCAGCCAGATCCCACATTCTCTCCCCCACAGGCTCACGACCAAGATCTCCACCCAACTCGAAGCAATCGACTACGTCCACGCCAACAGCGAGCGCATCTCCTCTTCCGTCCGCAAGGTCCTCCGAACGCCGGCCAACAACCTCCGCGTCGGTCTCCAGCGCTCCGTCGAGCAGCTCGGCTCCAAACGCGAAGACACGCGCAAAGTCAAGGGCGAGAGCGAGCTCGCCCGCAAGTACTTCAGCAACCTCGTCATCCAGAGCCGCGAGGTCCGCCACACGGTCGAAGCGGTCGATCTCGAAGGCCCAGCGCCAGGCGTCGCCGCAGCTTATGATTCATGATTTTTCCGATCCCCATTTCCCTTCCCTCGTCCCCTTTTTAGAAAAAATAATACCCCCTCTTCTCTCCTTTTCTTCCTTCCTTCCTTCCTCTCCTGCCTCACTGCACTGCACTGCACTGTACCTATTGCTCGGAGCTGAGTCGATATGAATTGGGGAGTTCGTGGGCGTTGGGAATTACGTGTATATATGTATGTAACTTATGTACCTAGACTACTACTACTACTATTATTATCTTACTCAAGAAGGAAGGGAAGGGCTCACTCTTCTTCTTCTTCTTTCTTGAACTTGAACTTGAAATTGCAAAAGGATGGCGTGTCGTGTGTTCGTAGTTGTATCCTACCTACCTATCCTAATTCTATTCCTTGCACGTGGACATCTTACACATGGGTACAAAAGCTTCATTCAGTCCTCATCCATCCGTTCAAATCGTTTCATTCATACATAATCATGAGAGAGCTCGGTTTACTCGTTTACGGCTTCCCCTCCTTCTTTCTCTCCTTTTTTTAAGCCTTTTAAGCCTTCGAATCCTGACTTCCTTCCCTTTCATAACATACATACATACAATAACATAGGTAGGGTCCAATCAATCCAGCAAGAAGAACAAAATCAATAAAATCACCACACATATCCATCCCATCATACAATCAAAAAATCAATCAATCAATCAATCCACGACAGCTCACGGGGTATTATGAAAAAGACCAGAAACAGGAACAGGAACAGGAACAGGAACAGAAGAAGGTCAAAGGGCCTCAGCTGCTTCGCCCAACATAGACAAAAGACTAACAGCCGCGCCCCCGATACCCGCAGCTGTCAGATCGCGGCCGCCTATTTTGAAACCTCGTTTCTGGCCCTCTTTCTCTTTCTCGCGATCTTTGGGAGGATGGCGCTCGTGAGAATGAGAGTGCGAAGAATGCGAATGCGAGTGTTTCCTTGGAGCTTCGCGATCGCGGTTGTTGTTGTTGTTGTGTTTCCTGGTATGGTGATGCGGATGCGGATGGGGAGCGTGCGGACGGTCTTCTGCTGGGGCCCGGCGCGGAGAGGGAGGTGGAGGCGCGGCGTAGGTATAGTTGGGGGCATCATGTTTGTTCTTTAAGATGGAGCGCGGCGGGGGAGTGGCATGATGGCGCTGCTCGTCGGAACCAGAGGAGGAAGAGTAGTAGTAATCGCGGGAAGGAGAGCGCCGGCTGCGACTGCTGTGGTGGGGGATGGGGATCCCGCGCGGGGGAGGTTGGGATTGGAGGGGTGGGGTGTAGGGTTGGCGGGGTCCTGGATGGTGGGGGATCGGGGAGGGACGGTGGCGGGCGGCGCGAAGGACGGCGGTGCGGGAGGCGAGGGATTGGATTTCGGCGCGGGAAAGCACGCCGAGGACAGCAACGAAGTCGGGACGACTGGACATATCAGTTAGTCATGCGGCTCATTCACCTGCTCGAGGGAAGCGGGAGGGGCTTACGCTTCATACCGTCTCCCATCCTGACTTAGCACTTCGGGAGATACCAAGCGGCGGGTAATCTTGGTCCATTTGGCATCAGGGGGGATTTCATTCCCCTTTTCGTCGGGCCCTAAGTGGAAAGCATCTGGTCTTGGGCTTGCACCGAGTAGATCGCTGGACCTTCCGGGTGGCAGGATGGGTATGGCACCGTGTTGAGCGGGCGAGGCTTGGTACTCGGGTCTCTTTGGTCGATAGACCATCGGGCGTTGAACATCTTCGTCAATGAAAGAGCTACCGCTTTTAAAGCTTGCGGGAGAGCCTGATGGTGGTCGAGGCACTAGAGCTTGGCTTAGAGCGATCAGTTCACTAGTGAGAATGATCTCTTCACCGGAGTGGGTTTTGGAAGGCCCAGACAAGTCGTCATCGCTATCCGTATCCTCGTCCGACGAACCATCCGAGTCAAGGTGATACGGCTTTAGCCTTTCGTCTGATGCGAGAAGCCTCGGGACTGGCGAAGGTTGGCGTTGACTCCCACCGTCGCTTGTTCTCCGGACATGTGGTGGCCTTTGAGCGGGAATCTCCAGAAGAGGCTGAGAAATGCCCTCTTTCCATGACTCGGGCATCGGACGCTGCCATTTCATGGAAGGCGGGAATTTCAAGTTGTCTTCCCGAACGACCATCTCCTTCGGTCCGCTGTCAGCTCTCGGGGTATGTCGCGACTCGAAAGAAGGCGGGGTATCTCTGGAAGGGGCTGACTCGAGCCATCGTTCGGTGCGTGGACCTATTCCTTGTGGTGACATGATGGTTCCAGATACTAGGTAGATAGATAGCAGAGCAACTAGGAGGAGCTCTTGCTGGGAAGTTCTTGTATGTATTGTCAATTTGTCGCAAGGCTGGCAGCACTGCGAACAGATCGATCGATGCGACGGTCCAGGATTACGTAACCCGGATTATCATCAGTCCGGGGTTGAGGCTTATTTTAACTTTAAGGTACGGCTCGGCTAGCACCCGTGTGATCGCGGGTGACGTCACTATACCTACCATGCGGATATATCACGTCCGCACTCTCTCGCAAGAGTATCTAGTTAGATATAAGGGGTTTAACTACTGAGTCGGGGAATTTGGATAGTTACATGCGTGTCGCACTTAACCCGGAGTGCGTCACCTGACACCGTTCCTCAATACTCTGTTTCCCTTGAACCCCTTCGTCGACACCCTCGACCCTCCATAATCTCGACCTCTTCACGCCGTCGACCCTCCATAATCTCGACCTCTACATCTTGTAATTTAACCCTGATTAGAGATTAGCAAAATTATTCAATTACCTAGAGGATACAGGAGATCATGAGAGAACTTACAATGTACACTGCTGATGGATCAAACCAACGATGCGACGCGCTTCGTCAGGAGACACCTGATCTTCCTCGACGGTAATCAAGATGACGACTGGGTTCTTTGACACCATCTCTCTATTGTATCCTAGTCGCAAGCAATCCACCGAAATCCATTTTTTGGGATTCATCGTGGAAAGGATGTCCATGATGTCGGAGCGTAGCCCTTCTTCTAGTTTGTTCTCGATCGGATGTCGCCCGATCGGCCAAGAAGACTTGCGGACAGCCTTACCATTAATTTGAGGCAAGGTCCAAGGAGAGGTATTGCTTCGTGCAAGCAACTTGGGACGACCGGGCAAACCGTAATAGTAGTCTTCGAATTCCGGAGCCGACATTATCTTTAGCTGATCTCTTAGTGACGCGGAGTCGCGGACAATTCTGTTTGATCGGTAGAGGCTGTAGTAACGGTTGAAGTATTGGCAACGGTTGAAGTACTAGCAACTGTCTCGTCGGAAGTCTGTCTGACCTCTTGGTCGGCTTTCTTCGAAGTCCAAACCTATGGTGACTCTTCGGCGTCTGGGCTACGGGCCCTCTTCTTAGGACGGTCAGATGTTGTGAGTGAGGATGATTGTGGGTGAGAAGAGTTTAATGGTTGTGAAGAACCGAAAAGGAAGCAAGGGATCCTATAAAGCAAATGCAAAAGTTTCTTAGAGACGTTTCTGAGATTTCACTGTATGTGCAGGTTCTGGTAGAAAAAAGAGGTGGATCAAAGTGCGCAAACCCAAATATAAATATAAGTTCAATTATCATTTAGACTGTGGTACGACTAAGTAGATAGAAGAGGTTTCTCCGAGAGACCATGGTTCAGTTCAAATGGTAACCAGCTATACTCATTTTGTAATGCAATCCAGTTCCATTTTTAGTGCCATCTCCCAGTGGATTGGAAGTCGGGAAAGATCACGTGATTGGATCACATAATATACCTATCCCATGGGAAAATGTCAATGGATCCAATGGAAATTCAATGGACTCTGGTCACCGAACATTGACTTGCATTCTTGCGCCACCCAGTCGTCTAAAGAGCCGAATGAAGCGGGAGGGGGACACAAAGCGGGATGTTGCACTATACTACTGCATGAGGAGAGCCTAGATGATCAAGACCTTTTTCATTTTTGGTAGACCGCGTGAGGCTGAGACGCGTCTGCCGGCTATATGACAATTCTTTCCAGAGAATACTTCCCAACCTTTAAACTCTTCAGTCGTCCAATATCTCTTGCGCTACGCTCTTGGACTTCTCCTCCTGCTCCGACCCGAAGACGTGAAATTTGCTGATCGGCCTTCAACCCGAGAGGCAGGAGCTTGGAATCCTGGTCCGAAGATGGAAGGATTACCGGTTTGTGTGATGTTTTCTGCTTCTTGGATGCTGGTCCATCTGCTGCCGGCTCCCTAGGCTCCCAGGCTTTATGTACGGCATTGCCGTATCTGATCATCTCCGACGTCAACCCCTTCAGGTAAACCGCCTCTTCAACCCCCTCCAACGCAGCGCTCACTTCAAGCTTAAGACTCGAGATGAGTTCTTCAGCCTCAAAAGAGTCGCCGTTCACTAACCTGGCATCGCCTGACAACCAACCCCCAGCTCCGACCGCATCAACGCAATTATTGAGTAGGCTGGATATCACAAGGATCGTGTTGTCCGGTGTCCCTGCCTCGTTATCAATGATATCCAACTGTTCATCATCCAAATACCTCGAGGTCCACCCCCCTCGTGCCAATTCAAACCTAAGGAGATATATTAAAGAAACGACCTCTTGAGTGGTGAATGTCGTCTGAAGCGCGTATACAATCGTGTTTGTCGGGCATGTGTAAAGTTTAGACAGCGCTATGCTCAATGCCTCTCCTCTGACGCCGGATCCAGGTCCTAATTGATACTCCGCCATGGCTAAATCGGCTTCGGCTTCGGCCTCTAGCGCTGTGAGGTGTTCCTCAACATCACCATCTTCTAGATGTAGCTCTTCCCCATTCGTCAGTAGTTTCTGCTTCGCAGCCGCGCCCTCTCCGAACAATTCTAGACTTTCCATCAAAGCCCGAATTGCACCGAGCAGTTCTGCCGCGCCCAAGAAATTCCTGGAAACAAGCACACGCAGGAGGTCCATAGTGGGGTCCAATTCAACCAGTGCATCCACAAGCTGACCAGCGGGTATGAATTCCAAGGGAACTGGACGTATCTGATTCCGTATAGCCAGCTCGATATTTGCAACAGTCATGTTCCCCGTCTTCAACAGCCACATGAACACGTTGGGAGGGTAGAATGGAATTGTGAGTTTGTACTCGCCATTATCGTCGTTTGACCAGGCAAAGATCTTGGTAAGGGCGTATATCACCCATCGCCGGTCGACTTCAGATGGGTTCAATTTAGGCTTTTCGTTCGTGGAGACTTTATCACCCCAACTCTCCCCAAGTCTCTCGGCCATATGGGCCTCAAATTCAGCAATATCACCTGCAGAGGCTGCGGCATCCATGGCCTTTTTCTCTTGTTTCCATGATTTTTCTGGCATTCCAATTGAACCTGGAAGATATGATCCCATTGTGATCAGTCCGACATTTGTGGATCCGCTGACAGTACGCCCTGGTCTCATCTGGTCAAGGACTGAACAGCCAAGCGAATCTATCAGAAGGCCAGCAGCGCGTGATTTTCCCTCGATTTGTATCGCAACCAAGTCATTATCGGCGATTGCCACTGCTGTGTTAAGCCTAGGAAAATAAGACACAAGGTTGAAGATGTTTTTCTCCGCTTCTTCAGTCTCATCGCCAGCTCCTAGATTTGAATTCCATGGACTCGGAACCTTGATTGATGCCATGATGGATTGGAATTTTGGACTGTACACGGTGATGACAGTTCCCGTTGACACCATGATTGAAGTATTTGAGAGTCGCAGAAACGATTTGGCGCCTTTGACCTTGAGCTGTGATAGCTCTGTGGGGAGGGTGTCATTCATACTGAATGTGGTCAAGATATTGGATGACAGTTGTTGGATAATCCCGGCAGAAACGTGGATGCTGAAAGAGGCCTTTTCCTGAAATTCGCTTGGAGAGGGCAGGCTTGCAGTCAATAGAGACTCTACCGAGTGCCCCAATCCATCCAAACTTGTGGAAGGCTTTCTTGGCAGAGCGACAACATGAACATTTCGCGATGGAGTTAGATCCCCTGACCTCGTGATGACGACTAGAATATCTGGGTTGAAGCCATCTTCAGATATCTCTTGTGGGAAGAGAGAAAAGACGCCATGATGGTCTTTCAATATACCCTGGCTCGCTGTATAGGCATTTGTCAACTGTGCGAACTCAACTTTCGCATCTGTTAATGGTGTCGTAGCATCTCTTCCAAGAGCACTGGCTGGAGAAGTCCATTTTTCTTGCAACTTGTCTCCATCAAGGCATTGGATTTCTCCATCCCTCTTTACAATGAGCAGATCCAATGTATCGATAGCGGCCGCAGAGTCCCGTGTAGCAGTGACCGTTCCCATATACACAACCGGCTCTTTTGAATGTTCCAGTTTGTGAGTGACGGTAGAAGACTGAGCTTCAGGGCCAACTGTAACGTCGTGAAATAAGGTAATTTCTGCTTGAGGCCCTTTCGTAGAGACATAGGTTCTTCTTTCCACCTCTCTCTTCGAGATTCGAGTCCGGAGCGAGGTTGGAGGGCAAGTAAAGGAAGTTTGCGGAGGAAGCGCATACGAGGTAACCAGTCTGGATGTTGATATCTGAAAGCAATTAGATCATGCTTGCGAAAGAGTTCATACGGGATCCTACATCGTATATGTTTACACCTTCACCGTCGACTCCCACCGCCAGTTCTGATCTCTTTCTCTTCTTCGATCCTGGAGCTCCTCCGTAGACATCGCCAACGACATAGCGGCCGTTTGAATGATCAATCGGTCGCGGCAGAGATGCCACGACATAGGGATTCTGTAATGTGAACCGTGGCGACATCTTCACAAGTTGTCTGGATTGATCTTGGTATCTGCCTCCAGTCTTGCTCGCTCTCAAAAGCGGCCTGCCAAAAAATATTTCGACTCGCGAAAAGTTCCCTCCACGATTGCAGGGTTTATCGAGCTACCTACGGCGGCCGAATAGCTTAAGTGCGCAAAACCAACGCGAGCTCCAACGTCACGAACTTCAACCCGATTCAACCACTTCAGAATCCTCCTCTCTTCAATTCGACTGGGACTTGTTCACTTTTGCTCAAGAGGATTCATTCGTAATATCATTAGCGGTCTACGACCAGCTTGACTCAGAAAACCACAACCTTCGGCATGATTACCCCAAGTTCGAAATCGCAGAACGCGTGAAACTACGCGTTCTGCCACATATATTTCACTTCCGAATGGCTGTACTGGTTAGCAAAACCATGGGGGCGATGAATGAGACACACAAACCTGTGTACCCTCTCTTCGAAAAGCCTTCAAGTGCGTATTCTATGTTTTCTTGTTCGGTTTTTTATCTCGAGGGGTCAAACACGTCGTGGTAGCATTTGCTGACTGTTACAGAATCAGTCCAACCACAGTCAAAGAATGGCGTCTCTCCTATTGAACAAACAAACCCCGAGGTTCTTTCCCAACCCGACCTGCCCTCGAAGAAGGCCACGAGTGGAGGAAACGAGAAGACGAGGAAGGCCGCGATAGCGGAAACTTCAAACCCTGCGGTATTATCGAAGTCATCCGCCATTAGCCATCCGGACACAGAGAATACAGGATTTCTCGAAGTCGATCCGAACCATGCCCGACGGAAACGACGGAAAACTGCTTCTCCCGAAAGCAAAGAGCTACCGGAAGGCGATGAAGAGAGGACGCGTGTTTCGAGCCCGATTTCCTCACCTACTGCTAAGCCACCAAATAATGTCGCATCAGAAATAGAGCAGGTTCCTGAGATTTGCACAAAGAGCCCGCCGAATGTAGTTGCTATCTCAACAGCAACATCAGATGAACCGGGGCAAGGTGGAGATGGTGGCACTGCATCCAGCTCCAAAGACGGATCAAATGTCATCAATACTTTGCCACGCGCTGAACAAAGCAAGCCGAAGAAGATATTGCGTTTTAATCCAAAGACTGGCACTATCGGGTCACCTCCTTCCAAGAAAAGGAGCTCACTGATTGAAGATGCCAGTAAGCCAACTCAATCACGTCGTGGGAAACAACCTAAGTCGAGAATTGTGACAATCTACTATGGTCATGATAGGGACCTACCCCCGGAAGTCGGGCTGAAAATCGCCCAAATACTTCAGGGTAACAAAGTGGCCGCTTCATGTGCGAAGAATATCTCCATTCTTGATTACGAACAGCCAAAGAGCATGAAGGTTATTGGCACAAATCCAGCCGTACCCCCACATCCCTTTTTCCTGGGTAAAGCAGCCATGAAACCCCCAGTCGTACAGAAGGCCGTTCAGTCGTCTCCAAACGTAGAGATCGAACGACCAAAAGAATCCAAGACCATAAGTCTTGCAAGAACGGGATCTCCAAAAAGGTCCTCCTCTTCGAAACCGACTTCATCTGCGTTTACTGGTTTTGCTGGGTTCGGGAATACTGCCAAAATCTTGAAGTTCCCAGGTGCGATTGAACCAGCTTGGCCATGGAAAGGAATGACCCACATCCGTGGGAATGATGAAACTCTACACACCATGCATTTACCAATCAACGGATTCTCAGGTTTGCCGTCCAGAACGAGAAAGTCGAAATACCAAGCGGTGGAAGTATTGGCCAACGAGGACGTGATCGGATTGTTGGCCACTGAGCTGTGCATGGGTCAGATAGTGAAGAGCATCAAAGATATCAATATTGATGAACACCCTCCACTCCCCTCTTGCCTCCGAACCCCAGTCAAACGTTTTGAAGCGGGTCCGAAACTTCAGGAACGCGTACGAAAGGAACTGGTCACTCCATTACCACCTGCGAATGCCGCAAAAGATGATAGCTCCAGCGAGGATGAAATCCAGGGAAATATCTCTAGGCGTGTACGTTCTCATCCAGCGCTGACAAAGATCTACAACGCAATCGCTACTTCATTATCCGCTTTCGATCAATCTCGATGCGAATCTCAAACATGGATTCACAAGTATGCGCCCGGGGCTGCGGCAGAGGTCTTACAGACTGGTCGGGAGGCGGAGATATTGAAAGAGTGGCTGCAAAAACTGACTGTGATGTCTGTCGAAACAAGCTCGGGTGATGGTTCTAACAGTCGTGGTTCACCTGTTCCACGACGACCAGCAGGTTCAAAGCCTGATCCCTCCACAAAAAGAAAACGGAAAGCAAAGAAATTAGACGGCTTTGTGGTGTCAAGCGATGAAGAGGACAACGATATGGATGAGATATCAGAGCCTGAGGAAGATGCATTTCTTTCTGGAAGTCAAGGACCACTGAAAAGAACCGTCGTTAGGGTTGGAGATGCATCTGCCAAAGGATCTACCCGGCTCACCAATGCAGTCGTTCTGAGTGGACCTCATGGATGTGGTAAAACCGCGGCAGTATATGCGGTGGCTAAAGAACTCGGTTTCGAGGTTTTCGAAATCAATTCTAGCAGCAGGCGGAGTGGAAAAGACATCCTCGAGAAAGTTGGCGATATGACTCGTAATCACCTCGTCCAGATATCGCAAAATCAGGCACCAACAGAGGCAGTTGATGAGGATGCCAAACGCATCTCAGATGCCCTAGAGAATGATCTCAAAAGTGGCCGGCAAGGGACAATGAACTCGTTCTTCAAGCCGAGAGGATCCACGAAAGCTATATCTAAACCAAAGAAACCGGATACCACCGCGAAGGAAACCAAAGCCGGCAAGTCCAACGTTCCTCCAAAAGCTCATCCCAAACAACAGAAGCAATCGTTGATCTTGTTCGAAGAAGTCGACGTACTTTACGAGGAGGATAAACAATTCTGGGCTACAGTTATGACTATGATTATTCAGTCCAAACGGCCAATCGTCATGACCTGCACTGACGAATCTTCGGTGCCACTCTCGTCTCTCTCGCTGCACGCCATCCTCCGTTTCACAAGTCCGCCTATTGATCTTGCTACCGACTACATGCTCTTGGTAGCTGCCAATGAGGGTCATGTTATTCGCCGTGATGCTGTGAAGTCTTTATATGAGAGTCGGCATCTGGATCTACGAGCTTCGTTGATGGAACTCAATTTCTGGTGTCAATTTGCCGTCGGAGACTTCAGAGGTGGATTGGATTGGTTTTATTCTCGTTGGCCTTCTGGCAGTGATGTTGATGAGCATGGAAATACAATTCGTGTGGTCAGCGAGGATACATATCAGACGGGCATGGGCTGGCTATCTCAGGATTTTCTTGAGAGCCATTTGCCCTATCTGGATATTGAGGAAGAGACTCTACATGAAGCCTGGGATGGGTGGCAACTGGATGTCGGGGATTGGCAGAAAACTCTTGATATACCTACATGGGCTCGCAAAACGCAATCTCTGTCAAAGGGAAAAAGAGACGATCTGGCTGCATTGAGCATCTATGCCGATTTTTCTGATGAAATGAGTGCCGCCGACTTGTGTTCCAGCGGGGCATTTGCGTCAGATAGCAAGGTAAGCCTGCGCCTCCACTCGTTCATGCATAGTCTAATTACTCGCAGACTCCGCTTGATGTCAACCCGCCAGAACTATCCCCCAAAGCCCGAGAAGACTATATACTTTCCCATGAGGTCCTCGAAGCCGCTCCAGTAGTCAGGTTCGAGAACCTTGGCAAAGATATTTCCTTGTGGATGAGGTCCCGAGCCAGGAAATACCTCCAAGTTGATCAGCACATCAAGCACGGCCTCGAAATCCCAACGGAGCTTGACCGTCCGTCTGAAGCAAGAGTAATCGAACTCATCAGAAACCAATCTTCCTCTCCCGAATCTTCTCTATCTCGCAAAGATTTCAGCCTGGCGTTCGACCCCATCTCTGAACCGGAGAAATCATCGTTAAACACCACCGGCACATTAGAAGCATCCGTGTTTGACCGGACCATGGAAATCATCGCTACCGACATGGCTCCTTACGTGAGATCTATCGTCGCATATGATGTGCGACTGCAACAGGATCGAGCGCGGCTAAGTAATTTGCTTAGCGAGGGTGGAAGGAGGGGAAAGAGGATGAGGACTACAAGGTCTGCTATGTCGGCACTGGAGGGCGGGGCAAGAAGCACGACGCGGAGAGATAGGTACTTTGGGCCGGGTTTGAATCCGCACTTTGTTCTGCATACCGGAATGCAGAGCTGGACTGATGCCGCACTGGCTGAGACAAAAGGTGCGGGCAGTAAGGCCGGGAGAGATGTGAGCACGGAAGGTAAAGAGACTGACACCGGAGTGGATGAGTTGATGGGAAGTAGCTAGTGAGGGACAAAAATCGAGCATCTCTTGAGCATCATCTCGCGAAGGGGAAGATACCCCACGTTCCAATTATGCGAACAGAAGTTGCCATTACTAAAAGACATAAATCTCAGACTCGGAGCATGAAGCTCACAGCATAGTATGAAATCAATCACGATCTTTGCTTTTACCCGCATCTGGAAGTCTCGTATATGAAAGTGGCTCTCTCTCCCTTAGTATCTTATGAATGTATCATAATCCATTTAATATCCAGATAGATAGAAGGATTGCGCAAACAGGCTCCTCCTGCTACCTACCTATCCTATCCTCTTCCTTCACCGCGTTGCTAAATAAACAAATGAATAATACCCCATGAACCTCGCACATACATACCTTACCTATCTTTCTTCATCAACCAACACAGTCAATTAATCCAATCATCAACCACCCGTCTCTAGGTAGGGAGAGCCTAAACCAGGAAGTGCGAAGAGATTTTCCTTTGAATGAGTGATTTGCCATCAGACGAGCAAGAATGACAAGTATTTGTTTACTGTGTGTTTTTGTGGCAAGGACACAAATATTGATTACTTGAAAAGCCCCAGAAGTAAATCCTGGCATGTCTTCCTGCCGCGGGTGGATAAAGCCAGATGGGAGTTGAAATTGAGCAGAGACTGCAATGGATTTGTGATGAGTCGTTAGGCTCCAAGTCCATAGTAAGCTGGTGAAGAGGAATTGAAGCTGTATGTGAATCCAAGGGACTCGACCATGGTGTCACATCCGGCAGCGCAGAAACACGATATGATACCTACCAGTCCTTGATCGTTGGGCTCCTCGAGTCGGAAGGGAACCGGGTAGAAAAGCCTCGTTGCTGAGGTGGATGGATGGATGCACATATGGTCTCGAACAACCCACGACTAACGCAATCCACCAAAATCAAAGCATACGAGCAGCATACTACCGCCTGCGTACAGCAAGAACAATAGCAATTACTCACAAACAGACGTCTTCAAACCGAGCAAAAGGACTGCACAGTGCCAGGAATATAGCAAATGAGATAACATATGGAGATGCAATGCCAATGCATGCTGCACTGAAAACTCAATTCACAGTAGTTGAATTGTCTTGCATCGGGAAGACCATGTGATGATGAAGATATTTGATCGGACGTGCCTCATCGCGGTGCTGGCCTATAAATTCAGCCACGACGGGCACAGATGCAGCGGCTGATACCTAGCGGACAGAATCAACTTTTTTTTATGCATAACACAATTGTGCTATGTTGACGCGGAACTCTTCTTCCCTGGTGGGGGCTAGAGGTTGGTGAGATGCGGGGGTAGCAAGAAAGCAAAAAGCAAAAAGCAAAAAGCAAAAATGGAATCCAGGCTTGCTTCTGGAAAACGATGCCGTATAAGGAGAATATTGTATGGCATACGATTCAGGTTGATTAGTAAGCGGAAAAGACGATCCACCTAAGCGAGGCCGACAATTACTTGACTGTGTTTTGGAATTCTGCTGTCATATTTGAGCTGCATGTGAGCTGTAGGAAAAAGGAAAAAATGAGAGAAAAAGAAGGAAAGAAAAAAACGAAAGAAAAGAAGAAAATGAAAACCGGCCAAGCGGATTGATCAACCCGCTGGACGGGCAGGGAATCGAACAGACGTGTTCTTGGTCGGAGCCTGAGCCTAGTAACAAAGGACAAAAAAAATCACTCAAAGATGGACATGCTGGGAATCGAACCCAGGACCACCTCTAGGTGCAGATACCACATGTTACAGATGTGATGCTTGCTAAAGAGGTATTATACCACTAAACCACATGCCCATGTTGTTTCTTGGAGTTGGGCGAAGCAAAAGCCGCCTATGCGGGGTGGGACCGCGGACCGCCACATGTATAGTAGATGTAGATATAGATATAGATACAGTTATAGACACAGACACAGATAACCTATGGCTTCTCAAGAAAAACTACTACACCTGCACGACGGATCCAGGCGCAGAGATACGAAGAGACGATCAAGAAACCAACGAGATGCGCCATGCTGGAGTAGGAAAACTGCCCGGCCTAATGATAGCGGCGCCAATGATGTCAGCGATGCCCGCCTATAAAGTGTCTGGGCCCGAACCTCTCTCCCGTGTCCATGGTTGGGACGACGCTCTGCAAATGCCAAGGACGGACGCTTCTCTCTGCCTGATCGCTTCCGACACAGATGCAGGCGCAGAGAGGGCTGGGCCTTGATCATGAAGAAAAGGAAGAAAACCACTGTTGTTGAGATTTGCACATACTAATACGGCTGCGAAACGCGTGGGGGAAAGCTACTACTCTACGATCAAGGTTCTACCGACCTTGCAGCTCTTCTCGTCTCCACGCTCGTCTTCTCCTCTGCAACTCAGCGCCGAACCGATTCCTCCCGCAAACCGTCCCGATCTTAAGACTCTGGGCGAGCTTGGCTCCCGTGGAAGATTGGCTGTTTATTTATCTTTTCCCTCTTGGAATCTTGGAACCTTGGTCTCGTGTGGCCCGCCCCCGCCGCGGAGAAGAACTACTTCGCGAACTGCTTCGTATAAGACGAAGAGACCTTCTCTCGCCAAGATTTCCTCCCTCTTGTCCCTCTTTTCTCTGACTTCTAGCCGTGTGAAGATCTCTTCTTCGCCGCGCCCCCAATCCCTCAAAGATTGAAGATCAAAGATCGACGCTTCGATTATCCTACCTGAGGAGCACCTCTGATCTTTGACTCCCCCTCGTCCGATCCTTACCTCCAACGCCACCCCACCCCGCGATCCAAAAGATTTTCTGTCCAGACTATTGGAGCGGCGACTGGGCGCGACCAGAGTCTGAATGCCCCGACACGACGCAATTATCTTGAGGGAATCAACTGATTGGGGTATTGGAAAGGGACAACTGCACTTTGCGCCATCTCACGAATCGCGCCGACTCCTCGACACGACCTGATATCCCATACCTACTTTTACTCCTCCTCCTACCGACACCGAAACCAATTCCGGGAGAAGCCTCTACCTCCACGGACCCTATGGTACTAACACATCTGCGGTAGAGACACAGACTTCACCATGGCGTGGGACCACCTCTCCATCAACCGGCCGCACCTGGTCTACATCATCCTCGGCGGCTTCACCTCCCTGTTCATGCTGTGCTCCTCGTTCATCAAGGAGCGCCTCTACATCGGCGAAGCAACCGTGGCTACCATCTGCGGGGTCATCTTTGGGCCGCATGCCGCGAACCTGATCAACCCAGGAACGTGGGGCAACACCGATCAAATCACGCTCGAATTCTCCCGCATCGTCCTCGTCGTGCAATGTTTCGCCGTCGGTGTCGAATTGCCAAAGTACTACATGGAGAAACATTGGAGGAGTGTGGTGTTCCTATTGATACCCGTCATGACGTTCGGCTGGTTGGTAACAAGTCTGTTCATATGGTGGATGGTTCCTCCGCTCGATTGGCTACAGAGTCTATGCTGCGCGGCTTGTGTCACGGCTACGGACCCTGTGTTGGCCAGTTCCGTGGTTGGCAAGGGGAAGTTTGCGAAGAGGGTGCCGAAACATCTGAGAGACATCTTATCTGCTGAGTCCGGATGCAATGACGGTATGGCTTTCCCGTTCATCTACCTGGCCCTGTACATCATTGAATACAGGCACGAGCCCCACGAGGTAGCCAAGAACTGGATCGTTATTACCGTCCTCTACGAGTGTGTCTTCGGTGCTTTGTATGGATTTCTGATCGGCTATATCGGCAGACATGGCATCAAGTATGCCGAGAACCATGATCTGGTTGACAGGGAGAGCTTCCTCGTGTTCTATTTCGTTCTGGCACTGTTCTGCGCTGGCTCGGGCAGTATTCTTGGAGTTGATGATCTGCTCGTTGGCTTCTCAGCAGGCGTTGGTTTCTCGAATGATGGCTGGTTCACACAGAAGACGGAGGAGTCACACGTTTCCAACGTTATCGACCTGCTCCTCAACTTGGCATACTTTGTTTACTTAGGTACGATCATTCCCTGGGAACAGTTTAATGATCCGAAAATTGGCACGACTCCGTGGAGACTGGTGGTCATTGCTATTTTCGTGATTTTCTTCCGCCGAATCCCAATCATGCTAGCTCTGAAGCCTGTCATACCGGACATCAAAACTTGGCGAGAAGCCCTCTTTGCAGGTCACTTTGGGCCTATTGGAGTCGGAGCTATCTTCGTTGCTATCCTCGCAAGGGCCGAGCTCGAAACAGAAAGCGCAACTCCTCTCGCGTCATATCCACCTACTGGCGCGAAGAATGCTGAGCTCGTGGCTCTCATCTGGCCCATTGTGACTTTCCTGGTCATTTCTTCAATCATCGTGCATGGTTCTTCCATTGCGGTCTTCACGCTGGGAAAGCGCATCAATACCTTGACTCTCACGATGTCTTACACGACCGCCGGCGACGAGGGTCCAAGTTGGCTAAACAGACTTCCTCGAATCTCATCCGTTTCACGATCGCAAGCCAAATCATTCGGATCAGAGAGCGAAGCAGAGGGACCTAGACTGGAAGATCTTCCTCCCGGGCTTTTGCCACCCATCGGACTTAAAGGTCAACTATTGCGTCGACAAAAAGAAGAGGACAGTGGCAGCCGAGCCTCGTCTATTATTCCACGACGACGGAGGAAGAGGTGGGATGATGGACAAAGACCTGGAGGACCGATCAGCCAGTCTGCCATCTATCCCCAGCGACGTAGTGAGACATTCACCGAACCAAGATCCCCGACGTTAAGCCCAGGCGAATCGCCTGAGAATGAGGAGGACGACGAACATACCGATGAGGAGGCGGCGCATGAGAGAAGCCGTGAAGAACACGAAAAGGACGAAGAAGGCGAAAAGAACGAAGAACTCGAAGAAATTCAGCACGGTCCCGAAATGGAGGAATCAACGCACAGGCCCTCTCATGAGGAGGGTAGGACCAGACATACATCGAAGGCCGAGCAATACCCTAATGCTGCTAATATCTATCAGGAAGGAAGTGATATAATCATCGAGGATGAGAATGGTGAGGTACTAGCGACAGAGAAAGTATCTCCTGGCCTGAGGGAGAAAGAAAGCCTGAGAGAGAAAGAAGAACATCTGAAGAAGAAAGAAAAGAAAGTCCAAGAACATTTGGAACATCCTTCTCACGCCTACAAGGATTTGAAGAAGAAACTCGGTGTCTGGCGGCAAAAGGATGAGGCTGAAGGCGAAAAGGAAGAAGAACCAAAGCGTAAGCGTGGCCCAGCACTAGCTTATCAATTTGGCAATACTGTAAGTATACTAATTTCTCCTCATTCTGGTGCTGTGCTAACAATGGAAACAGATCATCGTGGAAGACGAAGATGGAGAAGTGGTGAAGACTTACGAACTACCATCGAAATCAAAGCAACAAGATGAAGGCATTGTCCGACATGGTCTCAAGCTCATGGCTGGTCTGACTGGCAAACAACCCGCCCCGACCGCAGAATCTAGCAAGATGGGCGCCACTTCCAACGAAGGCCCTTCTCAAGCGGGACCTGCCCGCCAAGGCATAACACGAAGGGCTACGTGGGGATTCTTAGGCAGACACACCGAAGCTGCAAAAACCCCCGACGATGATGAAGAAGACGATAGACGAATCCGCTTTACGATAGGTGGCGCAGGGCGGAGATTGAACAAGGATGATTTCCTAAAGGAGATTCAAAGTTTAGATCCGAAATCTAGGTCCGAAGTCGTTGCAGGGAGTGATGCGCCGGTATCAATGAAAGCCATGGCTGAGAAGGACGCGGATACGAATATTCCCGGCCATAATCGCCTGCTTGGAGCGAAGGACATACGAGTTGCTCCTGAGAAGGGAGCAGCCAATATTATGGGGGCTGAGATGGCGAGGCAGAGAGGCGCGGATCTTGATGAGAGCGACATTGCAGACATGAGGGTCCAGGAAGACGGCACGAGGAGAACGCGAGGGAGAGCCGTGCCCGAGTCGGCTGAAGGGAAGACCGATGTTCCAGAAACTGCGACGGAGAGGAAGAGGAGGGAGAAGGCTCTGAGAGGTATCGATGAACCGAGAGGTCGGCCTGTAATTCGGGACGATGAGGAGAGGAGAGGAAGCGGAAGCGGAAGCCACAGAGGGGAAGAAGAAGTCGAAACAGCTGCAGAAAAGAGGAGACGAGAGGCAGCCCTCGGGGTCAGTGGTGGCAATCAGGAGGACAGTGACGACGATGATACCCCACGAGTGCCACCGCCTGCTGCCCGATCGAGGGGTATTCGATTCGCGCAGAGCCCGGTAAGAGGCAAGAAATGATCATTGTTGCTTGGTTGATCTTGAGATACGTATATGTATGTCTGCGAGTTTGCGGTTGCGAATTGTGGGAGATTAAGATACCTATTTTGTGTGATCTTTTGGCATGAGGTTTAGGTAGCTATGTAGTTAGTTGTCTTGGTGATATGTATGTGTAAGGTACCTAGGCTAAGAGCCAAGACAAATATTGTACATTGATTGAATTTGACTTGCTATGTTTGAGTTCGCAGAACACCGCAACTTTCCCTGCCACATGGTAGAGGGAGGAATTGTATATGCTCGATATGCGTAAATTCAAATGAGCTGCAAGTATCTATGTCTGGAACGTAAGTTGATTGATCTGAACCTGTTGAAGCATCCCAGAAGCCCAAATCACGTGCATAGCTAAGCCGAAAGGGGGAAGCGCTAAGATAAACTCTGGTGGAGCCGCCCCCCACCAATCAATCAGTCAGATGCAAACGATTATCAGAAAATAAATTTCGAAAATCTACATCAGCACCAGTGCATTGGAGCACGCACAGCAAGCTCCCGACTCCCTTCAACACCCCACAACTTCACAATGGGCAAGAAACGAGTCGCCGCCTTGGAGAAGGTTGATGCTGATCTGTTCGTCCCCTGCAATCAATTCCATTCTCGCTGCAAAACTAACGTTGTCTCTAGTCCCAACCTTCAATACAAAATCCGCCGAGATCCCAAGTACGAAGCGCCCTTTCCTTGCCGCACGCGTGTGAATGTCTGCTAACACATTGCAATAGATCGTATGGCGAGGATTTTCGCAGCCAGTATGGCCAGTACGTAACGCAGCGCGATATCTTTATGGCGTCGCCCGGCGCCGCGACTTCGACTGGCATAGTTTCCTTCCGCGATCTCATCGACTTCGTGACGCATGTCGCAGATTGCTACCCAAAGGACACGGCGTCCTTCCCTGACGACCTCAAGACCATCCTCACCCTCCACCATGCGACTCTCGAGAGCGAATTGCGAGAGAAGATCGTCGGTTCGTTGGTTCTGCTGCGGAGGAAGGAGATTATTGATTCCTCGACCCTGCTGAACACCCTCTTCCCGATCTTGGTTGCTACGCCGAGTAAGACCTTGAGGACGTTGTTGTTTCAGAAAATCCTGAGTGATTTGCGGACGAGCAATTCGAAAGCTACAAATCATAAGCTTAACAGGTCGGTTCAGGCGCAGTTGTTCAATCTCTTGAGTTCGGATAGAGCGAGCGCAAAGGGGATTTGGGCAGTTAAGATTACGAGGGAGTTATGGAAGCGGCAAATATGGACGGATGCAAAGGCAGTTGAGATCATGAAGGAGGCGAGTTTGTCGGACAACGAGAAGGTGATTGGTGGTGGGGTTCGTTTCTTCCTTGGAGGCGATAAAGAGAGGGAGGAGCTGGAGGACGAGAGCAGTGACGAGGAAGCCATTGATATCGGCAAGATCAAGCATCAGGTTGGCATCAACAAGAAGACGAAGAAGAAGGCCAAGACGTTGGAGCGGGCCGTTGAGAAGGTTAAGAAGCTCGAGAAGAAGAAGAAACAGCCCCACCCTCTGAACTTTTCCGCCCTCCACCTCCTCCACGACCCTCAAGGCTTCGCCGAAAAGCTATTCTCCAAGCACCTACAAAACTCGAAATCGAAGCTCAATCTCGAGCAGAAGCTGCTAGTCCTGCAACTAGTTTCACGATTAGTCGGCCTGCACCAACTCACCATCATCTCCCTCTACTCCTACTTCATCAAATACCTTACTCCCCGCCAGCCATCAGTAACCTCCTTCCTCGCCTCCCTTGCTCAAGCAACTCACAAATACGTCCCTCCGGACGCCCTCGAACCACTCATCCAAAAAATCGCCAATGAATTTGTCTCTGAAGCTTCTGCATCCGAAGTCGCATCGGCAGGCCTGAATGCGATTCGCGAAATTTGTGTGCGACAGCCGATGGCTATGAATGATACGTTGTTGCAAGATTTGGTCATGTATAGGAAGAGTAAAGATAAAGGCACTATGATGGCTGCGAAGGGATTGTTGAGTTTATACCGCGAGGCAAACCCAGACTTACTAAAGAAGAGAGATAGAGGAAAGGCGGCGACGATGGGGCTTAAGAGTGGGGCGATTCAGCAACGCAGGTTCGGCGAGGAGGAAGTCGGTGGTATAGAAGGATTAGAACTGCTCGAGGAATGGAAGGAGCAGGAGCGGAAACGAAAACGGGTTGAGAGGGGCTTACCCGAAGAGCTCGGCACCGATGAGGAGGAGGAGGACGACGAAGAGGACTGGGCAGCATGGGAGGTTGAATCAGACGCAAGCAGTGATTCCGGAGGCTGGATCAATGTTGAGAGCGACGACGAGATCGAAATCAGCGACAGCGAAGACGAGAAGCCCAGCGCCAAGAAAGCCAAACTTGAAGAAGCACCTAAATCCGCCGACGACGAGGAGAAAGAAAACGCGGAAAAAGACAAAGCCCGAGAACTGAAGATCTCCAAGCTTGCCACGACCAAGATCCTCACGCCCGCCGACCTGGCCAAACTGCAGGAGCTCCGCCTCGAAGCGTCCGTCTCCAAGGCCATGGGCAACCGCACGCAATCGGCGCGCCTGAAGGAGCTCGCCGCGCGGCACATCGACGACGCGCTAACAGCGGAGCAGATCGAAGGCTTCTCGAAACTGCGCAAGAGCACCAAAGAGGAGCGGATCGCGCTCGCGCGGGAAGGCAAGGGGGATCGCAGCGAACACAAGAGCACGCAGGCTCTGCGCCGGCAGAAGAAGGACGCCGAGGGCAAGAGCACGACGAACCGCGAGAAGGCGCGGAAGAAGAACTTCATGATGACGCTGGGCAAAGCAAAGTTCAAGAACAAGCGCAGCTTGACGCAGACGAGACGCGTCTTGAGGGGCCATATCGAGAGGACGAAGAGGGGTGGCAAACGTGGGAATATAGGCATGTAGTAGTGTTTTTTTTGGGGGTCTCTTGACTGGTAGATGAATGGAAATTGGGATGCAATGAATGCGAATTAAGATGCGTCCTAAAGTAAATAAACTTAAGATGAAAATATATCACCATCTCGAGCCCAATCATCTGACAATAAACGTATCATCCCCAGCTTCTTCACAAAAACCAAGCCCGAGACCTCACCTCCCCCCCCTTCCCCAATAACCCCCCTCCCCAAAAATCCAACCAATATCTCCCCACTTTTCCCAAAATCCCCCCAACAAAAAAAACAAATAACCGGACACGGTTCTATGGTGTAATGGTTAGCACGTCGGATTCTGATTCCGGAGATGTTGGTTCGATTCCTACTAGAACCTATGTGAAGCATTTCCCCTTTGGTTCGTGCGATATCTTTTTATTCTTTTTTATTTTTATTTTTTTTTTGAGGGGGGGGAAATTGGGGGGGAGGGGGGGGTAAAGGGGGAAATGGGAAATGGGGTTTTTGGGGGGGAGGGGGAGTGGGGGAAGCGAGATAGATAGCGAGCGATGCTCGGTGTAGCGACGATGGGGGGAGGGGGGCGGGTTGACGAGTCTGAAAAGGGATTAAAGCAGGCTCTTGGTGCTTTGAAAGGAGAATATGAATAAATGAATGAATGAATGAATGAATGAATGAATGAATGAATGAATGAATGAATGAATGAATGAATGAATGAATGAATGAATGAATGAATGAATGAATGAATGGATATTGAACGGGGACGAGAATCCTAAGATAGCAGGATTTTCTTTTAAGAAACCTATCTTTTTTTTTTTTCCGGAAAACTGGATAATTAATAGATAGATAAGATAGATAGATGTCGAGTTGCTGTTGGAACTTGGCTTTTTAGAAGGATACTCTCTCTGGTGAACACTTTGATAAAGAAGATTATAGGCGAAATATAGGTAGATTGATTTCAGCACATAGTAGACTGCGTTCATGATTTAAGGAGTGATCTTCAATTCATAATCCTAAATAAAAATCACTAAGTATCTGCCCCCTCAGCGGCCCCCTATTAGCAACTAGAGAATTAAAAGATCAACAACCAGCTAGCTATACGACTCGCACTTTCTTTCTCCCCTTCTCACCCACTGGTGAGAGGGACGGATTTAGAGACGCGCGTGGGCGATGGCGCTCACTTCGCCAGGCGCGTGGTAGTTGGGGACTTTCATCTCGAGGGCTGGGCCAGTGTAGCCAAGATCCTCGGCTGTGAGAACGGCGCACTTCTCGCCGATGAGGAGAGCGGTTGAGTCTATTGAGAGGGTTAGTTGGTTGGTTGATTGGTCGATTGGGTTGGGAGGTTGGTGTGAATAATAGAAAAAGGGGAACGTACAAGTATTGCAGCCAACGTTGTCTGGGCAGATACTCAGATCCGCAACCTTCAGGTTCTTAACCCCATGCACATTCAATCTCTCATCCACGACGCCGTGCTTGACAATGCTGTTGCCCTCCTTCGGCGCCATGGAGCACGTGCCCAGACTGTGCCATGTAGTCTCAACGTGTCTCTTGACCCACTCCTCGATATGTTTGATATCCTGCTTGCTGTACTTGAGATCCTGGTACACATCCTTGCGGTGCGAGTTCAAGAACGATTCCTTAGGTGGCTTCCCGCTCTCGATAGGTACGCTCCAGCTGCCGTGCTGGATGCCTGCGCTGATGTTGCCCGGCAGTGCGTATTGCTTCGTCGTTGCTAGGTCGAGGTCCTTGGCGCGGGCCGGCGAGTCGTAGTCGTAGAAGGGGTGCATTGCTTGGACTTCGCCTGCGTAGGCCTCCATCCGGCGTGCAGTCTCGCGAGACTTGATGTAACCCCAGACCATAGGCGCCATATCACGCTCGTCGTTCATGAACCCGGCATCGAAATCAGGAGCTTCGTAGGGGTCTGGAGAGACAATGTGGGTGGAGCCGCGGGAGAATGGGTATTCCTGTATGTTGAAACCAACCGTCAGTTTCCGTTACTGAAGAAGGATAGCGGTCTTGAACCACATCAAGAAAGACGTGTTTCAAGAGCGAGGGTATCAAAAACAGCAAAGTAGAATGCGTACCAAGAAGTGGAACATAGTAAAGAATTTGCCCGGCGGCATCAACATATGGTCACCGAACCATCTTCATGTCGTATTAGTGACCACTCAGATAAAGGGGCAAAGGGAAAGTACCCGGCAATGACAGAATAATGCATAACAGGCTTGTCAGGCTTGTTCTTAAAGTAACTCTCCCATCCGCTCTTGAAGTGTGGAGTAGGCCATGATTCAATCTCCTTGAGCTCTTCTTCCGTGGGGCGGATCTTGACACCGGCTTCGATGCCGTTCGTGGAGAGGGGGCCAGTGCCTTTGAGGTTCCATTCATCATAGACTGCCTTTTGGACTTCGGGGTCGCCGCGGACAAAGTCGTCGAAGGATTCGGTTTCTAATGAAATGAGTACAAGAAATCAGTCATGAGAAGAAAGGAAAACGTGCATACCCGGCTTGGCTCTGTAGACAGAGAAAGTCAAATAATGGTCTTGGAAATTGAGACCAACACCCGGAAGGTCGACAATGGGTTGGACACCTGCAGCTTGCAACTTCTTGGGGTCGCCGATACCAGAGCGCTGCAGGATCAATGGTGAAGAGAGCGTGCCGCCTGACACGATGATTTGCTTTCTAGCGCGGAAGGTGCGTGATTGTTGCTGCTTGTGGGGACTCGTATCAATAATGTTTCGAGAGGGGAAAGAGAAGGCTTACCGATGGATGAAGAGGCTTGCTAGGGATGGTTCTCACGCCGACCGCGACGCCGTTCTCAAGGATTACTTTGTCGACTTTGGTGTTGCATTGGAGATGCAGGTTGGTATGCACAGCACGGGTGGCGTGGATGTAGGCGTGTGCAGAGTCACTGCGACGTCCGGTCTTTGATATTGTCAGCTTATGTATTCGAAAGTGAAGGATTGGGGTTCACAAACGTCTCTGTTGATCCACTTGAGCCAATGTTCCGCCCCACTGTTAAATCATTAGTATTCTGCTACCCCATACACCGTCTATGTACGTACTGGCCCGTTACAAGATCCTGAAGATCATCAGTAGTTGGGATTCCCTGAGACTCGGCAGCTCTCAGGAAATCCTGCATAACTGGGTAAGTGTAGTTTCCAAAAGAGACTTTGATCGGTCCCTCAAAGCCATGGAGATCCCTATATACTTCTATTAGCCGCGTCTAAAAAGTGGAAATAGGGCTTTCACCTATTGTTGCAAGCACGTTGATACGTCTCATGCTTCCTCATCAGGGGAATCAACTCCTTTGTAGACCATCCCTTTGCTTGGAAGTCATCATAATCAGATGCAGATGCACGAGTGTACATCATGAAGTTGATGGATGACCCTCCGCCTAGAATATGAGCGCAGGGAACAATGGCTTTACGACCACCGAGCCATTCCGAGGGACGAGAGTAGTAGAAGGATGCCGTTTTACTGTCCAACTTCATGTTCCGGGGGTCTGAGATAGTTGGCATTGATCGAAAAAGGAGGTAAGGTAATCTTACAGATTCCTGGACGGTAAACCCATGGGTTATTCAAGTTGCTCTCTCCGGCCTCAATCAGCAAGACTTGGAGGTTGTGGTCCAAGTTAGCCAATCTACGGGGAATTAGCTGTGATCACTGTTATGAAGACATTACACAAAAGATAACTAACCTGCCAGCTACCACACAACCACAACTACCACCGCCACACACGATGATATCGACCTCATCAGGGATCGTCATCTTGAACCTCGTACAAAGCAATTGATAAAAGTTTGTAATCTGTTCAAAAGACAGAGTCCAGAGTGAGAACTCCCAAGGTATTCTGGTTTCCAAACGGTGCCTCCTTGGGTTCTCAGGGCTCCTTTTGAAGTCGAACCATAGGGTCAAGAGAGGGGAAGGCCGCAGCGGCTCCGCTTCGTACCAGGGAGAAGTGCGAGATTCAATTGGATCCTAAGACCTAGCTATGTTGTTGCGTATATTTGCATGATCAGAATCCAATCATACCACAACCAGACTTCTTACCCCTCATCCTGAGACATGATTGACCACTAGGACCAGCGACAGAGAAGGCGACCGGTGCGGGAAGGATCCCGTGGACGCTGTTGCAGCAACTAAGATCCGTCCAACAAGCGGAGGTAGCTCGGTGAGCAAGGAATTAATCCGGCGATAAATTGGAATCCGCTCGATGATGGAGGTTTGATCCAAGAAATCTGGGTAAGCTCCAGTTTTACCCCGCAACGAACCCCATATTGAGGATGCGTCACTAAAGCATGAGTTAACTTTGCTTTTGGCGCGAGATTCCGTTCACCGCGCAGCTCTTACGCAAGAGGGAGAAATCAAAGACGGACAGATAAACAGAGATTCCAGACCTATAACTGCGTATAGAAATGTCTCCAGTCATAGAGCAGGGGAAAGCAGCGGCAACGTGAAAAGCGCAGGCGTCTTGACATCTGGAAGACGCGCAAAGAAGGGCACTAGCCACTCCGCGCGATCCGGGTAGACCGGTCGATCTCCATGCAGATCAGGCTATTCAGCAGTGCGGAGCCGTGCATGGATGGGATGGGCGGTTGATATCAGTTGTTAGTTGTTATAAAAGGAGAGACGGGGAGCAGTAAGCAGAGCGAGTGAAGTGTGGAGAAGCGCCCGGCACCCCACGTCGTTCGCCTTTCGCTTAGCGTTTTGCGGGGGACGGCGGGGAGTGGACTCAGTGGATAGTGGACACTGGATAGTGGACTGCGGAGTGTGGAGTGGTGGAGCGCTGTGCTGCCCTTGTCCCTTGACCCGAATCGAGATTCACTGCTGTGCGGGGAAGGCGACTTGAGCAGCTTACAACAGGGGCTGGCAGCTATCATTGTCTGTCAGCGTGGCCATGGCGTTCCAGGCAGTGGGACATGGGGAGGATATACGAGGACGGAACGACTCCACGAGATATATCAACCCCTGGCAGGCTGACATCGGTACATGCACTCCGCACTCGGTGTTTGCTCGCGATCTCGACGGCATAGAACAGGGTTTACGCGGACGATTCGGAATGCTTGTAGCGTCGAGGGAACTCAAGCCAAAGCATATCGAAAGAGCTGGGGAAACAAAGACGGCTCGGGACATCTCTTTCGTCTGATGTCAATCGACCGAGACGTCAAGTATGACCAACATTGGTTACGCAAGTGCTTCTTGAGGGGGAATGCCATTCCCCCTCTGAAGCGTTTGTCCGGCCTTCAAGGTTTATTCAATTTGGAGGGGCGTCTTTTGATGTGCAGAGTCCCAACTGCCGAAGAGCCAATCCTTTATCCCACGATGTTTACAGCTTCAGATCTGATCATCTGAGAAGCTCGAAACCTACGTAGATTCCAAGTTCCAGCATCAGTCTAGCTTCCAAGTACAAAGTATACGACGAGTCTAAACTTGAATTCAAAGAAGTATAACGAGATAAGCAGTTCCAAAGTCAGCCACAGGCTTTAAAAAAATCGGCCTCTTTCCTCAGGTCGTCCTTATCATCGTCTATGATAAAAATCGGTCCTTTCTCCATGTTTTGCAGGCCGCAAAGCCTACCTGGGTAGATACAGGCGGGGAACATACCTAAGGTACAAATGTAGGTTTCTCAATACTTTAGCCAACATTGTAGTTAGATTTAATTAAATCTACAAAATCTTTATATTCTACACATCTTAAACCCCTTACTTTAAATCGTCATAAAACCAACCCCTACCTTATCTACAAAGTTCATCAGATCCGTCATCTTTGTCTCACTCTCTTCCTAGATCCATAACACTACTTATCTATAAGGCTAATAAAACAATACCTATATCATTTCCTAATCCTATACTCTATAAGAAGTCAGGCTCCACAGCATCATCTACCTATCCCGAAGTACCAAGAATCCAAGAATCCAAGATTTCTACCTACATATTCAAAAAACGGCTGTAAAATCAATAACTTCTTTTACAGAATATATTTCAATGAATTACATAGCAATATTCAGAACCCAGCTGGTTTTATGTTTTTGAGAGAGAGATGAATTGAATGAAGAGCTTTCTTGATATGATACTAATCAAAAAGCAATCACTCGTCTACCCGCGTAGTCCATGTCTTGTTTTCGATAGGTAGGTAGGGATCAAGATGGAAGAGAAGAGAAGAGAATGCTAACTTTGTATATATATAAATATATATATATATATATACACAGATTTATCATAAAGAAGGTAACTTAGGTAAGGTATAACCAACCCGCCCCCTCCCCCTTCCCTGCCTTTTTCTTCTTCCTCTTCCTTTCCATATTAATCCCACATCATAAAAAAAAACCCCCAAAACCTGCCCAGACCAGACCTAGCTAACTCCCTTTCTCTTCTCTTCTCTTCTCTTCTCTTCTCAGCACCCAGGCACCCTTCTAAGTTCTCCCCTCCTATCGACGATTCTTTAAAGTTCAAGCTTGTGGTTCTGGCTCAGCAGGTGGTGGTACTGCATCTGCTTCGGGATCTGGAGGTGTCTATATTTCATATCTTATCAGCCCCTTTCTTCCCTTTCTATCCCTCTCCCCCCCTCTCCCCCCCCCCCCCGCCTCCTCTCTCTCTTTCCCCAGTCAAAACCTCAAAAAGTCAAATAAAAACAAAACAAAAAGACGTTATAACGCACCTTCCCATCCTTCCCACCCCTCTTTCTTCTTCTATTTTTCCTCCTCATAACCTCTCTTCTCCTCCTCACATACACATATCCAACCATAGCGCCGACTAGTACACAGCCAATCACGATCCCTGCGATGGTGCCCGCTGAGAGCGCAGCGCTTGGTGGCGGCGCGCGCGCCGCCACGCGCGTCGTCGGGTTGCTTTGAGGGGGAGACGTTGTGGAGATAGGTTGTGAGAGATGGGAGATGGGAGATGGGTTATGTTTGTGTCATCGCTGGTTGTATTGGATCTCTGGGTATTGATTTTGCGCGGGGAATGAGGATCAAGATAGTTGTTCCAAGATTTCGAAAAAGAAGACTCGAAATCCTAATATAAACCAGCCCGCAGCCCTTCAAACCCCATCACAAACCCCATCTCATCTCAAAGCTTATCTTAAAACGAGGCGCGGAGTGTGGATATGGATGAACGTGTTATATTCAGCCTTGTGTTCGAAAGCTATTGATTGGTTAGGGTGGGAGTGAGTTGGCAAGTTCGGAAGATCGATGATCATAAGATTGGAAGGGGGGGGTGGGATGGATGGGTGTGTTGGCGTTGCGAAAAAAAAAAAGAAACAAAGTTAACAAATATCCTTTGCTTTTTCATATGATCATATCACGACATAGATAGATAGATAGATAGATGGATCGATAGAAGTTCTTCCCGCTTTATCCCATTTTCTTTCTTTTTTCCTTTCTCATTCTTATTTTACCCATAGGGTAAGAATCCAATCCAATCCCTTACCTTACCTTCCTATCTGTAAATAATAAATAAATTCCAAGATCCTGAATAAAATTAAGAAGATGATAATCTAAAGAATGAGTATACCTAGGCTGATCATTAGATAATAAGAGGTTTTATATAACGGGTGTGGGAAATATGTAGAGGATGGGGTGGCATCTTAGATAAGGACAAGGTAGAAGGTACAGAAGAGATTCGCTTACTGTATGTAACCGGAAGGGAAGCCCCCCTTTTTATTTAGTCTTTCCCTATAGACAGAGATATCAAATCTTCTGGAAGTGAACATGAGGTGAACATCCGCTGCATATATACATTTAAGTGTACCTAATCTTTTTATTTATAATCCGTCATCTCGCTCCGAGATTGAAATTCTGTGAAGTCTTTTTAGATTAGAGTTCATGCCTTCCCGTTCGCATAGCGGTGGTGCATCTCTTGTCCCCCTCATTACCTATGCCTACAGCTTAGCTATGCGCGATACTCTCCCCCGTAAAACATCATCAACCAACTGCATAGCCCTGACCAATCTCCTCTCCTGCAATTTCGGCGCCACGACCTGAACGCTCAGCTTCGTGTTCCGATATAAATCGCGATCGATTGTGTTCGGATCCCCTGCATGCCCATCAGTACGTACGTACATACCTAACCTACCTACTACCTTGCGATGGACGACTTACATAATCCCCGATTCACCTTGTCCCAGCTATTCAGGGGTTTACTATCGGGCGGCAACTCCGCAAGCAGATCGGCCGCGGTAACGTCACGCACTGGGAGCGTGCCGGCCGGGTAGTCGAGCAGCACGAAACTACTTGTGTAGCTGACGCCGTTCCAGCGGTCGATGGGAGGGACGGGGTGCGGGGCCACGGGGCAGAGGATGGCATCGATGGTGCGTCCCGTCTTGGGATCTTTCCAGATCTTCAGCATTTCCGTCTCCAGTTCGGTCTTCCGCGCGTGGATATCGATAAGGCTAGGGAGGGATATCTGGGGGCCACGACGGAGACGAGTGCTTAACCAGTCGGTCAGGGGCTCGCCAGTTTTCTCCAACAGGTCGAGCATGAAATTGTTGCCGTCGATGCCGAAGAACTTGTTGGCGAGCGATTGACATCTTTTGAAGGCGGGCGCGTCGATCTCTATGACCTCGACTCCTGCTTTCCGCAGGGCTTGGACCGTCTCGTCCAAGACTTTGCTGACGGGCGGTAGGGGTTCGATTAACCCATCTCGCCGGATGACGCCCAGCAGCGGCTTCTCCTGAACCCCGCCCTGCTCTTCCCAGAACCCATACGCCACGCTCGGATCCTGCTCCCACGGCCGCGCACTTGAAACGACCTGTAGGAATAACTCACAATCCCTGACGCTGGTCGCGATCGGGCCCGCACTCGCCGGCAACCCGATCTTGCTCCCGCCCTCCCGGGTCCCGCTCTCCTGCCCCACGAACGGCACCCGTTGCGCGCTGGGCTTGATACCGTACAACCCGCCGCACATCGCCGGGATGCGGATACTGCCCCCCACATCCGTGCCGACGCCTAACACACTCCCTCGCATCGCGATCAGGGCTCCCTCCCCCCCGGAGCTGCCCCCGGCCGTGACCCTGCGATCCCGCGGGTTTAGCACGCGCCCGAACAGATTACTCTGCGAATCCAGCGCCATCAGCGTCTGCGGCACCCCGGTCTTGCAATACAGCACCGCCCCGGCCCGCAGCAGGATATCCACCAGCAGCGCGTTCTCCCGCGCCGGCTGTTCCGCCAGGCTCGCGATCCCAATCGAGGCGTCGTACCCCTTGACCCGGAACGTATCTTTCAGCGACACGGGCACGCCGTGCAGCGGGCCCCTCGTCCTTCCCGTCTGCGCGTATTCCCGGTCGAGCTCCCGCGCGTGCGCCAGCGCCTCGGTGAAGAAGATCTCGGTCAAGCAGTTGCAGAGCTGCTGGGCGATGGCGGCGCGCTTGCAGAAGGCGCGCGCGACAGCTTCAGCGGTCAGAGAGCGCGCGCGGATCGCTGAGGCCAGCGACGTCGCGTCGTAGTCCTCGGTGATGGCGAGTTCTTGCGCGGTGAGAATGCCGCTGCGGCGGGGGATGGAGCGCACGTCGTGGACGGAGGCCGGGGGGAGGGAGGGGAGGAGCCATTCTTTGGGGATGCGGGACAGGCGCTCGGATTGCTTGCGCTGGGCGATGGCTTTCCAGGGAGGGTCGGTGGTCATGGTGAGGGTGAGGGAGTGGCACTTGTGGGAGAGTCGTGGAGAGAGTATAATCTGGGGTGAAGAGGGGCTTTATGAAGTGAAGTCGAGGCGGGGCAGCTATCTAACCGAGGCTCCTCTTAAGCCTTGCGTCTATCAGGGGACAGCCGCTGCATTCTCCCGGATATTTACTCCTGTCTTTCTCTTCTCTCAAATATTCTCCGGTTTTCTCGTCGTACTGTGAGACGGCATATCATATGTATGCAGAAGGCTAGTAAGCAAGGTTCCGCATTGCAGATTACGCTGTGCAATGGAGGGTTGAATGCGAGTCACACTTCACTCGGAAACGAAAAGTTGATTTCCCGTTATCAATATTTTTCCATTTAAAGTTATTCTATAAATTGAGCACAGAGACGAGACGGCAGTGCTCGAGGAAGAGTTAAGACACACGATACAGATCGTTACACCATAAATCTTCTGATACAGGTCTCCCACACTCCATCCTATACCATTCACACTATTCAAACCAGAGAAATCCCATCAGGGTAGACGAAAACGCCGATTCATCCTTCTTCGACACCAATAATACCAGGAACGCTAAATTGCATGACCAAAACACGACATCAGATGAGGCAGACAACTATAAATTGAGAGTCAACGTCCTCAATTTATCTGCCACCCGTTCAATGCTCTCACATAACCTATTCACCCTCCCCATCGCTGCCTCAGCTTCGTCTTTCGACACCTGAGACCTGACCACAAGACTGAAATGCTGTTGCTTGGCAGGAATAGCAGCGAGGAGTTCTGTGATAGTGTCCATATCTTGAGGTTTGGAGATGGGAGGAGGTGAAGCAGTGAAGAGTGCAAATGCCGGATCTGAGTCGAATTCCTCGTCGACGACCTCGATCTCCTTAGCCTTGGCCTCCATCTCGATTTCGGCAGGTGCTGAGACAGGTGCGCGTTGAACGACCGGGAGTTCGACCTTCTCATCCTCACTCAACAGTGAAGGAGAGAAGGAAGAGGTCTTTCCAGAGAGGATTTCAGAGTCAATGATGGTCTCCGGCATGCTCAGAACAGAAAAGACTTGAGGTTGATACGAGAAGTTCACGTCGGAGTTAAGGATGCTGAAATCCATATTCTGTTCTGGAACCATGGCCATGCCGATATGCTGCTGCTGCTGCTGCACCTGCTGTTGAGCGGCATAGGGGTTGATATCCTTCCTCACTTGTCTGTTTTCCGATTGTTGAACTTGAGCGGGAGCAGGATTAGGCTGTTGCTGTTGCTGTTGAGCGGCTGGGTTTTGGGCAAGAGTATCGAGGAAGCCGGAGAAGGATGGGGAGGAGAGGAGCATGCGGGTCAGGTCTGTGAGACGGGTGTTCTCTTCCATCAAGGCGCGGTTCTGGGAGCGGAGGTCGTTGTTCTCCGTCACCTTTGCAGCAATCTCGCCTTCGAGTTGGCCGATGTATTCTGTTTGCGTTAGAACTTGTTTGCCAGGCTGGGATCTTCATAGCTTACCCTTCCTTCTTGATCTGAATGCGCGTGCAGACACCTTATTCCGAAGTTGCCTCCGCTCCTTACTGCTGAGCTTCTTACCCTCCTCACTGGCGAGCAAACGCTCGTCTTCATCCATCTCCTCCTCGTCCTTTCGAGCGCGCTGAGCGTGTAATGTGGTCGTGCTGGGAGTTGGAGCCTCATCCCCCTCCGTGGTAGCACTACTCTGTCTCATCGAATTTAGGAGCTGCGAGATCTTCTCCTCCACCAGAGGATTGGTTGAGTGCGAGGCACGACTCCGTTGTGGTTGCTTGAGGTGCCCCGCAGCATTTTGCTGCTGAATGATCTGTTGACGCTGCTGCTTCTGCTGTGCTTGTGCCTTGGCAAGCGCGGCTTGCTGCTGATGCATACCGGGCCATAGACGGCCAACATTGCCTGACTGAGTTGGGAGGACGTTGGAAACAGGCATCGAGGGGCCAATGGCACTCGGATCGACAAATCCAGGTGTCGATTCCGGGAAAAAGAAGGCGGGCTCCGCATTGGGTGAATCGAATTCCATGTCGTTATCCGAAGGGTTGAAGGAGCCGGACCGGCCTGGAGCGGTGCCGAAGTCAACGAACTCGTCGCTCTGGCCGAGACCCGAGAGATAGGCATCGCCAAAGCCATAATTGTTGAGGTGGACGTTGGTTGCGTTTATGGCGAGCGTGTTTGCGACGGCTCCTTGTGGGATGCCGGTCTGTTGCTGGTAGAGGTGATAGTTATGGCTGGGTCCGGTGAGAGCGGGTTGTGTGCTCGAGGGCAAGGTTGCGGGTGTGCTCGAGACGGACCTCGTGGGGAATCGCGGCTTCGAAGCAGGCGAGAGGGGAGATTGATAGGAGATGGGTTCGTACTCGGAGAAATCGACCAAGGCGTCGAGAGGGTCGAGACAGGCGGCCTGCTGGGAATTCGCAGGCGACATTGTCGGGGGCGATTGTGATGAGGAAGAGGATGAGGACATGGTGGTTGTGATGGATGGAGTCACCTGCAAGGGATCTGCGGGGACGGCGGAGGGTGGACGGGCCCTCTCAATCCTGTGGTCGTTGGATTGCTTGGTCTCCTCCGTTTTGTTCCTCTGGCTGGTGATGGTGATGGCGGTGATGGCGGTGATAGAGGTGATGGAGATGTGTTGATAGAGAAAGAGACGAGTTGGATGGAGTTGGTGGTGTCGAGGATGGATGGTTGTTGAGGGTTTGACGGGAAAAGGAGGGATTCTGGCCTCAGCGCCCGAACAGCAGCAGAATGGCCGCAGCACTGCCTGGCGAGGCGAGAGAGCCAGAAGCCCTCAGGGGGACGCGTGGCCTTGGCTGGGCGGAGTGCGCGAGGGGGATGAGCGGGCTGACGGAGGGGTACGGCGACCGGAGTAGGAGGGGAAGGGTCACTCCGTGTTCTTTTACCATGCGGTCTCTTGTTATCCAAGGGAATTATTACTGTGTATCTATTGTTCCTTATTATTAACTAACCCTTCTTACGGTTTATGATATCTCATTCCTCTTCGTCGTCGTCTTATCCTTCTTCTTCTTCTTCTTCTCATTCCTCTTCTCCGTGCTGAGCAGATGTCATCATCACGTTTCATAGCCAACTCCGACACATGTCGCCCTCCGGAGTTCCTCACGCTGAGACGCCTCTGCCATGCTCTGCACAGCCCCAATCCACCACGGCACCAGTCAGCGCCGTCCGCCGACCCGACTTGAATTCCCCAGCCAATCACCGCCCGCCAGTGTCGGCATCGCGGACAGGGACCCGCGCCCGCTCATTGGCCACTCTGACTCGCTGTTCCGCTGACTAAGATCACGGACGGACGGAGGTGGGGATGCCGATCCGAGCACGGGGCGGCGACACGGCGAGACGAGCACCGATACGACCGCGCGAATCATCGTGTGGGAGTAGCATCCGTACGAAGAGGCAAACGGTGTTCGGGTTACGGAGTATACGGAGTAAAGTTATAAATAACCCCCGCTCGAAGCGAGACTTCCGACGATAAAGATTTATCGGAGCCGGGTCAGAGGTGAGCCCGCTCTCTTATTGCCAGAGTCAGTATCTTTTGCGCCGTCTCGGAGGTAAAGTAGGGTAAAGACACATGAAGGGAAAAGGAGTCTTTGTCATGTGATATATATCACGTGGTGTGCCTTTCCATCTTCTGCGCTGCGGTCGTCGGCTTTTATCCGGGTATAATCGTAGACTTTATACCTAGTGCCAGGGATTTTGTTGCACATCGCCTTCTCATCTTGATCCGAGGACGGATGATGATCTAGGTACAGAGAAATAAATCTGTTGCACGTCGCACTTCTCACTTTCATCCGAAGGCATTATCCATGCGGTACTAAACGGATGACGCATTCGAGAGAAAGGAATTTTGTTGCACATCGCACTTCTCACTTTCATCCGATGTCTATCTATCTTACCACTTACTTCGCTGGTAACCAAACGAGTGAATTCTATATACCTACCTAATCGGAACCACATAATATTATTCCATTACAATCGCACTCCTCACTTTCATCTGAAGTATCAGAACCCATCCATCCAACCAATCCATCTATCTTTGTTGCACATCAACACCCCTCAATCTCTCACACATTTCATCCGAACTACCCCCCTCCCCCCTAATTCGCCAAGATAAGCTTAAGCTTAATTCATAAATAACTCGCTAAACCAAACCAGACGAGCCCCTATTTCTCAACTCTTTGCGGAACTTTTGAAAGAAAGCTGCGAAATGGATTTTGGGGGTTGAAAGAGAGATAGATATAAGGGATGCTTGGGTTTGTTTGTAGATTACGTTGTATGATGATTGCTAGGTTGAGTAAGGAATTGGATTTTGAATTTATTTATTTATCATGTAGGTAGGTAGGTAGGTATGATGTATGTATGTATGTGTGTGTCCAGGACAAGACGGTTTTATTTAAATCGTGATATCTAACATCTCGTATATTCATTAGTCTGATTTCTAAATCTAAGCAGAACAGAGGAGAGAATATATATGTTGTAGATATGCGCTGGATAGGTAGATGTACAGAAGAGAAAGACAGTCTCCTTTTTATTTTGGGGGGGGGGGGGGCACGTTTTGAAAGTAATATTGAGTAGATGCTTTCTAGGGGTTAAAGGGTTGGGCAGGATTGTGGATTATGGATTATGGATATGAGGAGGATTAGGTTATAGAGGGGGAGAAGGAGAGGGAGAGGGAGAGCAATTAAGAGCTAGAATAGTTGATTTTGCTTTTTGGGACGGTGAGTACTGCAAAGTTTTGATCTGGATAAAGAGGGGGCCTGGGGGACCCGATGGGAGAGGAGGGGGCGGGGGGGGGGGGTGGTTTAGAAAGAGCAGGTTTAAAGGATAGGAAAATCAGAGAAGAGCATAGGGGTATATAGGGGGTAGTAAAGTGAAGGGGGAAGGCTAGGTATAGCGCGTATTCATATAAGATAGGAAAAGACACTGAAAAATATAGAGTCGTGGAGAATCCCTACCGAGGGAGATGAGAGAGAGGAGTGAAGGTGTATTTTTTGTATTTTTTTCTTTCTTGATTCTTGAATCCTTTTGAAGGACGTAGTAGAAACTACATCCCAAGTATATTGGCTTATTAAATAGGCAGACCTTCCTCCCACGCTGAAGGGTCTAAATATTTCCTTCCTTCCTTCCTTCCTTCTCTATCTTTGTTTTTTTTCCAACGCCAGTGGTATATATTATAGCAGCCGACCTCTCGCCAACCTCGCGCCAATTGAGTGGGATTTCTTCCATGGTCGTTGCGTAGCGTCGTGCAATTACAACAAATAAGCCGCCCTCCGTTTTTCCTCCCGCCCCGCCTCGCAGAATATTGGACAAAGGAAATACCTCCCTGGTCAGATGATGTTCGTGATGCTCATCCTCTCATTACCCTTGCTTCGATCGGGGCCTCGCCCGCCGCCCCCGCCGCTGGGACTCGACCCGTATCGTGATGGCAGAGGCTGTGTGTATGCACCCTGCTCCCGAGCTAGCACTCCAACAAGATACTCGACTCTTTCCCACCCGCCCCAGTCCCTGGCTTCGGCATCCGTCAACACATTCGAGCCCTCCTCACGGCCTTCACTCGACTGACTAGGAACCGCTCTACTGCCACTACCACCGATATTCATATCGACCTCGCCATCGCTCCAGATCCAGGTCGTTTCCGCACTGCCCTGCATATCCCCAGATACGTATGCCATTACCTCCTCGTCCAGCTCGCATTCGCCCCGGTAGCCTGGACTGCCAGCTAGGCCGCCCGCCCGACGCTTCTCGATCAGGACCCCGAGAAAGAAGGCGATGTTGCGGCCGCAGGCAACGTTGACGTCTCGGAGCGTGGCGATGCTAGCCGCGGCCCGGATGCAGGTGAGTGCGGCGTCGAATTGGCCGCCGAAGAGGAGGAAGAGCGTGCACCGCCAGATATGCGTGCAGGTCATTGCGTTAGCAGTAGGGGCAAAAGGAGGGACGGATGGCTTGGACGGGGTGGACGAGGCCATCGCTCTTGCGATTAGCTTTGTCGAATCGAGAGCGGCGCGGATGCATTGCTCGATGGCATTGCTTCGCGCTTCAGGGGGACAGGAGGTGGCGAGGTTACGGCGGTGCAGGATTAGGCGTGCGCTCAGAAGATAGCACACTGGAGCTAGCATACGTGGATCGAGGGGCTCTTGAGCGGTGGGCTGGCAACTTGGTGGGAAGGCTGCCATACACGAGGCAAAGTGGGTATCAAAGCCTGCCAAGGTTGAAGGGGAGATGGTCGGCGACTTGAGCGTCTTCACCAGTTGTGAGATGGAACGAACAACATGAATAATGGGTAGCATGAAGTTGGTCACAGGAGAGACTCCATTGGGAACGATAATGCCCGCGTCGTGAATGTAGTGATCATCTACTGCAGCGGGGAGCCCGACTTCGCAGTCTGCGTCTTCGATGACGAGGGGTCTTCCAAGCTCCAGTGACAAGTGTCTATCCCAGATGTAAATGCCCCACCACACTCGACGTCTCATCTCGCCCTCGACCACTGGCCAATGTCCCGTTTCACAATGTAAGCCAACGTCCTGCGATATGTGTACCGCAGTTGCGAGCCACGTCCATGATGCGGACTTCAAGTTCACCTCGTTGAGGAAGATGCTCGTCAATAAGGCCGTTCGAGCGTGGTCGATAACAAAGTCATCGTTCCAGAGGTCTATGAGGCTTCGTGAGATCTCAATGAGCTCTTTGCCTCGGACTGGGCGTTGTATGTTCGGCTCGGTGCTGAAGAGCACGCCGACTGCTAGAACGGCAAAGAGGAGGGAGGTCCAGACAGGTGGCACACCGTGCAAGGACCCTGCCTTGTACACCGCATTATACTCTTGCTCGAAAGTAGGCCAATGAAGCACCGGCATGAGACTGTGCATGGATGCATAATAAGAGCTGAGCAAATGGTCGGCCATAGGCTTCGGGGGCAACTCTGGCCGTGCCGGGTGGAATTGGCTCTGTGATCCAAGGTGACGGTAAGGTGCAGGAATTTTGAAGATTCCGCGGCCATAATTCTGAATGTTCGATCTTACTCTCGACAATTCTTGAGGGGGTGGCGGGGCTCGCTCTCGGCGCATTGGGCTCGACCCGATCTCCGGGAGTTGTAGAGGTGTTTGTTGAGGTCTTTCGCTATCGAGATCCATCTGTCCATCCCTCAGCTGCAACATAGATCGCAGCTGCACGTTCTCCCGCTTGACCTGTGCAATCTGCTTCTCCAGATCTTGCACCTGCTTGATGGAGGACATCCGTCGATTCGTCTCCTTGGTGAATTGGCACTTGACATTCCGGCTGGAGCATTCGGAACAGCTGGTAGTCTCCGTCGCATCGCATTTGACTTTCCGTTCCCTACAGGCATCGCAGCTCGGGTCTTTTCTCCTCTGTCTATACGCCCTCTTCTGTGCCTGTATATTCGCAGATGACACCTGACCCCCAGATCGTCCCGGGGTTCCGCTGGAGGAATCATTCGAAGCGATTGAATCCATTCCTGGAGCTCCTGGAGAGTTCCTAGATGAGCCATACTGGTGATGATGAAAATAATTTTGACCTAGGGGGATACCGGAGGACATGCTGATATGTGGAGGATGTTGCCCGCTTGTTGGTCTCGGAGACGCTCCCATAAGTCCTCCTTCGTAGACTCCCTGAGGCCGTGGCGATGCAGCAGATGAGACAGATGAGGAATCGTAGGAGGTCGTCGAGGGAACAGGGGACCTCGAATAGGCATTATGTGATGACCCCGACATCATCAAGACCAGACCCCGGCGTATTTATCCAGATATATCCAGCAATTGAAGATGTATCCAAATAACTACAAGAGCTCTGGGACACAGGGCTTGTGATAGATGAAGAGGTAGGCGTCTTAGAGGTCCAGCCTCATTACACAACAGACCCGAACCCGCCAACCAGTTGTAAAAAGAGGCAGGAGGGTTTCCAGGAGCCCGACAGGTTATGATATGAGAACACCTCGAAATCCTTGACAAGCAGCAGATATTCTGTTAGTCAGAAGATGTGGTCCCTCCAGCGAAATAACCCAAGTGTATCTTTTTCTGGGGGGGAGGGGGCCTGGAAGATCTGCGACGCCACCGGGCTGCAGAGACAACGGTGTAACCTGGGCTGCTAAGTTCCGATGCAGGTCTCTACAGTGTGGCCAGCTAGACTTCCCCACCGTCTGCCAACACCAAGGTATGAATTGTCGGCAGCTGATCCGTTACCCCAAGAGGTCCTTAATCTGTTACAGGGCATTGGTCAGCACGGTGCATTGAGATATGCTATTGTCGGCTGAAGAGGTGTATGTGGGTGCGCAAAACAAACATTATTGGTCCGGCTAGGGGATGTTGAGAAAGCAGAGATGCCGGCAACAGGAGAGAGGGAGGAATTTATGGGAGGAGGATTTTTCAGTAGCGCGTCCTGAAGTTGGAGGGTATAAGACGACAGGGCAGGCATAGATAGGCCGTCCGCTTTAAGGCTGATTGAGAAATCTGGAGTAATACTACGCCAAGCGTGGCATTCATCAACCTACAGGCATTCGTTCGCCACCCTTACTGAGTCCTTGTCAAGTAACCGGACTCCCATGCTTGCCAGCCAGTCAGCCCCATGGACGGCGATGTTGGCCCCAGGCCTCTACGGTCTGATGGAGAAGCCAATGATCGGAAGGGAAGGGGAAAGAATCGCACGCAGAAGGAAAGAAAAGAGGGCAGTAGGGTCTACTGATCTAGCGACGTTCTAGCCATCCAAGGTGCGTCGGGATGCAGAATTCCTGATGGTCTGCAGACTTGCAGATTCGTAGCTTGGCCTCTCTGTGGGAGTCGGGTCGTCAGGGAAAGAGAAGTACTGTCATACACCGGGAATGATGTGCATTGCGCGTTTGGGGGGAGTCGTGCAGCAAGGGAAGAAAGGCTGCTCGGTACTGATGAGCCGCCTCAAGCACTCCGGTATAGGGATGCGGACAGATTAAAAAAGATATAAAAACGTACCGGCAACTTTGTTCGACTGGTAGGTTTCCTTCTCATCTACTGGTTATTGAAGTAGCACATGCAGCTCCTCTCGGGGTGGCGTGGTATGTGCGTTCCTGCGACATCCACTGCATATGAACTCCTGTATCCAGAACTCCTCCGGTACTGCTGCCGACGGGTTCGGCCCGTTGATAGGTCAGACCACCTCGACGGCTTGAGGATTATTCTCTTGAATTCAGGTGAAGCCTTGGGAGCGCGTGGTATCGGGTCTCGTGAGAAGATGAAGCTGCGGTGGCCTCGTAATTTGCTGTTATCTCGTCTGTACCTCAGGATATGCAGAGGCACGTGTGCGTTTCCGGGTTGTTCTCTTCATATGCCTTTGCGAGCGGAAAGGCTATGGCGGATAGATATTGAGTAGTGGTGTGGCCTCCACCGCAAGCCGGGACAACAGCTTTCACTTTACTTTAAAGGGGATTTCATAGGCGACATCCGCTCGTTTTCAAGCTTGGTTGCAGAGAGGATGGACAGGTAGAGAGGGCTCAGTGCTGTGTGGGAGAGCGAAATGCTAGTATTGAGAGGGCGCCGGAATAATAAAGCGGATTGTATTTCCTCTTGATTATTCTTAGCCTTGGTGGGATGAGAGGTGGTACCTGCAAACCTTGCCAGAACGTCTTTACAGTAGTGGCCGGGACATGGAAGCGATGTCACCTTCCGAGGCTATGTCGACGGCATGTCCTGGTCCAAGATCAGCGAGTGCCAGGGCAGAGCGAAGATGGTCCATAAAGGTCGCGAGTTGCTGGGACCCAGCCACTGCTACTATTCTTACATCTCACTACTCACTACTCACCTCAAGACTTGAGTAGGACCCCCCCCCCCCCCCCCGTAGTTGACTCCACCCCAACAGCCTTGCATACATTGTCATGCAGGATGACAAGAACTAGAAGATGAGATGGAGTTTGCGACGATAGTAGTGAGAGAGACACCGCTGTCTCAACACTTTCATTCGGATGCTATGTCTCAATATTTTCTTCTTGCAAGGTCAACCAACGCCAGAGAAGGATCGGGATCAAGCCATGACCTGAAAGTGCCACGTGCTGGGTAATATGAGAAGCCGAGGAATGGTCTTTCGTGCTGGTGTTTCATCTTGCGAACTACTTCTTGGAAGCTTGCCTATGAGAGAGCCCGTTTTGTGGTCCTTTAGCCTTTGCCTTCTGCTCTTTCTGCCCTGCTACGATCATTCATCCATGCCCAGCCTCGGAGAAGGCGAACACTTAACAGGCTGGGGCACAGGCATTGTGAATGACAAGGCCAAAAAGGTTCAAGATTGCTCCCACCAGATCTCTCTTGTCGTTGCCCTCGTTGCCTCGTTGCAGTGAGCCCCTGTACAGCCGACTGCCCAGCCCTGACGCCTGGACTTGGTTTCAGAGCCGGGCCCTGGACAGACGGTGGATACGGGACACCCATCGAACCCTGGCAAATTCCGACGGGAATGAGCTGCACCAGCTAGCCTGTAGCCTTCCTGGCCCTGCACGGAGCAATGTGGGGTGGCCGGGTGCTCTGCAAAGGGCAATGCTGAGCGCGTGGAAACCATGGAAATCGACTCGATATCCGAAGCCGTTGTCCCAAGACTCTAAGAGTGCTGGTTTTGGTCGCTGGTGCAGTGGTGTAGTCTGATCTCACCCTCTCACCGTCAGACCGTCCCAGAGGTGGCCCTGGTGGCTGAATCATTCCTTACTAACCGCCCATGACCGTCGCGGCGATGCTCGAGAGAGAGACGGACGACTAACTGAACATGTACTCGTTCGAGGTCGATTAATATTAATGTTGCGCGGTGCATCTGCATTGCCCTGCAGCAAGGCGCTTTTGGTTGTTGCTGAGTGCTTGCGCTCTCCTCGCACAAAGGGCGGTGAAAGCGGAAACGCTGTGCCCTGGAAAGGGACCGACATCAACAATAGGTATTGTACCAAAGCCATGGCAAAACCCACAACACCGCCAGCCGTCACTATTTCCCTTTTGTAGGTTCTCTGGAACCTCTGGAACCTCTGGTGACACCGTGACAGCCCTGAATTGCTTCCAGACGGCCCCAAGAACCCATATCCGCTCCCGCCACCGCACCAACGTCTAGCATACTCCGTACGGTCCAGCGCAGGCCGTAGCCTAGGCGGGTTAATATCTCCGCCACTACAACGAATCAACAGCCTACCAGAGGGTCCCATTGGCTCATTGCATCGGTTTCAAATCTTGGATGGTTAATAATCTGGGGACGATGCGCTGCGTGAAACCTGCTCAACCCGAGGTTTTCCCACTTAAGGATGCTGGACCATAGGCTAAGCAGGGCTCTGCGCATGGCACCAACGTTAAAACCCACCTCCAAGGCTCCCTGGAATAGCTGGAATAATCATAATATGATACTTTACAGTACCAAGTAATCAAGGACACACAGTACGGAGCAGAGCCTTATAGCGGAAACGTTGGCTTGGCTTTGGGCGCGACGCCGACCGCTTGAGTTCCGTAAAAGGCTCCCTTCTCCAAATTTTCTGCGCTAGATGCCTTCTTCCAAAGTTCCAAGACATCGTTGTTTGGGGTTTGAAGCTTTCTTAGCACCAGAGCCAGGGATCCCGAATATCCTGATTCCTGAAATACCAATAAGTGGAGGCCAGCGGCCCCGCGGAGGAGCTACATCCCAGACAACCACCTCGGAGACTAAGTAATGGGGCAGATCTGGATATGACTATATGTAGAGTCTTCCTTTTTAGCCCGCGCGGCCATGCGATAGAGCGCGATTGAGGCAGTGTCATGCAGCAATGGCGAACATGAAGATCATGATTCATGAAGCCGACTTGGACCCTTTGAGATACAGTACGATGGCCCATGTCGTGATAAGCTTGTTGGTGTTGGACTGTTTGCCCTCCCTTGCGCCAAAGCATGGCGCGAACAGCGAATAACGACGACTGATCATAACCCGTTCTTTTGGCTTCTCAACACTCAACCAACGAGTCCACGATCCCCGCGTCCAACCAGCGGCTGTCGATTACAATTTCACGTGACCCACAGTCGCTATCCCCGTGACCTGCAGCCAATCAGAAGGCTTGTCCTCTCGCTTCGCCAAAAATGCCCTCCTAAATGCCCAGTGCCCAGTGCTCCCCCGGTATGGGCGGAAGATTATATAAGTCCGGAATGCCGACCCCTACTCGCAACCAAGTCAATTAAGCTGGACTTTGGTAATATCGTAATATCAGAATCCCGGCGTAATAATTAAGATTTCGGAAGTTTCCAGGACCCGGATCGGCTGCAGATCTTCAACCATGTGTTGTACTTGCTGTAGGCGGAGGTCCTTCCATGCAACCTGATAGGAGGAACGCGTTCAAGCTGGTTTTGTGGTAAGCGCGGCTGACGAGTTCTTTGGCAGCACGGGAGAACGGGAGGGGGCGTGAGAAGGTCAAGGTACCGTTATCACCGAGTACTGTGTACAGGACAGCCCAGTACCTTTTTTCTTGTCCTCGCTCCATATGCCCAAGTCTAGAACAAAAGACTTTGCACGTTCTCAAGGTCAACAATCGTCATACTATTGTCACTGTGCTGGAGAATCTTATCGTGCTCTGTCTTGGCAATAATGATCAGATCCCCCCGTTGCAGCCCCCCCGTGCTGACGTCCGCTGAATTGCGGTCCCTGTCGACATCATATTCAACGCCCACCTGCTCCACAATAGGCATCTTTTGAGAGGATCTTAGATCTGGGCACCAGTCAAGTCGACGCGGTGGCGCCGTCAAATCTAAACGACCAGAAGCCCACAGAACGCTGAACGCTGGTCCAAGCTAACCCCTAAGGCCCTCTTAAGTGATGAAAGTGCACTCTGAGCAGAGAGTACGCCGAACAAGAGTGCCGGCTGACAACCGGCACAACCCCTGAGAAAATGACCTGTCAGTTTGAATGCTCGTATGCCAACCTGATCCGTGAAATTGTTGAAATGATCACAAGAGGTGATATGCCCATCCTTTCCCCTTAGCCCGTCGGAGGGATCCCCACGTGCAGTCAAGCCTCGTTGATCCCGGGAATGCTTGGGGACGGGGGACGGCGAGGGCGAGCTTTCGAGCTTCGAACTTCAGAGATGATCATCTCGGGGGGGCCAGTAGTTGACTGTTGGCCCCGTAGTCGTCGACCGTCCACGGGCGAGGGGCTGGGCAGGGTTCCCGCAGAGAAGGGTCTGAAACGTCGACGGGCTGTCGAACAGTCGAAGAGAAGCTTTCTGGCTCGTTGACGGACCCGCCCCACCGCGCTATGGACACGGATCCACCGTTCCTTCAGACTGGGCGATGGCCATTATTCGTCTTGCCGTGCGTCGTGCGGTGTATCGGAAATGCGAGAATGCGGATGTGTGTCTGAGGATTCAAGGAAGATCAGGCGCAAATCATCATTCGTTGCGGCCGACCCCAACCCAACAGCCTCCCTGGTTCCAATATTGCACATCAACCAAACGGAAATCCTCCTGAACGGCCGAGCCAGTCGTTTCCCGACCAAGAGGTGCTCCCGCATAGGACCAGGGCCGGGACAAAACCTCCTTGCGTGGCTGGAAAGTGGTTGTGTGTATAGTGTACAGCGTACGCAGTCCTGCCCGGTGCAAGGTGATGTTATGTGTGGGTAGCCGCGACACTCGCCACGGCCCACGACACCACACAGTGCACTGCACACACAGCCGATGGGCATCTCGAGATGAGGAACTCGGCGGCGAGCAAGCAGCATTCTGATGATGATGATTCTGTCCTCGCTCTGCCTTCTTTGACTGCAAGCTGCAGAGGCCCTGAGGCCCAGAGTGCCAATATATCTGCTTATGTAACGAGTGGTTGACTTGGTCCATCGGATCCCGCCGCAGTCCAGCGTCTTGGGGCTCGAGGATGAAAAATATCTCCAAATTTTTCTTCAATTTTGCGCTTTCTGTTCTCAATTGTCCCGACGGCAACCGCGCGGTCATGTTTATATAGAGGTCTTCTTTCAGCGTTACGTCTTCAGCTGTTTTTTTCAATTGGTTCGAATTTCCTCTTTAGTCGAAGTTATACAGTGTTCTCGTACTCTTATCAGGACCCTTCAGCCCTACGTCGAGTACCACGATCCTCAGTCGTATCACAGTCCAAAGCACTGACGGAGTCTTCCTGGCACTTGATATTATACTCTCCTGCGTCGCTATAAGTATATCTGCTCTTCCATACGCATCTTGGTCCTATCCTTGGACCGTTCGGGCTCCAAGATGTGCAAATCATCAAGCATCCACCAATTCCTCCACGAGCTCCCCAAATGCGAGCACCACCTCCACATCGAGGGATCTCTCTCCCCGAACCTCCTCTTCCGCCTTGCGAGCGTCAATAAGGTCTCCCTCCCAGACCCTTCGTCTGACCCCTCCTTCGAATCCCCAGAAGCCCTCACCTCTCGCTATGAACGCTTCACCTCCCTCGATGACTTCCTTCACTACTACTTCATCGGGATGTCTGTCCTTATAACCGCCTCGGACTTCGAATCCCTGGCCTACGAATACTTTGCCCGCGCGCACGCTGACGGCGTCCAACATGCCGAGGTATTCTTCGACCCGCAAGCGCACACCCAGCGAGGCATCGCATACACGACCGTTGTTTCCGGTCTCACAGCCGCGCAGAAGCGAGCCGAGAAGGACTTTGGAATCACCTCGAAGTTCATCCTGTGTTTTCTGCGGCACCTATCCGCGACGGACGCCGAGGTTACATACCAGGAAGCTGTGGCGCTGGGACATTTCTCGGATGGCACGATTGCGGGGATTGGGCTTGATAGCAGTGAGGTTGGCTTCCCGCCCGAGATCTTTAGGGAGATATATGCGTCTGCGAAACAAGCTGGGATACGGAGAACGGCACATGCAGGCGAGGAGGGCGATGCGTCATATGTCCAGAGGTCATTGGATATATGCCATACGGAGAGGATCGATCATGGGATTCGGCTGGTGGAGGACGAAGCGTTAGTGAAGAGGATCGCGAAGGATAGAACGCTGATCACCATGTGTCCGTTGAGTAACGTGAGGCTGCGATGCGTTTCCAAAGTCGCCGATTTACCAATAAGGAGGTTTCTCGACGAAGGGGTTAGGTTCAGCATTAACAGCGATGATCCGGCATACTTTGGTGGCTATATATTGGATAACTACTGTGCGGTTCAGGAGGCATTCGGATTATCAATCAAGGAGTGGAAATATATAGCAGATGGGGCTATCGAAGGAAGCTGGTGTGACGACGAGAGGAAAAAGGTGTTGCTACAGAAGGTCGAGGCATGCGTCGCAAAATACGAATAAACGACAAACGGAGGGAAATTTATAGAGCTATAGAAGTCTTTGGCGTCTTGGAAGGGAGAAGAGGTGCTCACTTTGCATTATGGGAGTTGGAGGGTATGTATATGGCATTCAACAGCCATTTGACATGATTTTAGACGACTTATGATTCTTAGATAGACGTTTGAATTCTGGAAGCCCAAGTAATCCTCGCTCTTTCTATCTTTTGCACAAAGTCTTCAATTATCTTAGGGGATCTGCAATGTAAATCATTGGGCCCCATTCTATCCTCATTTCTTTGCGTCATTACCAGATTTCATTGTCCCCAGCGACAGCTGAAAAGACATTCGAATCCCTCGCAAGTAGCGCCTATTCAAATGAAACCTACATAGCACAGCTTTCAGTGTTACGGTGTACCGAGTATATTTTGCTTCTTTCTAGCGCCGCATATCCTCTCCGAAATCTCCCAGCCCCAAAGCTGCAACATGCCTACTAGTCCCATCCTCTCAGCTCAGCCCAGGAACGCATCAACGACCAATCCTTCAACTCCGAAGCCATCTCGTCCTTCAGCTCATCTAGGAATCTCGTCGCAAAACCCCTGCCGCCATTTCAAACATGATGCCGACTCAATACCATGCGCGGCTCCACGCGCTCACCGATGTTCAGCATCGTCTCTCTCCGACCCAGCTGGCTTCCCCTGCAACAGGAAGGCCCTGGATAGGTTTCACGGCCCAAGATTAGCGTGTCACCAAGGAGTAGCACTACATTGTCCGCTTCTTGTACCTGCGGAAAAGCCAAGCCGCGAAATCTCGGTAGCCTCGGACGGGGCAAGTCCTTCCTTCTCCTTCTCCTCTGTAGCTCAGCTGGCGAAAGTGATATTGCCATACCGCAAGATGCGAGTATTGAACATGTACACAGTTTGTAATTCAACTCCGCGATAGGTCTAAGTGGACCCTAACGGAGGGATCAAGAAGCCATCATTGGCGTTTTCTGAAGATGTTGAAGGTGAGATATCAAGAGTTGGGTAAGGTGTGGTTAGGCGCAGTTGTGACTTGCTAGATTTGTCATTTGGGTTTATGAATAATGATTACGTCTTCTTTTCTTTCTTTTCGTAAGTGTAAATTTACTTCGTTGAATGTTCATCTTTTAGGTCAACAGCTCAACGCTATAGGAGGGCTTTACTATAGCACCAATGCTGCTCCTTGCTACAGGATGTCATCAATTCTTTCTACAGGCGTACTATTCGCACTCTTTGATCAACATTCCATCGATTCTTGAGCGGCATATAAGTCACAAAACAGAAGGAAATGAGAGAAAAAGTTTTCTAAGAAGAAGAAGAAAAAAAAGAAACCAAGATTTCAAAAATCAAAAAAATAAAAAATAAAAAAATAAAAAACATACAACAGCAGGTATTCGCTGGTGGTCACCCACCCAACTACTAATCTGCCGATCTAAGGCTTATGTATGGCAGAGCGGACGGGATGCCCAGTTTTCCTTAGTCTATGGTCGTATGTGACAAGTTTTCTCCTAATTCAAGTGATATAATAGGGGTCATGGTAATAGCAAGTGCCAAAAGAAAGAGGGTCAAAGGGAGGGACATTCACTATCAGTAGCCGGATACGGACGGAGCTCTGATGCCAAGCAATGGCAAAAAAGAAAGATGCCCAAGTAAAACATGGATAAGAAAGACATACAACAGCTGGTTATCAACAGCGGACTTTAGAGAACCGTCCCTTAACAATGTGCAAGAGGCACGACAAACTTTTCTTTGCTTCTAGGAAGAGACTTTGAAGTCAAGATCTTCTGCTATTATTTGCCAGACACTACACGATCCGGAAATGGTTCTCTTGGATACAAAGGATGGCCTAGTGTAAGTGCATCAAAAAAAAAACAAAAAGGAAAAATAGAAGGGATGACATACAACAGTAGGTATTCGCTGGTGGTCACCCACCCAACTACTAATCTACCGATCTGAGGCTTGTGTATGGCAGAGCGGACGGGATGCCCAATTCTCCTCAGTCTGTGGTCGTATGTGGTAGCTTTTGAGCAAGTGGACCCCATATACCTATACCTCAAGCGCTCTAATAAAGAAAAGTACGTATACCGAGGAGAGATATACGTCAGTTCTACAACATCATTGACCTAGGAATGCAGAGATTGCAGTTCAGGGCATAAAGAAAGAAGACTTGATATCTAGTGGTATAGCGTATAGAATTGGACCAGGATTATGAGCTTGTGGAAAAGAACTGCTTTAGTTCTGACTTCTACCTGGGCTGTTGCTTTTGATTTTGAAATATAACTTGATAACCTATACGGACATAGCCATTAATAGTTTCAGTTATATGTTGCTCAACTACGCCATGTGCCACATAGCCATTTAGGAAGTGCTTAATGTATCCATCTACATGCCTTGGCCTTGCTTTCTAGTCGCTCGTTTCCGTACTATGCAATGCACTGGTTGTTGACCTTGGGTATTGGCCATTATTTCTGTTCCTCGACGATCCAAGGACACATCTTCTGCGCAGCCTCGTTTTGACAACCGCCCCTTTACTCTGGATCGATGAATTTCGGAGTTTGTAAGGGGTTGTCTTCGCATGAATTGATCGATGGCGCTACGCTCGCGACGGACTTCGACCAGCTGCTCTTTCTTCCACCCTGCCCATCCCTACTCCTACCTTTGCTGAGTCTACGGTGCCTCCCCATGATTCTTTGCCGTGCTCGTGTTTTCAAAGCTGCGAGGATGTTTTCGACACTCGTTGGTCACTCCGGTCGCGAGTATGTGCGCCAGAAGGTACTCCAGCGCCATCCTACGAAACCGGCGCTTGATATCCACCTTGCACTGTAAGTTCAACAGTCATTTCTGATCTTGTAATTCTCGTCAAAATCATGACTGACTGAATGAAAAATAATTCCAGCTGCGATGGCAAACCATTCGTTTTGAAACCTGTTTCCCGGTCAATCTTTGATCTCTTGCAGGAGTTCAAGGACGAGTTTGGTAATAATCCTCGCCTCCGAATCCACGTAGACGACAATGAAAAGGAAAGTGTACTTGTTTACGAGTACTTTAAGAGCGATCTGCTTTCGTTGGTAGAGAATTATCCAGCCCTTCCGCTAGAGGCAAGAAAGACAATTCTGAAAGAGGTTGGGCTAGGACTGAACGATATTCATGCAAAGCATTGGATACACTTAGGTATAATACCATCGAGGCTCGGCTGCCGTTGCCCATAACTCTCGCTGACCTATTCTCCTCTAGACATAAAGCCTAATAATGTCTTTCTCAATTGGTATGTGGACGAGAAGGATCGATTCCATCTAGAAAAGGTGGCATTGGGCGATATGGACTGTGCTTTGAAACTAGAAGGCCAAAAGCTTCTAAATCAGAGGATGGGAAACGTCATGTGGCGCAGCCCGGAAGGGCAACTAGGGAAGGGTGTTGGGAAACCTTCGGAGGTGTTCTCTTTTGCACTTCTAGTGAGTCAACTTTTGGTTTCGACCCATCGTGCTAATCGTGGCTCCTAGTGTCTCTACGTAATCACGGGCGCGCAATGTTTTCACCCAGACTTCGAGAACCTTGATATTGAACCCGAGCCAGTGATTTTGTTCAAGTTGCTTTCGGCCTTCGGCCCGCTACCGGATGCTCTCGTAAAGCATGTCAATGACGAGGAAGCGGCAGCGCTTTTAAAGGGCCTGTGGCAGGCCATAGCAGAAGACGACGAATTAAACGAGACTTTTGAGCAATGGTCTGAGGAGATGTTTCCTAACCTTGACAACGAGGCAAAGAGGTTGATATTGAGGATGACAAATCTCGATCCAGCGAAAAGAGCATCAATGTCGAACATTATAATGGATTCTTATTGGAACTGAGTTGAGGAGTTTCTACAGTATTGACAGTATTGCAAATGCAAAAGTTGAAGCCGGGTCCAACATCCGAAACCGAAGCCTCCATACGCCTCCTTTCTCGACGAGTTTGTCGACCCCGTCCAACAGTGTTCTGGCACCGATTCCGAGCACAGCTTTGTTCTCGAGTGGCTTGAATCGGTTGGGTCCGATCAGCTGTCGGTCGGACAGCCATCTTCATCCTGCGGACGACAGCCCTCTGAGGCAACTCACAAGATCAGCCCCGGCGATGGGCTACAGGCGGGATGCCGATGGCGTTACGGTGCCGCCGACACCCGCTTCGACCAGGTCTCGTTCACGAGCAGATGCAGATGGCAGATCAGTTGCCCCATCGGATGTCACTGGGTCTTCTTCAGGACCGTCTGGAAGAAGCCTTGTCGAGAACCCCTATTACCGGATTCAGAACCTGGCTGCTAATAATATCTCACTGCGCCTGCCATCCGAGGAACTTCCTGAGCAAATTGCCAGTATTGTCATTGGTCAATGATATACGCAAGGATCGTACTTCTCCTGGTCCATCACTAGAGGATGTCAGACAGGATTCCGACCTAGCTACCCTGCAATGGATGGGGGTTGGAGAGCCCCAAGTGGAAGAGTATTTCCGCACCAATAATTTTCCTCCTACTCGAACAACAGAGAGTCTACAACGCAGCGACAGACAACCGATGGCTAAGCATGCCGTCCCTAACACGGGATACAACATAAAGCTTATAATTGGCATGCAATGGGCTTAGTTTGCAAAATATTCCATTGGCAATTGCCAATAGTAGTGATTATGACAACGATAATGTGAACATGGCAACGACAAAAGAAAAAATGACAACGACGATTCAACTCCCGGTGAATAGGCTACTGAACCAAACACTTAACGTAAATTGTCAAATAGCCTCATATGGCACATCTGAAGATTAGATACTGATTCCAAGACTTTTTTTAGTAGAAGTACTTTAGAACAAGAAGACATATCTATATATTAGATCTAACAACCTCGTCAAGTGGCCACTGCCAGAGCTCTATCCCCCCTTTGTTCTTTCAAATATATAGCTAAAGAAAAAAAATAGAAAACAAGAGTAAATTGTAGAGCACAGTTGCACTCATTTATAGTTCGAAAACGAATCAACTGCGAACCTGTTCGGTTCTGAGAATTATGCGAAGTGCAGCTTATTAGGTCTTTTTGCTGGTTTGTCTTCTTTGTAATGATATTGATCTGCAATAGTAGGCTGTAGTACTCGCTGCATTTCCATCTAAATGAATAAAGCGCAAGATGAAGATCAATTCGCTTCTAACCTACACAACAATAAAAAAGCCAGATAGATCGTAGACGAAGGTAGACCGTCTACAAGGAATCAAGGATTCGTATAATTAGTGTACCTACCTTAGTATGTGGCAACAGTTATGAGGAGACTACAGTTTCCAGTGTCATCGTATATGCGGGATTAAGGGACGGGATCATGGATGTTGGGCCGGCGTAGTATACAGACCTAACCCCCCTAGCCCTATCAACACTAATCGACACGTGGTACTACGAACGGCTATGATTCACTAGGATCGAGATACCAGAGAGCATTTCCAGCAGATCTGAATGGAGGACGATCTGAAGGATGATCTGGATCCGGGAGAGGTGAGGTAGTTTGAAAGAACGAGTAAACCGAATCGAGAGAGGCCTTGTGTATCCGACGTGAAAGGTGAGACTTAGGAAGGGTCCCTGTTACCCAGCGTACTTGAGGAGATCAAGGACGAGCTCCCACTTGATAAGAGATTCCGTCTAATTTACCGCAAACTCCTCAGCCAGATCAGAGAATTCAAGATGGACGAGAATAGACCAAGGACCACTTTCCAGGAATTTCGAATTGATCCGAAGACTGTACTGTATCAGAGGTGGTGAGGACCGGCTGTGTATCCATGCAGCATTAACATAGCGGAGGTCTTTCGCTTCGGACAATTATACCATTGTGATCTTTATGACGACAAGGAAAATGACAACGAGAAATCATTGACGACAACAAAGATCAGATAGATAAGGGTTGGTACAGAAAGGACTAAAATCAACTCGATGCTAGGAACTACAATCCAGAAGGCACAGAGAGGCACTGCTCTGACTAAAGCCAGTAAACTTGAGAGGCTGTTGAAGAAGAAACAACAGGAGAAGAAGAGAAGAATATATAGTCCTTTCAAATCCCAGGAATTCAAGACCTCGCTTGAATCATCCCGTGAGAAAATAATAGCGCATCAACCGCGTGACATTCACTTCGACCTACTGAGCTTCGCTTGTAGCCAATAAACGCAGGGCATGCTTGTCTGTACCTTTATCTTTCCAAGGCATAGTATCATGGGGAGCCCATAATTAGAAGTTGAGAGGATGGGCAAAACCATGTAAGTGTTGAGCAGAATTGTGCCTTTGGCAGTCGCACTTCTTCTACAGAGAGGGGACGTAGGGTAGAAGGATTTACTGCACCGTAAGACTGCACGACTAGGTCTGCTTGTGTGAGGTGGCCAGTTCACCGAAGTAAGGCATGCCAAGAAAGAGGATGATTGATAGGAATAGCGGCCGCGTATTCGGAGAGCCCTATGCGGATATAGCGGTAAAAGAGAGAGGCTCATGAGTTAGCCGTAGAGAGAACAACGGTGATGATAAAGGTGCTAATACACCCTATGATCAAGTAAAGGAAAGATGCAAAAGGGATGCGTTGTAGCTCTTGGATAGCTTTGTCAAAGTATTACTGTAAGGTGCAATCCTCGATCGTTGTGTTTAGTCTGTTGATTGATCAAGCTACCAGACGTTAATAGGTACCTATATACCTGATATAAGCGAGGGGCACATGACAATCACGGAGCGAGAAGATATCAGCGGTAAACGTTGTCGCGTACTGCATGGTACTTTCTAGTAAAAGTCGTCAGAGCGGCGTGCCATCTGTTTGCTGGCTACAGCGAGGCCTTTGTTTCCGCTACCTTCAAGAGGTTGATGGTCGTGCCGGTGATGTTGACATGTAGAACTGATAGAATACAATGAGACGAAAGTAAAGAACAAGAAAATAATGACAATGACAGTGAAGAACAATTTGAACAAGATGACGAGGACGAAAAGTTTAGAATAGCAGACTCGTATCGAGCATTCATTTCAACGACAGTACCATCGAGAATAGGCCGGTAGGAATTAGAGTGTGCGACTTCAACATGACCACCCCGATCTGAGTATGGCTGGAGGCACTCGAATTTAGAAAAAACAATGACATTGACAGTGACGAAGAAAATATGACAACAAAGTAATTGTTCGGATACCGAATTCACTACCCTCTAGCCGCCTTGAACGATCTACTAGTAGTGGAATACAATCTAAAACTCGCGGCTGATGAAGAGTTGTTGTTGTTAGTGTTGTGTCAGAAGGAAAGGGGGAATAAGAGAGGAAATTGGGCTACTTATGAACAGAGTGCCTTTGATCGTGATCACTAGGTGCTATGGTATTTTGTAGGTTTACTCGAGTGAGATATCTCGTGTACAACGAGGAATGATTTGCAAGGACGAACGAAATCATACAAGAGGGGAAGAATCCCCTTATCTTCCAATTCTAGCCTCGCGTCTTAAGTGTCTGGATCAGGTATCCTTGAGGCTTGACTAATTTCTCACCTTAACACGCAAGACAAAAAGTTTGGATTGAACAATACTGATCAAAAAATTAGAATGTATCAACCCAAAGGACTCAGAGCTCCAGATTATGCTTGAGCCTACTAGGTTCGGTCTTTTAGTCTTCGCATCTTCTCGAAGAGGTGAGAGACTGCAAGAAAACTTTGAGAAATATCCAGCGTCTGGCCAGATTGTTATACATGAAAGTCGGATACGAACCTCAGCCTTTCCAACCCCAGCCTTTGGTTGCCAGCCACTTGGCTATTCCACCGACCGTTAAGCTGCTGCTTTCCACGGCCACAGGAATCGAGGACTTATCCTCTACACTGAGCTACTCGCAACAGTCGCCATATTCAATAGTCTTGGACCGCGCATTCCAATGCTTGAGCTACATGATCGGATAGAGATAGATGGGGTCGGCTCTCCTTTTCGCCTTCATAATATAAAATCTCCGTGCATCCGTCACAATGCCCTCGTTGCCGAAGAAGCCGCCACCCTGACGGTTAACATGGCTCATGGATCAAAACTGATGCTTCAATGGCATGACATGTGTAGAGTACGACGATAATTGAGGAGCTGAAAAGGAAAGAAAAGCTGTCTTCAAACATTGGCTCATCATCTTCAACGAAACAGATGGGATGTACAGAATCCAGCCTTGGGATTTTGGCAGTGTTGCCCTAGTGACGGTCAAGATGTGGCTGGTCCCGTTGCCACTGGCCAACCACGGAGTAGATAAGGTAATCACTGGATCATTACCTAGTTCCTGAACCAAATTTCACAAAGGGTCGGATCAGTTGCCAAACGGTAGAATGCTCTCTAGATGGCCATGAATGAAGATATAATTCCAATGTCAACAGCGCGGATGCCACCTTATATACCGTAAAAGAAGAATCGAGCTATAAGGCACCGGAATTACAGGATATACGTAGAGAATACGCAAAATACGGTATTCCTGCCACCAAGGCGCATCGGGAACGCTGTTTTATACCGCAAAGGTGGCTTGGTAATTTACTCCGCCGAGCCGGTGGTCCCGAAATCCGAAACTTTCCGAGTTGAAGCTAGCGCCAAAATTTCGAGGACAAACTGTTTCGACCACCTCCAATTCTCATAATCTCATAATCAATCCATCAAGTAAACATCCTCCATCAATCCACCCTCACCGTCGTCAGGAAATTCGCATTTTCCTGATCTCAATCTCCACTCCATCCTCCCATCCGCACCTTTGTTTGTTCGTCCCCACACATACATAATGGCCGCTACATCTACTGGCTCGACCAAGGTCGACGCTGTTGTCCAGCAGGTTGCTGCCAACACCCCCGAGAAGCTCAGCGGCTTCGCTCTCTACTCCAGATTCGCCTTGGCTGGTGCCATCTGCTGTTCAGTTACCCACGGAGGTCTCACACCCGTCGATGTGTAAGTCTGCCGTCCTCCGCCCATCCCATTCTTCAGGAGTGTCTGTAGCGGACGCTTGACGACAGATCGCTTACTTCTATGTGCACAGCGTCAAGACCAGAATACAACTTGACCCTGCTACCTACAACAAGGGTCTCATTGGAGGCTTCCGACAAGTCGTTGCCAAGGAGGGTGCTGGTGCTCTGTTGACCGGTCTTGGTCCTACTGCCGCCGGATACTTCCTCCAGGGTGCATTCAAGTTTGGAGGATATGAACTCTTCAAGCAACAATCCATCAACCTCCTCGGATACGAGACCGCTGCCAACAACCGCACTGCCGTCTACTTGGCCTCCTCTGCTCTTGCCGAGTTCTTCGCCGACATTGCTCTCTGCCCTCTCGAGGCCACCCGTATCCGTCTCGTCTCTGACCCCACATACGCCAACGGTCTCATTGGTGGTTTCAGCAAGATCTTGAAGAACGACGGTTTCGGTGCCTTCTACGCCGGTTTCGGTCCTATCCTGTTCAAGCAGTAAGTGTTCTGATATTTCAAGGAAAAGGAAGAGAGAAGACTAAATTCGTGAAGGGTCCCATACACCATGGCCAAGTTCGTTGTCTACGAGAAGGTCGTTGAGGCCATCTACAAGAGAGTCGACAAGTCCACCACCTCCAGCGGACTCCAGACCACCATTAACTTGGGATCCGGTCTTATTGCTGGTTTCGCCGCTGCTATCGTCTCACAACCCGCTGACACCATGCTCAGCAAGATCAACAAGAGCAAGGGTCTTCCTGGAGAGGGAACCACCAGCCGTCTGATCAAGATTGCCAAGGAGCTTGGACTCAAGGGTTCTTACGCTGGTATCGGTGCTCGTCTGTTCATGGTTGGTAAGTAGCGCTCTTAAGCCTCCAATAAGACTGCACCCGCTAACAACTGCTCGTACAGGTACCTTGACCGCTGGTCAATTCGCTATCTACGGTGATGTGAAGAAGGCTTTGGGAGCGGTAGGAGGTGTTGAGATTGCGCCAGCTAAATAGATGGTTGCTGCATAATGGAACGAGTTAGTGGGGAGGTGGACTTAGAAGGATTTGGCTAGAAGTGCCTTCTCGAGTTACAGATAGAGAGCATTTCTTCGTTCTTCCGGGTTCTGCGTGCGTGCATTGTTTGGGCTGGTTTTCTCTTTCTCGAGCTACTTCTAGAGCATAGGGGTACAGTAGAAGGGGCTTGTGTATAATAGGTCCTTTTTTGCTCAACGAATAGATGTGGTTGGGATTATTGCATAGCTGATGACATACTATGGACTCGAGTATATTACTTGAGCAGATCATGTTTTTCACCGTGTCTCTTGAAGAATGGAGCTATTCTACCTGGGATCTTTCGGTGAGATTGACCTGAGCTTTCTTATTGAAAGTGCTCTTATCATGCAAGTTCCGCCGTGGCGAACGGAGGTACTGTACCGCGGACAAGCTTTGTCGCCGCCTTATTCTGCCGCCTACTTCAACGGAACCAAATCTTGGTACAAAACATTGACGAAAGAGATACAATTAGCCTCTTTGATCCTAATATCAGAGCTATTTTGCTTTCGTCGATTTTATTGGATATAGTCAAGGGTTACTCACCAAGATTGTGTTCTTTCACCTACTAAACTTGACTCTGAATCCACACACCTTGAGGCCTGATTTAAAGATAGCTCGGAAGATCCGGGGTTTGATATCAGCTACTGAAATGGATCCATGATTGCGCGGTTACTCAGCAAGAGACAAGGGATGAAATGGTTAAGATAGACGGTGAATTTACAGTTGAGATACTTCTATACGAGTTCTCAAGTCGTCGTTAACATACTACCAGAGATTCAAAGACTTGATACTGTATGTCCCAGGTGTCTGAGACACAGCCGTGGTACCTCGATGAAGCTGCCTTGCCTTGAGTACCTAAGCAATTCGATTATCGGAACGAGGACAAGAGCTAAGAAAGGGAATTGATTGTCTGTGACCTTTGAGCCCCTCCAGTTTTATGTGCTCGAGCCACCCTGTCGGTTGTGTCCCGACTCTGCAGCTGTAAGGTTCATGTGCTTAGGTATTCTGGACATCATAAGGGAGCAGGTGTGTATCCTGTAGAAACAAAGTCCTCGTTCATCCCCGCAGCCCCCCCCGCATGGCTGGAGCCACAGATTCTTAGGATCTCATCACAGGTTTGATGTAACTGTGGCGCTGTTCTTTTGGGCCACTCGACCACCAATCAACCTCTGCCTCCCTGCAGCGTGGCTGCTGCGTTGTATACACAGGAACGCCTCCTGCCGCGTCACCGCTCTTCACTGGAAGAGAGCAGAGAGAGAGAGAGAGAGATTCTCGGGATAGCTTTGGTTTCAAGAGGAGAATGACAAGATGTTGTGAGAAAGAGAGGAGAGAAAAGTGATATGCACGGCGGTGGACCCTTGAACATGGTGTTTTGGGCCCTTGCAGCGCGGTTACGAGTAAGGAGCACTGGTCAAGGCACAACAACGAAACCAAAGCAACCAACGCGATGCCATTCCCGCCCTATCCCCTCTGGCAACGAAGCACGCTGTCCAATGGGAAAGTATCGTGGACGAGAAAAGAGGGGAGCGCCGGGAGAGAGAGCTCATGCTAAGCTTTGGGGCCAAGGATCGCGGCAGTATTTACCGTATTCACCCCACTACGACCAGTTCTATGCTACCATGCTCAGCTAACCTTACAGCCAAACCCAACTGTTACTGTACAAGTTTCTAGTTGCTGGCCGCGACATTAAAAGCTGAGCTCTCGCTCTTCTTCTCTTCCTCTCTTTTGTTTCTTTTCCCTTTTCACTTTTCACTTTTTCAATCAATTCTCCCCGATCCGAAGAAACTTTGTCTGCTCCCCACCTCATCATCATCATCTTCGTCTTCGCTGCGTAATACGTCATCGCTACAGACCAGACATCTCTCTCAACTCCTGCGCCAACCACCTCCAACAACACTCAGTCAATCAAGCTCAACACCGCCAACATGGTCCACCTCACCCAGATTCCCAATGCAAACACTGTCAATGCGCCTCTGGTCGAGGGCATGAAGAAGCTGAATCTTGCGACCCCCTCTCAGCCGGATTTGTTCACGACCAGCGTGTACGGGAGCAAGTTCGCGGCCGAGGATCTGCCCAAGCATGAGATTCCCGAGAGCGAGATGCCCAAGGAGGTTGCGTATCGCATGATCAAGGATGACCTGAGCTTGGACGGGAACCCAATGCTAAAGTACGTGCTCGCCATCAGTTCGACTGCAGAGGGGAGAGGATGCTAATTGAGCGTGTTGTGCAGCTTGGCCAGTTTCGTCACGACCTACATGGTACGGTTCTTCCTCTCCGATGCGAACCTAGCAACCATTGCTCACAGTCTACATAGGAAAAAGAGGCTGAGGACCTCATGACCGAATCTTTCGCCAAGAACTTCATCGACTACGAAGAGTACCCCCAGTCTGCCGACATCCAGAACCGCTGCGTGTCCATGATCGGCCGTCTCTTCAATGCACCCTACGAGGATGGCGCCGCTGCAGTCGGCACGTCGACCGTCGGCTCCTCCGAGGCTATCATGCTCGCTGTCCTGGCGATGAAGAAGCGATGGCAGAACAAGCGGAAGGCGGAGGGCAAGGACTGGCACAACCCCAACATCGTGATGTCATCTGCTGTGCAGGTTTGCTGGGAGAAGGCCGCCAGATACTTCGAGGTCGAGGAGAAATATGTGTACTGTACCCCGGATCGGTATGTGATCGATCCCGAGGAGACTGTGAACTTGGTGGACGAGAACACCATTGGAATCTGTGCTATCATGGGTACCACCTACACTGGGGAATATGAGAATGTGAAGGCTGTGAATGATCTTCTGATCAAGAAGAACATCGATACAGTCATCCACGTCGATGCTGCGTCCGGGGGCTTCGTAGCTCCGTTTGTGGTTCCGGAATTGGAGTGGGATTTCAGACTTGAGAAGGTGGTTTCCATCAACACCTCCGGTCACAAGTACGCCGCCTGCCCAACCTCTCTCAGTCCCACACTAATTGAAGAATAGGTACGGTCTCGTCTACCCGGGTGTAGGATGGGTTATCTGGCGGTCTCCGGAATACCTTCCCAAGGAGCTGGTCTTCAACATCAACTATCTCGGCGCTGACCAAGCCTCCTTCACGCTCAACTTCTCCAAGGGCGCTTCTCAAGTTATTGGCCAATACTACCAACTGATCCGTCTCGGAAAGCACGGTTACCGCTCCATCATGTCCAACCTGACCCGCACCGCCGACTACCTCTCCGACTCATTGGAGCAGCTAGGATTCGTCATCATGTCTCAGAAGAATGGTAAAGGTCTACCCCTCGTTGCCTTCCGCCTCAACCCAAAGGCCGGCAAGCACTACGACGAATTCGCCCTGGCACATCAGCTGCGACAGCGCGGTTGGGTTGTTCCCGCCTACACAATGGCGCCACACACCGAAGACCTGAAGATGCTGAGAGTGGTGGTCCGAGAGGATTTCTCCAAGGCGAGATGCGACTCACTTCTTGCCGATATCAAGCTGTGCTCGCAGGTCCTCGATGATATGGACAAGGCGGAGATCAAGAGGCAAGAAGAGTTCATCAAGGCTCACGTCAGCCACAGCGGGAAGGCGAAGCACAACCACCCGCATTACCGAAAGGAGAACCACAGCTTGCAGGGCAAGACTGGCAAGACGCACGCAATTTGCTAAGCGCACCCGCAAGTGTGGGGGACCTAGAGCTTAGAAAATTGGCGATGGAGGAATAGGCGAATATCCTATGCGTTGCATAGAACACTTTCGGGATGGGAAACGGGTGGTGGATAGATGATTGATGAATCATGAATTTCAGCGTACGCGCGAAGAAAAATTAGATTATGAATACGAAGACGATGAATTTTCCAAGGCCCTTTGTCTAGATTTATGATACTGCTCTAAGGTAAGCAGTGATTATGCTATTGTATCCCCCCTCTTTTTAACCTTACCTCCTCTTCTCTCATCTTGACTACACAGAAACTGCTCTCTCCCAGCTTCCCTTCTTGTCACTTTGCTTAACGTTCCATTAACCATCCACTCTTCACCTCTCCCCCATACCTCTCCCCTTAGCACAAAGCCATTTGTAGGGCGCCATACCGGTATCAATCCCTATTGTTCATGAACATAGTCGTTGACAGAGGTAGAGAGGTAGTTCCAAGGCTTTTCTAGAAAGATAGCTAGTATCTTAAATTAGAAGATATAACTTATAAGCAAGCCTCCTAGAGATTTCTATACCCGCCGGAGACATTGAGATATAAAATAGGGGGGGGAGGCTACATCAGGAACGCTGTACATTAATTAGGGATGCTTGTCAGGAGCTAGAAGAATAAAGCGGAATAGCGTCATATAGCGGGAGCGGCAGGAAGCTGGTCAGAGAGGCGAGCCTGTACTTTTATATATAGGTATACATGTATATGTTGATATTAATGTTGTTGACAGCCACGATGTCTTCTTATTCCGGATCGGACGCATCGAGCTAGCGCCCGTCGTGCAGAATGTCAAGATCGAATCTAGTCGATTTGGATCTCTTTGTTTTACCCTTCCCACTTTCTTCTTCTTTTACAAACAACAACAGACTCAACAGTGATTACTCTAAAGATGGCCAGCAATGCAGCAAGTTGCCAGGAACGCAATGTTGATCTGTCGAGCCGGGGTACCGTCCTCGTGCTTGCGCTGATGGATGGTGGACCAAATAACCGATGGCTGGAAAGAAAGAATGACAATGGTTAATGAATTTGACGACGATTAAGGAATATAACAATGGTTAAATAATGTGACAATCATCTCAACTATCAAACTCCCCATTCACCCAGTAATAGTCACAGAAATCTTCTGTTGCCAGGTCCTTTAACAGACTCGCTCTTAAGCAGGAGCAGTTCTCATGCTGCCCCTCTGATGAGCGGAACTCGGGTAGGAGCTGTTATAAGAAGTTCTAAGAGAGGAGATGCTAATACTTTGATTTATATAGGTTTGACTACCTAGGTAAGTCTCTATATCCGAGACTCCTAGTGATGAGTTATAGGAATAGGTTAGCGCTTGCCTTGCCAAAGCTCAAGTCATGTTATAATAGATAGATTTAGATAGATTTAGATAGATTAGGATCTTAAAGTAAGTTAGTGCTTTTCTGTTATAATAAGAGATTTGAACTCCTTAATGTCGTACTACACTTAGCTTAAAAATTGCTTCTCCTAGAGTTGCTGATTATACACATGAAATGGAATAGGATAGAGGCGCATGATGCGCCTTCTTATCTAAAACATTGCTTTCTGTGTAAACTCAAGAATCATATATCTATTCTCGTTGACAACCTTTGCATTTTAAACTTATCCTGTATAATATCTTTACTATTCTATAGCAGAATCCTAGATCAGGAAGATATTCTGATGTTAGACAATTTACCTTTGAAACATCTTGCTTTTATACATCTGCTCCTTTCTTCTTCAACATTTTTTTATCTTCACAAACAGGGTCGGGTGTATGTAGCCAGTGGCCACAGGTTCAAGGCATTTTCCATCTCGTACCAATTGCACGTGAAGAGGAAGCAGTAGGTAATAGGTATATAGTCTTGAACTTCTGGCTATCTAGGGTTTCTACCACTTGTGTTAAGTCTGTGGATTGATCAAGCTACCAGACGTTACTATATACATGATATAATTGAGGGGCACAAGACAACAACTAGACAGAGTTATCTGTTGCTAATCCTTCCCTGCCTATCGCGACACGATTCTTTTTATTTGTTCACTAGTTTATAGTTCTCGTCGTCGTTTATTTGCTTACTGTTGTCAATCAATAGATCTGTTGTCATTTTTAAAACTTTACTTTCGAGCATTAGGCAATGTTTCTTACGCTGGGGAAGGCAATCATAACAGCAAGGACCTGAACTGATTCTCTGCACGCTTGAGTCTCGGACACGGATCTTACAAGGTATTGCTACCATGTTACGGTCTCTAGTGGGTCTTCGTATTATGAGAGCGAGACTGAATTTATACTCTAGAGGCAGACCAGTTGCTCGTTAACGAAATCACTAAGACTTAGTATTGCTTTATGAAATTATGACGCCGCTCCACGACTGATAATCCAGCCTTACAATATTGCGTGGGGTTGCAGTGGCGTATTGGAAGGACATATATCAGTCGAGGATTTTGAAAGGGACCTAATTGTTCCACATAGCTCGTGAACAAGATGATAATTACATACATATAGTCTAATATAATTGGTTCTTCGAGGCCGACCTTTCTTTCCTTCTACTCCGCATTACTCAAGGTTCTGTCCCTGAAAGGATTCTGGTCTATATATCCCAGCAAATAACGCTCTGCCCGGGTAGTAGCCCAACGATCTGTCGGCGGCCTAGCAAAGATTGCTTCTTTCTCCTCATCTGACAACACTTCGCACTCGGCACCCGATGGATTGTTGAACGACGAGTAATTCGTGAACTTCCTCCGTAAGATATCAAGGCCCTCAGCCCAGGAACCGCTTAGTAGATGCATACCATCAATTCTCACGATTTTCGGCCTATCTAGTTGGTTGATGAGTCGCTCCAGCTCTGCTAGATGGATAGGAACTGCGTCCAAGGAAAGAAAACGTAAGTTCTGCCACGTCCGTAGAGTAATAGTATAACCTAGGCTAAACAAAGGTGGGCTCTCGCTGTCCCAGAGAGAGTTAAAGCTGAGTCTCACGTCTTCCATACTCTCTGTGTCTAGGAGCGCGGTTAAGAATCTACCTAGATCCTCCACTTCGGCTGGCTCCCGAGCAGGCCAGAAACTTGGCCCCTTTAAACATCGGGTGCGGAAGTTGAAGGTCTTTAGCTTTTGCACTGCGGCCGTGAGATCATGGCAATCCTCTTCGCTTGGTGCCGGAACAGCGTAATCCTCTGGAGGCGATACCTCGATGTCGAGACCAGTAAGCAAGGCCCCGGCTTTGTGAATAGCCCCTGGTAATTTGACAAGCACTTCCGCGGGTGGCTGTCCTAATCCGTGTAGTCTCGCTTCCTCCCACGTAATCGGTAATAGCATGTCTTGGACAAGGACTTCATTGTCGTCTGCTTGGGCAAAGTAACCTGCTCTTCGCATCGTACTATTAAAATCTTCATCACGCAGTTCTAGTCTTTTTGCGGTAGGCATTCTAGCAATTGCGGCAGCAACGGCTCGAATGAAGGACCCGTCCTCCCTCAGTCTCTCCTGGTCTGCGAAGCGCCGTCGGTACTCCTCGTGAGCTCTTCGTAGCAGCATTCGATATCTCAAATCATTCTCGCAGGCAGGGTCGTCGGGCGTGCCTCTAACGAAACCTTCCCATGACTCCAGGATTGGCCTTACTTTCTTAGCTGCCTCCAGAATCATCTCCTTAGAAGAGTTCAGTAACGTCGAAGGTGCACTTCTCTCTATCAATTCAGTTTCCTCGCGCAACTGTCCCGCATTGTGATCAGCGAAAGTCCAGATATCATTGGCCAACCCGGAGTCATAAAAATGTAGGAGGACTCGAACACCTCGCACGCCTTTCCTGATGATCGGGTGGCGAGATATCTCCTCAAGGCGCAAAAGAGATGATGAGTTCAATTCAACACGGACCAGGCGAATAAGGAGGTGAGAGCTGAGGTTACAGAATCGCCGACACGTTAGCCGAAGGTTCTTGACCTCGCATTGACCCATGGGACTGCTGTCCAGGAGACGGTCAGGGGGCTCCCGGCCTTTCACATAGCCGAATATATCGATAAGTATCTCGTCAGGCATATCCAGGATAGTTAGTGGCCTGAGTTTTGGTCGAGAGAGTATGTTGGCAGTCTTCCGTAGTGAGAGTGAGAAGTCTCCCAGATGACACTTCAAAGAAGACAACATCTCAAGCTGCTCTTCTAGGTCGTCCTGGGAAGGCCAAGAGTCGTAGCCTTCGTGGCCTGGTCTCTTGAGCTCTTTAACAAGCCTCGACTGCCGCCACGAGGTTGTACGAATCATCTCTGCCACACGTTGGTCCATCGAGTCCACCTCCTTCAATTGCTGGTAGAGGCCATCAAGACTAAAGCCGTCGACGACCGATCCTCCGTTTGACTCCATCGCTGGGGTAGGTGAGCAGAGGTGATTAGAGATGAGATAGTTGTGAGAGGCAGGTGAGGATAGGTGCTAAGGTGAGGCTGAGGTGAAGTGAGCAAAGAGGCGACGGGTCACGTGCGCTATGTCTTACCTTAGCGCGTACCTACCTTACCTTACGCAAAGGAGGTGACAGGTGAGGATTATCTTTTTAACTTTCTTTGCTGTGAAAATATTCCTCGTAATGGATATGAACTCTGTGCAAGCGCATGGAAGGGAAATCCGTGTGGCCAGAATATGGTAGGGTAGACAAGGCGCTACTGCTACTGGTTGCTCTAGATCTGTCAGGTAATCAATTCCCGATCATTTATATGTGTGAATGTCTATAGAATGCAGGGTGATATAGCTATAGATTATAAACTATATACATGAAGCAAGGATCTACTTAATACGATTTCAAAGACGCTGTTGCTTGTTATAAGTTATAACTTATTCCCACAAGTTGTCCTCGTCTAGCTTGGACTCAACCTCCTACAGAGCGCAAGATCCGGTCTATTAGAAGCATCCTTACTCCAGAAGAGCTTTTTACAACAGCTTTCCAAACCTCTCAGAAGCCAGGCCTCTCCACTACTCCGCTTCTTTGATTAATCCTACCATACGACAGTCTACTGTCCCGCCTGTCCCGCCTACCCATCAGTACAAACCTGTTTCTAATCCACTACTCACTCCCAGCACGTCCGCTCCCTGTTTGTCCCTATTCACTAATCTTCGATTCTCATTGTCATTCATTTACTTATTGTAATTTAATATTATCGTTGTGATTTCCATGACTTATATTCAATCAAGCTGTTATTATGTGAGGGGACGCTTCACACGGCTCCGCCCGAATACTAAAGGTGGGGTCGATCTGTGGGTTTGTTGGTGGTGATGAAATCTTCTGGGTTCGATACCGGGCTCGATTTGATTTGGAGATCTCGTGGTGTGAAGGTATTGCTACCATGTGAGGGGACGCTTCACACGGTTTACATACACCTGGAATGGTTATATATAGGCATGTGTTGAATTGGACGTCTAAAGAGAGAAGAGCTAGCTAGGTGGTGGGGGAAATTGAGGTGGTTACAAGGTGCCGGTCGCTTATGCGGGTCACCTGACATATTATTTACCTTGAGACAACCTTCATTATTGCTTCAAGTGTATGTACGCAGGAGTTCAAAAAGTGATGTATTCTAACGGTCCTTGTTTATGTGGTGTAAGTCTGTAATTGATGAATCTATTCAGACGTTGCTATATTTCATCGATGAAAATCAGAAGGAGGAGAAGACGAAGGAGAAAGGATGAAGAGATAGAGACAGCTGTTCCTGGGTGAAATGCACTGCAGGGGTGGTGGATGAAGTTTATCTTAGAAACGGGGAAGAGAGGACGGAGCTAGGAAAAGATTGTGTAATTTTTGTGGTTCAAGAGTTGTAAAAGGGATAGGTTAAGTAAAAAGAATTCTTTGGTTATAGATTATAGATCTATTCTATACATCTGAGACGTAAGTAACCACCACTAGAGCAGGACGTAGGACAATTGTCTAGATGGCCTTACCCATATATACCTTCTAGTTTCACTAGAACAGATTCCACACTTAACAACACATCACATTATTCAGACCTCTTCTCCGGCTTCGGAAGTAACCACCAGCAAGCGCCCATCCACACAAAAAGCACAATACATATGGGATGCAAGATAAAAGTCCCAACATGCTGCGCCAGCATGCCCGTCATGAACGGCGCCACCGCGCCTCCTGAACTCCCAACGGACCCGATCAGTGACAGCGATAGGATGTGCATCTTCCACGGGATCAGACGCGCAAAGATATGGACGGCACATGTGTACACGGGACCGAGCAAGAGGCCTGAGAACGCAACGGCCACCGAATCACCTATAACCGAGGGCACGAATCAGATGACTAGTTCGAGGATGAGTGCCTGGGAGGGAGGGGATTAGACTTTCTGTTGAAGAGATTTGGGGTATGGAAGATACTAACACCAGCGGTGACGATAAAGACGAATAAACGCTCGCCAATCCGATGGGCTAAGAACGAGAGCGTGAAACGACCTAGAGCATGTGAGTACAGGCCCACCATTCACCAAGTTCAAGTCTGGGAATCTCACCAAGAGTAATACCCGCCCAGAACCCAGACGTGACAAACCCGACTTTGCTCGGGTCTCCATGGCGGAACTGGACCAGGAAGGAGATAACCCATCCCGAGATTGAGACCTCCGCTCCTTGATATGCGAAGATGAAGCAGGCACCCAGAAGCGTAGGCTTATTAGAGATCAGCGTCCTGAAAGATTGCAACTTCCGCTTCTTCCCAGCACCAGTCCCTTCTAGATTCTGAGGATGGCTAGGGCTCTGCTCGTTTCCTTGTGTGACGGAATCGGTCTCGAGTTCGATGTTCCAGAAAGCCCAGGCGGAAAAGACGAGATTGAAAGCAGCGAGGCCCACCTCAATAAAATAGTATCTTGACCATAGGTAGCCTCTGGATACTAGCGCTGTGGCGATCAGAGGCCCCGCGATGCCCCCAATTCCATAGCATCCCTGAAATGGTCCCAGTATTGGGGTGTTGTTCACTTGATTGGAGCAGAAGACCTGGCAGATTGCGAGGTTGGTCGCCATACCAAGACCAAGAACGAAGAATCTAAGTCCAGACTTAGTGACACTGTGGGGGATGCGTGAGTCAAGACTTACGAAGCGGCGACGACTGGAAATGGGGGCGTCAGAACTATCGTGATATATCCAACCAAGAGCAAAGCTTCAGCTATCATCAAGGTCTTCGCACGCCCCAGTCTCACCGAAAGCGCATTTATGAAGAAGGCTGCAGTTATGAAACCCAGTGCATTGCATACGAAAATAATCGCTACTGTGCCATAGGCTATATGGTAATGCCCGCACAATTATCAGCCATAAGACGCGTACCAAGTAACCACAGGTGTAGACCTACTTCTCAATACTCGCTATCAATGCCCCAGGGGCAGAGTCATTCGTTCCATTCCCAAATGCGGCCATGCAAGAAGCCAAAACTCGGAAGCGATTCCTATATGGATTGGGTATCTTTCCTGAGCTAGGTCCTGAAAGAGGAAAGTTGATATCCTGGCTATTCGGTGGCTTTTGTGCTTCTACTTCACTTGTTAAAGGGCTTGGCGTAACTAAGTCACTTGACAGAGGGCACATCTCAATATCAACTGAAGAGTCGGGTGCGCTAGTGTCTTTTCTGATTGCCCTAGGTACATCTTGCACTGGAACCGTGTTTTCACAATACCCGATCGCCAACTCGACGGTCGTAGCTGAAGAAGTCATGATGCGTGCGAAGGGAAGAGATATGGAATTGAAGACATAGAGGAAATGCTGACATCCAACTTGGATCTGAAGCTGAATAATGCCCGTCATTTACCGCTCCCTTGCCTCCATGTGGTTGGATCCCTGCCTGTCGGCTATTGCAACGCTGTGAAGACCTCACCGGCGGAGAGTGAGAGACGCAATGTGCGGGGAAGCGGTCGACGGCTCTGCATTATTGGAGGATTGATTACCTTAGCCACAGACCAATGTTCAATAACGTCTTTTAGTTCTTACATTTCTTCCCCATAGAGCAGATAATGGGACATTAATGGTAAGGTAGAAAGTAGTAAATTGAGGAAATCACAAGCAAAATATTTCCAAGAGTCTTGCTGAGTCAGCGCAATAATCGCTTCGCAGCCGAACGAGCCCCTTTTCAAGAAGCCGTACTAGATTCGGTAGGACAGAAAGGGAAAATCTCAGATTTCTCATAACAGGAAGCCAAAAAAAAATTGGTAAAAGTGTAAGAAGAAACACAAAAATGTAAAATATAAAATAGTGCGAGGGAGGGGAAAAAAAATAAAAAAAGGAAAGGGGCCTAATCCGGGATCGAACCGGAGACCTCTTACAATCGAGATGCGATGTCCCAAAGCAAGAATTCTACCACTGAACTATCAGGCCACTGCTTGGTAACATATACTTCTATTACCAAATAAAACCACACTAACCAAGTGGTATTAGCTCAGCAACCCCTTTAACGTCAATCCAGATTATCAACCTTCTGCAAGTAAGTCATAATATCAATATTGAGCACGTATAAAGGCTCACGGCCACTTCTCGCAAACAGAAATTCAAAATGGACACGCAGTTGGCAGTTTATTAGAGAATAAATTTAGATTCATCATAAGTCATCAGTCGGTCACATGCCAACAGGCGGTACTATCTACATTCCATCGTCGTTACATGCCAATCCAACAGCATCAGAAGCGCGCATTCCGGCGCAAACATAAACAAAGCAGACGCTCGCTCGCTGATTCCGTGCCTACAAAACTAATTATCTTTAACTTGTAGCTACTCAAATTGGTATCATTCTCATCATCAATTATTTGCTTCTGCGGAAACGTCAAAATTGCGTGGCTGCACTAGGGGGAGGACCAAGTTGCCGCTGCCCTCTGTTGCAATCGGCGGATTTTCGATTTGCTGGTCTTGTTGAGGGATGTTGTCGATAGGGGTGAGCTGGGTTGAATAGAGGGGTTCTTTCGACGCGAAATCTTGAGCAGGCGGGTTTGCGACTTGCCGCTGTTGATTGGGGATACTGTCGACAGGGACAGGTCGAGTTGAGCGGAGGAGTTCATTCGAAGCGGAATCTTGAGTGGGCGCGTTCGGAATAGGAGGATTTGATTTGACTGTGCTTTGGACAACGGGGGCTCCTTTCTCTGCCACCCGAATGACTTTCGGAATCATTGGCATCTCCATCGCGGGATCATTCAAGACCTCAGGGATTACTGGCCTCTCTGCGGCGCCATTCCTCACCGTTTCGGGAACATTGAGGGTCATCGCCGAATCTTTCAAAACCTCGGGGATTACTGGCGCGTAATTCCTCGCCGTTTCGTGAACATTGACGGGGTTAGGGGAGAAGTTGTCGGCAGGAGGCGGGACCTTCACCGGCTCATTTGCACCCGGATTGACCTGCTGCAAGCCGGATTCTCTTGCCATCGACTCCATATAGATTCTGGGACTCGGACCAGGCCTCAGGGCAAGCAATACCACCAGCATGCTCAGAACCAAGATCGCGACATTCTTGCTATCCCTCATGGCGACCTTGATTGCCGCAAACAGCAGTTCCGGCAAGGAGTCTCCATGTTCGACCCGCTTTGGAGATGACCTCGCGGATCTCGGCCTTGAATCAGCTGGTGGATGGGCATCACCATAGATATCTCTCGAGCTCTCTTCTTCCATTATGGCTCGCCTCATGGTCCCTTCCTCTTGCGCCCTCCTGCTCTCTTCCTCCATCATCTGGCGCCTCATAGCCTCTTCCTCTTGAGCCCTCCTATTCTCTTCTTCCATCATCGCTCGTCTCATGGCTTCTTCCTCTTCCTCTTGTGCTCTTCTCCGCTCTTCCTCTTCCTGCTTAATCGCGGCTTCGTCGATATTTTTCTCAGGCACATGTTCCGAGACATACTCTTCCTCATCAACAAATCCATCATCCCCAGGTACATGCACGAGCTGTTGCGCATGAGCTGTCATAGCAGCCAGATTCTCCAATTCCATGGCTAAGGAGGGTTCGACAAACGGTTCAAGCTCGACATCGACTCTCTCCATCTCTCTCCACGCCGCGGCCCAAGCACCGGCTCGCATCAACCCATTTGAGGCATAAATCTTGACCCGGAATCTTCTTTCACCACTTAAATCCATGCCGCTGTTGTCAATCTTGACATCCCGCCCACAGATGTCGCACCATCTCCTCCCTTCACTCCCAGGATACTCATCCCGCCCCTCTTCATCAGAAGAGGGCATTTCCGGGCCCATGTAATGTCCGCATTTCAAGATCCTCACGCTGGGACGCACAGGGAGCTCAAGCGCTTCCAGCAGACGCTCCTCAAGAACCTCGTAGGAGTCCTGCGGGTGTGGCAGAAGGATCCCGCGCTCCAGGACGGTGTCGCCAAGTTTCTCGTGGAGGAGCCTCCAGTTCTCTTTTACGCCTTGCAGCGAGGGCGGGAGGTCGAGGGAGGAGATGACGTGTGCGTAGGTCCAGGTGAGAGGGAGAACGGTGACGTGTAGGAGAACGAGTGGGTATTCTTTCTTGACTTTGAAACGGGTGGGTGTTTTCTTAGACGGCGAGTACGAGGGGTGCGAAGAGGGAGTCCCTATTCGAGATACAGTCGGAAGGTGCCGTTTCGCAGAGCGCGGCGACGAGAAGATCGAGGCTGTAGGGGAGGACATTTGCATTGCTCGCACTGAACTTGGTGTTCGAAATGGCGGTCGAGAGAGGACTTTGCTTGGAGTTCGTTGCATCGAATCCCTCGGTGAATAGGATGTCTCACTTGGGATCCTCGAAATCGGTTCTGCATCCTCTTCTCCAACAGCCGGAGAAGTAAGTTCCTTGCTCTGATGCGCCTCATCACTTGTATCGTGGCAAGAATTCAAGCTGCTCCGATTGCTGTTTTGAGAATGACTGAACACATCATCATCGATATCGCCATCATGCTGCGAGCTTGAATCGCCCTCTCCCTCACGCTCTTCCTCCCCCTCACGATCTTCCTCTCCCTCACGGTCCTCCTCGCCCTCCCTTTCCCCTTCACCATCCTGGTCATGCTGCTCCTCTTCAGTTTCGTAATCCCCTTCCGTTCCCTCATATGTTAAGACCGAGCCATCCTGATAGTAGCTATCGTCCGTTTGCGCACTCAACACCGAGTCTTCATGACCAAGATAGTTATCTTCTTCGATGCTTGCTACCACTGCACGAGCAGCGGCTTGAATCTGGGCATTTAAGCGGTCGAGTTGTCGCTCGCGGGCTCTTTGCTCCTTATCGTCGGGAAGCTCGTCCTTTGCATCGTCAGGAAGCTCGTCCTCCGCATCGTCAGGAAGCTCGTCCTTTGCATCGTCAGAAAGCTCGTCCTTTGCATCGTCAGGAAGCTCGTCCTCTACATCGTCCTTTGTATGGTCAGGAAGCTCGTCCTTTGCATCGTCAGGACACTCGTCCTCCGCATCGTCCTTTGCACGGTCCATTACGTCGTCCTTTGTATCGTCCATTGTATCGTCCTTCGTATCATCTATTACGTCGTCCTTTGTATCCTCCTTTGAATTATCATTTGCGTCATCATTCGCACCATCCATCGCATCGTCGCTGACCGGCTTCTCCTCGTCGTTCCCCGTCACATCTCCCTCATTGTCCTCCTGTTCAGAGGAAGCGTGATGCGCGATCGTCTCGTCAGAATCCGTACGCTCAGCAGGCATCTCCAGGTCCGTATCGTCCGTCAAGCAGGAGGGATCAACGTGGATTTTAAAAGGGGGTGGAGAGGTGGACTTCGGCATCGTTCGTTGTTGGCCTTCGGCTACAGACGCAAGGTAAACAAAGGACGGGCTGACGCAGATAGCGGATGGTTCATGCAGCAACCAGTCACGATCGCGGGGAACGGGATTCAAGTATTAGCTTTTCGGGGAAATAATTCGTGCGACCGTCGTATGTGAGAGACTGTTATTATCTAGAGCATCTGTCAGATCGTGACGCATGTGAAATTCGACTTGGATTATTTCCTGTTTCCTGAGTCTTGATCGGCCAGTTCTTTGGGTTCTTGATAGTTGTCGCTACGGCAACCCACTGATAGCTGTCTTGATTAGTGCCAGCGAGGTACATGATAAGGCCCCTGTGTCAAAACACTCAGCTCTTGTGAACTTTTGTTTATTTAGGTATAGTTGTTAAAAAGTTGAGTCTATTTTATTATCAAATAGAAACAACTAATTGGCAATAAACAGTGTGTCTGATCTCTTTGATTCACAAAGCGAGTCTTACAGATCGATGTTTACGGGGTAATACTCCTGTTTCAAAGGCATTGTAGCTCATTCGATAATTGTAAGACAGTCAGTCGTCCAGACCATAGTTGAATTTGAATCAGTTTGGTTTCCTAGCGTTAGGGGGATTTATCTCCCATATATTTCTGGGACTTGTAGGTCTGCCAATTTGAGCAGACTGACTTGCGTGCTGCAGACAGCTCGAGCGAGAGTAGGGCTGAGTAGAACCCAGGCTAATAGTGGCCAACCAGTGCATTAGCTATGGAGTTATTTCTCTGTTCAACATCATATCAAACGTTGCTACTCTAGAGGAATCACCTTCCCAGCGCGTTGAAAATCTTCCCTGCTGTTTCTTCTTTTGAACATACTCTAACGATGTGTTCTGTATATTATCCCAATCAAACAGAGCTGCTGTTCCTATTACCCTGGCCTCATGCAGTCGAAGCAAAGCATGGTGAACCCACGTGATACAATTAAAGTCTGGATCACCTTGTATAACTTCGACCTCTGCAAACAAGCGCTCAGCTAGGTCTGCTTGAGTTATTTCTCCAAGTAGTATCCTAACAAGAATTCGACTATCGTGGTTAGGATTGACTTTTACAGCCTCGTAAACCCATGGTATCGTAATGGTGTCTCCTGTTGACTGGAGGATGTTCTTGCAGTGGTGCTTAGTCGTCTGGCAAATTTCTGGGTCAATTGTCTCTTCTTCCGGAGATATATGAAGAGCATAGTGGTACGTTTGAGGATCTTTGAGGCGGGCGTAGAGAGCAAGATACAGTCGTAGCTTGCCAGACGAAGTTGCTTTCTAGTAGAGGGCTCAATCAGCGATAACCAGATTGAGAAAGTCATAAATACTTACAGCCCTATTCCTCCGCCCTACAGACTTATGGGCCCATATGCTCTGGAAATACCCGAAGAACTTGACGGGTTGTACTAGGGAGGGGGATTTTGGAGCCGGGAATTTTGAAGTGGGGTTGGCGGCCATCATTGAATCGTGTTCTAGATTGCATCGTCGTCCGGCATCAACAACTTATACATCTGAAAATATTGCATAGTATTGGCAAAGTCGAATTATTCAAGCTAGTTGTCTCATGGAGTTTGCGCTGGAAAACATATGTTATATTGTTGAATGATGTCAGGTAGGCAGTTAGGACATTTGATGACATAATCAACTAGTGAACCCCCTTCCCCCCCTTTTTGGGATTATTTTATTCGTTTCCAACTTTTCCTCGCTGCCCAGAAGCTAAGGTAAAACAAAGAGAGCGCCGATGAAATTTAGCTTGTATGAGCAAAGTGAGCCATTGGATTCGGGTTCCTATGACTTGAGCGACCCAGAATATCAGGGGTGATAAATAGGGGTATCCATCAAAGAACCCATTGCCTTGTTTCCTGTCCCCCCCTGAACCATCTATCTACCCTACGGTAACCTACTCCAACCAATCAAGTCTTGTAGATATTGGTGTCACTGTCAAAGTCAATTACTTATCAGATAAAGTGCAGGAAAGGGGCAAACTCACAACTTCCCAAACTGCTCTCGACCCTCTGCATGCTTGTTCACCCAAACACTGAGGCTAACCCCGGGGCATGTAAAAGTCCCATAGCCATCCTGGTCAATTGTCACCTCCCTCTTATTCCACCCGAGGATATCCGTCCATATCTCTCCTGCATGCATCTCGCCTACGTGCATTCTCTTCTCGCCTGGGCCCGCGTTCGAGAGCACAACAGCGCATCCGAATGGCCGATCCCAGGTACCGTACCGCACCCAGCCGATGCAGGTCGCAAAGTCAAAGTAGTCTTGCTGAAGGCCGTATGCATAGAGCTTGCGTGCGAGCACGAGGCTGGGAAGGGCGCCACCGCAGGAGGGCGGGAAGGGGTGTTCCCCCTTGATGCCATAGAGATCGCCGTAAAAGATGCAGGGGTACCCGTCGAAACGGAGCAGGATGAGAGCGTAGGCTAGGGGCTTGAAGAAGGGCTCGATGGGTGCTTCGAGTTCTTGGTAGGGCTGCGTATCATGGTTCATCACCAGCGTCTGGGTTCTCTTCATCAGTATTGTCCGATGAGAGTTGGAAGGGGTTTGCATGCCACTGCATTGATTGGTTCAGTCTTAACCAGCGTGTCATCAAATACCGTCCTCAAATCTGCACCCTCTGTCTTGCTCAGCTTGCTGAAGTTGTACACAAGTGGTGCATCAAACAAGCTGAACTTCTTTCCCATCCGCTCCAAATACCGCGACATATCACTCAACTCATCCTTCCAGAACTCGCCAACGAAGAACCAGCCTTCGCCCTGCGTCTCATCCAAACGTGTGATAAACTTTCGAAGGAAGTCTTCGCTGTAATGCTTCACGGCGTCAAATCTCATTCCCTTTATCGTGAGCTGCTTGCTGAGCCAAACGCCCCAGTTTAACACATCCTCCTCCACTTCTGGATGCGAATAATCCAGGTCCGCAAACATCAGGTAGTCATAATTTCCTTTCTCGTCATCTACATCTTCCGAGTCGGCCCATCCCTTCTCATGATCACCCAGAATCTTGTAGATGGCAGTCTTTTTGTTATCCGCATTATAGTCGGTGCCCGAGAAATGATACCAGTGGTATTTCTGCGCAGAGTATTTATTGCCGCGCCCCGGGAAGTTAAAACCGACCCAGGCATTGATTTCATAGGGATCGGAGGTGGTTATAGTCCTGTCATCAGGGTCGACTTCTTGCGCGAGGCATTTTTGTTTATGATCTGCTGCTGCTTTGTGGTTCAATACTGTCCCAGCATTTATATTAGCACTGTTCCTGTGAAGTTGAAGAGAACTCTAGACTAAAGAAGGGGGACAAACCAGCATCCCAATAGATCCCCATGCCAACTTCATTCGCCTTGTTTACCATCTTCACTAACTCCTCCTTGGTCCCCCATTTTGTACCCTTACCACCCTTCTGATCGAATTCTCCCAGATCATACAAATCATAAACATCATACCCATTTCCTGAAGGAGAGGAGGCCTTGCATCCTGGCGGGATCCACATGTTGTCAATGCCAGTGGCTTTCAATTGCGGTATTTGGTTATAGAGACGTTGCCAGTGTTTTTGGTCGTCGGGAACATACCACTCGAAGCCCTGCATCATCGTCATGTTCTCTGGAGTGGGTTTCTGTTCTGACGAAGATCAGCATGAATTTGGCATCATGCTGGAAGATGGGAGGGTCTACCATCCGCCATGTCATCGGTGCTGCCTTTGCAACTATCCAACAATTGTTGATTCCTTGAATTGTTTACTGAATTCCTGCAGTAAATCGAGGATGGGAAGAGCTCCAGAACTGGGAATGAAAAAAACGATCGGAGACAACAAAGAATACAGAGAGAAAAGGAGAAGAGTAGAGAGGAAGCAAACAAATTAGGGAACAAGAGATTGAATAGAAGGAAGCTAATAAAAACTTCACGAAATCAAGGAAATAGCTTCAAAAGTGCCGCTTCCAACTTCCAAGATAAAGCCCCAAGAACCCGCGATAAGGATGGTCCAGATCCCTTTGACGTCATCCCGCTCTCTCCTGACTCGGGTCCCAGAAACAGCAAGTTTATGTACTCTTTTATCTCCTGTCGTCTACTTTTATTTTTTTTGATTTTTTTTTATCTATCTATTCTGAACTTTTCTTTGAATCCATCCTCCTTTTCCTTCGCTAACCCGAATCCTACATGAGAAAGGGGTTCTGGACATCGGCTAGAACTTGCTGCCGACGTTCGAATGACCCGTCTCCCGCCAACCCCGAAGCCCCAATCTTCTCTCCAGACGAGCACTGCGTACCCTGTTTTCAATTGATCAAAAGCATTCTCAAGTGTTGATGCATGAGATACAGAGGTATCTATTTATTGTATGATTCTATCCGACGATGATGGTGCAACTTCATATGGTTTGAAAATTTGTGCATCACAAACCACGTCTTGATGCGTGTAGTCTCCCTGGAATATCATTCTGGCCTCTCCCTACCTATATAACACATCTTTCCAAAATATCTGGAAACTCAACAAAACAGTACCGACTTTAATGGAGTGGGATGGATGCTCAGCATCTCAGCATCCCCTTTTCAAAGGATTTCACAGGGCCACAGCAAATTGCCATCCAGAATCCTAGTCCGGGACCGTCCAGCAGCATGAGGGGGGCTATATGTCGGAAGATGCGGGGTTGAAGTAAAGTTACTTGCTTTTCTCTCTGAACCAGATTTCTAGCATTTCTAGCCTGAGTTTCCTCTTCCCCACCTTTGCCTCTGCCGACGATCCCGCCTCGTTACCGAACCTTAACTGATCGACGACTATTCATCCGCTATCCAGTATGGATCTGTTTTGACAATGGGGACGATTGGAGGGAAACTTTGGAGAACTGAAGCCGCAGTAAGGCCGAGGAATATCTCTCTCCGTACAAGCTCCGGCTTGGTAGGCCCAGAATTGAAATGTTCCGTCTGAAACCGGAGACATGTGCCTGCAGAGCTACCAGGTTGGGGATCACTACTCCACAATCCTCCCCTCATTCTGCTCATTTCTGTCCGAGGGCCGGATGATGGAAGTTATGCTTGTACCATGCTACTAGGTGGGGATCTCGTGTTCGCCATTCACAGCTCTTGATGGGAGACGATTATGGCCATTGGTACGGTATGTCACAAATGCTCACATGGAGCTTATAAGCTCCATGCTTGCATATGGCCTTCTTGACAAGTACACAGAGGGCCTAATCTCAAGTAGAAAATTCTTCGAGTCTTGGACTTCTGTTTGATAGGTACTTGTTTTTCACAGAGCTGCAACTTATTACTGGATTACTTCAAGGCAATCAGTCATCCAGAAACAAAGTTCTTTTCAATTTGTTTTATTTACTAAAAGAGCTCTAGTAAGCCGTTGTGCTTTGGAATTTAGCCGGGAGGTAGGGTTGTCCTCACGTCGGTGTCCCCATCTTTTTATATATGTTAAGTTCTCCTCTTTTTTCTCCATATTTGTCACCTTCCCAGCTTTGCTCTCTGGATCAACTCATTATGCTCTTTACTACTATGCCTTTTTCTTCAATAATTGCGACCGCTTTCTTATATAGTCAACTGGCCCTAGCCGTTACTATTCCTCAGTGCAGTGCACCGACCGCAAACACGTTAAATGGAACATACTACGGTGTCCATAATTCCTTTTACAATGAAGACTTCTTTCTCGGCATACCCTATGCTCAACCACCCATAAACAATCTCAGATATAGACCTGCTCAGCCGCTGAATTCATCTTGGTCGAGTCCCAAGAATGCTACTCAGTATGGCTACGAATGCGTTGGCTATGGTGTAAGTTTTTCCCATTCCGATGAAAGATCTGAATCCTGATTTGCTGATTCCGATTAATCAAATAGCTTGATACCGAGAGTCAAGGGAATTACGTGTCGGAGGATTGCCTGACGCTGAATATTATTCGCCCTTCTGGATATGAGGGGAAACAACTACCTGTTGGGGTTGTAAGTACATTCCTAGAATGATTCTTTTTCTCTACAGAAGAAGTTATAAATAAGCTACACTGTTCTCTTCTACTCCTAAAACCATAATTCTTTGAGAGAAAAGCCTGTGAATCAAATTCCATTTCGTCACTTAAAAATAATGCTGACTACGAGGTCTTCCAGTGGATCCATGGGTTCGTCTTCTCATGGTCCTTTTTTTTTTTTTTTTTTTAAATTATGTTTGAAGAACTATAGGACTGACCAATGCTAAACTTTTAGCGGAGGATATGTTGAGGGCGGAAGTGCTGATCACAGGTATAACTTGAGTTTCATCGTTCAGAACTCCGCTGATGCCGGCATTCCAATAATTGGGGTGGGCATAAATTATCGTCTGGCAGGTAGGTCAAGAATTCTAAGTACCCAGACGATTGACTAACTTCTTCAAGGCTGGGGTTTCCTCTTCTCGAAGGAGCTCCAAACCGAGGGTGCTGGGAATCTGGGTCTTCGTGATCAACGGTAGGTCACCTTTCGCTCAGTGGATTGGAGAAATACCTTCAATTCTCCGTAATCAACTAATATTGGGTAGTTTGGCCTTGCAATGGATCCAAGAGAACATTGCAAGGTTCGGTGGTGACCCAGCGAAAGTGACTATTTGGGGCGAGAGCGCGGGTGCAGGCTCAGTTGGAGCACAACTCGTAGCTTACGGTGGCCGTGATGATAAACTTTTCCGTGCTGCCATTGCAGAGAGCGGAGCACCTACTTTGTAAGGACTGTCCTAATTTTCCATGATGGAATTTTGCTGATATTAGCTATGAATAGCTTCGACAGAGGTATGCCTCGGAACGATCGACTGACAATAACTTCCGTATCCAGACTGATCGTTTATAGCTCAATCTCTCAATCAATCTCAAGCAGTGTACGACAATGTGACTAGAGCAAGCAATTGCAGTAGGGCAAAAGACACTCTGCAATGTCTTCGTAACGTCCCCTTCGCAGTTCTCAACAATGTTTTGAATTCTTCCGTAGTTCCTAGTTCAGTAAGTCTCTTAACTTCTCAGCCTTTGCGTAATTATTTGTAACACCTCATTAGGCAACATTCCCCGTCATCGATGGGGACTTCTTGAAAGAATCTCCAACACTCCAACTCAAAGCGGGCAAGTTTGTCAAAGTTCCGTTCCTTATTGGCGCCAACCACGATGAAGGAACTTCCTTCGGACCTCGTGGCATCAATACAACAGCTCAATTTCGTTCATGGCTACAAGGCTACACGACCGACAATAGCAGCATCGACATACTTGCTGCTCTGTACCCCGACATCCCTGAAATTGGTATTCCAGGAACCTTCCACGGGAGACCAGGAGGGGATCTAGGATTTCAATACAAACGTACATCAGGTACATCCCTCCCCACCTTACCTCTCCTACTACTCATCTAACTCCAACCCATATTTAGCCCTCGCAGGGGACTACGCCATGCACGCCTCCCGCCGCCTCACCAACCAAGCCTGGGCGGCCCAAAACATAACCTCCTACGCATATCTCTTCAACGTGCTCGTCAACGGCATGCCCAACACATCCGGCTCCACCCATTTCCAAGAAGTGGCCTTCATGCTCGACAACACGAACGGCCTTGGCTATCCACAGAACAATCTACCGAATCCGTTCGGTGGCAAGCCGCAAAGTTACCTAGAGCTCGCGAGGCTTATGACTAGAATGTGGGCGAGCTTTATCTATAGTGGGGATCCAAATAATTCAGGTGGTGAGTTTTTTTTTTCTTGAACCTCCTATTATTATTTATCCAAGCGGCACAGAAAAGAAGCACAGACAAAGCAATATCTTTAAACGTGAGAAGCTTGCTAACCTAGAAAAAATGAGTAGTTCCCGCCGCGACCTGGCCCATCTATACGCTAAACGACCCGCAGATGTTTGTCTTTGACGCCAACACTACGAGTTCTGTGGAACCGGATCTGTACCGTGCGGAGGGTATAGCGTGGATGATAAAGAACATGTACACCGTCTTTGGACGTTAGAGAATCAATAAATACATTCTTTCCAATAACCTAACCTACTCGTCGATCTCTTATATACAGTACAGAGGTTTTTGACAAGCCGTATTAGAGTCTTGAATTGAGGTACTTTAAGGCTAGGTGAGTTTGAAGAGTCGATATATAAAAAAAAATATGATTAATAAAAAGGATATTCTTTTTTCTTATTGAATCATTTTTGATTTACCATCAGCTGAAAACACCTTTAGAAAGGCCCCGAAGTCTAACGGAGATTTTATGATAGTCATCCTCATATATATTTTCTGTCTACAGCACACTTGCTGTCACTGAAGGGTGATGAGAGCATTGAGTTAGGAAAGATTTAAATTAGTGAAAACTCTCTATCCTTTAGATTATTATAAGGAGAAGAAGCGCAAGTACGAACCACATATTTGTTGTGTACATAATACATAACATTAAAGAAAAGCCAACAAAAAGAGAACTTCGTATATATTCCCATCCCAACCTGAGACCCATCACAGAGACATAAACTCCTCGCCTGTAAAATATATTTCCTAACAATACCATCCAATCATTCATTACCTTACATCTCGAACCACCAATAATTAACCGCAATTCTTGTTCATACCCGTTCCTCGACCGCAGTCCTCCCCCGATTCCACAACGCACTTGGACTTATTGGACTAGAAACCGAGCCTGCTATCGAGCCGCTCCTGCTGCTAGTCATACTGTTGTTCCTCGCCGCTCTCATATTACGCTCTTTTAAAACCATTGCCTTTGCATCCTCAAGCTCTCTTTCGATCTCTACCTGCTCCCGTTTTCCGCTCATCACTAGTCTGGACCATTCTGGCAGGCCTACCCCCTCGTGAATGCACACGACATCGGCTGTGCGAGGAGGCGGCTTGGCGCTGGGCCAGCTACCAGGAAGCCCGGCCTGGTTCTCGACCGGATTTGGTAACTTCTCGGCGGTGATACGTGGGAAGAGGGTGAAGATCCGCGGATTTGTCGGAGGGACGATCTCAGCTGTGGTTCCTTCGCTGGTTGGGTCTGATAAAGGAGGGTCGAACTCTTTGGAGCGCCACTCGTCACGGTTTGCGGGGTCGAGGGTAAGGCTGGCGATGAACCTTGACTCGTCGGCTTCGGCAGACGTCCATAAGGAAATCGCAGATTCGGTAAGATTCGAAAGCTCCTCCCGCAGATCCTCCTCCTGGGTAGGCGTTAATAACGGTGATAGAACTGAGAGAACATCGTGGACGACTCTGACAGCACGACCCATTAAAGGAAGTGGTGAAGATCCATTTGATTTCGGATTTGAAAGAGGGTTGGGTATAGATTGAAGAGCATGAGTCGTGAGTGCTTTCCAAAAGCTAGCCACATGTCCAGTACCATTATTCGAGAGACTGTTTCTAGATATCTCTGAAAAGATATCAGAAAGGAGAGTCATAAGAGGCGAGTCTGGCAATGCTCCATCAAAGGAAAAGGGTTGCCAGACGTATTTTTGCAGGGCGGATGAGATGACGCGATGGGCATGGGCAATGCGGAGCAAACGGGACTCTTCGCTATTGGAAATAGGAACGAGACTGAAGCACAGATCGCTATCATTGAGCTTTTTTCGAATAATGCTTGAGTCACTTATTTTCTAGGACCTATAAGCAGTTAAATGACGCTATGGGAAGGAAACCTCGTACCTTGGCACTCAAGTCCACGTCAAAGAATTTGTATGATACGTCTTGAACCTGCTTGAATATCTCCGCAAATTGATCCCGGCTATGATAAAACGAGCAGTCAGTACTGCTTGCATCATCGAATTTGGGGACAAATACTTACTAAAAGTCGTCTGGATGGCTATCTAGTGAAAACTCATTCTCGAGCTTTTGCAACTTCGTAGCAAACTCTTCCTTCTCAGACTTATATTTGCTCTTGGCTGCTTCGATGTCTTCATATCTTTCCTGATCTCTCCTTGCTTGTTCACGAGCTCGCTCAAGCTGGGTTTCTAGATCCGTGATTCTCTGTGTCCTCTCCTGGTTGCTTGCCTCCAGTCTTGTTAGCTCCTCTTCGTGTTGCGTTTCCCACTTCGCTTTGTCTTCTTTCAGGGCTTTCACATCCATCTCGTATTTCGTATTCAGCTCAGCCTTTAGATTCTCTACCTCCTTCGCTTGCTCGTTTGCCAGCTCTGCTGCTCGCACCTTTTGCCTCTTCGTTGCTGTCTCTGCTTCCTTTCGAATCCTTTCCTGCTCTTCTTCAAAAGCCTCCTTCTCTTTATTGAACTTCGTCATTTCTTCCTCGACCTCCGTCTCCTTGGCACTGATTTTTCCTACCAAAGTTTCAATTGTGTTTTCCTGCTTCTTAATCTTCATGTCCTTATGTTTGCTCTGCTTCTCCAAAGCAGCATGCCGTTGCTGGATTTCGGGTATCTTCTTGATTTCTTGGGAGTGTTTTGTAAATGAATCTCCGAGTGACTTAAGTGCCTCCTGGCTTGCGCGCAATTTTGCTATGGTTTCGTCCACGGCTTGAGTAAATGGCCCGAGATGGGGGCTAGAATCGGAGAATGTCGAATTTTGATTCGAATTCATATGCTGCGAACTCCCATCTCCAGGGGCAAGTCGCTCTTGTCCTGAATTATCATTATACCAGTTATCTTCCCCATTATGCTCCCACCGATTGTTCCTGGACCTAGGCATTCTGCTAAGCGTTGGTTGCTAAATATCACAAACCGTTAGATCAAGAAATGCTTAGTCTTATCCTCAGCTATTTGCAGAAGTTTTACCTACAGGTGGTAACCCTGCAGTACTTTTCTCACGGACCTTACTTCTACTGATCCCGATGGACTTCTTCAATCGCTGTTTTAAGGCGTAAAATCTCGACTGAGTTGGCTGCAATGCTGAAAGCTCTGTACTCCTAGATATAGAAGAAATATAATTCGGCATAGAATCTAGAGGCGTCAATGACAAAAGTTGGTTTGATCTTGAGCGATTAAATAAAGGGCAAGCTCAAGAAACGAACACAACACTGATGCGCCTGATTCTACTGACTGAACTAACCAATATCTCGCCAGTATTATTGAGCTTGAGATAGTGTGATGCTGCGCAATTTTTACAATGATTGCTCACAGTATTCAAATTTCAACCTCCTATCTCATCTTTCTTCTTCTTGTCCGTATCGCCGGGCTGTACGTGTCTTCGCATAAGTGGTTATGATAAATGCGACGACGTGTGGCGCTTCGCCTCGGAAGCACCATTGCATTCCAACGTATCTTATGCAATAACAAAATCAAACGAATAATCATTAAAGATAGATAATGATGCCCGAAACCCCCACGTTACAATAACGCAGACGGAATTCCGCATTCAATTGCATGCATTCCACCCAAGATAGGGAAACTCTTACTTGTCGAATCTCCGTGCTATGGGTTCATGCATGATGCACAACGGAGAGCGGATAGAGCCATACCTTGCAAGGCTGGCGCTACACCAACAGCAGGGACACGTGGAACCACATCATATCCTCTGTTGTAGATCTACGCTTGCGGTCTGCATTCAGTGTTGGAGCTGGCTGCAGCTGGATGGTCCAGGACAAGAGTCCCTTTGGCCTGCAGGACTGGTTTGATGGAATGAGAGTCGCTTGATCTGGGTATTGGGTAGATGCAATACTTCGCATCTTCAGGCATCGTTGCAGGTGCTGAAAGACAATAAAACACATGATAGGAACGATAGCGGGCAATTGAACAACTCTCAGAAGCAATCAACACAACTCCCCGACAATTGCTGCGGTATCAGACACAAAATATCGGCACGGCTCGGCAATGGCTCACTCCCCGGCTGAGAGACGGCGGGTCTTCCTCGCCTACCGTACTGTGTTCACCGGCCCGTACGCTCAGATCCGAAAGCCCAAGAGAATCAAGGAGATCGTCCAGCAACACCGACAGTCGTTTGGTAATTTGACCAAGGATTTCGGTCTCGATAAGGTTGTTGATATCATAAAGGTTCTGTTGGATCAAAGCGTTTTTGAGTCTGAACTGAAAGCAAAGATCGCGTTTCCGGAGCTCTTTCAAACCTCAGCAGCCCGCGATATTCAGCGCAACGCCTCGGAAAACGATGCGGCGAGATCCGCAACGGAAGCCCTGGAGGAAATAGTCTCTGTGAATGATGAAGGAGAGCTAGAGGATTATCACCAAGATGATACTATTCTGAGATGCAAGTTACCCCACTTCTTGAAATGGGCACCACTTGGGCTCGTGGACTGATCTGAATAGCATCTTCACCTCCTGTTCAACAGGCCCCATCGTTGTATCCATCGACCTTCCCGTACAGCGTACAGCATCTTGTTCTTACAGCTGCCCAACGCGAACTAGAGGGGTGCTGTTTTGATTTTGCAACCCAATGGCTACCATCATTATTGGAAGAGCGCAAGTGGGACTGTGCAGAGGCGGTAGAATTGACCAAATGGACAAGGCTTTTACCTAAGAGCTGCGAGAAGCTGCCTGCATCGGCAGTGGCCAACGATACTGGGCTGCCTCTGACAGAAATCTTCCTCTCCACGAATGTGCTCCGTCATTCGGCTGTCCACCGGCTCTCAATGAGTGCCCGGGGAATCCATAAGATAATTCAGTCGGCAGCAAGGCTTGCAAATACTCTCAATGACCACCCTCGGGCTGCACAGTTAGAGAGCCTCTACATGGAGATCGGAAGTCGAATCCGAGATATGGAACTGAACAAGAATTTCTTGGAAAATCGGCTTGACGAACAGCTTCGTGTTATTTCCGAACAGCGTGCAGAACTCGATAGGAAGGAGAAGGAGTGTTTGGAGACAATGTTGAAGGAGGACCAGGAAAATAAGAAGATGATTGGATCGTTTCTGGAAGCTGCTATCCAAAGCACCTTCAGGAAACCTGCAGCTGAGCCGTTCGCTTCTCGCAGTGTCAATGGTGACAACGGCGAAAACGGTGACAACGGTGAGAATGGTGAGAATGGTGAGAATGGTGACTCTGCAGATGGCGATGATGACGGTTCCACGGGTGTGCCTATGTAGAGGAGACTCACTTTATGGACTTTGATAGAAGTTGGCCAGCCTATCTTGTTCAAGAGCTTTCAACTAAAAGCGTTAGGAATAAAAATTGACGCTTCCTGCCAGCCCCATGAACATATTGAAAGACGCGAAAATAAGCTGAAGGTGTTCAGTATATTTAACATGTTATAACAAATTCAAGTTCATATAAAAAAGCAACTCACGAAAATTATTGGTTTGAGGTCTACTTAAAGTGGTGCTATTTACCCATTTCGGCTGGACCTTCGCTTCTCCACATTTCAGGGACGACGAATATCCCAGGAAAAGCTTCCACTCCACATCGCACTCCCCACTTGTTACTTAATATATCCTCGTTGTCCCACGCCTCCGCAAACTCCTCAATGTGCTCCGTCCGAGGCAGATGGGTGCTTCTCCGACGCGGCATCCCCAAGACCTCATGTGAGAAGTTCTCCGCGATCGTGTATGTGCGCAGCACACCAGAACTGGATCCATGAGCTCCACGAGCGGGGCTTCAGCTGCCCGACCGCCCGCAAAGCAGATACGCTTTGTCAACAATGAAGGCCAGCCGCCGGCCAAAAGGCGGAGGATAAATGCTGCGTATGTATACGATTTGCTTCATGTAGCTCTGTTCATCGTTTCTTACTTTGCCGCTCCTGCAGCAAGGCCAGGGCCAGGGCCAGGGCCAAATGTGCATGATCGTCGAAAGGCTAGCATTTAGGTACATTTACTGAGAACTCCTGAGAACAGATGTCGAACATGCCGAAAGAGAAAGACGAGATGCGATGGCAAGCGGCCCCTATGCTCGACGTGTACGGATAACGGACATCAATGCCTTGGGTACGCGGAACCAGCTGAGGGCAAGAGGGAACGCAAGGGATCAGATGCGAATGCAGACGGGGAGGATGACCTTGATGAATACGACGAAGAGAAGGCTGCCGAGACCCCCGGCCAGCTGGATAATAATGGATATAAGTCTGGCTCGAAAAGTTCCACGAAACTTCGTCGGACGGAACCACGGTCAGGTTTCGACAATGCGCTCAAGGATGGAAGGGCTGCGGCCAACGAGAAGGCAGCGAGTGGAAACCTGGGCAACTACAAAGATACGGCTGTCTTTTCAGATGAGGAGCCAAGCCCATTAAGTATGTCAGTTCGAGACTGAGCAGTGACTACTAAGCTGACAATATAGACCCATCACCTGCTCCCCTCCACACCGGCAGTCTTCGGGTGCCTTATTTCAGGTACTTCGGTCCAACGGCCATCGTCCCTGGGTTTAAACAGATGGTAGTGTCGGTTCGAGAGCATCGCCGAAGCACCGATGCTGCGTCTTCTGTTGCGAGTAAGTCTCTTGATCTCTCGGTCCTCTTTACATCGAGAAGCTAACAAGAGAAAGTGTCTCCCAAATCTGGTTCTGGTGGATCGGTATTCTGTGGAACTCCTTCACAAGCGGGGACTGAGCCACGTTCGACGGTTGATATGCCAATATATGATCAGAACGACCCATTACCTGTCAACAGGCTAATCATTCATCTTGTGGAGACTTTCTTTACGCACCTAGGATGTAACTATCCTTTTCTGCAACAAGCCGTGTTCACCCAAAGGGTCGAGGAGCGGTCGGTTGAGGCTATTCTGGTAGACGCAGTTTGCGCTCTGGCTGCCCGCTTCTCCGACCATCCACTTCTCACCACTGGTCGTGATCCACATTATTCCAAATCCGAATACGGTCAAGTATTTGCTCAGCGAGCAAGGGCAGCCGTCGTGGATACTTTCCCTTGCCCTACTGTTGCTGCTGTTCAGGCGTGCTTACTGCTTGCATATGAAAGTTTTGGGTCAAATCAAGACAGCGCATTGTGGATGTACCTGGGCTGCGCAATTCGTATGGCAGTGGATCTCGGCCTCCAAAAGCTTGATGGCGTCAAGCATCAAGGTCAAAAAGACCCAGGATATCACGGATCGAGCATGGATAGTGATCCCTCTGATACATTAAGTGCTGTCAGCGCAGAAGAAAAAATGAAAATCGAACAAGAGCGTATTGACACTCTCTGGACAGTGTTCATGCTTGATAGAGTCATCTCATCTGGAACTGGTAGATCTGTTACCCTGAGAGATGAAGACTTTGAACTTGCCTTCCCTGCTATAACGGCTAGTGCAAATGATGGCTGGCCTAAGCCGTTTCCGGCATTGATACAGATTATCCATCTCTACGGGAGAGTTTCAGACTTGCTGAACAATATCAGAGATGTTAAAGATGTTACGCCGAAAAGGATTGAAGGTCTTTCGGGTATGGAGATGGATTTGACACAGTTGTATCAGCGGCTTGATCCAAGGCTGAACTTCAACGCGGCGAATTTTCAGCATTATGTGAAGTCTGGAGAAGGGACAAATTTCATCTTGGTGAGTTTCTATCTTCCGATTCCTATTAATTCTAGCTGCTGACTTATTAAAGGTCCACTTCTGGTTTCACACACTTATTATGCTTCTTCATCAACCGACATTGATGCATTCATTCGAAGGGCAGATCTTGCAGTTGCTTCCCAATAGCCGTGAGCTTAGCATGTCGTCAGCCAAGACGATTGCTGATATTCTGGCTTTCGCCGAGCTGATCGACCCGCGAAGCTTCATTGGCAACCCTTTCACGAGCCAACCTATATATATTGCAGCATGTGCTTTTTTGATGGAATCGGCAGCTCATACGACTTCACATCCTACGTCCCAGGACGGAAGTCCAGCGAAGGACAAGCCAAATGGAAACAGATCGCGGGACCAGAAGCAAAAGCACTCGTTACTTGCCGCAGCTGCAACTCAAAACTACCAATGTTGTTATAAAGCTCTCCAGCAGCTTGAGACATATTGGGGCGGGACTAGATATATCCTGGTAGCGCTCGACCAAAAGGCGAAGGGTGTCTGGGATCCCGAAACATATACCGAACAGGAGTATGAAAGTACTAAAATCAAGCACGATATGATTCCGAACTGGAGACGCAAACTATCGCTAGCAGCAGCACCTTCACCAGGCAGCAGACTCGGAGATCTTGTCCGTTCACCAAGACTGGATGCTCGATCTCCTTCTATTGACCCATTACAGGCCATCGGATGGTCTCTGACGGGAACAACCGACTCGACGAGCTCGAATCTTACCCTTATGTATCAAAATATGAGTGGAGATCAATTTCTGAATCCCCCGCCCCCTCCGCCCGGCGCTGGGAATATGATCTATGACCCTATCAGGCAGAGTCTACCCGAATCTACTCCAGGATCTACCTCGACTTTCAATTATCAGGCGAGGTACCAACCTTTTCCACAGTTTCAGCGTCGGTCTTCCCAATCGATGCCTCCACCTGTATCTAGATATACACCACTGTCGGCTGATCCTGCCACAACATCTGACGCCGAAATGCTTCTGGGCCTCCAAAACTCACCATTTGCCCAGACGCCTAGCTCTCATCACTCATTCGATCCCTTACAGGGTATGGCTTCACCATCCGCATCTCGGCAGGGCCACACGAGTAGCTCTTTCGATTTTCCACACAATGCGAACATGTATCCTGGCGCGTCTAATTCTTATATGGGATTTGGAGGAGTCACCGATATGATGATGCAGAGTCAAGAAATTGATATGTCGGCATTGGGCGATGACATGATTCCCTGGCTTGAATATTTACCCCAGGAATATTTTGAGAGTGGAAATCCTACCGGTATTTCTGCAAGCGGACAAATAGACGACAACGGCAATATGGATGCGGGGACGGATGGTGGCTGAAAAATGGCATTGCGGCAGCTGCACGGCGAACATATCTAAAACCAACGAGCACCCTGATAGGCCGCTTTCAAAGCACATATGATACCAGCACCGGCCCTTCGACGAATATCTCAGTGTACAGACAATTCGAATTGAAAATGGAAATTGGTGTGCGGCGCGCTCCCTTCCGGGGCTATATTCGGGATGGTTCCCGGTTCTTGCAGGGGTAAATACAGGTGGAGTCGAGATGCGGAGAAATGCCTTCGAACCATCTATTTAACCCATACGGAGCTGATACATTGACACCAATTTAACTCAGCAGAAGTGATGTCCAGTGTCGCTGATTTCCTTTTCCAAAAGGTTTGTACATTCTGTTTGCTTGCTCTCTTCGCCAAGCTCCGTTCCAGCTTTCAAGCTCTGAGATGTAACGTCCAGAGATTTCGCCGCTCTGCCGATTTCCCTGCAGATGCAGCAATTCTCGGCCTCTTTTACAGTTTACTATAGTTACGTCGCAGTGCCAACGAATGATGATCATTTTGGCTTGGAGATCGACATTTTTCCGGGTTTAGTACCACAACATCCTTACCTACCCCACATTGTTCATAGTATTCTGGTAGTTATTGAGCCGAGAAGAAAGACCTTCATACCGAGAAATGTGGTTCCGCTGCATGAATTCCCATGATAATCCAGGCCTCCACCTTCTTCATATCAACGTCGGCCACCGGGAATCCAGGAACACCGGGGACTGATTGGCTTACGGAGAATCTACGGATGCACAATGTCCATTGTGATATAACGGCGTCGTTGCAGGTTATACCGCGTGAGGGGAAGGCTGGAGAGATTAGAGGTACTTTTCGCCCCGGCCTGGGAGTCTCAGGAATGGACATATAAAGGGTTGTATATAAGATAGGACCTTGCCCGCTGGGAATTTAACCTATATAGGTAAAAGTCCTTCAGGCTCACCGAGAATCACAATCATAATGCCGATGTACAAAATGTATGCTTCTCTCTGTGTGGCTGCGCTTTTTGGGCTTCCTGCAGTTCATGCTTTGATACGGGAGAATAGCGTCGTACGTATTTTATAATGGCTAATGGGAGGATGCTAACTTGACATAGGGCAAGCTCCCAGCTTTAGGATGGAATTCATGGAACGCCTATGCTTGCGATATAAACGAAACCAAGATAGTGGCAGCAGCCAATGCAATCGTAAGCCTTGGTCTCAAAGACGCCGGCTACGAGTACGTGAACAGCAAGTCCACGTCTTCCACTCACCGTTTCTCCCACTAACAAGATGCAGTCGATGATTGCTGGGCAGTGAAGTCAGGTCGCAGCAACACCACCGGCGAACTCCTTCCCGATCCCGTGAAGTTTCCCTCGGGTATCTCAGGCGTCGCCGACACTGTCCATGGCCTCGGCCTGAAACTGGGTATCTACGGAAGTGCAGGTACAGAAACCTGCGCTGGGTATCCCGCGCAAATCGGCCATGAGATGCTCGACGCCTCGACCTTCGCCAGCTGGGGCATTGATTATTTCAAATACGACAACTGCTATGTACCTGCCAACTGGAGTGATCCCTACATCGCCTGCGTTCCCGACCACTGGCAAACTGATGGGCCATTCCCCAACGGCACCTGTCCAGTAACCAATACCACCGCGCCCGCAGGATATGACTGGGGCAGCAGTCCCACGGCCCACCGATACGCCATCATGCGCGATGCGCTCCTAGCCCAAAACCGCACCATCCTCTACAGCCTCTGCGAATGGGGCGACGCAGCCGTCGACACCTGGGGCAACTCCACGGCCAATTCCTGGCGCATGTCGGGCGACATCGACCCGTCCTGGTCCCGAATCGCCGAGATCCTGAACGAGAACTCCTTCCAGCTCAACTCGGTCAATTTCTGGGGCCACAACGACGCCGACATGCTGGAGGTTGGTAACGGTGACTTGACGCTACAGGAGACGCGCTCGCATTTCGCGTTCTGGGCGGCTATGAAATCGCCATTGATCATTGGTACGGATCTCTCTGTCCTCCCGACGGATCATGTCGATATCTTGAAAAATAAATACTTGCTTGCGTTCTCGCAGGACGAGGTCTTTGGAGGACCAGCGACGCCGTATAAATGGGGTGTGAACCCGGACTGGACCTTCAACTATACGAACCCGGCCGAATACTGGAGCGGGCCCTCCACAAAAGGAATGCTAGTCCTAGCCCTAAACACACTGAATGAGACGGCAGTGAGGGAGATCAAGTGGAAAGAGGTGCCGGGGCTAGAAAAAGGCTGTGATAGCTTTCAGGTTACGGATATTTGGAGCGGTAGGGATCTGGGCTGCGTTTCGGGGGGGATCAGGAAAAAGGTGGAGGCTCATGATACGATCGGCTTTCTGGTGGGGAAGAAATGTGAGGCTTGGGGTTGGAGATCTTAGATTTTTGGCAGAGGAAAAAAGGGGGATGTCTGGATGGCTTCGTATGGAACGGAAGGTATCATTTTCTGTGAATATCAAGGTTGATTATTCTCGCTTCCTCCCAGAAATCATAACTAGATTCAAAGCTGTACTTCTCCATTATTCCCTCTCTAACTTGAACCTAAACGGGGTTTTTCAGAATTGGGAGAAATAAACATTCACAGTTTATATAGGATTAGGTCTATTCAAGATCATCACACAGCCATGATCAATTCTACTCGAAACTACCTGAATAACAAGGACATATCACGCGCCCCAGTCCGCCCCCATCCATCTCCATCTCGGATCCGCATGACCGGCCGGCATCTCACTCGTCGGCACATCCCCGGCCTTCAACTTAGTCCCCTGTTCTCGATTCCTCTTCCTATTATCACGATTCATCCAGAAACCCAGGGCGAGCGTGAGGGCAGCGCCCGCGAAGCCGAAGCACGCACAGATGATACTCGCCATCCGATATCTCGGGGCGCTCTTCTCCGTGAAGATATTCGCCGCGACGAGCCCCATGGCGTTCGCGGTCGCGACTAGGACGGGCGTCAGGATCGCGCGCTGGTTCTCCTCGGGCGTGTTGTTGTTGTACCATGTGGAGAGGAGCGGAGACGTGATGAAGCCCCCTGCGCAGAGGAGGAAACAGGCGAAATAACCAACGCCGATGTGGTTGACGGTGTCGACGCAGGCGAGGATCACGAACCCGATGGCGGTGACGCAGAGAGTGCCGGCGAGATGGGCGGAGCGGTCGCCCAGGTAGTCGGAGGAGAAGGCGACGGCGACGACGAAGAGGGCGCCGACGATGTTGGGGGCCACGGTGTACAGGTTCGTCTTTACGGTGCTGTAGCCGAATTGGGCGACGATCTGGGGGAGGAAGTTGGAGACGGAGAAGAGGGGCACGCCGACGCAGAATCCGATCGCCATGTAGATGGGCCAGAGGTGGTCTTCTTTGAATACTCTCATTGCTTGGCGGAAAGAGAATTTGGAGTCGACGACTAGGGCTCGTGTTAGGTCTACAACGTTCAAGTGCTTCAGTGGTGAAGGGCAAGTTACCTGTGGAGGAATTGGCGGCGATGCGCTGATAGGCTAGAGCTTTCTCCTCCTCGTTCAGGAAGTAGGCAGTTGCTGCAGACCTGGGGAGGATTATGAGAGCTATAATCCCGCCAAAGACAGTAAGTGATCCTGTCCATGATGTTAGCATTGAGTCATCTAGAACCGGAGACACTAACGAACCTTCAATCAGGAACAGATACTGCCACCCTTTGAGATGAGACTTGATCTGAAAGACGCCGAACGCAATCAATCCCGTGAAAGCCCCTGCAATCTCACTCGCCGCATAAAAGATACTAAGTCTCCCAGCAAGCTCATCTCTCTTGTAGAAAGTGGTGAGGTAGAAGATGACGCCGGGATAGAACCCCGATTCAGCCATACCGAGGAACCACCTGGTCGTTACAATGCCTCCAAAGTTGACCGTCGCCGCACTGATCATTGCCATTCCTCCAAAGATTATCATGGCAATGGGCAGGACTATCTTAGCCCCAAAGCGCTTGGTGAGCATGTTCATCGGAGGTCCGGAGAGCACAAGCGGAACGTAGAAAATCGACAGCAGGATGTTGTATTGGTTGCTCTTGAAATGGAGGTCTTCTGTCAACCCATCTGTTTTGGCATTTCCCAGGTTGGACTTGTCGATGGAGCTTCAGAGTCTCAGTCAGATTGACACATGCTAGAGTTGCGACTGGCTGACTTACTTGAAGAGATACATAACTGCAAGCGCGGGCAGGAGGTAGATGTCGAATTTGAATAAGAGCCTCCGTTCAAGCTTCTTGTCATGGATAACCTCGACATCCCCCGTGTCCCGCTCGACATCGGTCCACCCCACAACCCCCGCCTTTGTTTCCTCGCTATATGGAGGGTTCTCCATCTTCTCGGGAAGGACTGAAGCGTCACTCATCTTGGATATTGGACGGGCTTTCGAGGAGAAGAGATGACAGCAACACTTTCTCAGATCTGGCGCGCCCACTTCGACGTTCCCGGAACTGCGACACTCGTTGCCTTTTATCGGGATCCTAATCCTTGACTGCTGCAAGGCCGGCTATCTTGCACAGGTTCGTCTAGCCTCCCTGTGATCGACATCGTCCACTGAAAGATAACCTGCGGGTAAGTCGAAGTTCGTTCCTAGCGATGATAGATAAATCGGCTAGATTATATTCAGGATGGTGATATAACTACTTGGCATTACCGTCTCAAGTCCGTCATGTCTTAGACAGATAGTCTGAGACTCTGAGGCCAGAACACAGCCAAGTTCTTTCGAGGTTCTTCGCCGACTATTGGTGCAATGCGGAAAAGTATTAGCTGCCATATTAGCCAGATTGAGTATGTCGAACCGTTATAACAGAATTGGTAAACGGGAGAAAGAATGCCTTACCTGTTCAGCCCCCATGTCCCTGATATACCGGGGTTCTTTCGTATATCAGAAGTCCAAGACTTTCCAAGCCTCCAAGTGTAAACAACGTCTATCTACACGTCTATCTATAGGTGCACACCGGCAGAGATAAGCCTCGGCCGTCGGAGCTCGCTTATCGCAGGGGGGAGCTAACCTTGTTTCGGTGATAAGCGAACGGGTGGCAGGGGGCTAAACACCTGAGGCAGCGAGACGAGCCGCGCCCTCGGCCGCAACGCGGAGAGTGGGGTAAAATAAGCGGTTGATAACGAGCGACTTTCCCCCCTATCTTCTCTTCCCCCCCCTAACCGGGCTAACCTCCCAACCCCTACTTTACCCCTACCGTCCCCCATCTATCAACTTTATGTTCTGAGGGGTAAAGTTACTTTCACGCAACAACAGTAGTTCTGTACGTACAGCGTCAAATAGATCGGGTAGTCCGGCTATTCGGATTGAACCCCTCTCTGCCCAGACCTTCCTGGCATGGGGATGTTGTTGGTGCGGCCTCTATCCCACCTTCGTCTCTGAAGTCAGGAGGAGAATAGATCTGATTGCTTTAAGTATAAAAGAGCAAGTCAACAAGTGTTGTATATATAAAGGTTTGCGTGTGTCATCTTAGAACTCCCTCAATTGAAGCTTAAACAGTTAAACTTCAACATTTCTCTTCAGATTTTTGAATACAAGAACAGGTATTAGCTACGACCATACCACTTTCATCATGGGCGAAGCCGCACCTCTAGTAAATGCTCTCCATCCTTCCGTGGTAGACAGAATAGATCCGCAGTTCGCTGAGATCTACAACAAATACCAAGGTTCACCACTCCTCCCCTCCCCCTATCCCTCCCCCACACAACCCCGACCGACCATCCTAACAAACAACCTCCTCCTCAGCCCCCCGCCTCCGCGCCGACCAAGTCACCTACGAAGAATACAACGCCGACCGCTCCAAATACACCTTCGACATCGTGCCCGGCCCCTACCCAGAAGTCGGCCGCGTGCAAATCTACCAGATTCCCGTCACCGAGCCGGCCGGCTCCATCGCCGTGCAAGTTTTCTGGCCCAGCGAAGCCGCCATCGCCAAGGGCGGGTTCGCGACCAAGGACGGCAAGCTGCCGGCCCATGTGGATTACCACGGTGGCGGTTTCGTGATCGGGAGTTTGAAATCCGACGAGTCGTGGTGCAGACAAGCATGCGAAGCCGTGGGCTGCATCGTGCTGAACGTGGACTATCGTCTCGCTCCCGAATTCCCGCATCCAGTTCCCCTGATGGATTCATGGGCCGCTCTAAAATGGGCATTCGCGAATGCCGATGAGTTGGGGATTGATACCTCGCGGATCTCGGTGGGTGGTTTGTCGGCCGGCGGACAGATCTCAGCTGCGCTTTCGATCATGGCGAGGGATGACCCTAGTTTACCGCCGCTCGTGCTTCAGATCTTGATCGTGCCGTGCGTGGACACAAGGTTCATTCCTCTGGAGGGATCGTGCGATCCGAGCGTGCCCTATGAAAGCTATATCAAGAACGAGTTCGCGCCTTGCTTGCCGCTGAACCGCTTGCGCTGGTTCTATAGGTTATGGTTGGGCACTGATATGGGTACGTGCCAGCCTGTTCCCGATTTCAAATCATTTGATTCATTCATAGAACTTAACTTGATATCTCTCTCTCTGAGTCTTTCTGACTGACTTCCCCTTTTTTTTCCAAACCCAAACAGAGCGCCGTCAAAAACTCGCCGCAGACTTCAAAGCCTCCCCCATCCTCGCCGCCTCCCACGCCAATCTCGCCCCCGCCTCCCTCCACATCGCAGGCGTAGACACGCTCACCTCGGAAGGAATCGCATACCACGAAGTTCTGACCAAGGCCGGGACCCCCAGCACCCTGAAGATCTATGAGGGATGCGGTCATCCGTTCGGTCATTGGGATGGGGAATTGGAGAAGGCGAAGGAGTTTGTGCAGGATACTTTTGTGGCTATGAGGAAGGCTTATGCGGTTTGATTGTGAGTGTTTGGCTTGGCTTGGTGTACATAACTGAGTTATCTTATGATAGCTTTTTTTGGAAATTATGGATTGATTATTCATCAGGGGTTCATTCTGTGGTGTTTCTTATCACTCCAAACAAGAATCTCTCAAGAAGCTACCTTATAAGGGATGCCGAAAATGTTTATCCGTATACTACCCACTCTCATCTTCTCACCAGCAGAATACGTACATACAGCATGTATATGCGAGAGCAATTATGTACATTAATCCAAATCATGTCCATCCAACCTCAAAGAACACATCTCATTAGAGCCTCTGTATAAATCAGCATCCAAGATCTAAATATATGCCAACTCCGTTCCTGGTTGCCGTCCGCTTTATATCAATTCATGATCCATGACCTGCATCTATCGCTCCACCGAATTGGGTCCTCTTGATTCCATATCCGTCGACCCATGATCAAGCTCAGGCCGGCTCTCAGCAACCTCGGCTATATGTCCCAGGTCTTTATTCCAACCTGCCAGAGGAATTGGTTGGCGCGGAGGATCGCTCGTCCTTGGAATCTCAGGTTTTCTCCTCATGCTTAGGGCTCTTCCCATTCCGAATACGTGTAATGCTCGCTGTAGACTCAATCTTCTGACACCGTCCCTCCCGTAACCACCAGCGTCCAGCTCGGACATACCACTTGAATCTTGACTCTGGCTACTACTACCGCTCCATTGTCTTTCATGCTGACTCGGCCTCCTACCGATCTCAAAGGGAGAACGTGGGGCGGAATGCCCGAACCATAGGTTTTGATCTCGGAGGTCTCGATGGGGAGGGATATCGAAGGAGTCGTTGGGGTTCTGAGGATTCCCAGGCGTCGGGCTAAATGACTGGTTCTTGTAACCTGAACCAAGGGAATCTGAGCTAGCAATAGGTACGTAGCCTCCTGGGTGATAACCATGTGGTGGTGAGCGGGGCAGATGTGGACTATCGAAAGGGGGTCGGGGACAATCTTCCACTTCATATGCTGTGCTGTGTATAGCGGATGGTTGCGATGGTTGGTAGACGCTCCGAGAGAATTCCGAAGGCGTCATGATTAGAGGATCAATAGACATAGTTTCCATGTCTGGCGTCTCCCTTAGTCTCCGACGCGAATTCCAGGAATGTGGGCTGCTGGAAGATGTTCGGGACCTGGCTTTGACAGCCTTGTTGACCTTATTCAGCCGTCTGATAATGATGAATGCCACGATTAACAATATAACGAGAATAATCACAGCACCTGCGATTATCCCATCCAATTGAGGGGTTGTCAATCCACTTGTTGAAGGACTGCTTGGAGCTGTTTTGGCAATCGCCGTAGGAGTAAATGTAACTTTGGGGACCACGTTGTTTGGTGTTGTAGCTGCAGCAGATGGCGTTGGAGGGGTTGTTTCACCCACGGTTGTAGAAGTAATTATCTCAACCTGGCCTGAACTGGTGGTCGTGAATGTTTCCACAAGGGTGTAAGTTTCCACAGCCGTTGAATAGCAGTTATTGAGCCCACATGCCATTCCAATTTTACAACAGCCATAATTAAGAGAGGCCGGACAAAGATAGGAGTTGGCTTCGCAGGTTTGGGTGTAAGAAACGCTTGTTAATGGCATACATCCACTCATAGCGCAGGAATAGTCTGAAGGACAACAGCCACCTGATCGTCGTCAGTATAATTCATACGTCTTCATGAGCAACTTACCTCCCTGGTCCACCCCACATGCAATGTACCCGGCTTGACCACATGCTGAGGCTGGAGCAGCACTCTTAGCATAACAGCTACTTGTCCCACAGGCTCGATCGTTCGGACAACATCCTCCACCCAATGATTGTGGACACAACTGATAATCTACTGGACACGATGTTGCATCTCGCTTTTGCACTTGAATCCCATCATGAATCAGATCCCATCCGACCTTCCGCCTGAAAATAGGTGCCTCCGTGATTCGGGGATGAGATTCATTGACTGTTGTCTCGATTATCCTCCTAGTTTCTGTGACTTCTGAAACGACCTGCGTAGTTGCCTTCTCCGCGACAACAGCATCTATCCTCTGCTGTCCTAATATTCGAGGCCCACGGTCCACAAGATCATTGCGCGATCTTCCCAATTTTGCCAAACTGAATTTCTCATCAAAGACATATCCCCATCCTCCTTGGGCTGCCACTGCAACCGCGCAGGCCCCACCAGATAATCCCGCCAAGCGCATCGTCGTGCCTTCAAAGCCTGCTTTGCGAACGCCAGGATCGAGTTCAGGACACGATACTCCAGGCTATCGAAAGTAATTATCGCACGTACAGTATTATCGCGTCATGAATAACGGGTTGTGGGGGTGGTCTGCGAAAGCTGACCTCAGATCGGCCTTTTCCTGGCCTGCGCAGGGTAGGCTTTTTGACTGAGCACACTATCGCAATACTAAGTTGCTATGTGATTGAGAAGCTTGAATGAATATAATAAATCGCGAGCGAGAGAAAGCAGCATCGAGTAGAAGCAAAGATTGTTATATCGGAGGGATCATGGAGAAGTTCAGAGATTAACTAAGGTCCTGCCTTGAGCAGCCTATCCGCCGAGCTCTATGATCTCCCCGCCGCAGAGCGGTTGGAATAATGCATGTAACCCACCTAACGGAGCAGCCTCAGCCTTGTTGTATCTATGTTGGGGGCACTGGATGCACGTCGAGTGAGAGAATCCCCTCATTGGATGGGTCGGGGGAGACTGGGTTGCATCATATGTAACTCTGACTTGGAGCCTCCATCAACCAACTGGAAGAGAAACAATCCTGACCAGGTGGGGTTGAGCTGAGCACCTGGGGATATCGTGATTCGTGATAGTAGTGGCTGAGGTATGGATGTGCCACGCCATGGTTCGCAGGTGTTCGTTCGCTGGTACAGCCACAAAGACTCCATGGGTGAAGGGATCTTGACGATGAAGTAGCCAATCCCAGAACTTCGGCGATGCGGAATGAAAGTCGACGAGGGTGGAGAGCCGTTGAAGGTTCGGTTGAAGAAAGGCTGGAGAGAGTTGAAGATTCGAATCACATGACTAAATAGGGAGGGTAGCTACTACCTTATGGTCCTCTATCCTACCCGTCTGTCTTTCAGTGGCTTTTGATACTTGATATATTCTGGCTCTCCTTGTGCTTTGTTGTATCTTTGGTTTCTGTCTTGGTTTTCTTCCATCCGAGTACCTTGTCCTTTTGAATTCTTTGATAACCCAACCAACTCCGAGACGCTTCTATACACCAGGATTTTTGATGTATACCTAGTTGCAATGGACTGGTTTATACTCGGAGACAAACAGTTGGTTTCTTTCCTTGTCTCATCACGAGGATTGGAAGTTGTCAACCGAATTAAAAATTACTTGGATCTGTAGCAGGAATGTCAACTAGATTGTGAATTACTTGGATCTGCACACAACCCTTTACCACACCAACTCTGGCACTCTTGTCTCAGATCCATCTTTCGGGGAGCGCCCGAAGCTTACCTTGCAACTCAAACTAAGCCATAGCATTGGTCCCTTTCTCCAGCCTGAGCTGCTCCAGCACGGAATGAGTGCTGGAAGACCGCTGTAAGGTACCGAGTGAACAACCACACCATCATTTCCGGGAAAAAGCAAGCACCTTCGACACCCTTCTACTCTGTAAACCTACCTTTCCAGAACAAGCAGCAAAGATGAATATCATGATATCGTCATGTATCCGGGGCGTTCGGATTTGCAAGAGTGGTGTAGAAGTGGAGGCAAACCCCGCGAAGTTCTCCGTACTTAAAAAAGAACAGGCCTGAAAAGCCCCAGACTCCAATCCCCACACTGCCCACCTTGCTAACAATTCCCATTCATTCCCACCGATCATTCCCCGACAGCGCTGAATATCCACCAGAGAGAAGATGCTTCTGTCCCAGCACTGCAACAGGCAGAATGCTCGTATATGCTAGACGCGCGACCCCGAAGCCGCCCAAGAGAAGATCCAGAGCTGGTATGTAAGAAGACCGCGCCCTCGTTCCAGGGGAGGGAGCCTGTGCTAACAGGAGACCCGAACGAAAAGGATGCGTACACTGGTGAGCCTCTCTCTCTCCCTTCTACGTCTCCCCGCGGAGCTCTGCTAATCCAAGTCTAGCAAAGAAAAGGTACGCTTTTCCTCCACCCGACATCTCTGCTGCACGTCGCCTCGCCGCGCAAACCGTTGTCTGACATTCAGCCGCAGAAGAAGAAATGCAACGAGAAACGACCGCAGTGCGATCGCTGCGCTGAACGAGGACTGCAGTGCGAGTACGAAGCCGTGAAGCCTCGGAAGCGGAGACGGCCATCCTTCGTTGGCTCTGCGCTTTCGCACGATAGCGCTTCTCCAATCTACTACGAGGGCGAAAGGTGGTCGGGCGAATTCGACCAAGTGAGGGGGGGGAACGGTGACCATGAGGCGCGGAGATGGGACACATACTCAGATTACCAGTATGATGCGTCACCAGACACAGCGACGTTATCGTGGGACGGGACGACTCTTGAAAACGATGTGGAGGAGATACCAAGGGCGGAACCAGAGACATCGAGCAGCAGCATCGTGAGATCGCGAAGCCAATATCCAGATCTGGCCATGATCGCGCCGTGTCCGGTCCCCTCACCGCTGCAAGAATTTGGCGCGCCGAACTTCATGGAGTTTACGGAGAGGAAGAATCGTCGGGCTCTGATTGATCACTTCTGCAATGTCTTGTCGCATCTCATCGTCTTTAAAGAGGATACCGGGAATCCTTTTCGACAATTAGTCCTCCCCCTCTCGCATGCATGCTCGCCGGTTCTGAATGCGATATTTGCGCTCTCGAGTGCGCATTTGGAATATAGGGGCGTGGAGAACCAGGAGAAATCACTGGACTTTCATAATAGAGCTCTGCAGGGCTTGGCAAAGCTCATTGATCAGAACGACCCGGCCAGTCGAGAGGAGGTCCTCGGAGCGATCATGTTGCTTGTGTATTATGAAGTGGTCAGTATAGATAGATACGCTTTTGACGATTCCTGCTGATTGAGATAGCTGGTTCAACGAGGCAATTCTAGTATCGTCCATGGTCACTTGAAAGGGGCTATGACGGTCATGAAATCAATGCCTCAAGTCTCGACGCCAACGAGCCTCTTTCTCGAGAGAGTAAGTTATATATGGTTTTCCCGTCCTCATCATTCTGATATGTCTAGGCTTTCCGCTTCTACGATGTGATCGCCGCTCTCTCACTGGGTACGCCTCCAAACGCCACTACTCAGCCAACATCCAGTCCATTCCTATTCCCAAGCTCACCTACATCGATGCCCAACTCTCCATTGAACGCCGTAGACACTCTTCTCGGTCTCTCAACAGAGCTATGGCCCATCATCCACCGGCTGTCCTACTTACTCTCATACAAAAAGTCCCTCGAAGCCGCCCTCGCCGAGGGCCAAACAAGCAAAGCCACCGTTCTCCGCACCGAGCTCGAAAACTCCTCTCAAGCCATCGAGCTCGCCCTCCAGAACTGGAAACCCACCGTCGACGAATCCGCCCTCGAGAACCTAGCCGATGAGACCCGCATGCGCAGCATCCTCAACAACGCTGAAGCGTACCGCCACTCCGCCTTCGTCTACCTCTATCGCACCATCTACCTGCATCCGCGCTCCCATCCCACGGTCCAGAAACACACGCACCTCTCCCTCGTCGCCTGCTACAACGTCGTCACCCTCGCGACGCAGTGTCACGATGGGCCCATGTCCGCCCTCCTCTGGCCCTTATTCATAGCCTCGTGCCAGGCCATGACGGAAGAGGACCGGACCTTGGCATGTGAAGCTTTCGGAGGCACGGAGCGGCGCCAGGGCATGAATAATATCATGCGTGCGTGGGAGGTGGTGCAGGAGGTTTGGAGGAGGGCCGATCTGGTCGGCGATGCGCAGGATGTTAATTGGAGGGATATCTGTGATGAGCAGGGTCTGAATATCGTGTTTGGCTAAGTCTTGGGATGTCCTTTGTAAGTAAGGCTTTTGGTGTAAGTGGAGTGTATATGGAGAGGTGTTGTTGAATCTGGTGTATATTGGACGGTATCTAGATGCGTAAATATCCAACATCCTATGACTATCTTGCTCTAACTCGTTTTCATGTCATGAATTGGATGGAGCCCTTTCCGGTTGCATCTATGTAAAACATGGATCCTGGACGGCGAAAGGCGAGAATGGACACGCCTTCCCTCACCTATATCGAGTCTGCGATGTGCAATAAAGATTCTCATTATGCCAAATGGATCATGATTGATCTTCACACATTGCTTTCCTCACTTTCATTCACACTTGCGATGCGCAGCAAAATACGATTCTGCCCCGGGCAACTCTGCGAGTGGAATTTCGGGTCTCCAGTCCAAGCCCATTTGCGCTTCGGGAGAATTCCAACGCTGTGCTTCTTCGTGAGAGACCCTTGGTATCCAAGGTACCTGTTGTATTTGTTCTCTTTTTTCTTCCCCCCCTTCTTTTATCTTGTTCTCTCTTCTTCCCCTTGTCGCCTTTTTATGTTTTAACCCTTGTTTTGTTTTATCATTTTCCCCTTTTTTGAGCCCCTCGAACTCCTCGAAGTTGAGTATTTCTAGCCGGAGCAGCGCGAACCAATAGGAATTGCAGTTGAATCCCAGTCTGCCGTCTAGACGAGAGAAAGCAGAGGGAGAAAAAGAGGGAAAAGGCTTTTTGTTAAAGCCGAAACGCCCCCTTTGCAAGCAGAAACACCACCACGTTCCTGTTCATATCCTGTCAGCATAGTAGATAGACATCCTAAGACGGAATCTGTATCCAGGAAAAAAAATATCTTGGCCTGCTCTTCTCCCAGTAACCGTCTTGATACCTCCTCTTCCAATGCGTCTCAATTTTGCGGAATTGGCAAAAAGAAAGGCGATCAGGACGAATGCCCTTAGACGGAATCGAACCGGCAACCTCGTCATTACTATGCAGTACTAGTGACGCGCTCTACCATTGAGCTATAAGGGCCAAACAGGTGTTGAGCGCCCTGAAGATGGAGCTCCAGAACGAGCTGCCCTTAGACGGAATCGAACCGGCAACCTCGTCATGACTGTGCAGTACTAGTGACGCGCTCTACCATTGAGCTATAAGGGCTGTATTGGGCTGAATGCTGTAATATCCTCTCTCCAGATTCAGTATGTATGACATGGGTGTTGCGGCTTTGGCAAAAGAGAATGAGTGATATAGAAGGAATTGGCAAAAAGTTATGCCACCAGGGCAAGTGCCCTTAGACGGAATCGAACCGGCAACCTCGTCATAACCAGTGGACACTGATACTAGTGACGCGCTCTACCATTGAGCTATAAGGGCAATGGATGGCTGGGTGTCCTAGATATAAAGCCCCAGGACAACTGCCCTTAGACGGAATCGAACCGGCAACCTCGTCATTACTAGTGACGCGCTCTACCATTGAGCTATAAGGGCGGGATGTTGAAATACCAGGGCAGTATTAGGGCTGAAGACTTGCGGTCTCTGTGTTCTGCAACAATCCTATCGGGATGTAAGGACGGGGATTGTGGGCGTTGGTGGATCATGCAGACAAGTCAGGGTTGGTTGGATGGTTGTTGGTTGGAGGTTGGACGTCGGAGGGGCGGTTAGCGTGGAAGATATAAGCGACGAATCATGTGATAGGTCGGATCCGTCTGCCAAATGCCGAGGCTCCAATAATCTAGGGCGTTCGCGATTCACGATCCATGGTTCACGATCCATGGTCCACGACTCCCTTCTTTTGGATATATCCAGGTACATACCGTATATATACATACATTAACCCTCAAAAGCACTTACTATGAAGCTTTCACCTCGCATCTGGACGCCTGCACACAAGCTGCCCTGGCAAGCCCTAGTTCTTCCCCGGACATTGGCTTTCTCAGTATGACGGTAAGCGGACGGTAACATTCAGGTACGGAGGATATCCACTCTCCATAGAGCCAAATGGACTCGGATTCCAGAGATTTGGATCACAGCGATAAGTCCTACGAAGCTGCAGATACGGCTCCAGACTCGTTACAAAGGATCGTCACAAATCAAGAGAAACACAGCAACAGCCCTCAAGATCCCGAGAAGAGCGGCCAGGACCATGAAGTGCCTCCAACAAGAATTCGGAAGACACCATCTGCCCCTCCCCCGCTATCGTTTGATCCCTGGACGAAGAGGAACTCTATCATCATCTGCTGCCTCGGCCTGCTGTTCTTCGACCTCATCCTGCCATGCATCATCTACTACTCGCTCACCTACTGCACGAACCTCGACGAGGAGCAGGTCCTGGGCATCTCATGCGCCTCTCTCGGGCTCGGTGAGATGATGGAGCTGCCGCTGCGCGGATACCGGCTGGCCAAGCAGCACGACGTCTACGCGCCTCTGGGCCAGCACTCCCGATGGGCCTTCGATTTCCTGTTCTGGTGGTACGCCATGGCCACTATCATCGGCATCGTGCCCTATGTCCTGTCGACCAGTCTCGACGAGCCGATCGAGTGGCTGTTCCTGATGACCCCGGGCTTCATCGCCGGGTTCGCAGTAGCGACGACTGCCGTCTCGGCGCTGCCATTCCCGCTGCCTTTCAGGGTCAGTTCGGACGCACGCGGCGAGAAATGCAAGCCGTTCGTATACTACGTCATTGAGGATTTCGTAGCCGTGGATGCAAGCCAGAAGCGAAGCTATCGCGAGGAACTGCGCGCGAGATACAACGCCTCGCCCATCTTCCGACGCATGATCTGGGACGTCAATATGTGGTGGACAGTTGGCGGGCTCGTCTTCATCGGCGCCCTGGCTGGCATGACTTGGGGCCTGGCATTCCCAATCGCCTATGGTCTGTCCTTCGGTTTGTTGTTTGTATGGATGGGTATCTGGGCTCTGGCGACGTGGCTGTGGGTCAGGCGTGGACTGCGCAGGGAACGGGAATGGTTTCGACGATCTGCGGAGGGCTCACCGGACGAGGAAGTCATGGTATGATGAATTGACATGAAAACGTTACAGAAAGTAAGAAACCGCCCTCCATACAACGGGGAAATCCAACGAGCTCAGCGCGCTCATAACGAATCCCCCCTTTTCCATGATTCAAATTTGTAATCAATACGGTACAAGTGCAAGAGTAAGCAAGAGTTGCAGTTCACTACCTAAGTAAAGTATCGAATACTCTTTTCACTAGTAGCTAGATATACCTACCTACATATATACCCACTCCCGCTCAATCTATCAGACGACTGCCCTACCGTAACGGGCTTGTATATAAAATGGCAACGCTCTTCTAGCACCAGCGCAGTATCGGGGGGATGGGATCCGTGACTAGCCCCGCATTATGGATCTTGTGGGTGCGACAGGTTTGCCTTGTTTAAGTCCTGGTAGTTACGGGCCACGACGGTGGTGTGTATCTTGAGTAGTCGGATACAGAGGACAGACAGGATAGGTAGGATAGATAGCCGCGTAACAGGACAGAACAAACGGTAAAGAGAGACGGATAGGTAAAAGGGGGATAGGAAGGATATATCTAGGCTCTGGGACACGTCTAGTTGATGGTTTATGTACCTAGAGTCGATTTGGATACTGTAGGTATCAAGACCGCCATGATATATACACACATACCTAGCAAACCCCATCCTTTTTGAAAATCTTTTCTCTAATTCAGAATAAAAAGTAGGTAGCTATCAATCGATCATACCTAGACGGACAGGAAAAAACTCCAGCTGGGAACACACACCAACGCCAATTTTATAATCGCCACTCTCCCAACGCTCATCTTTTGCTATCAAGACTTTCCTTCCAAATCGTCACTCCTCTCAAGAGACGACGCTCCTCTAAACCCTAGCTTCGTTCTTCGGCGGTCGAGCACCAAAGATAGTCGAGCCGACACGCACTTCCCCACTTCCCATCCTCACGGCAGCCTCGAAATCCTCACTCATACCCATACTCAACTCCAAGTCCATGCCGAGTTCCTTCTCCAACCTTTCCCGCTCCTCTACCAGTCTTCTGAAATCCTCATTCTCTTCCCCTTTCCCCACCGCGTGGCTCCGGCCGATATCCCCGATCGTCATCAGGCCGACGAGCTTGAGGTGCGGACAGGAATTAATGATGTGCTGAGCGAGGCTGAGCGCGTCGGGCCCCGGCGCGATGCCAGATTTCGAGGCTTCCCCCGATGTGTTGATTTGGATGTGGATGTGTAGAGGAGAGGTTATTTCCGGGTGGGTGAGGAGCAGCTCGGCGCGGCCTTTGTCGAGCTGCGTGGCTTTCTTGGCGCTGTCGACTGAGGAGACGCAGAAGAGGTTGGGGATTTGGGAGGTTAGGGCTTTGCATTTGTCTAAGGGGGTTGTTAGTTGGGACGCGGAGATAATTGGAAAGTGGTGATGGATGATGAAAGGAATATGGAGAGAGAATGGCTTGGCTTGAGCTGTGGAATGGTTGATGAGGTGTATGACGAGAACTGAACAGAGTGTCTAGGTAAGGCCAACGTCGGTCTTGGGTGCTGAGGCTCACGCAGGAGGACTATCCTCTCGGAGGACGAACTTGGCGACGTGAACTTCAACAGACACACATCATCTGTAGATAACTCGAATCATCCTCTTGCATGGTGTGCCACGGAACGTGGAAGCTCAACTTCGATGCCTCCTGCTGTTTGCACGTGCCACCAAGAAAACGACCAAGACACAGAAGCAAAAGAAAATAGCTACGTGCAGAGAAGACAGGAAAGAAAAAGAGAAGAGCACATACTGCTCTGCAAGCCACCAATGAAATGCCATTTGATCTCCCGCGGCAGCAGCTCTGCCTTCTCCAGCAACTCCTGGGCATAGTTCTCGCCGAAATGCTCCTGCTTGGTGGCGCCCTCATACAAGGCCAAGATATCAGACGCCGGCTTCAGCTTTGACACGGCGACGAGACGCACCTATCGCGCGGGTCAGCAGCGGTCTCTCTCTGCACGGCATCGTTCGTCCCTGGCTCAAATCGAACGAAGAGGAGAGAAAAGGGAGCAAGATGAGATAATGACGGGGATCACGTGAGAGACAGGATTGATTCAGAAAAAGGGCAGAAGAGCACGAACCGTGCGGCCCTGGGCGGCGTGGGTGATGCGCTCCGACACGCCTTGGAGGGCGGCGATCAGGGACTTGGCTCGGGCGGGATCGATCTTCATGTCGACCTGTCGGTCCTCGCTCATGTTGCGTGGCGAAGGTCGCGGGGGAGGGATCTTATGGATCTATGGATCTATGGATCTGGAGGGTTTGTTACTATTGGAACGGATCAACAAGGAGAGAAAGATATTACCTGGAAATAGACACACCAGTGGCCACTCTGTATACCGGATACTGTGTAGACTAGACGGTGCACAATATAAACTCTAATAATAATGCAAGGAGTAGTCCGTAGCAATCATCAATAATCAACAATCATTCGTGGCGGGGCGAGTTACGAGGTGGAGCGTTGATGCATTGATATGTGCCTGGCGGCGATTGAAGCGGCGTCTGGACTCTTCTGGGTCTCTGATATTCTCCGCAGGGTCTTTGCTACTAAGGATATCTAGGATATCTCTTCCTATTTTTATTTCCTATTGTTATTTTTATATCCCTCCCGTTCTTTTCTCCGAATTTTTCTGCATTTTTCCGTCTTCTCTCCTCCCTGTCTCCCCCTTTCTCCCGCTTTTCTGGGATTCTCTGGTCTCTTCGATGCCGTCCCTGACATGTAGGTTTAAAATCCAAAGATTAAATCTCACAAATTAACCAACCAGTATCTCGCTCTGCTCTCCATTCGACGACTCTACTCTTATCTTGATCTCTATTTTTATCTTTGCACATATATTTTCACCTATTTTTCCCCATTTTTCCCCGGTTGAAAACTTTTCGCCCAGGGTCAGCCGTGGCGGTTTCGTATGCCTCGATCGTCCCGTCCCAGCTCGCTTCATCTTTCCCACGACAGACGACAACTCGATATCTTCTTTTCTTCCTCTTCATCCCCCTCTTCAATTCGATTCTCCCTCTTCTTCAACTCTCCCTCTCCTCCCCATCTTCAATTCTCCCTCTTGACCTTCTGCTCTTCTTCCTTCATTCCTTCGTTTGTTCGTTCGTTCATCCTAGTCCCCCCCCTCCCCCGCATATTCTTTCTTTGTCCTCGCCGCAAACAATCTCTCGACCAGGGGACCGCTTGATGCGATTCTTCGACGACCATCACGACGATTACGACCATAGAAAACGATTCTGCTTTCCTCCGTCCCTCGACTCCGTCCTCAATCCCCCCAATTGCTCCTAAAGGAGCCCCAACCTCTGCACCACCGACATGCCCAATTTCTCTTCCCCACTCTCCCCACGAGCCAGCGGATTCCACCAATTGATGAACAAACCCTCCAACTCCAACATGAGTTTAGAAGCCGGTATTCCCCTCACCAAAATTCGCACAGCTTCGTCCACCGGCGGCCGCAAGAAGGGTGACACCATTGCCCAGTACGCCTCGAACGCCCCGTTGAACGAGTCGAACGAAGAGGAGAAGAATGGCTTCTTTGCGCGGGGACCAGCCGGACGGAGGAAGACGGCTCCGAAGAGGAGGGGCACCGATGGCGAGGAAATAAAAGTCAATTCGCTCGGCCGCTTATACAACAAGATAGTCAACTTCTCCGTCGTCACACGCTACTTCGTCTACGTCTTCCCCGTTGCGGCGTGCATTGCCGTCCCCATCATCATTTTTGCCATTCGAGATCCCAACGCTCTGTTCTGGGGGACCGGCGTCAAGGTATGGCTCTTCTGGACCTGGATCGAGGTCGTCTGGCTCTCGCTCTGGGTCTCGAAGCTGGCAGCCAAGTTGGTCCCATACGTTTTCATGTTCCTCTGCGGCGTCGTGAGCTCCGGCACCCGCAAGTACGCCCTGATGTTGAAGGCGGTCGAGATGCCGATGAGTTTGGTGGGGTGGGCACTCACGAGCCTCGTTACGTTCACGGCGCTCACAGCCCCGCATCTCAATTTCGGTAACAGCTTTCGCTGGATTACGGTGATGAAGAATCTGCTGGGGCCGGCCCTCATTGGATCCGTCATCTTCCTGATTGAGAAACTGCTCATTCAGCTCATCAGTATCAACTATCATCGGAGATCGTTCCACGGGAGGATCAAGGACTCCAAACATTCCATTTACTTGCTGGGGCTGCTCTACGAGGCCTCGAGAAGCTTGTTCCCTATGTATTGCCGCGAGTTCCTGGAGGAGGACTATATGATCAATGACAGCATCGAGGCCCATGTTGCCAAGAGGATCCACAGGAGATCGGGATCTGCAACTCCGTTGAAGCTGATCGGCAACGTGGGGAGGATAGGGGGTAGGGTCACATCTGTCTTTGGAAATATTGCATCCGAGATCACCGGCAAGCAGATACTAAATCCTCACTCGTCACATTCCGTGGTTTTGCAGGCTCTAGAGAAGACCACATCGTCTGAAGCCTTGGCAAGAAGAATATGGATGTCATTCGTGGTTGAGGGAAAGGAGGCTCTATATCCCGAGGATATCCAAGAAGTCCTCGGTCCGGATCGGAAAGAAGAGGCTGATGAAGCCTTCGCAGCTCTCGACAGTGATGGGAATGGCGATGTTAGTTTGGATGAAATGATCATGAAGGTTGTTGAGGTAGGGAGAGATCGGAAAGCCATCAATTCAAGCATGCGAGACGTTGGACAAGCTATCGGTGTTCTAGATCATGTTGTTTCAGTGATCCTCTTGATCCTTATCTTCTTCATGTTTGGTATGTTCTCTACCTGATCTATGTACTTCTAACGCTGATGATCTTTAGTCGCCTTCCAGGACACCAACTTCGTCACAACCCTCGCAACAGCCGGTACAACCCTTCTCTCCATGTCCTTTGTCTTCGCGGTCACAACTCAAGAATTCCTCGGCTCCTGCATGTAAGTTCCCCAGCATCAAAAGGATGCTTTCTAAGTTCCCCAGCATCAAAAGGATGTTTTCTAAGTTCCCATCTTTTTAGATTCCTCTTCGTCAAGCACCCCTATGATGTCGGTGACCGCGTCGATATCGTGGGGCCTACAGCAGAATGTTTGGTGGTCGAGCAGATCTCCTTGCTCTTTACCGTCTTCAAACGTATCGACAACATGAAGCTAGTGCAGGTCCCGAACATCGTACTCAACACCCTCTGGATTGAAAACATCACTCGCTCCAAGGCTATGAAGGAGCAGCTCGATATGTTCATCTCCTTTGATACTTCCCTCGAAGATATCGAAACCCTACGCAAGGAGATGGAAGCCTTTGTTCGAAGTCCAGAGAACTCCCGCGATTTCCACCCCGAGCTCATCATCGAGGCCACCGGAATTGGCAACATGGACAAACTTCAGCTCAAAGTCGAGATCCGCCACAAGTCGAACTGGCACAACGAGACGGTTCGGGCGGCACGAAGATCGAAATTCATGTGCGCTCTCGTCCTTGCTTTGCGCAAAGTCCCCATCTATGGTCCAGGAGGTGGCGGCGAGCCTCTCGGCGGCCCCACGAACCCGGGATACTCTGTTGCAGTGTCTGACGATTGGGCTGCCGAAGCGAGAGACAAAGCAGCGAAGAAGAAGGAAGAGCGCCGTCTCATCCCTACTACCACCGAACCCTCTTCTCCAGAAGAAGAAGAAGAGGCCAAAGAAGAAGGAGTTCTGGGATCCGCCCCCGAAGAAGCCGCTGCTCAGGCCCTCAATTCCCGAAGACCCATGTCAGATCTACGGGATATAGATGTGGCTGATGACGACGATACGGTCGAGACGAGCCTCGAACGCGCCCGATCGACCAAAATCGATAACCTTCGCCAAAGCCTCCTGAAGCGCGAAAGTACCCGCGGCCGTAGAAAGCGCGGCGAGACAGCCCCTCAGGTACCCACCTCCCCCGAAGCCGGGGTGAGCCTCGCACAGTCCAGTGCCCAGGGTGACACGGCCTACTATGGTCGGGATCGTGACAACACTGATGAGGAGGCGGAACTGGGCATGACGGAACTGCCGGTCGGGGGTTATGAGAGCGAGGCGTACGACTCGTACTCGCCACCGCGCCCGCGACCCCCTATTGCCATACCCACGCACGGAAGCTTGCGGAGATTGAGTTTGGGATTCAAGAATGCAGGGCCGGCGAGACAGACGCGGGAGGAGCGGGAGGAAGAATGATGACAAGGATCAATCCGTAAGATAGGTAGATCTGGGGGTTTGCTCGGGCTTGGTAGGAAAGGAAACTCGGAGGGCAAAGGAAAGGGGGGCTCGGAAGGAAGGTAAACAAAAATGGACCGACGAAAAAATGGAAAACAAACATATACCCGCTAACTTTGTGGATCATGGTTGGCCTGTACTGTACTGTACTGTACTCTGCAACGAAATTAGGAAATAGGGTGGTTCTTTTTTTTGGGGGGTGGCACGGGCATAGCGTTATTGGGTCTTGTACATTGTATTGTATTGTATTGTATTGTAGATTTATTTACACGTTTAGGGGTTTTTTCCTTGGGCTTTATACATCTACTGTATGAAATAGATATGAAAATGAGGTTGAAAAACATATAATCCTTCCCTCTCTTCTAAGTCTATTTATGATCGTAGCTAGAAGGGAGTGCTCTGATTTTCAAAAGAGAAAAAGTCAAATCTGTACGTGCTTTTTATATATATAAACCTCTTCTTGATTCGATCCTTTTATATAGGTAGGTAACAATAAATAAATAAATAAGCCAATCCCCCTGCCACTCCCACTCCAAACTCGCTCCAAACTCCCATTTCATCACAATCCCAATGCCAACCC